GACAACGCTTCAGCGTATGAATTAGCGTACGCTTTGGCAGCGGCAGCGGCATAAGGGTTAGCATTAGCCCATGGTAGAGCCGCTGCAATGGCTTCGGCGTCTGCGTACGCCTCTGGTGAAGCGGCTCCAAGAGCCGCAACAGTGAAGTACGCGACGATAGCTGTTAAGCGAATGGACAGTCTCATGAGTCTTTACTTCTATGGCTCGAACAACCATAGCGCCATTATCAGACTCCAAAAGGCGGTCTCACAGTGCCATTTTATAGCACATGTCGAGCCTATGGCGCTGTAGAATGCTGAATTTCCACAAAGAACAACCATTCAGAGCCAACACCACCCTTCAAACCTAGTTGCTTCTCGCTTAAAGCGTATATGAAGGCACATTCTCTACTCCTCATGCATTCTCTGGGCATTTGACACCCCTATTATATGCCCAGTTGTGGTCTTTGTTTACGTTTTCAGAGCACACACACAGTACTCCGCGTTGATGAGGAACACCTGAACATCTTCAGCTAAAGCGTTCAACTGTGCCTACACCTCTGAGATGAGGCTTGTACGGAGGAAGAATAGAAGCCACTAGACGGCTGCTAGTGAGTCGTAGACAAGGTTGAATTGCAAGTTCGACTCTCTCTCAATGCCTAAACCATTTTCACACTAATTCATCGCTCGTAACAACACATTGTTTGTATAATCACAGGCTCACAATCTCTTAATCCCGATATCTGTTCAGGTGCACTGGTATGTATGGCAGCAATCAGGTCTTGTCTAGTGTACACATCAACTTGGAAGGCTAATCCATATTGGGTCCATACAAGGTGACTTGGTCTAGACGAGAGCTGAAGAAATAGGACATCCTTCGTGAGATTGGCCCTGGTGCTTGTCAACTATACGCGCACAGTGCACACCATATACATTGGCAGATGCACATGAGTTGCTGCTGGATGGCGTCCTCATTAGGCGTTTGTAGACGGTTTGATATGATTACGAAGCTGCTTCCCAATTGGAACTCTTCGTGATACACACTGCCAAAGAATTGAAGGGAGGTTGTTGAAACTGGAGGGTGTACCATGGTCAGAAGCCAAGAACCACTGAAGGCTAATTATCACCACCTACAGTAAGTATACATGTCGTATTTGGGGTGCCACGCAATAGGAGATCGCCAGGAGTCATATCAAAGAATCTTCACTAGTATGAAACGAATACAGGAGTGAGCCTCTCTAAAGAACACACGTATGAAATGACACCCTTGTTTGAGAAATGTGGAAGACGTTAAAGTTCGTGTACAGCTGCTTTCTAGCAGTGTAACCTTGACGCTGTAATTTTGGTTTGATACACATCAGATATATGACCACTAACTCTGTAAGGTATTGAAAGGTGACCAAGGGACATGGACACAATGCACCGAGCATGGGCTGACACACATCGCTTGGTTTTTCAGCAATCACGACTGAATAGGTCATTTCCTCTTGGTCATCTTCAGTTTGCTCTGAGTGGTGTCATCCTTCGATGCTCGCTTCTTGGACTTTGCTTTGGATGATGGCTTAGCTACAATCCTCTCTTTCATTCCCTTCTTCGTTTCAGTGTCAGCCTTGGTTAGAACCTCAGGGTCCTCAGGTTCCCTTCCAGTCATCCATTCGAGCAATTTGATTTCATCGCCCCATATGGAGGGATCTTCGCCTGATGGTGTTTCCAATATTAAAGGTATATCCTGAGTTCTTGGATGGTTCGCAATCACTCTGAACACCTCCAATCCAAGGTATCCCCATCCCAGTCTTTGATGAAGATCTCGATTTGCGCCCAGGTCAACCTTACTATCATTTATATGGAAAGCTGACAGATACTGAGCCCCAACAATCTCGTCAAAGCTCTTAATAAACGCATCGAATCCATCTTCAGTACGGATGTCGTAGCCGGCTGCAAAAGTATGACAGGTATCTAAGCAAACTCCGACTCGGTCCTTTTCATCGATGAGTTCAATGACATCTCTCAGATCCTCCAGAGTCGATCCAAGAAGATTACCATGTCCTGCCATATTCTCAATGACAATCTTCACAGTTGAGGTCTCGGAAATCGCTCTGTTGATATTTTTAGCCAAACGATGGATCGCTTCGTTGTGATCACCATCTAAACTGGACCCTGGGTGGAAGTTGAACAATCCGATTCCCAGCTCCTCACATCTGTGTAGATCGTCTAGAAACCCATTGTATGCCTTAGCCTCTTTCTCTTCGTCAGGATTGGCCAAATTGATAAAATATGAACCATGAGGTAAGACATCACTGTTATATGTCGAGTGTCAGTAGGCCGTCGTTCAAGCCACAATCTTCAGATACAATTTGCTTCTCCACTCACGTCTTTGGATCATATCCATGCACTTCACACAGTCTCTTGAACTCAGAAGCTTCACTCTTACTGATCGGTGGTGAATCCCACTTTCTCGGGGACTTGAGGAACAGAGCAAATGAGTTTGCCCTGTAAATGGTTATATGGTTAGTATGGCAAAGATACCATACAGTGAGAGTTGTGTGAGTTGTAACATACCCTATGTTTCTAGCATTCAACACTGCATTAGACACACCTATAAGTTCCCAGCTGGTTAATCTTCCACAGTTCTACACCCACAGTATAAGGAGATACTAACCACCGCTGGCACCAACATGAGCACCGAACTTGTACTTCAGTCCAGTCGTCTTGGGGTATAAAAACCCATTAGCAAAGCGGTCTTTCTTTCTTGAGACCACATCGTGTTATTACGTGAACTGCGACTGTTTGTATGGAGAATTACTCACGGCGGCATTGGGCTTCTGATGTTGTTGGCAAGCCGTCCTTCTCTGTTGTTGTTCCACAATCCTTTCCGCTACACTCTAAAACCTGGATGCACTTATGAAAATCTACAAGCGCCACGCTGAGGAATTTTAACAACTACAATTACTTGCAAGCAGAACAAAAGATATACAGAAATGACAAATTCATGAATTAGACACCTTAGTTTCTAACAGTTGGAGCGTAAGTCTTCTTGGTCTTGTTTGATCTAGAGTACTGGGAAGCTCTCTTGACGGCAACAGCTCTCAAGTCATCTCTGTAGCCCTTGGCCAAGTTAGAGACAGCCAAAGCAGTCTTTCTAGCAGACTTGTATTGCTTGAATGAGGTGGTAGCAATGCTCTTAGATGGCTTGTTGGCGTTCTTAACAACCTTGGATCTGACGACGATTCTACCAGCCTCTTGAGAGATACCAATGGCCTTGTCGTTGGCCAAACCAGAAGAGGTCTTGGTGTTCTTACCAGAAACGTTCAATGGGTCTCTGGACAAAGTGACAGCGGCACGCTTAACCAAGAAGGTGGATTGTTGGGAAGTAAGAGCCCAGATCAAATCGCTGTAGAGTGGTATTAGTATATTGTGCTGAAGGAAAATTGAGAAGGATCAGTCAAAGTCAATTTATAAGATATTCAGCGTTTGTAATCCCAGTTCTTGGGGGCTTTCTAGCATCCCAGATCTCCAACAAGGACTCTTGAGAGCTTTTATAGGGTTCCAATGACAGGGGAACGTCATAATACCACTTCTTTACTTCAGCGCACCTTCATCCTTGTTCGCTAGGACTGACGAAAGCTTTAGGACGGACTCTGCAACACGGACTCTCCCTATCAAACTCTCCAATAACCAATCCGTTGACTGAGACCTCAACCGTTCAACATTCGTACATACTTAGAAACGTTAGACATTGTGGTTATGAGTATTGTAGTACCTGGTGTATCTTCTAACTGAAACCAAACTGGGGGTTTTCACTGTTTTTTCACCGCTTTTCCTACAAAACTTTTCGGTAAGGGAAGCACATGATACTTGCAAAACATCCAAACATTTCATCAACTTTTGTGCGTCGTCTAAAACGGTTCGTGACACATATACAAACAACAAAGCAGTCACATTAGGTAGAGCATGCCTGTTGAGCTTCATCTCTAAGTGCACCAGTGCAACAGGCTTGACTATGGACTTGGTTGGGACTTCTAAAACCAATTGATCCTTGCGTAATGCGATGGCCGAATCCTAATGAACTATTAGTCCGTTTGTTCAGGTTTTAAGCCGTGATATGCTCTCGCACTTTGGCATGGGACGGCCATAGACAAATTGTAGAATAAGCTATATGGGTACTTGACTACGTAACCAACTATTCATTTGTAAAAGCATGTAACTGGATTAAAACTAGTGAAATCAATCTCATAAAACAACCATAATGTGCAAACAAAACTATACATCTCAAATATCTTTTAAAGTGGGGAAATAAATTATTGTGTGATTGAACTAAAACGGGTTTCAGAATGAAACCAGCGTCATGGAATCATCACTATCGCCATCCAAGCCGTTGATTCTCAAACTCATCTTCACGAAGAAGTCAATTAGCTGAGATCTCTTTTTGAAATTGAGGACTGAGCCATTCGAGTTACCAAGCCATATCCGAAGCACGGCAGATATCTCCTCAATCTTCAAAATGACATTCTTGTCATGTAGATAGGTCTCCTCGGTGCTTATTATGCTGAGCACCGTCATGTACAACGCAGTGAATCCCAGTAAACCATAATCTGCATGCTGAAGTGCTTCAACCCTTGTGAACCATCTTCTGGCACTTGCATAATCCTTCTTCTCAAAGATCAAGTTTTGGGTAATACCTGATATGAGAACCAAGATGTCATCTGATTTTAAAGAAGATACACTTGCAGATTCAAGCATGGTTTTGTAGTTCAGAATGTTTGCTTCTGTTGGATGGAACAAAGTCAAGAGTTCTAAATTTTGTTCATCAATGTGTGGTATAAGTTCTTGTTCAATCTCTGGAATAGACTTCTCCGTGGTGAGGGTCTCAACCATGAACTTTCTCAAGAATGAGTTGGTTGTCTTTTCGTTTATCATATGGGAGAGAATGTAACACACCGAGAAATCGTTCTCACATTCAACGTTGTTTGTCAAACAATACTTGGAGATTTTCGAAAGCAAATTCTTATTATCGATAGTCTCTGAAGCATCCAATGAAAGGATGGTCTTTACGCTCTCGTAGTCCTTGCTGGACTTCTCGATCTTAACGTCTTTCAAATAGGCCCAAAGATGACTGACATACGCGTTAACAGCACTCAACGTCATAGAGTTGGACTTTGTGTAGCGAACTTTTAACAGTAAGCATCTGAATATAGCACTCTTGACGTAATCAATGTTGGAATCAGTTGTTAAGGAAAATGTCGATAGTATGGAGCGTGTCTTCAATCCTCTAACGTCATCAACAATGGTTGCAAACGGAGCTGTTTGTTTTCTATCCTTCTTTTGAAAGAACGAAGGTAAAACAAAATACAGTAATACCGTAAAGACAAAGGATACCTTCAACAAAACCATTAAAGGTTTACTCAACAATTGCAATCCAGTAGTGTCATATCCAAGCACCGGTAAAGCAAATAGCGATTTGGTGTCCATGGCACCAAAGTCGTCGGTTAAACCAGCACCCACCATACATGCCATACCTCCCAGGAGTACCTTATTACCAAGAGACATTCCATCTTGACCGTCTGTAGATACTGACGATACTGAGCTTCCGGGGGTCATCTGTCCATACCCATATAATTTAGCCTTCAACTCGTCGTTCTGTTTCTTCAAAACTTCATTCTTTGACTCCAAATGTTTAATGTACTCCGTGGCCTTTGACAAGATGGTGGCCTTGTTCAACTTCTTTGCAGGTTGCAAACCTTCCAAGTCGTCAAAGTCATCATCACCGCTATCAACCAGAACCCTCAAAGCAGGAACAGAGTCTCTCAAAGCTTTGATCTTATCGTTGATGTTTGTTCTATAACGCTTCTCAATCATGTTATGTGAAGACTTCTCCTTCTTGGCTCCACGCTTGGAGATCGACCCTCCACGTGGAACTGCATCAGCCAGTTTGATTCTGGAGCTCTGGCTTGTCGTGTTGTTACTGTTCGCAGTGATATGGCAATCAAGTGGTGAACCAGTTGAGCTGCTTTGTGACGACATGCTCTCCTCTTGTTTAACGTTGGCCTCAATGTTGAAATCGCTGGCCATGCTGTTCTTCCCGTGTGACACGTTGTTGGCACCGCCATCAACGGCAAAGTTGCCATTGGCAAAGTTGAAATCAGCAAAGTTGGAGCCGTCGATTGGCAGCTGTGAAAACTCGTTTGGCGAGCTCGATGCCGATGTGGTATAATCTGGCGATAACAGCGTGTGAGCTTGCGGTTGCTGATCCTGGTAGTCCGCGTACATGCTGTTGAAGAGAACGTCATCGTCATCGGTGCCCGTCAAAACCGTGGACAGAGAGCCGCTGTGTGACTGCTGCTGTTGTTGTTGCTGCTGCGGGTGCTCGCCCAACCGCCCAGCTCCAAACGATGCCAGGAACGCATCGTAGTCTTCAAACGCATACGTCGACATTGGTGGTGTCTTGATGTCTGGCCCTATCTGTCTTCCTTCTTTTGCCGCCCTGTCTTTTCCGTGCCTGTGCCTGGGGTTCTCTACCTAAGGCTCCTTACCTGATAAAAGTGGTGATAGCACAAATTCGAGATCGAGAGATACACTGTGAACGCGCTAAGAAATCAACTTCGCAATGAACTCCGTGTATAAGTGATAGTAGTCAAGTAATGGGGGAGAAAGTAAGCAAAGAAAACAACAACAAAACTAAAAGTTGATGAAACTGCCTTCTTTCAATTACTTCAAAAAAGCCTAATCCATCGTAGCAGAACCTCTCTTGGGATTCCCAACTTGGATCCCGTTTAAAGTGGCTGCCTTTTGTTTTTTATGACAGAAATCGTACGACTTTGCAAAATTGCATGATCTTTTTTTGCCTTTTCTTTTTGGCCTTGGGCACGATGCGTTTGCCCTGCTATAATTTTCGCTCTTGTCTGCCCACCAGCGCCCATGCGCCCAAGGGAATTCCACTCCCCCCGGAGAAATATCCCCTTGGGGTTTTGTTACAGCCGTGGTGCCATACGTGCTACAACCGCTTGTAACATCCCCTACACTGGCGCTTAAGGTTTCAACGGCCCGTAAAGTGACTGGTGCGGGAAGCAAAGCCACATCCGTGCGCGCGTACCGTCTCTACCAAAAGTGTAGGGTCAGGAACGCCAAAGTTGCGTGGCCCATGCACACATTCTAGCTACGTATAGTACACTCCGCGTGTGGTTGGTGATGAGAAGCCGAGCGCCTGTTGGCCAACTTCTCTTGAGGTTGATCAGAGCTGCCACTTAACAGCCAAGGTAACTATGGTTGTGCTGTTGAGTGGCAGCGAGCTGTGCTCGCTGCTCCGTTTCCTTCCGGTGTTACATCTCTACGGAGCGTGGAGGTGGCTTCTTGGCCGAGACGCTTGAAGAAACTATACAAAGTAACTATACAAAGGGCCCATGCAGCGGGTGGTCATTGTAAGTCGGGAACTAGAAACCTTGTTGAGCTGCCAATGGCCTCAACCGTTCAGCAATTGCACGAGTTCTAACCCCCTCTGTACATAAAGCTGTCCAACGACAGCTTTGCCGGCTTGGTATGGCACATCGTAGCGTTCATCGCCCCGTTGCCCTGGTGCTTGAGTCTCGTTCCAGTAACAATAGAGTTTGTATCGTGCTTAGGCCTCAACGGTAGACGAGCAGTTGTCGCTTTGCCCGGCCTGTCATTGGTGGGACGCGTTGGTGCTGTGTCACCACGTCTACCATCGCCTAATCTGAAGCCGAACTTGTCGTATAGCCCATTCCCAGCTCGTTTAACAGGTTGTGCTCTATCGCACTGCATGCCTCCATCCAGTGGCATTCCCGCTTCTGCTGTTGATGCGGTACTATCAACGGTGCACTGGCCCATACTTGCATCAAATTGATCGACAGGGTGGGCCCGGATTGGTGCGGTTCCAGTCTCAGCTGATGATTCTGTGGGCTCGCTGTCGTGATCACTGCTGTCATCACAGTCATCCGGGTCGGTGAACTCAAAATCGCTGGAATGCGATAGCTGTGCTTGGGGCTTCGCGTCATTTTGTTGATCCACTGCTTCAGGTTTGCGCTTGTGCTGAAAGAACCTGCTTTGCGATGGAGACGCAGTGACTGCAGGGCCGGCCGATGGTGAGGTATCGAAGAGCTTTCTCCTTTTGCTGACGATTGACGATGGCAATGATGGACTCCTCTGTGGTGTGTTGCGGTGCGAGTGGGACACGACAGGTTGGCTGAGCTTGAAATAGGAGCCGATGGTGCGTATCTTTGTCTGTAGCTTTGGAGTTCTCGGAGGATTCAGAGTCCTGGATACCCGTTGGGCATTGTGTGCCGTCTGTAACTTCATCAACGTTGATTCTCTCGTTAAAAGTGTATCCTTAGTTATCGGATCGAGTTTACCACGCGCTATACCTCTGTGTACGTCCAGCTCTAGCAGAGGTCCAATGCACTCCGTAAGATGACGATGGTCCTTTAGGGATTCAGGGATATCGTTCAAAGTTGTCATATCATCAGTTATAGGATTGAAAACTCTTTGGAATTGGAACGACAAGTCGGCCCTCTCGTACTCCTCCTCGAACGATGTTGGAATTGAGACTTTGCCTTCTAACCGTAAATTGGCTAGACACTTCTGCATCGTCCCCATTCTCTTGACAAGTCTAAAGGCCTTGACGATGCCAACATTGGGTATACCTGCTGTATAATCACAACCGGCTAGACATGCAACCATTCGAAGCTGTGAATCTGACAACAGACCCACAGGTGCAATCCTACAATTCTTGAAATCCTTTCGACAAATCCGTGTGCAGAACCCAGTCTCTGTTAGCTTGGTCAAAAGGCATTGTGCACCAAAGATTAGTAGGTCGGAGTCCTCACTCAAGATCCCACTGACAACACCAATCTTCTCGAGGTAAACCATCTGTGCGTCGGCCTCATAAGGAGCCACAACGTACTGAACCTTCTCCTGATCGAGCACTTCGAGAACAGACTTGGCCATTTGCGGTGTCACGTCCACACACATCACAAAGTGCTTCCACGCGGTCTTATGGTCTCCATTCTCCATGCATTGTAACGCCAATGCCTTGTTCTCCTCTCGAAGTCGTTCTCTTTCATTCTCAACACCTGCTTTGCTCGAGAACTTGTCACCGTCAAACACGAAGTACGGCTCCACTCCAAACCCTCGGAGCATCATTACCCTCCGGCGGAAGTAATTGACGTACTTGTCCGTATAGAGCCCTTTACCTAGCTCAACGGGACAAGACATAACACTCTTGTGTAACCAGGCATAGGCATCAATGGCAAGCGTCTGTCCTTTAAACTCCGCAAGACTAACAACCTCTTGAATATCCTTGAGCTGTGGTAGGAGCTGCGGAACACCCATTCTTCCAAGCACGTCTTTTCTGTTTGGAGCTCCACTATTGTACACCGCTGCCTTTTAAAGTGGTTGCTTTGTTTACTGTTTCGGTGATGAGGCCTGAGAGCGCGTTTTGGATCTCGCTTTTTTGTGTAAATACATATTTTCGGAACATTCCAAATTGTGGGATATCTTTGATGGTAGGGGCCACAGACGAGTACGGTTTTCGATACACTTCAGCTTTGGTGCGAAGCTACCATCATCACAGCAGCTATGGGATAGAAGACTACAGGCAACCGATGGATCCAAATCAGCTGAGTGGAAGCTTGGATCAACTACACGTTGATCCCGTTGTGCCTAACAGAAAGCGCCGGCCCGCTAGGGCACACCACCAATTGACGCCTGGCAGTAATGTGGGCCACGGCCAGAGTATCAACAACAGTAATAACAACAACGTGGGCGGGTTCAACAGCGGTGTCAGCGTCCCAATGGGTAGCTCACTGAGTGGTGCTAGTATGAATCTCGGCCAAGCAAACTATTCTGCTCAATTCCAACAGCAGCAGCCTGTTCCACAACAAGGTGTGTTGCCTAGTGAAGAAGGAGATATACTGTCTGTGCCTTTGAAACGGTATCGGGCTGCACAGGAATATTCAAACGTCTCTTTCAAGTCGTTCGAAAATGCTCTTCCTCCACCTTCAACGACACAGGTCCACTGTATCGATCAAGGAACTGCAACACCGAAGTTTGCAAGGCTTACTATGTACAATGTTCCGACGACGGAATCCCTCCGCAACTCCACAAGGCTGCCGTTGGGAATGACGGTTCGTCCATTTGCACCTGTGGATGCCAATGAAGAGACGATACCAGAAGTTGACATGCTATCGCTTGGTGGACCCCTAAGATGTCGTCGTTGCAGAACTTACTTGAATCCTCATATGAAGTTTACCCATGAACAACAGTTCATCTGTAACATCTGTAAGGTCTCAAACCCGGTGCCTGTCGATTATCAAGTCCCTATTGATATCAGTGGGAAAAGACTAGATTATTTACAGAGACCTGAGCTTTGTAAGGGCGTTGTTGATTTCTTGGTGCCAAATAGTTACAGGGTTGACGAGAATGAAGAACCAGGTCCTATGCATTTCGTCTTCTTGATTGACGTAACAGCCTCACAGGATGTTGTCAGAACTACAACAGATGCAATCAGAAGTATCATCAATGAGCTGTCATATCCTGCAAAGGTTTCAATCATCGCGTATGATCAGAAGATTTACTGCTTTGACCTCAGTGATGAAAGATGCCAGGTTGTCATTGTTTCCGATCTGAAGGATATATTCGTTCCCTTCTACGATGGATTGTTTGTTGACGTCAATACACAAGGACAGTCCATTTATGATGCGCTGAATCGAATCGATGATATGTTTGTTGAGTTCAAGATGCCAGAAGCTGCATTTGGATCTGCTTTGAAATTTGCCCAAGAAGCACTATTCCAAGTTGGTGGAGGTAAAATCTGTGCCACGTTATCCAAGTTGCCAACCTGGGGAGAAGGCATCTTAGCTTGGGGTGAAAACAAACCATTGAGCTGTGAGACCTTCAAATGTGCTAATAACTATTATCAAAAACTTGCTGATTCTTGCCTTTCATCCTATGTGGGTCTTGATATGTTCGTGTTCAGTTCGGGTTCTGTTGATCTCATCAATTCTGCAAACGTTACACTTCGTACTTCTGGAACCTTGAAGTTGTATCCAAACTTTGTCGCCGAAAGAGATGAGATTGAATTCACTGAGGACTTGAAGTCGTCTGTATTGAGAACGCAAGGTTATCAAGGACAATTGAAAGTACGTTGCTCAGATGGGCTACAAGTGTCGAACTACTATGGAAATGTGGATACGGCATTTTCTCGTGAACCTGTGGTTCCAGTGTTGAGTTCTGACTGGCAATTCTCAGTTCTGTTCTCCTATGATGGAAAACTCAGCTCTGCGGACGACGCTCATTTCCAATCCGCCGTATTGTACACTGGTGTTGACGGTGTACGTCGTGTCAGAGTTGTTAATATGTGTGCAGCTGTCACTGAGGATATTAGAACTGTGTTTGCCTTTGCAGATCAGGATGCTGTTACTGATATCATTGTGAAGAATTGCCTCCACTACTTTTCAAAGCAAAATCCAATTGAGATTAAGAATTCCACGAAGACTAAACTCGTTGATATCTTTTCCCAATATAGGGCACTGGCTGCTAGTTCAAACTTGTTACCAACTCAGTTAGTATTCCCCGAGGGGCTTAATACGCTGTGTGCCTTCATCAACTCTTTCCAGAAGAGCCGTGTCTTTAAATCATCAATCAGTAACAACTTGTGTGTCTACGATTTCTTCCAGTTGAACTCTTTACCTTTGGAAAAGTTGATGTGGAAATTATATCCTGTCGTCATTGATCTTCTGACGTTGGACCTTGAGGATTCGGATAGCTTGAAACTTCCTGAGAATTCTCGTGCATCCTCTGAATCTTTGAAATACGGTGGTGCATGTTTAATCTTCAACGGAGTGAAGCTTCTTCTTTGGTTACACAGTGCTGTAAATCCGCTCTTGCTTGATGCACTATTTGGCGTTGGTTCACTTGACTTGGTGGATCCCCTTCTGACAATATTACCTGAGCTTGATACTGATATTTCACTCAAGGTTCGTTCCATTGTTGACTACTGGAGAGAAGTCCTTAAACAAGAAACTATAGCAGTACACATTTGTCGACAAGGTATTGATGGTAACGAATTCGAAGTGAGGGAACTACTTGTTGAAGACCGGGCACTTGACAAAACAGAATCGTATCTTGAATTTGTTGGTGATGTTCATAAGCGAATCAAAAGCAAGATCCAAAATGAAAACATCAGACAGGACGCTGAATATGATGATTCAACGCTAAGTCAAAGGTTCATACATTTTTAGAAAACACATTACAAAAACATACTAACTGCTTGTTTTGCCCCTCTCTTAACCTAAGAGACGTAGCGTCAGTTCCACTGTGGCAAACGTGCCTGCACTACATGGAATTGCTCTGATGAGTGCTGGTGTTATACCTCTCCAGAAGCCTTTAAATCCACTGTCCTTCCAAACCACCTGGGCCACATCTCGTGCATTCCTGAATTGAGCTTTTGAACCGAATCCATCGCTTTGTAATTTGCTCTTGATCACATCCAGTGGGTAGGATGCTAGCCATAGGGCATCGCCTGCAAGAGCACCATAGAGTAAGAGCTCTGGCGTTGAGAGGTCCTTCCGTTCAATTCCTGAACTATGCAGTGCTCGTTGGACGAGGAACTCATAGGTTAGAAACCACACTCCATAAGCTTGTGCTTCTCTCAAAAGTGTAACGCTAAAGCCTCTAAACACACCGTTTATTCCCTCTCTGTAGTATATCTTTTGTAAAGCATCTCTTGGTCCATTGTAGAGCCTTCTCTCGCCAGAAGGCTGGGTTTGCATTAGGATTCTTAGTTGTTCAACAGGAGCAGTGATTGGTGTGTTTAAAATCCCTGCAAATGCACCAGCTAGATAGAACTGCTTCAAAGTAAGTTCTTTCTGGCCTGGTGTGGAGAACCGCTGCAACAGTTGTCTTCTGGCCTCATGAAATGCGTAGAATTGAACTGAAACGCATGCTCCGACGCCAATCAGCGGTGGTAAGGTCCCCTTATAGAACGCTGAGAACCCTTCATTCTTCAATGTAGATACCACAGCCTCGATTGGTGAGGAATACTGACCAGTCTGCAATCTCACCTTCACTAGATCAAAAGGTTGGCCAATGAGTACTTGAACCGCGCCACCTGCAAACCCAGCAGTGATGTCTTTAGCCTTCCGAGACCAGCTCGAATCCACGTGAGTCTCAGCCATCTTGGTTGTCAGAATATGTTAACTGTTCGATCGTATACCAAGTATGGCAACGTTATAGGAAGAGAAGAAGACGCTGGTATATTTGTGTGGAGTTCAACAAACAGTCAATCAATCGCAAGCCACAGGTCCTAATTTCACGTGAGTGCTTGGTGGATGATTGTTCACCATCGACGGAGTATGAGACTCCACTACAACGCACAGGACAGTATGCACCATGTACTCTGGTAGTTTGTCAGTTATTCACTACTTCTCTACTACACTGATGGCCAGCTATATGGTTGATTTCATCACAATTGACGTCATAAAGGCGTAAACTGGAGCGTTTTACGCCAAAGTTGTTTTGCGCAACTTCTGCAAATGGTTTGCGCAACTTTTGCACTCTGAAATATGTAAATTGTGTCAAAGTCCCAAAGCGGAAATTGGTAAACACAAACACAACCAACTTTTGAGACTTCAACGAGCTCATTTCAATCAACCCCGAAAACACAACAACAACAGCAATAGGATCGAAGGCTCGTCATCTCTCAGTCACACCGGAGCACTGTAGTTCATCCTCTGTCGTCATGTCGTTCTTTCAAAGCTTGTGAGTCGTGAGGCCCTGTTTCCCCCTGTTTGTTTCTCCCTTAGAGCCATCCATGTTGAGTACTAACCTGAACAACGCTATAGGCATCTTAACAATGGACATACCATCAAGTCGACCCGTGGGTTCAAGAAGTCCGCTCACAGCAGTGACGCGAATGATGTGGGCAGGCTCGGTGGTCGTCAGGTAGACCAGTACTCTGAGCAGACATCCACTGGCTCGTGGGCCAACGTGGACCATAACTACAATGCGATCTCTACGCATGAGGACATCAAGCACATTGTTGAGTCCACTTTGGGATCTGGTACCGCTCTTGCACAGGCAGTGAAGCTCCCAAGGGATGAGAACTTGAACGAGTGGCTGGCAGTGCACGTTGTGGATTTTTACAACCAGATCAACATGCTCTACGGCACGATCACAGAGTTCTGTTCTCCTTCAACGTGTCCTCGTATGATTGCCACTACCGAATACGAATATCTATGGCAGGACTCCAATCTCTCAAAGCCGATATCGGTCAGTGCACCAAGGTACGTTGACTGTCTAATGACGTGGATTCAATCGTTGTTCGACGATGATAACATATTCCCTTCCAAGACAAACCAGCCTTTCCCTCCACAGTTCCAGGCACTTGTAAAGACGCTCATGAAGAGATTGTTCCGTATCTACGCCCACATCTACTGTCATCATTTCAACGAGATCATCGACCTTGGACTGAATACCCTGTTGAACACCAGTTTCAAGCACTTCCTCTTATTTGCAGATGAGTTCAACCTCATTGCTGAGAAGGACTATGGCCCATTACAGATGCTTGTAATAGAGATGTTGATGCCAGATAGTGCTGAAGACAAACATGCTCCATGACTCTCTTCGAATATATGACCTTTATACATGTTTTTCCACCAATTATGTTTCTTTCGTCGTGGTCTGTGTAGTTTGGCAATGCCCTCCACTTCCTACCTCCACCGAGCGCAGTGGGGGAAAATGTACTTGGGCTCCGAGACTCATAACAAACAACACGACTGCTCTTTCCACCTGCTTAGATAACGAGGAGGAACCCAGATAAACTCAACCAATGGTTTCCGATTCTAAGGTGTACGGGTTCTTTCACCCATACTGCAATGCTGGTGGTGGTGGTGAACGTGTACTGTGGCAAGCAGCCAATGACACTCTGAATAAGAAGAGCACAAATCGAATTGTCGTATACACCGGTGATGTCGATTCCGATGATGAGATCTTCAAGAACGTTGAGAAGAGATTTGACATACATTTGGATAAGCAACGTGTTCAGTTCGTAAGACTCTCAACACGGTGGGCCGTGGATCCGAATCAATGGCCGGTATTGACGTTGTTAGGCCAGGCCCTGGGATCAGTAGTCCTATGTGCTGAGGCCATCTACAGGTACAAACCAGACTATTGGATAGATACCATGGGTTACCCTTTCACATATTTCCTGGTCAAGCTATGGCTGGGAATACCCCTGATTGTCTATGTCCATTTTCCAGTGATTTCTGAGGACATGTTGGGTAAGTTGCACCCTGCTCTATCATCTCTGGGGGGTATTAAACAACTGCTGAAATACATCTACTGGTCTACATTCATGGCCGTATACCACACTTCTGGAAGATTTGTCGATATTGCACTTGCAAACTCTACGTGGACGAGAAATCATATTCAACGTATATGGAGTTTCAAGCCCTCTGTGAGCATCCTATACCCTCCATGCTCTACTGAAAAGTTCATATCGCAAGAAGACCTCAAACTGACAACATGGAACAGGGAGAACTCGATCATATGTCTTGCACAGTTCCGTCCTGAAAAGCGTCATCAACTCATTATAAGAGAATATGCCAAGTTCTTGCGTTCGACTGATCTAAAGAGTGCACCTAAACTTATCCTCATGGGATCTATCAGAGGTAAAAGCGATGAAGACTACGTCCAATCACTCAAGCTTTTGGCAGCTGAATTGAAGGTCCCAGATACACATGTTGAATTTATCCTCGATGCAAAGTATCAAGTTGTTCAAGAGTATCTCAGAAAGGTGACATTTGGGTTAAACGCAATGTGGAACGAACATTTCGGCATCGCAGTGGTTGAATACGTGGCAAGTGGCCTTGTGCCAATCGTACACGCAAGTGCAGGCCCCTTCCTTGATATTGTTGTCCCATGGGACTCAGAATCACACTCACAGTCAGATGTGAGCGATGAAACAACACGGACGGGGTTCTTCTTTAAGAGTGAAACTGATCCTGATGCTAAACCAACAGATATGAAATTCCCAAGATTGCATGAAGCATTTCAAGCAGCTTCAACATTGACTGATGAGGAAAAACTCTCGATGACGAAAAGAGGTAAACAAAGCGTGCTGAACAAGTTCTCCGATGTCAAATTTGACCAAGGATGGGATTCTGTGCTTGAAAGAATCGATATGATGCAAGTTACTGGTTCAGCATTCCCAAGAGCCCTTCTCATTCTGCTGAGTATGTTCGTTGTCATTCTGGGAGTCACACTCTTCAAAAGTGTCTGAATAAGGGTCTACTTGAACATGTACTATCAGCTACATATTGCGATGTGATTCAATGATACAATTAATAGGTTAGAAAAAAAAAGAATGTTGAAGCTGGTTGTCAATCGAAGCCTTTTAAGGATAGTAAAACAGTTTATACTCTGTAATGATAATACAAAGAATGTAGAAGCAAAGTGATCGTACCATACCTGTGAAATAAAATCAAATGTGCTGTTCAATGGAATATTCTCGACATGGTAAGACATTTGGCAATAAACATGATAGATCACAAAGGTGTTCTCTCTTAGAAGGCTGAAAAGAGACCAAAGTCAAGTGGTTAGAACTTCTGAGGTGTTGAGGCAGCACCTTCATAAAGGTCATCCTTATGTGTCTCCTTTTTGGCACTCTTACCTTCATCAGAGAATCCCGAAGTTTCTGGTTCAAACTGAGAACTTCTGCGGTGTTCAGTAGCATATGAATCCACTGTATCTCCGTTAGAATCCTCTGGACGTAAAGCAGGTGATGCAGGCTCTACAAAAACGTGAGGAGCCTTTTGAGAATACACCTGTTCAGTCGAGTTATGTGCGTTCAGTGAGCCATTTGTGTACTGCTGATCGAAAAACGGTTGCTGTACCGGGTAAGGTGGCTGAGATGCTTGTTGATTTGGAGCAAACGCCTGTCTTTGTGCTTGAGCAGGGGACGCATGTTCAAGTGTGACCTGCTTGACGTAAACAGCGTCATTTACCATGGATGGGGGTAATGTCGAAGAAGTCTGAGTTGGTAAGGATAGATTGTTGTTTGGAACTGTAAGAATGGTGTCAACTTCACGTGCTGAAGAATCATGCGAAATGCTATTTCTGATTTGAGATCTGGAAGTCATTGATGAGACTCTGGATAAGTCCTTTGCACTGCGGTGCTTTGCAGCATATGCGCTTCTGCTAGATGGATTGCTGATGGATTTCAAGTTCTTGATATCGTTATACCATGAAAGCATGGCTTCATAACTTTCAGCACGGAAGAAGAACTTGTGCGAAGACAGCTTACCAACTTTTTTCAAAACAAACTTGTACTGTTTGGAGTCCATCTTTGCGTGGTCTTCAAGCTCAATGTCATCGAGTCTCAAGGAAGTCACCGGTATCAAGTCTCTCTTACGATCCGCACTTTTGAACTCGTGCAAGAACGTTGGTGTCAAGACATAATAGGCCTTTGAGTATGACTTCAAGAATTTCGATCTTCTCTCTAGGAAAGAGGAGCGAACTTCGAAACTGAATGGATCATTGTCCTTCTCGTAGACAATGGACTTGTAATCTCTCTTCGGCAAATTCTCATCGATAAAGTTCTTATCATTGGCAATGAATTGATCCCATTCAAAGGTTGGTGGCTTCGTCAAGAATCCATAATCCAAGTTGGTGATTAACTTATCAAAGACATTTTGAGCTTGCTCCCCCAATAATCTTGCAAAGACTGTCAATGCATTTTGGATCTCACCAACAACAACTTTCTCCAACTCCTTACCAGAACTTTGCAAGTTGAGGAACGCTTCTTGCAAGTAGTTCTCCTCCACTATTTGTCTCTTGATCTGCTTATCCAGGATGATCTTCGTCAAGTAAGGGTCCTGTCTCTCATGCATTGTCTGTGGGTTGAATTTAGCATCTTCTAGAGACTTTAAGTACTGTTGCATGTCTATCTTTGTCTGCGCCAGTTCCTTCGCAACATTATTCTTGAAATCAGAGCTCAATCCTTTGATTTCTTTGATCTTCACCAAGAGTTCTCTTCTCAAATCTTCCAATCTTGGAATTACAACAGTATTCAATTCCTTGGAGGCTCTCTGCGCCAACGATGCGGACGCAGTGTGAAAATCAGTCAAGGTCTTTGGCAAGTCCTGAACAGAACCATTTCCCACTGGAACAAAGAACTGACTATTTGGGACGTTATCGTGGAATGAACCGACAATATGACGTTGTTTACCCCCGCTGTTATTGCCGCCATTTCCACTGCCAGAGTTGTCATCGCTGCTTGATATACCAAAATTGGCAGCGTTTCTCAGACGGAGTTGTTGGCGAACGATTTCATCCTGGATGCTCACAACTTCGTTCAAGTATTGCAACAAGCCAGAGAGGATGCTTCTCCATGCTGAGAATCGAGCCGCCAAAATTTCTGTTGGGTTGGCATTGGTAGGCACTGCGACGCTAAAAGGGCTTCTTGGGTCCATGTGTCTACGCCCTTGTACACTGGCTGTACGAGAGTGTGGGACCTTCAGCTGTTGCTGTTGCTGTGCTGGTGGTAGATGCTGTATTTGCTGTATTTGCTGGCCCGGCGGGAACTGTTGTTGTTGTTGTTGTTGTTGTTGTTGTTGTTGTTGCAGTGGTGCCTGTTGTTGTGATGGTTGCTGCAAGACATCCGAAATCATCCTTTTATCTGAGGTGATAGATCTCGACTGTTGATATGTGTTGTAACTCTGCTCCAGGCTATGCAACTGTAGCAAGTTTTGCTGTTGTTGTTGGGAGATGCTCGAGGACATCGTTCCATTACGTGACATGTTTGTCTTCCTGGCTTAGTCTTGAGCTGGTGTCTTCCCTCGTTTCGTGTATGTGATGGGAGAGGTGTTGTTTGAAATAAAACGCTGTGGCCACGGATTGTAGTTGCACAGTGTGGTCAGAGAATTGAGTTGCACTTTAGTTTGGATTAATCCGAAAGGTGGTCTGTGAGATTAATAAAGATAAAAATTTTGTCCTTTACTTAAAAAAGGATTCTCTGTTTTTTTATTGTTTTGCCTATAAAGTTTTGGGGGACGTGGTGGGTAAGGTTTGTCTGCTTTTTTAAAAGGAGAGGAGCTGGTTCTTCTTTTTTTGTCTCACCCTCACGAAACGTCATCGACCAAACCGCTTGAAAAGAAAAATGCGGTCAGCCCAGCGAACTTTACGCTTGCGTAACTACACGTTAAGTGTGCTTTTCCCGGGCAATGCTGCATCAAAAAAGCCTGACTGACCATTACGTTCAACGTTTACACCGCCTTAGAAGTTAATCAAAAGAGATAATCAGAGGACAAATTTGGCAAGAGGCTCCAAAAAAAGAAACTAACACTGGACATGAACAAGCGCTGTCAAACGGTCACCGGACAAACACACTAGTCACAATTGCATGTTTGGTGGAGGACTATTTAAACCCAACAACTCTTTTAGGTTCATAGAGCTCTTCCAGAAATGCAATCTCCTCCTGGTCCAGGGACAGCTGGCTTGCCCTAACAACCTCCAGAACACGCTCAGTGGAGTTAAGCCCGACGATTGGCGTATGTCCCTTTGACATTACCCACGCGGTAGAGACAATGGCCATGCTGACACCTCTATCCGTGGCCAGCTTCTGCACCCTGGAAACTATGGCCTTATCAACAGCGGTAAGCTTGTCCAGTCCAAGTCCAACGAACGTCGGGTCGGACTTGATCCTCTTGGTGGCGTTATCAACTGGTCTGGTGAGTATCCCACGCGCATTCGGCGACCATGCCAACACCCCAACCCCGGTCTTCGCACAAAAATGGTGCATCTCACGTTCCTCCTCCCTGTAGATCAAATTGTAGTAATCTTGCATCGAGATGAACTTGTGCCAATGGTTCTTCTCAGCTATGAACTGTAACTGCGCGAACTCCGTGGCCCTCATGGACGATGCGCCGATGTAGCGTGCGAGTCCCTGGGACACAACGTCGTTCAACGCCCGCATCGTCTCCTCAGGTGGCACCTCGTTGTCATATCTGTGGATCTGGTAGAGGTCGATGTACGTGCCCAGTCTCTTCACAGAAGCTTCCGCTGCGTCCAGAATATGCTTGCGTGATAGCCCCTGTGAATTGATCAGCTCTACGGTGTAGTCGTCTGTTGCCAGGTTCCCGTGCTTCAAAGGCAATTGTTCATCGACTGCAAAGAACACTTTGCTCATGATGACAACTTTGTCCCTTGGAATCTCAAACTTGCGCAGGAATCTCCCCAGGATCCTCTCCGACTCACCATTTGAGTAAACATCCGCAGTGTCATAAGTTCTGAGACCAACGTCATAAGCCTTCTTCAGGAGCCCAAAGATCTGCTCTTCGTCCTCTTCGACCCAATCAGCCCACCGCTTAGACCCATACGACATAAACCCAATGACTGCCTTGGAGATCTTTAGCCCAGAGCTGCCTAGGCGTGTCCACTCAATGGAATCCGTCATTGTGTACCAATACGCGGATTATATGAGCTCAAATGTTTATACTGATGATTAAGATGATCCGTGGCGATGATCCGCTTATATAAATAGGTGATCCTACTGGAAACATTAGTCAGCGGCGGTGCTAGCCATCGCTTGAGTGAACCAGTTTAGATCGCTGCTCCGGTATGCAATCCTGCTCCAGCGGGTGCGTGTACCATTCGTAGGAGGATGAGTAGCAAAAGCAAAAAATACAAGGCACATAGGCCTAAAATGGTGTGGTTTGTTTATTCTCCGGATTTGTCCTTGCTGAGCGTAAGCAATCTTGGGAAGCACAGTATTGATCGATATGCCTGATTCCGGTAACCTGCGTCCTTACTACGATGCTGATACCTTCCATGGTGGCTACTCGGCAGTGTATCGTCCTGGTGTCGGTGTCATTGATGAGCACGGCCGGACAATAGCGTCTAAGCTCTCATCGGCTACACGTAACAGCACGCCATCGACGGTGTCGATGTTCAAGGCACAGGCCCACGGAGCGGGCTATGGCTCGGGCAGAGGCCCTGTTGTGAACTACGACAACATCCAGAAGAGCTACTCTGACCTGGAATTCACGGAATACTTTGACTACTCGAACGTTGTTGAACTGGTGAAATCGCTGACACAATCGTTGCTGCGGAACTATGCCAAAATCGTCGTTGCACAACCTTTTGAGGTTTCAAGGCTAATCTTACAAGTTGGTGATATCTCCACTATTGATGGCCATACCAGCTCGCTGAAGCAGTTCCATTCCGGGAAACCGCGTGATACGGATAGTTTTATGGAGGAGGATGAAGATATCGCCGATGGGGGTGACGATGACCCTGACGAGGAAGACATTGACTATTTTGTTCCACGGGATGAGGAGCGTAAGAGAACCCGTGTTGTGAGAAGAAACGTCCAGAAGAGTGTGTCCTCGCCATCTGTACCACAGACTCCTCATAAAGGACCAAAGCACTTGACTCCAATGACTTTGAACACTATGGATGTGATGAGCTCCTTGCTCTCTCAGGAAGGGGTTAGGGGTCTTTGGAGGGCTACAAACACCACTTTCGTCTACAACACATTAAATGCCACTCTAGAGGCTTGGATCACCGGGTTTGTATCGATTTTCTTATCCATTCCAGACCCTTTCTTTGTCGAGGTGGCGCATTCTCCACGGCCAACGACAACCCTGATGCTTTCATTAGGTGCCAGTGTCTTAACAGCACTGATACTGGCCCCACTGGATCTCATCCGCACAAGACTCGTCATCACCAAGATCGAAGGCAACGAGAGATCGCTGAGAAATAGCATCAAACACCTGAAGTTTAGCACTTGTCCCTTATCGCTTGTGGTGCCTACTGCACTCAACTCCTTGGCTTCGACGCTCAACAAGAAACTCACGCCATATCTCCTAACCGTTAAACTCGGTGTTGATTCTACAGTGTCCCCATCCTTGTACGGATCCCTGAGCCTGCTGGCTTCCGTGATCTTCCTCACAATCAAACTGCCAGTGGAGACGCTATTGCGTAGGGCTCAGATCTCATATATGATGAAAAGAGCCCGTGGCTCTTCAAACAAGCTCAAGATCGATAACCAAGGACAGCTGATCGTCAAGTTCGGTGGCTACTCAGGCATTTTCACGACGCTCTGGGACATCTTTTACTCAAAAGGGGAGAATAGCGGATTGGAAGGAATCTTTAGGGGCTGGCGTGTCGGCGTTCTGAACGTCATTGGCAGTTGGGGACTAGAACTGTTGCGTAACAACTACGACGATCAAGTGGAGGAGAAGTTCTAGTCCATGTTCAATTGTACATACACATAAGCAGTATTATCTTAAGCTCTCTGGTCATTTCTTAGCGTTGATGTAATTTGCTCGCCTGTGTCTTTTTTGGCTGCCCACACCACACACGCTCATCGCAACTAATTGGAGTTATCCTTCTCACCACACACACTCACCGAGAACACGCACAAGCAGACACAACTAGACATCCGCTTGATGGCAGAGTGACTCGGAATGTCGGAATCAAGTAGCAACAGTCACAGTGGCATCATTGGAGGAAGAGACCCCCTGGAATATGATCCAGATACGCCCATCACACTGTTCTTGTTCCAGGCTGTGTTCATCATCGCACTGTGTCAGATCATCCATATACCACTGGGATACATGAGACAGCCTAGAGTCATCGCAGAGGTTATAGCCGGTATACTACTGGGCCCCACTGCGCTCGGAAGGATTCCTAACTTCACGTCGACGTGCTTCCCAGATGAGTCTGTACCGATGTTGACTCTTGTGGGAAATATCGGCATCATCTTCTTCCTGTTCCTCGTGGGGTTGGAGGTTGATGTCAAATTCTTAAAGAAGAACATATACATAGCGCTGACTGTTGGGCTGACGAACATGGCGGTTCCCTTTGGCTTCGGCTGTCTCATCGCGTATGGCCTATTCAACGAGTACTCGCAGGACCACAGTGAGGGCTTGAAGTTCACAACCTTTATGGTGTTCATCGCTGTTGCGATGTGTATCACCGCCTTCCCTGTGCTGGCTAGAATCCTTACAGAGCTGAGACTGTTGAAAGAGCGTGTTGGTACTATTGTCTTAGCCTCAGGTATCACGAATGATGTTGTGGGCTGGATGCTATTGGCCTTGTCAGTGACACTGGCAAACGCAGGTTCTGGTATCGATACACTGTACATCTTGCTCGTAACCATCGGGTGGGCACTCTTTGTGATATTCCCTGTAAGATGGGTACTGGTCAAGTTCATCCTCAGAAGGGACCTGAAATCAGGTGTGCTCTCAAGAGCAGGAATGCTCATGATTATTCTCATGATGTTTGTCTCGTCCTTTTTCACAGACATCATTGGCGTCCACTCCATCTTTGGAGCCTTCATGGTGGGGCTCATCGTTCCTAGAGAGCATGGGTTTGTAGTGGACTTGACACATAAGATCGAGGATATAGTTCAGATCATATTCATTCCGATATATTTTGCCATTGCTGGATTTAACGTTGACTTTGATGAGCTGAATAGGGGGATTGACTGGGGTTACGTTGTAGCCATCATTGTTGTATCCATGTCTACAAAGATCATCGGTGGCTTCATCGGTGCAAAAGCCTGTGGTTACTACTGGAGAGAATCTCTGACTGTGGGTGTCTTGATGTCCTGTAAGGGGATTGTTGAAATTGTTGTCCTGAACGTTGGTTTAAATGCCGGCATCATCAGCAGAAAGCTCTTCTCGATGTTTGTGCTGATGACACTTGTATGTACATTCTTAACCACACCATTGACTCTTCTCTCGTACCCAGTGAGCTATAGGGAGAAGGTGCAAAAGTATTTGAAAGGTGATATTGACTGGGAAGGACACGAGCTGGAACGCACCACGTCAAGGGCTTCTGATTCTACAATGCTTCACAAGGACTTCAAATTCAACAAGATCATATACAACGTTGAAGATAGTGAAGAGATATTGGCTCTGTTAAACTTCACGGAGTTGTTGTATTCATCTGGTAATGAATTACCAATGCTGAACGTTATCTTTCTAAAGGAACTGACTGAGAGAACTGCTGATCTGATTGATGCCTCTCATATTCCAGAAGACACCCGAAATGCATCGGTGTTACAAATATTGAAGAAGCTATTTGAATACAACTCGGTTCCCTACGTTGGTGATCTGGTGTATTACGTTCTCCAATACAAGACCATTACTTATTTGGAAACAAGCGACAACGCTGATGATTTCCTAATCTACGCCATCCACTCAGACCAGGTTGATTCGAAGCTAATATCAGAACTGAAAGAGAGAATAATTGTACCACATTTCGGGTTGTTATTAAGAAGTAACTCTGAGAAAATTACATCTTTGAGCATCGTTTTACACAGGGGTGTTGATATCTTCGACACCAAGAACGTTCTTATTGTCTATCTTGCTAAGCTGCTGGTCAACTCTGGACAGATTCGCAAAGTGACCGTTGTTGGTGATGACGAAATCGATGAAGATCAGCTGTGTTCATTGTCCCAAAGCCTAAGGGCTTCAGCTGGTGTAACTGATAATGATAAGCTGGAGTTTGTCATCGAAACTGCTGAAGAGCCATGTGGTTTCGTCATTGGGCCTTTAAACCTAGACACACTCGCTGATGATGGTGCAATGTTCAAAGAGAATAACCTTGATGCACTTTTAATCAATCATTGATCCCGTTAATATAGGTATGAGATAGTTTGTTTTATTGTTTTACTTTCTTATTTGTTTAACATGTTTTATTTGTACTTGGAATACGCTGCTATTGGTACTTAGTCAACCCACACTCTGAAGCATATTTATGTAAAAGGTCAGGTGCCACTCTTTTGAGTTCACTTGCCCTTACCCACTCGAACGATCCATTGGAGATGAGCTCAACTTCAATGACGTACCCTTTCTTCTTCTTTCTATGGCCAATTAGTTGTTTGATATCGGCTGCTGCAATCACCTGTTGATGTGGAGCTTCAGACACATAGATGTCATCTGAGATCTTTCCCCTTGCTATTCTATTACTTTGTTTCTTAGAATCAGCTGTATGGCTGGTCGAAGTCAATCCTAACAGCGACTCAACCTCATCTGAATTCTCTATAAAGAACGACTGCGGTTGCTTTGTTTGCAACTTGGTCAACCAGCCAATCAACGACGTTATAGATGTGTCAGATTCAAAGATGAAATCCACAAGCGAGCCTGAATCCACGAGGTTCGCCAAACAGCCACTGTTGTTGATCGATAGTGTGATCCATGATATTGGGATCCATTTCAACAGTGCGTAATTGTTCAACAGCAATTCCTTTAATGCCATTAGAGAGGACACGTTGGCAACAAGCCTGAAAGAAGAAAACAAAGCACACGTATCAATGGCCGCTTGTCTCACCTGTTGTATCGCAATCTGTTTGAAGAGGAAGTAGTCAATCAAATCCTGTTCATTGTTGATGGCCGTGACACTTAGCCTTTGGATCTCTTTCCAGCGCGAAGGTAAGGAGCCTGGGAAGTCCAGTGCACCTGTCATTGGATTGACGACCGCCCCATTCTCTGTTCTCTGACGTTTATTCGGTCTACTCCCATGGTCAGTGTCACCAGAGCCAGTAGTCTCTTCATCACCAACCTCCGCTGCTGGCTCATCTGTATCAGCACCAGCGATTACCTCACTGTCGTCACCAGGAGCACCATCGTCCTCGCCGGCCAGAACACCGTCATCGGTGATATCAGTAGTTTTCGAGAAGAGCTCCTCTGTCAAGGTGTTTGTTGCCCTGTTGAGGATGGCCTTTGCTACCCACGCATAGTCAATGGACTCCTCGGTGGTTGAGAGCTCGCGTAACAGTGCGGAAATCTCTTGCGATTGCTTGAGCCTTTTTGGGAAGGACAGGTTGAGATCCCAGGGCTTAATGTGCTCCTTAGCAGCGGTATGGTAAACGTTCATACCTCTTTCCAGTCACAATATATGTTGATGTTTTTTCCAAAACAAAACAAAAACACACACCCGTATAATAAAATCAACAACAAATTGCTCTGAATGGCCTCTATTCAACCAACTTGTAGAGAGGAACTCAGGGGTGAAAAGAGAAACCGGAAAAAAACACAGACGAAAAGGTGGAGTAATCCAAGAAAAGGACAACTGTTACTATTTAAGGCTCAATGATTGACCTTTGCTGTTTCTCAAACGTCTAAAGTGTGTTCAACAGGCTGTGGTTGTTGCGTGTTCAATGTGTATGACGTGGTGAGATTATTATATTTATTGGGTTTTATAATAAAAGATATAAAATTATATATACAACGTCGATCAACACAAATTTATACAAACCCACACTGTGGTCGAATGAACATTTACACACACCCAAAGCATTAGACTCCGGCAGACGGCTACGACCGCTGTTTCTGCTACCATTGCTACCAACGCCCACATTCCACTATCGGGGCCCTCTCCCCCTTCCCACCTCCGCTAACTCCTCCTCACTGGCACAGCTCTGTTTCCCCCTTCCCGTAACGGCAGCTTAGCCCTGCAAAAGTGGTTCGATTTTTCTGCGTGAGAGATTAAACGAGAAATAATCCCGATAATTATTATTACGAATTATTCTCACACTCAGAAATTAGCTTTTTTTGTTTTTCTTCTTTGGCTCACCGCGAATTGCACGCCACGAACACACCAACTGCAACAGGAAGGAAAGAAAAACTTTACAAAACTGGAGAAATCCCAAGCACACAAAACTGCACAAGCTGTTGACTCTTTTTTTTCTGTGAGTAAACCGTACGATTTCTAACAACAACCAGTGGGAAACCTCTCAGTAGCTGATTCCGAAACAAGGGAGGTTAAAGCGTTAAAACGGACCACTGCTCTCTGTTGAATTGACCGCGTTGTTCCGTTGTGAAGACATCCAAAGGTTGCTTGTTTAGGATTCCAAATTGTGTCTTTGGAGAGGAGTGTAACGAAGACATAACTCACTCCGTTAGTAATAGCCTCACTTGGTTGATCACACACACACACACACACCATAAGATGGACTTCCTGACTTTCAACTCGACGCCATCGGGAAGAGCCAAGGGCAAGACCCATATAATCATTGTCGGTGCTGGTATCATCGGTGTCTGTACGGCGTACTATCTGACAAAGCACGCCGACTTTAGCCCTGAAACACATCACATAACCATAATTGAGAGCAAGAGAGTTGCCGGTGGTGCCTCCGGTAAAGCTGGTGGGTTGCTGGCGCTGTGGGCTTTCCCGCAGCAGATTGTTCCCTTGAGTTTCAAACTGCACCAGGAGTTGAGCGATGAGTATAACGGTGAAGAAGAATGGGGCTACAGAAGATTGACGACAGTGTCGCTCGAAGGTAACATCCAAAGGGCGCTTGAGAATGAGGACGATGAGGATGATGAGGATGATGATGAAGAAGAAGGTGATGATTATGATGATGATGATGATGCAGTTGCGGAAAACGTTGGTAAAGGATGTAAGGATACACCGGAAACGAGTACAGATTCATTGGGCAATGGTCAACCTCTACAAAAGAGACGTACAGTTACAAAGAATTCAATAAAGCACCAGGATCTACACTCGCATCCGCATCTGCCAGTTGATTTGAACTGGATAAAGGGCAATATTATCCAAGATTGGTCAGAGTTGGGTGGAACTGATTCAACTGCACAGGTACACCCTTACAAGTTCACTAATTTCATCCTTAAAAAGGCCATTGAGTCCCAAGCGGTTGAATTGATATTGGGTAAAGTTGAGGAGATCTTATTCTCTGACGAAACAGGTGCCGCTGAAGGTTTGCGCTATATACCAACAAAGTCTGTACAGAACACTGACGATTTCGTTGAGATCTACGGTGATCAAATAGTGCTGTCCATGGGTCCATGGACGTCAAAGATCCTTCCAGACTGCCCGATATCTGGTCTGAGAGCCCATTCAATCACTGTGGCACCTCATAACGGTACCGTGTCGCCATATGCGATCTTCACAGAGCTAAAGGTTGGTAAGAATAAGTACGTATCCCCTGAGATCTATGCCAGAAAAGATGAAGTTTATGTATGCGGTGAAGGTGATACTCTGGTCGATCTTCCGGAAACAACTGATGATGTTGAGGTGATAAAGGAAAAATGCGATCAGTTGTTCCACTACGTCAGCAAGATGAGTCCAAACCTATCAAAGGGCCACATCCTGAAGAGACAGGCTTGCTATTTACCTGTGTTGGATGTTCCCTCAAGCTCTGGTCCACTCATCGGAGAGACAAACGTTGAAGGATTATACCTGGCAAGTGGACATTCATGCTGGGGTATAAACAACGCTCCAGGAACAGGAATGATCATGGCAGAACTCTTATTAGAGGGGGAGATCAGCAGTGCAGACGTCAGTGCACTGGATCCATCTTTATACTTTGATGCGAGTGTACTACTCGATGATTAAATGGGAAATAGCTTTATCACCAGGTTTATACGTTTGTTTTCTAACGTTACCCATATTCGCTAGGATATAGTTATAGACTTTATGTGCGCTATACAACAACGACTAATACCAATAAGACGATCAAGGCAACGATTAACAGTCCTATGCAACAGTCGCTTGCTGTTTCCTGGTTTGAGCGTATGAAGTGGTCCACTCTTTTAAGCCCTCTCCCGACTTTTGAACCAATCCTGTCCAGTTCACCCTCGAGATCCTCCATTATAAAAGCCTGTTCTTCCAACTCTGTGCCCATGGCCCTGGCCTGGTGCTGTATCGTCTGCATAGATGCATAGACGCCGTCTAAGTGTTCGTCCTGTTCTCGTAGCATCTGCTGCTGTTGCATTGCGTTGAACCTTGCCGTATCGGTGTCCACGCCATCTGAATTTGGAGTGCCTGCCTCGTCGTCACCTCCAGTATCACCTTCAAACCTCTTGAACGGAGTCAAATTCTTAGAATCACCAAGCTCGTTCCATTGCGACGAGAGCTTGTCATACTGCGATGACAGGTTGCCAACGATATCCTCCCTCTCTTTGATCGTCTCAGGTGTGATCTTGAAAAACTCCGGGTCCGCTTTACTGGACTCGATGGATTCCTTGAGATCCTCAATCGTCTCCTGTAGTTCTAGGAGCTTACTATCAAAGTCGTGCTTTGACTCGTCTGTGAATGAGTTTTGTGTGAGCAGCTGCGAAAGATTCGCCAGTTGTTGTTCGGCATCTTGTAAAACCTCTGTGAATGGATCCATCTCGTAGTTGTTGGCCCTGCTGCTTGCGTACAAGTGTAGTCCCCCCAGTTTGCGGTGTGTGAGTGGTGAAGTTACCGTCTGGCAAAGTTTCGCGGAAGGTGTGTGGTTATAACTTCACCACACAAGCACTTCCTTATTGGACAAGGCAAGACACAACTGCGTCGTCATCGCTTAGGTATGGAATCAACAGAACCTGAAGAGACTACTCCGGGACCAACTGCTCGCTCGCATAGAGACTACACCATACCGCAAGGTGCGGACCTCAATGCTGGTGCTCCAACTAGACAATGGATCAACGAAAACGTCACGCCAACGTTACTTGAAGGTATGAGGATGTTAGTCAGAGAGAAGCCACAGGACCCGTTGCGCGTGCTGGGAGAATATCTGATATCAAAGAGTGGCGAGAAATCGGAGAGCAATGGGAACTAGACGGCCTTGTGTATACGAATGATAATATAATCTTGTACGAGTAATGATCATTATTACAGTAGAAATATACACTGAATACGATAACAGCGTGAACATGACGATTGGAGAGGGGGGAATAAGTTTCTATTTCATCCTTCTAAACGCTGCTGCGGCTGCTCCACCTGCGAACTTCTTGTTTTGGACCATCTTTGCCTCTGGTGTAGGACGAGGTTTGCCGGTGTTCATACTGCTTGATGCTACTCTTCTGGTCTTTTCTGGCTGTGGCTGTGATTGAGGAAGTGGTGGTGTTCCAGGCGTTTTCACTGATGGAGAGCGTGGCTTCGAAGCTGATGTGGTTGATGACCTGGATGCCGGCGCCGGAGAGCCCGATGAACTTGGAGTAGACGATGTGTTCGGTGATCTATCCTTCAACAACCTTTTGGTCTTCATCAGCGCCTCAACCCATGTCATATCTTCACCAACAAGCTCACAGCCTTTGAGTTTTGAGACCAGTGGTGAGAGGAATATCAATCTATCCTTAGAAATCATCTCCAATATCAAATAACCAGATTGGTCTTCTTCGTCGAACTCGTAGTCATACATGGCAAATAGCTTATCTGTGAGGTCAATAACCAGGTCAACAACAGTGTGCAATTTGCCCTGTTGGTACAATATCAAGTGTCCATAGTCTGTGATAGCCAGTCCATAAATCCTTAGATTGGTATGAAGCGTGGTCTGGTTGTTCTTGACAATCTTATGAATGGTTAAATCATCTAGCCCTGCATTCTCAAAGTTCTTAATGTTACACTGCGTTGATGTCAACTCTGACATGTGGATGAAATCCAGCTTGATGATGTGCTCGGACTTTTGTAGTACCTTCAGCACCTGTTCTGGGATAGATATCACCTTTGAGGAAGATAAGGAGTCTGATAGCTTTGGTGGTGGAATATTTGGTGGAGAAACAGTGGAGCTCCCATTGAGCTTATTCTGTGGTGCTTGTGATGGTGTAGTTTGCGACTGTGATGGTCTAGCAGCTGGTCTGTGTGACTCCTTAGGAGCAGCTGAGGCCTGTTGTTGGGCCTGCTTCTTAGTACCATTATTATGCTGCTGCTGTTGCTGATGCTGCTGCTGTTGTTCAACCTTGTCGGCAATGTACTGTGGAACCTTGATTAATGGTGCATTGTTAGGAACAGCCTTGCTCGTGTTTGGTGCCTGTGACACAACTTTTGGCTGATTGCCATTCCTCTGTGACAACATTGTCTGCTGTGGTTGGGGTTGTAACTTTGGCTGTAATATTGGCTGTGGTTGCGTTTGATGTTGCGGTGTGCTCCTCATCTGTACCTGTGGCTTAGCACCATTTGTGCGAGAGTTAGATGCCAACGGTGCCATCACTGGAGTCGGTTGTTGACGCTTCTGTAAAGGTGATACCGATGGTGGTGCTGTTGGCTGTTGTGCCCTTAGTCTCGTGGGCGACGTTTGCGTAGGACTCACTTTTGGAAGAGCGGTCTTCATGGGACTATCGTTATAGAGCATTCCAGTGCTTTCGTTACGTATCTGGTTGATAGTATTGTTCAACAGCTGTTTCTTCATGGCACTAGCAGGTTGTTTCTTTATTCTCAGCTGAGAGAATTGAGCACTTGACTGTGTGAACTGCTCCAGCATGTGGTTGTAAGGCTCCATCTTTGGCGGCGGCACACCCCATATCTGTGACTTGTTCTCCCATTGTAGATGTGCAAACCATGGATGTTGCTGCAATTGCCTTATCGTGAGCCTTGAGCAGGGATCCAGCTGTAGCAGATGGTAGACAACGTCCTTTATCAAGTCTGGGATGTAGTACTGTGGCCATTGATAATTGAGGCTCACAATCTTCTCAAATGTCAGATACTCTGTCTTGCCCTTGAACGGCGGTAAGCCAACTATGAACTGATACAGAATACAGCCAATCGCCCATACGTCCGATGCAAACCCACACTTGTTGTCTTTCAACAATTCTGGCGATACGTATTCTGCTGTGCCGACAAACGACGATGCGCTGTAGAGTTCATTAGGATCCTTTCGTTGAAGATCATCACTGTCTAATAGTTTTGCAGCACCAAAGTCAGTGATCATGAGACGCATGTCTCCATTGACGAGGATATTCTCAGGCTTTAGATCACGATGAATGACACCCTTCGAATGCATGAAGTCCACCGCATCTATCAACTGCACCATGTAGTACTTGGTACAGCTCTCACTCAGTGACCCATATTTACGGATCAATGTGAGCAGTTCACCAAACTCGGCCATGTCAATGACGAAATATAGAGAATTCTCATCCTGAAACGTGTAGTAGAGCGTCACGATTCCTGCATGATGGCCCAGCCTATTCAGCGTGGACTTCTCGATGTTAACGTACTTGATCTTCTTCTCCTTCACAATGTGTTTCTTCGACAGGATCTTGATTGCATACACCTTCCTCGACTGCTTGTCAACGGCCTTGAACACCTGTGAATAGGACCCTTCACCAAGCCGGCTACCAAACTGGAAATCATCCACTCCCTTCTTCCGTGTTGCCATGATGTCCAGCTGTGTTCCTGGTTCGTCTCTTCTCTCTTGCTCCAATCGTAGCTCCAATGATTACAGATCAGACACAGCCAACTGGGGAATAACGAAGATCAGTGTATGGGGACCCACGACCACTCTTTTTGCTGTGATCAGCTTCTCTGGCCCAATGCGGATGATTTGTTGTTCTTTTCCTGATCACGAAAAACCAGAAGTGGAAATTGATCCTCGGAAGACGCAACTGCTGGGATTCGAACTGGGAACTTTTTACAGCTGATGTTTTTCCACCGTCCCTGTGTGTGTGTCCCGTGGCGGAAAACACTTCAGACTTATCTGATCGGCAAAGATTTGCTTTTCGCTTAATACACCAACGCCCGTGCCGTACACTTCGTCAAGGTCTTTGCAAGGAAGCCAGCTGTCTAGTTAGAAGGAATGGGATTCATTATACGCATTAGATGAAAGTACGCCTGGAAAGCTGAGCAAGTACGGGATTCACTTCCGGTCCACCACCCTCAGCTCAATCGTATTTGATAGTTGTGACGGTTGTTGGCCCCAGCTTCCGATCGGGAAAAGAGAGGGAAATTTTAACAAGCACTGCATTATGACGGGGGCCTAGGACCTTGCATAAACACCTTTCTCATCTTGGTATGTGATTGAGCTCCCCTGATCTTTTAGATAGGGCTGGGCAACGTCCGTTAAGCTTAAATTAGCTTGATTGGCATACAATTGCACAGGAGACGTATGGGTGTAATAAAATAAAGTGTGAAAGAGGTGGCTTGGGATGACTAATAGCTTCATCAATCCGAGTCATCATGCGTCAGTTGAAGGACACGATGCACCCAGCTTTGCGCTACATGCATCCCAATACGATGAGGATCTCCACGTTTGTATGTAGTGCTAGCTGCTGTTGCCATTCCAATTGGTCTCTACTCGTTGAGCCAGTTTGCTGTTGATGTGTGTTGTTTTTTATTGTTATTGCGCTTGGTTTGAATCCGGTTATCCACTGTGTACTTGTGCATTACCACCTTGCTTATGAATAGTCATGAGTGCATGCCGACGGTTATGAAGGCAAGGTATATGACTGGACGTTTAGAAAATATCCAATTGAACGAAGGGAAGGCACTTGCGTTGAATTGTCAGCACCCATGTGGCCGAAAGATCTTCAACTGCGTTTTGCTAATAAGTGTACCATTTCAGCGTAGCATGCGTTTCCATTTCTGTTCCCTGTTTGCAGTATAATTCCACTCTCAACCATTATATAAAGCATACGTTTCCTTGAGATAGTGGAACCAGCATGTGGTGTGCTCAGTGCCTGTATGCAAACACCATTAGCAATGACTTATACGCCACTGACGCTTCCTCCGCTGAACTATTCATTTGATGCCCTTGAACCTTTTATCTCGGGTCAAATCAACGAGATCCACTACACAAAGCACCACCAGGCCTATGTCAACGGCTACAACACAGCCATCAACCAATTGAACGATGCTGAGAATGCAAATGACGTCTTTAAGACAGTCCAGTTGCAACAGGCAATCAAGTTTAACGGTGGTGGGTTCAGAAACCATAACCTATTCTGGGGAAGTTTGGCTCCAGTTTCGCAAGGTGGTGGTGAGTATCCAACTGGCCCATTGGCTGAGGCCATTGAGAACGAATATGGCAGCTTCGAAGAGTTGATTAAGCTTGTCAACACCAAGCTTGCCAGCGTCCAAGGTTCCGGCTGGGCGTGGGTTGTCAAGAACAACGAGAACGGAGCCATCGAAGTCGTCACCACTGCAAACCAGGATACCGTTGGTCCACAGTACACGCCATTGTTGGCCATTGACGCCTGGGAGCACGCTTACTACTTGCAATACCAAAACGTCAAAGCTGACTATTTCAACGCCATTTGGAACGTTGTTAACTGGCACGAGGCTGAGAGTAGACTGATTGCCGGCTTGGATTGAGCCCGTCGCTTTGAGCTCTTGCCAACACTCCCAGGCTACACTTGCACTGGCAGTCTTAGTTCTCTTCTTCTACACGTTGCTGCTACGAACACGAACTCAAACAAGATTATTTCTCCGCTGTTCGTCCTTCCCTTATACTTTATCACACCATTATCATTACACTGTCTACGTAGAGCACGCCTGATCACTGCCACCACCGTTTGCCACATCTTTTCGTCCTTTGCCCTTCAGAAACACGTAGGCCACGTACGTACCCAGAACCGTCCATGCGAAAAGCAACAGCATCAGCGGGAACCTAATAGCCCATTCCCGTGCTGGGAAGCAACTGTGAACCCAATCTGCCTCTATGAATGGCTGTTGATGGTGCGGTTTTCGCCACGCTGTTAGTATTCGCACAAGCGTTAAAAGGAGCCACGCAGAGGTGTAAAATGCACAACTATACGTGCAAACAGCAACTCACCAGTACAAACACCCACACTGTGTAGTAGACCAGTGCTGCATTTACGAGCAAGAGCATCGCCAACTAGAGCGTATTTCTATGCTATTAAAAACGGCGCACAGGTCACACCTCCGTCGTCGCTGAGCTTCAGTTTAAAGCGATGGAATCTCCCCTCTCGTTTAACCGGCCAATCATATCTTCGTATTATGCCATTACACCTCAAAGTGCAACGTGTTGATCTTTTAGTGAACTTTTTAAGCTGGCGCACACACACAGAGGCCCCCTCCCGCCGCCGCCAGCGGAATCCCGCGAACACCGACAACAGGCTCCGGGCCCCAGCCTGCGTTACGCTGAGTCTTTTTTTCTTTCTACTGACGTCAACACGGATTTAAGCTGCCCTTCTTTCTCTCTGGGGGCGGACAATAGGGGGAAACATTTTTTTCCCTGTTGTTCTTTGCTTCTTCTCTTTCCCTTCCTTCTTGTTCTGTTGCTTTCACAATCTCACGGCCCAGTGCTTGTTTCTTTGATTCTACTCAAGTCTACACACGATGTTTGCAGTCCGTACTTTGCGTTCCCAGGCTCTTAGAGCGCCAATGATGGTCAGAACCAACGTGACCTTGCCAAAATTGGACTACGCCTACGATGCTCTTGAGCCATATATCTCTGGTCAGATCAATGAGATCCACCACAAGAAGCACCACCAGACCTACGTCAACGGTTACAACTCATCGCTGACTCAATTGGCCGAGGCGGAGGCTGCCGGTGATGTCTTGAAGACCATCCAGTTGCAGCAAGCCATCAAGTTCCACGGTGGTGGCTACAGAAACCACAACATCTTCTGGAAGAGTTTGGCCCCAGTCTCCCAAGGTGGTGGTCAATTGCCAACCGGCGCATTGGCCCAAGCCGTTGAGAAGGAGTACGGCTCCTTTGATAAGCTGATTGCCCTCACCAACTCCAAGTTGGCTGGTATCCAAGGTTCCGGTTGGGCCTGGATCGTCAAGAACAAGGAGAACGGTTCAGTTGAGGTTGTCACCACGGCTAACCAAGATACCGTTGGTCCTCAGTTCGTCCCATTGATTGCCATTGACGCCTGGGAGCACGCTTACTACTTGCAATACCAGAACGTCAAGGTTGACTACTTCAAGGCCATCTGGAACGTTATTAACTGGGCCGAGGCTGAGAAGAGATTCAACGCATAATCTGTCCCCATTATACTTTTAACAGACTACCACATTCTATATTTGACTCTGTCAACAAAATGTAGCCCTTCTTTCTCCCACTCCGCTCAGTGTGTGGTGTCCCGCTTAGAGTGCCCAACTCGGATGCTCTGTGCCAATTCCTTGTCGAGAGCTACGTGGGCATCACAGAGGGCACAGGGAACCCATAAATGAAACCAATTAGAGTACTGCACGTGATATAGTCGTCACGAGCAATGGTCAATTGATTCACAACAGTAGTTTTATCCATAACACTAACATCTCTAACTGAATAATGCCCCCCTTCTGTTCTGTCTAATGGGCGTTGTGTCACTCTCTGTGGTCTACGCAACTGCCGGGGTTAAAATTTTCAATGAGTTAATCCTCGTCTCTGCAGCTCATCTCATCTCATCTCATCATCGTTTCCACAAGGAATAACAGGAAAGTTGGAAAGATGTCTGAGTTACACGAGCTGTGCCATCTCACTGCAAGACCTATCGATAAGTCGTACGTGGAAAAGTTACAGTACTTCTTGTCAAACGGTATTCCTTCTACGTATACCGTTGAAGAGTGTGAAAACTACTTGGCTGGAAAAGAAGACGAGGAGTTGGAATCAACAACTACTCCATTGCACTTGATCTGCCGTTCTATCCCAGATGACATCAAACCTGAAGAAAAGTTAATCGTATTGGAGATGATTAGTGAACTGTTCAGTTGGGGTGCGGGCTGGAATCTCATCGATAACGAAGGTAATACTCCCGGTGACGTTTTGTTCCGCAGAGGCTTACACAACTCTGAATATTACAACGCCATAGTGGATGCTGGTGTAAGGGCAGAGTTGCTATTGAGGAAAGTGAATGATGATATAGAGTTTTTGAGTGACTTTGAAGACGGTGAGGTCCCGGAACTTGTTGATGAGGAGGCATCCGCAAAGGACGAGCCTTCAAATGATGAGCCTTCAAATGATGAGCCTTCAAGCAACGAAGAAGCACTTGAAAAGGAAAGAGAATACCAGCAGAAGCTGGAACAGGTTAGAAAAGACCTCATCGAAGACCCCGCAAATACCCAGTCAACCTACCTGAAGACCAAACTGGAATACCGTGACGGTTCTCTTATCACAAAGGACAACAAAGACGGTGTCATGATGGACTGGGAAAGTGAACTCATGAAGGCAGGCTGTGACACAATCTTCAGCACCGTTAGAGAGTTCGCCACTGATCCTGAGAAGTTTGACGAGTCGGACTTCACAGACATAACTGTCTTGAACATTGGATTCGGTATGGGTATCATCGATACAATGATTCAAGAGAAGAACCCAACTATGCATTATATATCTGAGGCTCATCCAGATGTTTTAGCTAAACTGCGCCAAGATGGATGGTATGAAAAGCCAAACGTGAAGATTCTGGAAGGGAGATGGCAGGATACTTTGCCTGAGCTGTTGAACCAAGGTGTGTTCTTCAATGGTATCTATTACGACACCTATTCCGAACACTACAGTGACATGTTGGACTTGTACGATCTCATTGTCGGTTTGCTGAAACCAAGTGGTGTCTTTTCCTTCTTTAACGGTCTAGGAGCAGATAGACAAGTGATCTACGACGTTTATAAGAAAATCGTTGAGATTGACATGGCAAACTACGGGCTGGAGGTCAAATATACAGAGTTGGCCACTCCTGCTACAACAGGTGAAGAGTTTGACCAGAGTGAAGAGAGCGAATGGAATGGAATCAAAAGAGCATACTGGAGATGTAAGACATATTACCATCCAGAGATTAAATTCCAAGATTAGCCCATACTTCGATAGCAATCTAACGTTTTAACCAATGCCTCCTCTGGTGTAGAGTCTAAAGCGTGAGAAGCGTCATATATCTTCAACTCAACAGCCGCAGAGTTGTTTAAAGACATTACGTCTGCAAATACTTGAAGTGTTCCCTTGTGTGATATCCTGTTGTGGCGTTCACAGCGTGACCTATCTGTTGATCTAGAGGTGTTGCTTTTGCACGCTCTATATCCAATGTCTCTGATGTGGGATCCTGGGCTCAACTGTATGTGGTACCTTGCCAAGGTACCTTCCATCCCCTTGTATGTGTTGATACTGTAGAGTGACCTTTGGTTAACCAAACGGTGATAGTCTTCACTCCACAACTCCATCGCTTCCTGAGCCATCGAATGGTCATAGACAATGTGATGCAATCGAACACATTTGATGTAACATCGAAACGACTCTATGCACGACACAAACTTCAGAACACAATAGAGCCCTGATATCACTGTTATGCTACCAGTGGAGGATGGACAGAGCTGAAACGGATGGGCATAATAGCACTCGTGTTGATCTGTAAGGAGCGCTGTAACTATATGGAGCTCACTGTAAATTGCTTGGTAAACTATGTGCTTCCACCATTTACAAACCCTGGCCAATACAACGCATTCCTCCACCGATAAGAATCTTGTTACTTGCACCAACAACTCGTTCGGTAGACGGTGTAGCATTTCTCCTGGACCGCCTGGTCCTCGTCATCTGAAGCGCCCACGAGTTCAATCAGCGGGCTCCTCGCCTGTTTACATAGTCTGTGAAAACACAAAGAAGCCAGAATGGCACAGAAGGTCATCCACTCAGCCCACGAGGGCCTTGAGAACTACCGCTTCAGTACGCCTTTATAACCCTGTCCAAGCCTCTCGAGGCCATCAATCTTCTGGGAGGGTTGAGCGGTGGACAGCCTATCAAGTGCACTCACAGCTTACGGGCGAAGGCAGCGCTGTAAAAGACCACGCAGTCTGTGAGCTCTGGAGTAAGTAACAAAGAAGCATCACCAGAGTCGTAGCTCCAGAAAGGGGCCAACTGTAGAAAATCACTACTCAGCGGTGTTGACTTTGCCTTAGAATCTACATTCAAACATGTAGGGGACCCTTTCATGGTGAATTTTCGGCTAGTTATAGCTTAAACGATGATACATCAGGGCTATGGCCAAACCCGCCATTGGCGTCGCATGGGGAAAGACCATTTCCTGAGAATTGCTATTTATATACTACAGCACATTAACAGTTCAGGAACTGGTGATTAGATCCTTTCCCTGACTAAGGGAATACCAATCCACTGACTCCTTCTCGAGTCCCAGGCGTAAGTAGAGTCCATCTGCTTCTTCCTTGGGAAGTATAAATGCAGTTCAATATCTCTTGTAGCTGTTCCCTTCCACTCTTCTTCAAAAGGCTTCCTTTGTACAATATATATAGCCCTATACATTCTACGCTTAATTATGAGACTCATCGCTCTGTCTTCTGCTCTTTTGGTCCTAAGCTGTGGTGCCAGAGCTCAGGTTAACACTACAGATATCACAAGCTCAACGGCATCAAACACCGATGCCACGTCCAACGCCCCAACTGGAACCGATACAACTGTCCCTGTTGCTTGGGCAAACGCAAACTTTGCAAACACCGGCGCCTTGTTTGGTGTTGCTGCTGGTGCAATTGCGCTTCTGATCTGAGCTCTAGCTCGATTCTTCCTATGTACAATAATTGATTGGTGCAAAATCGCATTCGGATCCATTCACCGTGTAGTATATACTGCAACTACGTTAGAAACTGTTCAGAGACGCCCGTCTTTAGAAATATGAAATATATTAAAAAATACCATGACCTATTATTAACATGCATTGACAAACCAAATACAAAACAAGAACAAAACAAGAACAGAACAAGAACAGAACAAGAACAGAACAAGAACAAAATAAAACACTCTGACTCCATTAATCAACTTTCCCACTATCAGAGTGGCCAGCATCCCCAAGTAAGACATATTCAACAGCTATTGAATTCAAATTCCCCAAAAAAACACATATTAAAGACAAACAACTAATCATGAGTAGTACTCCTGGCTCATCATTGGACGGAAGGACATAGACTGTTCCACATCCAGAGAGAACTCATCATTGTTGTCGTAATCGTTGTATCTCTGTGGGAATTGCAAGGCTGAGGACAGCTGTTTACTGCGCGCTATCTCATCTGACAAGCCAATAGACTCCTGTGTTATGAGCTGTTGGTGTATCACAGCTGGCGATTCTCCTGAAGTTGATGGAGAATCGTTTGAATGCGAACTCACAGGGCTGATCTGTGCTGGGTTTGGATATTCAAAGTTCTTGCGTCTAGAGTTCTTGGCACGGGCTGTGTATCCCTCTGGAAGACCTTCACACTCACCACTCTCAATGTGTTTCTCAACCCACTCCTCGTTGGATTCGTAGTATTTGTTACAAATACCACATTTACCTCCTGTGTTCGCACGGTCCTGTGAACGAGTACCTTGTGGGTATTTGAAGTGGCGAGCTTTAAGGTGTGTCTTATATGTATCACGTCTCGAAAATCCTCCTGAAGGGTGGCATTTGTTCTCAGAATGTTCTTCATAGAATGGACATTCGTACGCCTTTGTGATGGCATGTTTCTTGACATGACGAGTCAAGTAACCTCTGATTCTGAATTCGGCACCGCAGAACTCACAAGTGTAAGTCTTCTTGGTCTTGGACTTGGAACAACTGCTAGCTTCACCGTAAGAATCACCGTTAGAATCACCGGTGGAGTGTTCACCATCCTCCTCGTCATCTCCATGGTATTCAGTGCGAAGACCATTAGGCTGTGTAGCAATGTCAAAGAACTCAGGGTTTGGTAAATCAGAATCCACAGAATGTGCTGGAGATTGCAGAGTATCAATCTTCTTTGGTAGAGCTGCTGTGAAAGGTGATGGTGAGTCTGTGATGATATGTGCATTGCTCATAGGGGAGAACGTTTGGAATCCTGACGTTGTCATAAAAGGTGAGGTGATATTCGAGAAAGTCATCATAGACGACCCATCTCTTGTCTCAGGGTTCATCTTCCAGCTTATCGTCCCATCTTCATTTTCAATTTTCATCAGAGTTTCCCCGCCATGTGTTGAGCATGGTACAGCACTTGACTTTGACAAGTCGTCATTCTTCAAAACAATTTTAGATGGGAATAGCGCTCCAGGTTTGGTCTCATCAACACTAACCTTGTCATCTACAGCTTTGGTCTCCTCAGCCGCCGCTTTCTCTTCAACAGCCGCTGTGTCCTTGGAAGCCTCTGCTGTCTTGTTCTTGCTATTGCTGTTGCCCTTTGGAAGAATGTGGTCTAACAAAGTGAACTTCTTGATGTAGTCGACAAACCCTGTGATCAAGGCACTCATCTTGGAGTTATCCTCCTGGTGCAACTTTGCCAAACTGAGCATTCTTGGTGTGTGTGTTTGCGTTACCTCAAGTATATAGTGTCGTGGTGTGAGAGCTCCCTGTTCAAATCTCTCTGGAATCTTTAAGCCTCTAAAAGTATATATGACAGTTAAAAGTGATGATGTTCAAATGCCATTCAAATAGTACACGTGTTAACACTTGAGCAAAGATGTAGAAAGGTTGGTAATTCGTTTGATTGTTGAAGGGTATTTGTTTTTAAGTGAGGTTGTTTTAGGGTGGGTGTAGTTTTTTTTTGTCTTTTTGATTCTCCTGAACTCTTTCTTAAGGGGGCGTCTCGTTGTCGAAAGTTTTTGTGTGTTTTTCTTTTCTTTTCCGTCTCCCCTCAGGAAAAATTTTTTGTGCGCGCGCGGGCACCCGCGGTTGTAATTACCCAAACTATGCACACTTTTCTTTTTTTGTCTGGACGGACAATTATAGCAAGGCCACAAGACTGTGGACAAATAGGCTTATCCGTTGATCCATTTTTAGAGAGACATCCACCCACTCAGGCGCTATGTACCCGACTTCTTGAAGAAGAAAAAAGATAAACATCCATACATCGCCACTTGATTCCCTATGTTGTCCATAAGGTTTGTCCTGAAATTTCAATTTCGGGACAAATCAGAAGCAGCTACAAATGATTTCCCCAAGTGGCACCAGCCCCTACTGGAGGGGTAAAAAAAGATGTCAAAAGTATGATGCCTTGCCGATAGTTTGCGCAAACAACAATAGCACACCATGTATACTGACCACTGTTAAGTCGACACTGTTGGCTTGAACTGATTGCCGATTCCATTTCAAGCAGGAGCAAACCCAAGCTCCATGAGTTGTGTATCGCTTATCTCTATCTCAGGATGTCCACAGTCTGTCCGTTTCTGGCCCTTTTTGTTTGTCCCACGAAACCTGAACCAAATGCGTCAATTTGCATAAATTTCCAACGGTTTTATGGTTTGCGCAACACCTGTACTGTACAAACTTCCACTCATATCTTAGATTAACTGGGAAGAGATGCGATATCCATGAGCACATTTCCTTGTGTAGCTCGACCCTATAACTTAGGGCTATCGAGAAAAACAGTTACTGTAACGGCCTTTCAGCATGAGAAGAATCCATCTATAATATTTCAATCAAGAAAACTTCTAGATAGCTCAGGTGTGTAGTGCTCAGCTTTTGAAGTTTGTCAAGGTATACACTTTACTCGACTCATGGATTCTGTCCGTGCCAATCTTGGTAATTGAAGAATTGAGCTGAATAAAGTCACTGATAATTATGGAAGTTCATGCGTATACAGTTTGCATTTAACTGGTGAATAATTTCAAGTTTCAATCTCCTTCGAGCTTCACAGTGCGTTGTCCTCCTATCCACAGGATGCGTTCTACAGTCAAGTGGGATGTATAACCAGCTTCTAAATGGCATTATGCAAATGGTGATATTTTTTATCCAGAGCTATCAACCTAACCAATAGAAGGCCAAGTGACCTTAATGATGTCCATTACCGTACATAGCTGTATTGTAAAACGCATAAATAATGTGTACTTATTTTTGTAGATGCAAACGCCTTTGTTGAGAGGTTATTTTGACCGCCTCTTCTGATGGGCTGCGCGCCGGGATGTACTATCTTCCACTAACATTATACAACATACTAGTCTTCGAAGTCAGGTATATCCAATTAGAATATCAAGATACCGTGGGTCGCTGTATATCATACTTGTTGCTTTAAGAAAACACGCGGATAATCGTTACAGATGCTACCTGAACACAGTGACATCCGGACACCATGTATAGTCTTTGATTTAATAAGCGTACTTATTAACTACTAATTGTGTATCAATTTAAGTCAATTCAGTTTAGGAATTACTCGAGCTTCAGAAGTATACTAAATTGGTGTAAATGAACAGATCAGTTCAAACTAATTGAAAGAAATTGTAGGTTGAATTTTGTTGAATTATTAATTCTTTAAAAAAAGACACGTCTATTTGTTACAAGAAAATTCAATGAAGGAATATACAAAGACTATAATGAAAAAACTTCCCAACTGCTTGGAATTTCACTAACCTCAACTTGTTTAGATAGAATCATACTAATATTATAATTACATTGACATATTTCTCATATCATCCGTTCAAATTAATCCCCATAGTATTTTTATTTGATCTCTTCAGGCTGCATTTTGAGACTCCACGGAGAAGTACATGGTATATCCTCGCGCTATCTGTTTGATTCGGCGTTTATCTTTATTTGTTTCTCCCTAGATTACCAGGTGAACAGTTGAGAAAACAATTCAGGCTTCTATGTGAACGTCGTTGACATTTGCCTTGTATGCCGCATTACTCTAGGTATATTTCGTAATCCTGACTTTGAATTATGGGCATCCGTGTTGCAGGCCCCAAGTGATGTTGATCACTACAGCTTAGATTCTCTTGAAAAATGAAAGAAGGGTATCGCACCTTAGCTGGAGGTTTATAAAGTATATATCGGTTTTGTATATAATCGTCTATGTCATCGCCTTAAACGTTTTCCAATTCGAATTCCACATCCCGTTCGAGAGACTTTTGCCTTTCCAATTCATGCTTCTTCTCGTTATATCTGTGCACGTTATACCATACAATGTCCAAAAGTGTTATGGAAAGACCAATGAGGTTAATAAAAGTCAATCTATCATCGAATATGAAAGTTGAAGCCACGATTGTGAGTAACTCTTTGAAAATGCCAGCAATGCTTAAAGTCACTACTTGGGCCCTCTGCAAAATGGCAAATTCGAAAATGGTCATGAAGAAGACAAGAAGTCCTGGGAACAGTAAGAGGCAGATCGACTTGAACACTCCCTTTTCAGCCCAAATGTCATCTGACAAGAACTTTCCCAATCCTTCAACACCAGATCCAACAATAAACAGCACAACAGCCATTGGCGGACTTAGTTGATAGATTGTATAAATCGGATTTTTCACCTTTTTCGATCCGTCGAGTGCCACTTTACTATCATGGTTTTTCAATAGTAGAAGCTGTGTAAAGACCCATCTTACACCACTCATACATGCACTTAGTAACACCAGAAAAAATCCCAGCATAAAAGTCGATTGATCACCATTGTCCGATTCTTCATCTGGTTTATCTGTATCTGCCATCAACATGACACCAACACTCATGAGTAACACTATTCCTAGTAGGTTGATTGAGAATTTCTCCAGTTTCGCAATGACACCAAAGAGCAAGACGAATGCAATCGACGACGATTTAACCATTGTGTAAGTGCTCAAAGTGATGTATCTAAAACTAACGTTTCCTGCACCTATATCACCAGCCGCCGCGAGGGAACAAGGTAGCACATGTGTAAGGTAGAAAGTTACACCTTGACGGTTTTCAGTTGCTGCTGTAGGTTTGAGCGACGGTTTCAACGTCACTGCGGCGAATGAAAGTATCGACAGTAACAGCTGATGGAAAGCAGTGACGAGTATTGGGAATGGGAAGTCAAGTTGTGACTTGTCAAACATCCATTTGTTGTATAGTGAAATAGAAAGGGAGAAGATATACCACGCGAGGATACAGATTATGATCTGCACCGTTGTCTCTGTGATGAATGCAACTTTTGTATTACTTGACAGCTTCGTATCGTCTTCTTCAGATCCGCCATTGCCTTCCATTAGGACATCTTCATTGTTGGAGGAGGGTAGTAATGGGCTGCCATCAAGCGTCCCGTCAGAAATATCTGGCAATTGCGACGTTCTTCTATGGATATCAGTCTGCGAAGAGTTGAGCTTCAGAACACTATTAAGCTTTTGCATTGTTTAAGCTTATTGTATATACTCCCTTGTTCTCAAACTGACTCCACACCCCCTTGTTTGAGAAACACCATCGCTTGGGGTCTTGAGAACTAGAGCACTAACTCGAAAAAAAACACACACACGCACAAACGCCAACAACAACACAAGCAGGTGCCCTTGTACAGAGTCGCGGAAAGCGCAGCCTGGACGTGCGGGGACGTGTCCTTAACGGATCTCCTGCCAGCTATTCCGACCCTTCAGTCACGTGCGCCTGTCTCAAAAAGCATTATCCTCATCAACCGAATTGTATGTCGTTACTTTGGCCGGTTTGTTGTGTGCTTGAAAGATGTAAACCCGTACAAATGGGCCCAGCGTTCATTTGCAGTTGTCCACCAGTGCTCACCACCAGGCCATCTCAAGTGAATATGGCATCTGGAAAAGTCCACTTGCTTAGAAACCAACTCACCAACTCACCAACTCACCCAGACACCCAGACCTATTGGCAAAGGGGGAGGGGCCTAATTAAGTCCTTGAGGCACTTCCCATGGATAAAAAAAAGTCTCATTCTCCACGAAATGGCCTGAGCCTAAGATGAGATGCTTCCCAATACACGCCTACAGACAAAAACAGTTCCTACAGTGTGCCTTCCAGCCTTTGGTATTGGCACAATACCAAACGCTAAAGCACTGTCGGTACGCTTCTAAAGCTCGAATGACTCCAAGGTGCGGAGAATATAGCCTCTGTATTAGGTGGGATCTGGAACCGCGTCCATAAACCTCGCTCCCACAACCAATCACAGGACCTTATTATTAATCCGCGTGCACACGCTCAGATTTACAGGTGAGCCCAGCTAAATTTTTCCTTGCGTCGGTGTTTGGTGCACCAGCGTGAGTAGAACGAGCTGACTCACTGTGCAAGTATCAACCAAGTAGAGTTGTTTAAGCAAGTAAGAGAACGTCTGCTCTGTGCTCCCACTCGTTACATCTCTCTCACCATCGCCCAAGAGACTAAAACGTAAACAATGGCGTATAGAGAACCGTTGAAAGCGTTGGATGAAATCGGGTCCATCGCACATAGAAACTGCTAAGCTTAAATTTCCTCGTTTCCCTTTCAGCGTTTCAGCCGTTCGCAGTGTCATTTTTTTTCGTAGGCGGACAATGTCTGTTGAAAAATTTCCTCGATCAAGGAAAAATGTCCAGTTACATATAAGGCACAAACAATCCAGTTTTTATATTTTTTTTTCCAGTTGGCTCTTCCCTTTTCTCTCCACAAGAGATTGTTTCCCTCGGTTTCATACGTCGTATTTTCTGTTTAAGAAACACACACGGTCTACATTCCCTCGGTACAAAATCCTTGAAGTAACCATGGAAGCACTTGCGCGTCAGTCCCATAAGCTCTGTCCTTATTTTAAGCATAGCTCTGCTCAGGCCATCCGTGCCATCGATGGCTCATCTCTCTCGGCCCAGGCTGTTAGATGTCCTGTGATGGGACCAGCGCTGGAGTCGAAACGCTCCTACGTTTCCTCGTCCAAGCCTGCAAAAGCTCAGGTTGCCACTGCGGAGGTTGAGGAGACCGATTTCTACCCTGTAGAGCATGCCTCTAACGAGGCTTCCTTTGACTACCAAGGTCTGTTCGAGTCTGAAGTTGTTAAGAAGAGAGATGACAACTCTTACAGATTCTTCAACAATATCAACAGATTGGCCAAACAGTTCCCTATGGCCCATCGTGCAGTTGAAGAGGATAAGGTCACCGTCTGGTGTTCAAACGACTACCTCGCAATGTCCAAGAACGAGCAGGTTATCGATGTCATGGCAAAGGCCTTGCAAAAATACGGTGCAGGTGCAGGTGGTACACGTAACATTGCCGGCCACAACAAACATGCCATCAACTTGGAGTCTGAGCTTGCTGCTTTGCACAAGAAGGAGGCAGCTTTGGTGTTTTCATCATGTTATGTTGCCAACGATGCTGTGTTGTCCCTTTTGGGTCAAAAGATGAAGGACCTTGTTATCTTCTCCGATGAAATGAACCACGCATCCATGATTGTTGGTATTCAACACTCTAAGGCTAAGAAGGAGATATTCAAGCACAACGATTTGCAAGATTTGGAGGAGCGTTTGGCTAAGTATCCAAAGTCTACTCCAAAGGTGATTGCGTTCGAGTCGGTTTACTCCATGTCTGGTTCAGTATCCGACATTCCAAAGATCTGTGATTTGGCTGAGAAGTACGGTTGTATCACTTTCTTGGATGAGGTCCACGCTGTTGGATTGTACGGTCCACACGGTGCTGGTGTTGCTGAGCACTATGATTTTGAAGCGCACAGAGCTTCTGGTATCCGTTCCCCAGACTTCAAAACCACTCTGGACCGTGTTGATATCATCACCGGTACTTTGGGTAAATCTTTCGGTACCGTCGGTGGTTATGTTGCTGCCAACAGAGCTATCGTTGATTGGTTACGTTCTTATTCCCCTGGTTTCATCTTCACTACTTCCCTTCCTCCAGCGGTCATGGCTGGTGCCGCTGAAGCTATCCGTTACCAAAGATCGTACTTGAAGGATAGACAATTGCAACAAATCCACACAACCTACGTTAAGGATCAATTGGAAGCCATTGGCGTTCCAGTCATGCCAAACCCATCTCACATTGTTCCAATTGTCGTTGGTGATGCAGCCAAGGCCAAAGCCGCGTCTGACTTGTTGATGAATAAGCACAAAATTTACGTTCAAGCCATCAACTTCCCAACTGTTCCTCGTGGAACTGAACGTTTGAGAATTACACCAACTCCAGGACATCACCAGGAGTTGTCTGATATCTTGATCGAAGCTGTTGAGGACGTTTACAAGACCTTGGATCTTCCAAGAATCTCTGATCTTGAAGCTAGAGGTGGATTGTGTAACGTTGGTGTTGAAGGTTACGTCCCAGAGACAAACTTGTGGACTGAACAACAATTGTCTTACACTCAAGAGGATTTGAACAAAAACGTTTTCAACCCAATCATTGAGCAATTGGAAGTGTCCTCTGGTGTTAAAGCTTAAGGATGACCTTTGATATTCTTTTTTTTTTCCAATACTGATTGCCATTGATTACTTCCTTCCTTATAAGACGCTTTGGTTGTATCGGTTTTTGTTTTTATCTGATCAATTCATCTCTTTATAGTCTTGTAGACAATAATTGTCCCTATAAATACCAAACTTTACAGTCATTTGTGAACTACATAAGGTGATGGTGACGGCGTGATTGTTTTTCGTCCGTCAAGATAGATTTGTCACCATATATATGTGCCTATATAAGAGAACAGTAGCTTTAAAAGTTAGTGGAGGCCTCCTTCAATTCGTCAATGTTGACGCCTTGAGCTTTAGCAGCTTCGGTAACTTCTTCCAACAATGGCTTGGTCTCTGGAACAGATGGGAACTCAGTAGTACCTGTAGTGGTCTCAAATGGGTTTGTAGCCTTCACGTTAGCAGCAGCTTCTGGAACAACTTGAGCACCAGAGGTTGTGGAAGCAACTGGAGTGGTCTCTACTGGGACAGCAGCAGCCTTGGAGGAAGTAGAGCCAACAGTACTACCAGCAGTTCTGACTTGGTACTTCTCCTTGATGAACTTTGACACTGGACCAAGTTTCTCATCGGCTTGCTTGATGTATGGAGCAGCCTTTTCTTGAGCAACCTTTGAGTATTCAGAGGCCTTCTCACCAACCAAAGCAGAGAACTCCTTAACAGCAGCGTTGATCTGAACTTGGTTCTTTTCGTAGATAGCTGGGAGGGAGAATCCGAGGATTGTAGCAGTGAAGATCAAGGTGTTGAGGGACAACCACGAGGTGATCTTGAACAAGATGTAGAAGAGAGCGCCAGCCTTCAAGGTCTTCTCAATGTCAGCAGAGTAGATGAGTTTCTGAACAGACTCTTCCAAAGCTGGCAATCTGTTGGCCAAACACTCCAGGGCCTTTTGGCCCTTGGTGGAGACGACTGTTGTGTAAGCTGGTCTGAAGCGGGTCACAAGACCTGAACCAGTGACAAACTTACCAGCGTACTCGGCAACGGCAGAGGTAACCAAGGTAAACGCACCGATACGGAAAAACAAGTTGAGCAAGTTAACAGACTTGAGAACGATCAAGGCGGCAATGATGGTACCGAAGACCTTACCGGTCTTGACTGGGTCCTTCCAGGTTAAAATAGGAGGGAAAATGGCCTTTGGAGCCTGAGCAGTAGTAGCAGGAGCAGACATGGCTTATCGGTTGTGTAGTTGATTGGACTGGAAAGTAATGAATATTCTATCGCGTGAAGTACTCTGAGAGATCAAACAATCAATTGAGAGTGATGTGTTAATAAGATAACTCCTTTTTGCCACACAAATGACGTTTAATCGTTACACTTTTCGTTTAAAATCCTCAGTTTTTTTTCACTTTATTAATTTTCGCTGATTAGGTTGCCATTTTTTCCCTCCTTCATCTTCGTTTTTGTGCGCTGCGCCGGTCGCCTTGTGTTTCTTTTTCCTTTTTTCGTTCCACTTTTTGATTCGCAGTGTTTTGCTCTTTTTTTTTTCCCACTGCTTTTTCAGTTACCCGGGCAATGCAACCATCAATTGTGGAAAAATTAACCGCGGCTTGCGAAAGACTCGTTAGTTTCGTCTCTTTGTTGCGTGCCATCTTCTTGTTCCATGCATGGAAGAACGTTCAACGTACATTTTCACCGCTGAGGAGGCGAAGTGGGACATTTGCAATTTGTAAGTGAGCACAGCGTACTCCAAATGGCGTTACTGCCCACGTCTTGGAGTATATGGACGTACACGCTTAATGGAGAGTGAAGGGATTCAGAATGGTGGTGTTGAGGGTACAGTGGTTGACAGTGTAGGACAATTTGGTTCTATTAGCTCAGTTTGCTCTCTCGGAGGTTTGTGAGGTCCAATTGGACTGTGTAATGTGCGTACCGTATATGGTGTCAAAAGTAAGTGGTTGAATCACACTTATATTGGGTTTTATTGGTGGTAGTAATGGCTCCGTCGAGATGTGGACTCCATGACAGAGGGACACGTGATCATATGTATCTTTTTGATAGTTAACCGTTGCAAGAGGGGGGGGGTCAGAATGAAACAAAGATAGTCACTAACTCCTTTAACCGATATCCTATATTTAACGTGTCTTACAACTCAGAGCATCAAATATATAGAACGGACTTCTCCCTATAATTTGAGCTGAAAACATGAAGCCAGGTCTATTTGGGCTGATAATGAATTTTAACTGCATTGTTTCTCTAAAGACGCGGTCTCCGTTCTAACTTGTAACTTGTATGTTCTCACACACCTTTTTATTGCCAGAATTCGCCAAATACATCGAGACGAAGCCTGTCTAAGAGACAAATTTACACCTTTTTTCCTAACAAAAGATCCAACCGGGAAACACCCATAAAATAGGTGGGGGTTACATCTTTAAGTTATCGGAGGTGCTCAATACAAGAAATCAAAGGAGTACTTCAAGATTATTTATCGGACAACGTCGATGTTGAGACTCGTTTCCACACATTGCTGTATAATTTCACGTGATTTAGACTTATGTTTAATGTCTCACCAAACAACACTCATTACTATCTTGAAGCATCTAATACTACAGACGTATCCACCATGCATAACCTGACAATATGCGGCGTATGTTGTTTACAAAGTACTGTACTAGTTGAACCAGTTTTACACAACACAGCTACACTCTTTGGATATAAGTCGTATTTCAACCTATGTTCTTGCCTTTTCAAAGGTACATTAATAACACACCCAAATCTTCGTCACTGGTTGCACACTGAAAAGATTCATGATGCAGAGAAGTTCCAGATTTCAGAATCGGGATCGTAAACCAGGAGAACATACAATTGCAGCAAATGACAGCAATATAACAATTACACTTGCAAAAGAACTGAACTATACTCTAAAACCTAGTTACATACTTGTTATTTAACGAAAACAGTTACAAGCATGGTTTATATGTGCTCAGTCTAACGACTTTAAAATTAAGGTAAGAAGATAGCGGACTTTGACGTTTGAGATTTCTAATAACATGCACAGCAAAGGCGACTGTATATGACTAAGCCTGAAACAGTACGCTGTATCCAAAACTCCAACGCACATATTGTGAACTGTACCGACACCTGCTTCAATTCACAAAGTATAGCGTATAACAAATATTGGAAAGCACTGAAAAACCACCTCATCAAAATTCACAACGTATTAGGTAGTGCATATCTTGTATTAGTTGAGGGCTTTGGAGGTGTGTACTTGTGCGGGAGTATGTAGTCTCATTCCACTGAAATAAAGAGATACTCAATGGATTTTATCGGACATTAATTGTAACCACTTCAGAAGTCTTGAAACCTTAAATACAATTGCCGACCATAAAACTTTTGGTATTTTAAAGCTATGATAGCCGTTCAGGTATGTGTTCCCTGGTTCTGGTGAAAGGAAAAGACCATGGGTGCAAACTGTCTCGAACGTCAATCTTGCTCATAATTCACCCGTTTTATTCGAAAGTTCACCTGTTAAAGTTTTACGCTGCTACTTGAACGTGAGGTGGAAACGCGAGACCAATGAGGTTACCAGAGAAAGTTTTGAGACAAAACAGATAAAATGATGGTACCAATGCAGTTCACTGGTCGGGAGCTTCCTCTCTAACAGTGAAGCTCTGTTCTTACCTCCAACATATGTTTTGTATGCAGATATGCACGTTGTAGGCCTTTTAAGACAAATAAGCTTAGATCGTTAGGTCATCTACGTACAATGCGAAGGGTGGTAAGGTAGAAACCGATACACTCCTGGTCGCAGAGGTCAATAGGTCCCTACACAGGACCCGAATGAGAACCTTAACATCATTGATGGCACATAAATATAAACCATACGGGTTATCTTATTTCAAGGCTAAGCTACAATTTTAATTTCCAAAACGGAAGTTAGTTGCCACGGATCTAGGTTGAACTAGCAGAAAGTTAACTTTGGGAATATTATCCTAGATTACACTTGCTGTTGTTATATTGAGCACCAGTAATTTTAATAGCAAGCACCAGGTAAAAACAGGTACTTATCGGTCAAGATTCAGACTTCGCCCTCTCTTATTATTTTGGAAAGTGTACGTTGTTTCAATAACGTAATAACCAGTAGGCACCAGATTTCTTATTTCACTTAAAGCTGGGCAAAGTTCAGCTATCTACATCGACTTGAAAATGAGCCACGTGAAACCATCTTAGTTCTAGCACATGTAATTGAGCCTTGTGTCAGTTTTAGTACCAGATCCGGAACTGCTCGTTAAAATGTTGTCACTCTCCAACATATTTACAAATTCTCAAACGTCCAACTACGTGTGCGTCCACATGCTCTTCCATGTCACATCTTTGAATAGCGTAGAGTACCAAGAAGCCAATTCTGATCAGCTTTAACCTTTATGTAATCTTACTAATATTGCGGCGGCTCGGCAATTAACCTCACATCGAGGGGATCCCGATATCAACGCTTCTAAGCCTGGGGACTGTGTCCTCCTGTAAATCCACAGTCCAGTTCGCCGGATGTGCAACGACTTAGACCCTAAGTTAGGGCACTATCTCTCAATGTAGCTGTTGTGCGAGCAAAGGTAAACAAGCTTAGACAAACGAGGATCTTGGTGTGCCATGGTGAGGTGCACATACATACTCCATGATCATCTCTAGTTTATAATTTCGTGTTAACTAGTTCAAGCTTCTAAAACCTAAACAAAGTATCAGGGTCTTACTCTGACTTCTTATGACGAAACAGGGTGTATACATCAAGACCAAATGTTTTACAGTAGCGGCTCGTGTGCGTGCTTGTGTTGGCATTAATCAGCGAAAGGGATATCTCGAACATCTTGGTGCGTGGTCAGTACACAGCGTTGTGTTTGGTGGAGAGGAGGGGATCATCACTGGAAGGGTTAGCATGTGTTGCTGTTGAATACGATGTATCAGATTTAAGGGATCTTAGTTTCGTCAGAAGTATAATCATTTAGGGGAACTTTCCAATGCGGTTAAGACCTTGTTGTTGCTAGGGTACATAGCCTCAGACAACATGTGCGCATGACATCTAAGATGAACCGCTCATGCATACCACGTTCCAGGTTTTATCCCCCGATACCACCGCTATACATCCAATATCAAGCTTTTTTTCCATTTGGCGGCTTGTACTCCGTATCTACCACACTCGCGTGGTTATGGTTGGCGACATAAAGCACTGTAGTCCACACACCGAGCTGTACTAATAACGTGGGCTGTCACACACCCACGAGCCAAGGACATGTAATTGTACCTAACACCACTGTTATGCCCTTCAGACGAATGTAAAACTAAGCAGAACAGTTCAAAAACTCACTACAGTAGCTTAGATTTCCCAGGCCCTTTTTCAAAACACTTGGCTTTAGTCCAAGAGTCTCAAGAGACCAAAGCTTAAAGTACAACAGCAAAAAAGAAACATATTGGTTACCACATATACATAAAGTGTGCACGCTTGGCGAAAAAACTTTTATGTGTGAAGAACCGAGGTGTACAAGTTAAGAAAGCTCCGGCCGATAAGTTCATACTTCTTTATAGGTCAATTTGTGAGCAAACATTTAGATCGAATCAATTCACTGGTGACCATTATTGATTTCCAGATTAAAACACTCCCCCCGTTGGGACTTAGCCCTTGTCACATCATCAGCCTTGGTGGTTTTTCTTGTTTTGCCTCTAGTGTTCTTTTTTTAAATCTTTAGTCCGTGTTTGTTTTTTGTGTCATGCTTAATTTTCCGTTCAGCTTCCCGTTACCAAATCCACCTTTTCCGCATTTAAGCTTCTTTATTTAGCCGGTAAACACATTGGGTAGCGGCTTGCGTGGGTGAGGAAGGAGGGAGCCACTGCATTGGGTTCCCCTTTTCCTTTTCCCACAGCTTCAGCCTCTTCCCCCCCAAAACAAAGGACAAAATAAAATTCTGAGTTATCGGCGTTGAAGTTTGACTTACAACTTGCAGTTTGCATGGAGAGAACTTGCTCATTTTCTTGACGTGTTTTTTTAGTGCAGCTGAGGAAGTAACCTGAGTCTCTGTTCTTTTCAAAACTCTTGGAAGAGGGGGCAGGTCTATATAAATACAGCAATATGTCCCTGGTTTGTTATTATCTCGTATACACTCACTTCTTGGTTTAAAGACGCTTATCGAGTCACATCAGCAAATGGAGTCGTATACCGGTGTTGTGCAGACCGCTCACGATGCTCTTATACTTTTGGAGGCTTCACGCCTAGGATATATACCACGTATCAAGCGAAGATTGAAAGAGGAAGACCGTAGACGTATTCAACCAGGACATGTGTACATTTGGAATGAAAGAGAGGCAAAGATGCGCCGCTGGACGGATGGTCGCTCATGGAGCGCCTCAAGAGTAACTGGTTCTTTCCTCACATACAGAGAGATGGAGACAAAGGAGGATATCTGCTCAAGTTTCAAATACAAGGCGGATGGATTCATCAAACAAAGCTTCAGTATAACTACAATGCAAGGTGACAAGCTTCATCTTATTGCATACACAACGACGAAGAACTTTAGCGCTGCAAAGTTCCACAACAGGTATCCAACAAAGGATCCAAAGCTCAAAGACATCGTGATACCGCAAAGCATATATCCACAGGCCGATAGCCTCATTTCGATGTCCTTCTCAACATTCTCACAATCCAGGGCATGCAGATATGTGGGCAACACAAGGTCGTCTGTTTCATCTGTATCCTCACTTTCTTCGGTATCTTCGAATTCCCCAGTGTCTTCGCCGTTGAATTCGACATCTCCGGAATCTCCATTATCGTTGCCACAACCAGCGTCGGCTATAACAAGCGACAGCGCGGCTTCCGCAGAACAGCAACAGCCGCAAACAAAACAACAACAACAACACCACCACCAAAAGAACGCGTTGGAAAACACTTCAGCATACTCTAATTCTAATTTACACGTGATACCTAGAACTATGGTGTCACTGCCTCTTCTGCAGCTGCCGCCTTTGTCGATTTCTACGCCAACGCCCGGGAATTATCATCAACATGGCTCACCTGGTGTTGTTGCACAGGTTGAACTGTCAATCTTGGCTCAAAGGAAGATGAGACTTCACCGTGATGACGATATGGCATTGAGACACTTGGACAAACTCTCTTTTAAATGACTCTACTCTTCAACGATTTCAATCTATTTCGCACTTACTCCTACACTGTTCTGTTGTAGCCATACATTTATTGGAGGTGCCAAAAGATGCAGAGTGCCGTTCAGGCCCGATAAGACCTTTTTCCTTTGATGACTCAAGGAGACATCGGTGCTTAAAATCAAGCAATTAGCAAGGTACACAATTTCTACGCAATCCTCCGGGCTGTACATTTCATAACAGAGGTTAGCTGCAGTTTGTAAAGTTGCACACACCTTGTCAAGACATATGTGCATATCACTCATGGTGTAGAGTAGAAATATAGTCCCAGGAGCAAGAAGTTTGTGCCTGGCCAGGCATTGGATGTCGAACTTGTACAGCAAAATGCAATTCAGAGCTTGCTTGAGTCATCTTCATCTTCGAAGAGCAGGTCAACTTGCTCGATTCTCAAACCTTTGGTCTCTGGAACAAGATTCCAAACGAAAATAGCACTGACAGCCAAACATCCGCTAAAAACAAAGCCAAGTTTGTAGCCTATCTCCCCTGTGATCATGGGTGTGGAAAATGAGATCATAAAGTTCGAAAACCAGTTACAACTGGTTGCAATAGCAATAGCAATTGCACGAGTTCTAACGTTGTACAACTCAGAAACAACAACAAAGGCACCTGGACCCCAAGTTGTGGCAAAGAAAAAGATGTAGACACATGTGAATACAATCATAAGGAACCCGATAGATTTTGTCTCTTCCCCATTGGAATCTTTGAGTGCAAATGAACCCAAAGCTGTATATGTGATCATACACAGGAACATGCCAATACTTCCAGTCAAAAGTGTGGATTTACGACCAAGTTTCTCCACGGTATAAATTCCAAAGAACGTTGATGCAAAGTTGACTCCACCAAGGATCATGGCTGTGATATAGGAGTTCGAGAGTCCGACAGAGGCAAACAAAGAAGTACCATAATAGAAGAAATAGTTAGCACCGGAGAACTGCTGGAAAATCATGACAGCCACGCCAATGAACAAACGCTTCAGGTTCGACTTTCCAACAAAGACGTCGTACCATAGAGAGTCCCTTTGAGCACTAATGATATGCGATTGGTTTTCAACAATCTTTTCAACCTCAGAGTGAACGAAATCAGAGTCAACAGGTTTGCTGTTCAAAAGTGAGAGTGATCTTGAGGCATCGTTGTAACGAGCCTTAGATACGTAATACACTGGAGACTCTGGCATCAGGAACAAACCAAGCATCACAAGCACGGACCAAACGTGGCAGAGCCAGACAGGGGTGAGCCATTGGATGTTGCCAGCCATGTATTTCTTGACAGAATAATCTGCAATATTACCCATCAAAATGCCACATGTGATCATCAACTGGTACAGTGCAACCATGGAACCACGAATAACCGTTGGGGAAGACTCAGAGATGAACATTGGAGCAACAACACTTGAAGCTCCTACAGCAATGCCTGTGATGATACGACCCACCATGAATTGGTACCAGGCACCACTAAATACCGAAGACCACTGGACGACAACTCCAACGGAATAGATAGCAAGAGAAAGGTAAAGGCACATCTTCCTTCCCCATCTATCAGCCGCCTTGGAGAGGGTTAAGCCGCCAAAGGCACAACCAATGTTGAACACGGAGATTATCAGCCCAGAGACAAGCGAGTCAATTGTCCAGACGTTGTCCGAATTCAAATATCCAAACGACTGTTTAAAACTCTCCAAGTTAGTGAGACCTCCAATAGTACCAACATCCCAACCAAAGATGAAACCGGTAAACGCCGTGGAGAAGCAGTAGGCTATCGCCTTACGGTATGCCCACAGGGAGTGTTCGGTGCAGTCAGAGGAAGGTGCTTCCTCTTGGGTCTTATTTAAAGAGCCACTTGATGTTGTTAAGACGTTATATCTTGCGGAAGTGTCTTTGCTCGAGTCCATTCTCATTGATTTATGCAGTGTATACTTAAGTCCCACATCACAGAGGTCTAATGGGACCAGGGGTGACACCTCGCTCTTTTATAACCATATTGTTCTCACTTGGGTCACAACCATCTCACTCGTGTTACAATCATCTCACTCGAAGCACATAATCACCTCAAGATTGTCGTTTCAAACAGTAATGATCACCGTAGGTCAGAGGTGAGAACAATAGAGCAATGAGCTCATATCACCGGTGATTGTAGGGTAGTGGATGGGGGTGTTTGGATGTGTACGTGCTTCCCCTACCAGAACCGCATTTGTGTCCCACAGCTTATTTTCGCTTTCTTTGTTAGCAGCGGCAATGAACCTACGGCCCATTCACCACGAGCTAGTGATTTGAGAACTGGTTTGAGTCCATAAGCGAGAATTGGCCAATGGGACTTTACAATCCGAGAGATTCTGGAGATAGCAATGAAGGCTCTGGTATACCTGGCGTGGAAAAGGTTGTTTTCTACCAGCGTCCAAGCTTCGGGTTGAAGATATGGGGGCCCTTTGTTCCAGCATCTGACAACCTGACTGCGCTGTACAGCTTGACAGCGTTACAGACTGTCATAGGCATTACGATGTTCCGTACGGTACGTATGAGGTGGAGAGATACGTCATTCTGGGGGAGGGTGACTAAAGGTGCGAACGCAATCGGTGGTTCGTACGTTCTATTCAACTCGGGACTCGAGGTATCTCGTCTTCTACTACCGTATGATCCTTGGTACGACGAGGCAAAACGTGCAAGAGAGAGTGCCATTGCGCAGGGGAAGAAACCGAACTGGTGGTTTGGTCCATTGGACCAGAAGCCGATGAGTTTGGCCGAATGGAACGAAAAGATGGATGTTTGGATTCTGGACCAAGAGGAGAACTTGGATAGACAGTCTACAGCGTTGGTGGGGAGCCCAGAGATCAAAATGGGATATAATCACATCAAGGAGCAGAACACCAGAAGACAGAGCGAAATCTTGGAGCAGTTGCAGCACAACACCTTTGAGAGAAACCGCCCTCTACACCAATCAAAGGTGGCTCTCAGAGAGCTGCACAACCCCAAACACCAAGTAGTGATACCGGAAGAGTACCAATCAGAGGAAAACTCGGACTTCTACGAGATATGGGATCTCAATGATCCCTGGAACGTGCTGGCCAACGATGCCAACATCTTGGTGAGGTTTATCCCAGCATCAGTGGACATAAAGGCAGACGACAAGGTGCAAGAAAGCACAACATCATGAATCACCACACGCACTATGAACAGCCGGCGCCAAAATGGTAACCAAACACATAGTGAACATCTCTGCGTGTATATAAGCATACAATGGTAAATAGCAATGATCAATGAAAACAAGAATTCGTGTAAAATGAAGCACCCTCTCGTCCAAGCTCATCTCAGCTCGTTGTGGTGAGTGTTGATGTTGCCCCCGTCCCAGGAACCAGGTTACCTCCGCCTGCGCCCAAAGGGGACCTTCCATAAGAAAGGTTTTTCCCTCTAATTCTTCACCATTTCAACAGGAAGCAAAACAGGGAGCAATTGAACAGACACACTCAGGAACAATGGTATCAGTAGTGTGGATGCTGACGTTCCTAGCGTCTGTATGCCTGGCTGTGTGGGATGACGAGGCGTTCAAAGTGGATTGGCACTTGCCTCAGATTGGCCATGTAAACACTGTGCTGACGTCGAGGCTGGCTAATGACAGAATACACGTGGTTACCGATGACAATGTGTTAGCTGGTCTCTACATGGGTCAAGTGCAATGGAGGATTCTGCTTGGTGGCAAGGCCGAGGCTATTGATTTTAAGGAACAGATTGCCACAGCGGTTAACAACGCTGACGGTTCTAGCACTGTGAGCATCTGGGACCAGGAGAGTGGGTTCCTAGTGAAGGAGGTTGGCACGTTCACACAGCCGACAGTGGCATTGGCTGCAAGATCGGAGGACTTGGTGGTGATATTGGAAGACGGGTCTGTGTTTCTCCTGAACTGTGAGGGTGATCTCACCTCAGTGGGCAGCGTCAAGGGAGAAGTTGATCAGCTCCATGTTTTCGACAACGGGAACATTGTTGTTCATATCCATGATGCGTTGGGAAACTCATCGTATGCGTTCTACAATGGCTCAGAAATTGTTCAATCTCCTATCTCACTGAAGACGCGAGATGTCAGAGGGATATATGGGTCAAAGATCATTGTTGGAAGCAATGGAAAGCACCATTGTTATAGAATCAACCAAAGAACCGGAGAGCACTACTCAGGAGTTGAATTACCTCAAGTTGACTCCCTCATCGATATTGACTCTACGTCGTTACTGGCTTTCCAACATGGGAATGATCTCAAAGTGCATTCCATCGAGGCCGAGGAGCAATTCGTTATTCCGAACGTTTACAGATATGACTTCCAATTCGTTGATGGAGTATTTGTCATGCATACGGAATTCCATGCAAATGTTATCGATGCTGATACTGGAGATGAGATTGTAAGCCATCAATTAGGCGATCACAAGTTGGAATTTGACGAGATTGAGGCCATCCACACGAAAACAGACGGAGTTGATAGAATTTATACATTGATTCAGTACAAGAGTGGAGAGTTGGAGTTTTTGAGAAATGCCAAATCATTTTGGAGAAGGGATTTCTCACTCTCAGACTCGGTGGCACATGCAATTCTGGATATTGAAGTCGAGGGTTCATTGACAGGAGATGAGTTGATTCAGGAGGAAGTGTTACCTATCTGGGAAGCTTATTTCAGCAGAATTATCCGTCATTACCAAGAATTAAGGGCCTTGTACGAACGATTTTGGCAAATCCTTCCATTGTGGACAACCGGTGAGTGGACTTTCCCAACAATTAACAACGACAAATACTTTGGGTTTGAGAAAATACTCATTTTGGCTAATAACAGAGGGTATGTGACTGCCCTTAACTCAGTTAACGGTGAAAAAGTTTGGGTCTTCAGTACCGAACAAAGAGATATCTACCAGCTGGAAATATTTGATGATGGTCAACTGTACATCTTCACTAAATCAGGTCCATTATTTATCCTCGACTCAAAGACCGGAGAGCTCATCAGCCAAGAGTTGCTTGCACCTTCTTCTTCCATCAAAAGGCTCCATGATAAGTCACTTTTAGTTGAAACTTCAGAAGGTTTGAATGTAGTGGCTGGACACAATAATGGGACGTCCTACACCACAAGCCACGATGCCCACACTATCAAAGGTTTTAAGATAGTGGAAGATTCTATCAAGCCTTCGTGGACTTTCATTACTAAGCCACATGAAATTATTGTGGGATACTCTGAAAAGAACACTGAAGAACTAGTTGCGAACATTGGAATTGTTCTTGGGGACAGAAGCGTACTGTACAAATACTTGTACCCAAATCTTGCTGCAGTAGCTGTTTGGAATAACAACACAAAGGCTCTCTATTTGAACATCATCGATACTTTGACTGGTGAACTGTTGCATTCAGTTGTGCATGATACTGATGTTCTTGGTGATAGTGTGTCTGTTGTTTTTGGCGAGCACTGGGTTGTTTACACATTTTACAGTAACAAACCGACACCAGAGCAACATGTTGTGGTAATTGATCTGTTTGAGTCCTTGGTTCCAAATACTAGACTCTCTAAGGACTCTGAATCGTCTTTTGGAGCACGTCATCCACCTGCAATCTCTACAAAGTCGTTTATCCTACCCGTAAAGGTTAGCACGTTGGCTATTACCAAGACTCGTTTCGGGGTCACTACCAAAGCTGTGGTATTCAGTTTAGAAAACGGTCAACTTCTTCTTGTACCGAAATTCATCCTGAACTCCAGACGTGTTTTTGGACGTGAATTAACCAACGAGGAAAAGGCCCAGTTCAGACTTTTGCCATACGACCCAGTGATAAGCATTGATGATCACAGTGTTATTTCACACAAGAGACAAGTCCTTGGACAAGAAACCATTGTTTCTATGGCTACTAACCTGGAGAGTACGAGTATTGTTTGCTCATATGGTCTTGACGTATTCTGTACCAGAGTGTCTCCTTCATCACAATTTGACAAATTGACTTCTAGTTTCGATAAGATTAAACTTGTTGGAAGTATTATCATTTTGGTGTTTTTGGTCTTTTTCCTCAGACCAATGAGGGAGAGCAAGATTTTGAAGAACTTGTGGGTTGTTGAAGCTCCAAACTGAGACATTACTAATGTGTACCGATCATCTAATGGAAAAAGAAAACAGAATGGACAAACCGCATTCAATATATCATTACAATACTATTTACTTCTTTTTGAGCTTCTTTCCCTTCTTCTTAGCAGCTTCCTCTGCCTGTCTCTTCTTCTTTGCCTTGGCGAGCTCCTCAGGCGTTTTTGGTCTAACCTTAAAGAACCCATCTAATCTTCCTTGTGATGTGGTCTTCAAACCTTTCTTCAATCTTTCGATACCGCTTTTGATTCTCTCCTCAGAGAAGCCCTTTTCTTCCACCATAAACTTTAAGAGACCTGCCTCATCTGGTTCTCTCCATTTCAACTCAACGTCCTTCGCTGGGATGACATCTGGGTTCAAAAACAACTCTCTTGCTCCTTCATATGGCCAGTCTTCGGGAATTTTGTATTTGGAATCAGGATTGCTCTTGATGAACTCAAGTACACCTTCGATGGTTCCGTACTCTTTGATGAGTTTTAAAGCGCTGACAGGGCCAACACCTCTGATGCTTTCACAGTAGTCACATCCGAGTAAGATACATAGATCCACGAATTGTTTTTGGTCCATTTCCAAGGCCTCCAGAACTTTGGCAACGTCGATCTCTTGGATCGGCTCTTTTCTCTGTTCTGAGAATGTCAAATGGCGTAACAGGAACGGTGTCTTATAGCACAACGTGTCCATATCTTCAGATGCAGCGGCGTATACTTTACCACCTTTTGCCAATTCAGCACATTGTGCCTCAGCTTCACAAGGCGCATTAACGTATGGAATACCCATAAGGTCCAGAAGCTTCTTAGCCTCTTCATTCTGCTCCCTGGTAACTTTCACTGTTCTTCTTTCAAACTTGGCCAACTCTTCAGCAGTCCCGGATTCCTTGAGGGCTTCGATATTCTTAGTAGCCTGTTCCCTTCTCGCAAGACGTTTCTCCAGCTCTCCACCTTTCAGCACAGGTGGCTTTCCGTCAAACACATAACAAGGTTTGATAGAGTTGTCAATCATTCTCAAAGTTCGATAGAACATTCCCATCAGATGAGACGTTGTCTCACCATCATCATTGGTCAATTGCTGACCGTCCTGTTGTCTAACAGCGATCAGAAACTGATACAAACACATGGACGCGTCAATGGCAACTTTCCGACCAAAGAACGTCTTAATCTCGTTAGATTTAGACGCCAGCGGAGCATTCTCCTTAAGAAGGTTGTTCAACCCTATATATGTCAGTACACATGCGCAACGTACATTGAAGGTCTATAAAAAACACACATCCACTTACCTTTAATACCCATTGCTAGTTGTTTTATGAAACTGGTGCGATGACGAGATGCGATGAGATGGGACAGAACGCGTTAAATGTCCAGTGATGTTTTTCTTTCGGGACATTTGGGACGTGTCCCAGAGTTTAAAAATATGGAATTCCGAATGTTTCATCGGAATTGAGAAGGATCCCCAAACATAAAACAAGTTCGCGGGCGAGGGGAAAGATCAAGCAAAAAAAAACAACACAAACACAGAGGCTCATCAGGAAAACAACACTTCAAATAAAGGAGAATAACATCAAGCTGGATAGAAAACACTGGCGCTATGTTTGGAAGTACCAACAACACCAGTGGATTTGGTGGATTTGGAAGTAACACTGGATCTGCTTTTGGCGGTGGCAATACCGCTACTAATACTGGCACAGGGTTTGGATCCACCGGTGGCAGTATGTTTGGATCAAACACCAACAACAATGCGACGTCAGCATTTGGTTCAGGTGCATCGAGTGGTGGATTTGGTGCTAAGCCTACGGGTTCTACAATGTTTGGCTCTACAAATACAGCAAATACGTCTCCATTTGGTGCCGCTGTGAACAACACTAGTAATACAACCGCTGGGTTTGGAGCATCTTCAGCCTTTGGGTCGAATAACAACAACACTGCGTCAACAGGCGGTATCTTTGGCGCTAAGCCGGCATCTTCAGGGTTTGGAACGACCGGCACGATGTTTGGTCAGACTCAAAACAGCTCTCCGTTTGGGTCCTCAGCAGGGTCAGGGTTTGGAGGATTGGGAAGTGCCGGACAGAATCAAGGCACCGCCATTAAACCTTTCCAAGCTTACACAGAGAAAGATGCCACTGGAGCAACTAATGTGTTTGAGAATATATCATCGATGCCAGAGTACAGAAATTACTCTTTTGAGGAATTGAGAGCGCAAGATTATGAGCAAGGAAGAAGATATGGTAATCAACAATCGCAAACTGGAGGATTTGGCTCCACGACGGGCTCTCCATTTGGTGCTACCAATACGAACACCGGATTTGGAAGCTCCAATGCGTTTGGTTCGAACAATAATAACAATACCTCTGGTGGACTGTTTGGCAGTGCTAATGCCAACAACACATCTGGTGGATTTGGATCTGCATTTGGGGCCAACAACACGAACACATCTGGTGGACTGTTTGGGAGTACTAATCAGACTTCAAATGCATTTGGAGCATCCAATAACACTACTACTGGAGGCTTTGGATCTTCATTTGGTGCTGCCAAACCATCAGGGTTCGGAGCATCAACAGGAGGAATGTTTGGTTCCAACACTAACAACCAAACATCAGCGTTTGGCGGTTCTGGTATGAATAATAGCAACTCTGGTGGGATGTTTGGTTCAACCAACAACAATCAATCACCATTTGGGACGAACAATAACACCACCAATACTTCCGGTGGGCTATTTGGTTCGACCAATAACAACGCTGGAGGTGCTTTTGGTGCCTCAAACACAGGTACATCTGGTGGTTTATTTGGTTCAGCTAACAACACAAATAACGCCTTTGGTGCAACCAACACTGCAAGTCCATTTGGTGCCAGTCAGTCCAAACCAGCTTTTGGGTTTGGAAACACGACGACGACCACCAACAACACTTCCACTGGATTTGGGCTCAGTAATAACGCCTCTAACAACACATCTGGTGGGTTATTCGGTAACAACAATGCTAATAACAACTCTGGGGGGTTATTTGGAAATCCATCCACACCAGCTAATAACAACACCATTAACGCATTTGGAAATAACAATGCCAACAAAACAACTGGGTTTGGCACCAACACTGGTGGCCTCTTTGGTGCGAATAACAATACCACTGCAACATCCGGGGGACTGTTTGGTAATGCTAATACCAACACCACTGCCTCAACAGGATTTGGTAACAAACCAGCAACTACTGGATTTGGTGCTACTAACACTGCAAACAGTGGAGGCGGTCTCTTTGGGAATAAAACCACCACTGGGTTCGGTGCTCCATCCACCACTACTGGAGGTGGGCTATTTGGAAACAACACCAGCAACAATGCTGGTGGAGCACTAGGTGGTACAGCCCAACAGTCCGGTGGTCTATTCGGTACCAATAACACCAACTCCACTTCAAATTTGAATACTAGTGGTGGTTTATTCGGAAACAAACCTGCAGCTCCTGCTGGTGGTCTATTTGGTAACGCCAATAATACGACTCAACAATCTGGTGGGTTATTTGGAAACAGTAACACACAGAACAAACCATCCTTGTTTGGTTCGAGTGGTAGTTCATCAATAGCTTCTGGATCGGGCGGTCTCTTTGGAGGTCAAACACAACAACCTCAACAGGGCAGTTTCTTATCACAGCCACAACAAGCACAACAACAATCGTTTGGTCAGCAACAGCAACAATCCCAACAGCAACAACAAGCTGGTCAAGGTTATCCACTAGTTGCCACTATTGACTCTAATCCATATGGAAGTAGTTTCTTATTCAATGGCGAACCTGGGAATACTGGTCAAAGTCAAGCTACTCAAGTACACCCATTGGCTATTGCTAAGCCAGTATCTACCGAGTTGAAGCAACCAACTCTCACCGATGCATATAGACTTGCTCCAAAGCCTTTATTTGTTGCATCGTCTCACAAGAACTCACCATCTGGAAGCCCAAAAACCACCAATGCCAATGCCCTGGCAACTTCTACGAAGTCTCCAGTCAACCTATTGGGCAGTGCTACTGACGAAGCACTGTTAGGCGATTTCATCTTGTCCAATAGTACAAAGACTCAGAAGACATTGTTCAACACTGCCACTCCTAAGAAGGCAATCTCAAATTCCACCAATGATGAAGAGCCTGAAAACAAGCCTGTGTTGAGATTGGAGGAACGTAAGTCTCCAGCTGAGACCCGTGCAAGTGAGGTGAGTGAAACGAAGAACATAAAACCAACCAGGGAAGAGGACATCTCTTTTGTAGATGAGGATGGCTACTGGATGTCCCCATCGTTGGATGAACTTGAGAACATGTCTCTCTTGGAGCTGCGCAAAGTCAGTGGCTTTGTAGTTGGACGCAGAGGCTTTGGAAAGATTGAGTTTTTGAAGGACGTTGACTTAACCACACAAGGCTCATTGGCATCGATTCCTGGAGGGGTGATAGTATTCTTAAGACAATCTTGTGTTGTATACCCACAGGACCTTATGATTGCGCCTGGAAAGGGCGAGGGCTTGAACATTCCTGCAAAGATCACACTGGAGGGGTGTTTCCCATTGGCGAGGGACACAAGGAAACCAATAAAGGATGTGTCCCATGCGCTGTACAAGAAGCATTTACAGAGACTACAAAACCAACCGGGAACCAAGTTCGAGTCCTACGATTCAAAGACAGGAACGTGGACTTTTTCGGTCGAGTACACTGTGGCATGAAGATATATGTATGTGTCTGATTTATGCCTTTTCAATATTGATTGAATGTAGCGGAAATGTAAGCGTCGACAGCGTGCCAGAGTTTTCGTGAAAAACTTAACACATACTTCAATATACAAGTCTGTTGCGATTGAAAGATGTTTGAGATCGTTACCTATGCTACCATTTAGTCAGTCTCTTAACCAACTCCGCTGTTCGACACAACTCGTACATACATACACGTTGTAATGCTTGTTGTACGTGCGAGAGTGCCCATCGGTGAATGCCGTTGATGTACACTTCCATCTGAGATAGAGTGTTGCCATGGTTACTTCAGTTTAGTGTTTTTAAAGTTTTCCCTAATCGGCACACGTTCTTATCGTGGCCCGCGACGACGAGACAATGACGACAACGACGGATTGGGCAGAACTCGTTGGCCCAAGGAAGTCGGTAAATTAAGGGTAAAACGTCTTTTCTCACAAGACGCGACGGACATTTCAATTCGTGGCCCTGAACAAGTTGGATGAACAAGTTGGAGGAACAAGTTGGAGGAACAAGGTCCAGTTACAAATTATCCTAGGTCCTTCCTTTTAGTCCATTCTGTCGGCTTCGCACATGTTGACGGTTGCACGACTTTTACAACGCTCCTAAAGCTCATTCTGTTTTTCCTCAGCTCTCCAAGCGCAAATACGCAACTCGCCGCGGATAAAAAGTCCCCGCGATCAAAAAAAAAGGCGCACTTTCGAAGACCGTTTTTGAGTTTTTTATTTGTTTATTTTTTTTCCTAGCGGCAGGTAATTTGAGGATTTTGGGACATCAACGGTGGTCGAATCCTCTTAGGGAGGAAGGCAGTAACATACATACAATTACAACGCAGACACTTTTCTCGTTTCCGTTTTGAGCATGGAGTGGACCAGATATTTAAATATGTTTTAGTGTGAGATATGGGTGACTCAAGAGCTTGCCATAGGGGCTTTCCGTCGATATTCGTGTGTCAGCTGTGTACTATTAGAGTTGGTAGCTGCTACGTTTTTTTCGTCCCAAACTCCCGTTAACGCACGAATTTGTCCAAACCACCGTCAGTAGTTGCGAGCGCAAAAAACACACACACGCTAGAAGGAAAAGACAGTGATCATCGAGGTGGAATTAGTAGTCTCAGTATTCTAAAGTCATTACAGAGATTTCCCTGACATTGAACGATTCTTCTCCATTAATTGTGGAAGCATCAGAGATATTTATCATCGAGGTCTCAGTTGACAATTCGGGCTCAAGGCAGGAAGGTAAACGAAAACCGCCAGCCATATGTATGATGACGGTAGTTGTCTTCTTCGAGATAAAGCGCAGCGGATTGGAATTTTTTCCCTCTTGCAGCGCAGCAGACGGTGGCTTCTCTTTCCCATTCTTCTGTGTGAGCCTTCTCAAGCGTTATAAAATCTGAAGGGAAACGGCCTCGTCGGCATTGCCGCGCTGTATTTTTTGTTTTGATTTCCAGCTTTTTTCGGGTTTGCATCTCAATTTCGTCCTCAAAGCTTCGCAAATTGCGCAAATGCGTGCATCTTGTTGTCCTTTGAGGATTTTTCAAAACATCGCTTGCGAATTAAACACCGCGATTCTTACCCGTTTGGATTGTTGACGAAACGAAAATGTCCTGAATGGGAGGCGTTTTACCCGATTCTGTATAGCTTTCCTGTATGGTTTGGCGCAAATGCGAAGTTTTTTGTATAAAAGCAGCCCGCCATTTCCCAAAAATTGTGGATGGATTCATTTTAAAAACCCTCTCTTTCTCCCAATTCTTTGAAATTTCAAAAGACCTTTGCTTGTTTTTTCTATTTCAAACTAATCTTCTAGATATCCAATCCGAAATGCTTCCAGCCGGTGTTATTCTTGTCTTCGTCCTCGTTGGTCTCGTTGGTCTTACCATCTTCATCATCCAAGTTATGAAGTACTTCAACAAGAGAAAAGCTGCTTTGCAACAATTCTAAAGTGTGTGACTGTTTCTCATCACTCGCTCGCATTGTTTCATTCGTCCATTTCTTTGATGTTTTTTGTTAGTACCCCCTTTTTGAATATAAGAAAAAACCAGCTCTTGTTTACCGATTTGTCCCTCATCTTTTGTTTGCCGGCTGTTGTTTTTGTTGCATTTGTTTTGTCTTTCTACCCACCATTCTACTATTGCCCATTGACAACCCCTGACTGGCTTTATCCGTATTTGGAGAATATGGAAGATGTTTTGTCGTATTACTGCTTTCTACTGTGAAAGGGGTTAACTGTTGGAAGATGAGGGTGTGTTTATGGATAAATTCTTTTGCTGCAGAGGCTTGGTTATCTGTCAGGATGATAATTTTTGAGTATGGAGCATCTGTTTACTTTTTAATTTAATCACTTATACCATTTAGTTAGACTCGTCTGATGTAGAGGGCATTTGAAGCTCCGTGGACGATAATTGAGTCAATCTTGGTTATGGATCTCCCAACGGTGGATTACTCCGTCCGCTCCAGGACACCTCTCCACGATGGTTGAGCGAAATTTGAAAATGACGGCCCTTGGCGTCTTCCTGATTGGTCCGAACCTTTTTCGTTCAAATTATACAGAGCTGGGGTTAAGTTATACAGTTGGACGTATTTCGAACATTGTGTACAAGCGAAAACGCTGGCTAACTCTCACACAATGATTCGTACTTAATGAACTAGCCGAGCGTGGAGTTCCACAGCACACATTTGTTATATGTTAGTGCAGCGAGGTTTCCAGTACTACAAGAAATGTCTTCCGTTTTAGGCGGACGGAGCTTGTTGATTATTTTCCAAGGCCCACGTACCCACCTCCAATCTGGCAGATAAAAAAACAACATTCAACGTGCGCCTTTTACATTGAGCAGTGTTGTGGGAGGTCTCCAAAGAGAGGATGATGAATTCCACGCTTGGTATTTTAGGCACTCTCAGCTTGAAATTCTGACGATATTCAGAAAGAATGAGAGAAGTAGTTAGATATCTTAGTTTTCCTTTCCCCCAATTGGACATATATAACCTTCCAACAGTGACCGATACTAGAGCTGAGGCTACTGTGTCGTATAGACATAGACTGCGATGACCTTTGCCCACCTCACCAACCTGATTCTGAGGTCGAACCAGCAGTTGGCCAGACACAATGGCCATAGCTGAGCTTCACAGACCTCAAACAGATTGACCCTTATCGTCACGACTCTCCTAGCAATATCCCCGTCGTTCTACGAGTGCAGTGATTACTTTTTGCGCAATTCCCACACCAAAACCCCAAACGGGCCGATCAGCGAATCACATCGGTCCAAAAGAGGAGGGCGCCCATTGCCAATTTTTCCCCTTTGGAGAAACATTCGCGAACGCCCGGAACTCAGCTGCCCCCGAGTTTCCCAGACGGGGGTATTTTCCCAATTCCAACTGTTTTTTCGTCTTTTCACCTTTTCCACCCTTTCCTCTTTCATCAAACAAGAGGTTTGTTTACACCGAAAAGGGATAACACAACGAATTTGACCTACCGGGAGAACTACGTACCTGTATTTTTTCACAACGCTCATCGCTCTTTGTTTTACTCGACGTCGATTGTCTTTAGTAAAGTATGTCTATTCTACCATGACGATGATTGCGTGTGTGTGTATGAAGCTCTGTTTGGTGTGGCAAATACACAGAAAAAACAACAACAACGATAAACAACAACCAAAACTGGGTTGTTGGAACGAGAAAAACGAAACTTTGCCCGAGAAGTTTCGCGTTTTGCGTTTTGTGCGATTTTACTCGTTTGGGGAATAATGTTGGACAAATGGGACACAAGCTGATGGGCTCCAGTGTGTGTTTAGAAGACCAATTACGCATCAAACGAGCTTGCTTACACACATACGCACCTGTCTTTGAAGAGTCTGGGGTACAATGAGGATGTGGTTTACTAACGATTTGTAAACAGGAATAGTTTCAAATGTCTGAAATAACAGATCCAAAGCTCACTGGTGAGGGACAAGATGAACTTGTTGACCAGTCAATCAACCAAGGCTCAGGCCCGGCTGATGACCTGGAAGATGACGACGATAAGCCAACCACCAGGGAGAGAAGAAAAATTGAGATCAGATTTATCCAGGATAAGTCTAGACGTCATATCACCTTTTCCAAGAGAAAAGCCGGTATTATGAAGAAAGCTTACGAGTTGTCTGTTCTCACAGGTACCCAAGTTCTTCTCTTGGTTGTTTCCGAGACTGGTCTGGTTTACACCTTCACCACTCCAAAGCTTCAACCGTTGGTTACCAAACCTGAGGGGAAGAACTTGATCCAAGCTTGTTTGAACGCACCTGAAGAGTCTGGCGAGGATGAGGAGGCTTCAACCCCAACTGCCGGCCAAGGCAACAATGTACCACAGCAACAAGCCACCCCACAGCACTCAGCTCAAGCCCAACAGGCCCAGCAGTCGCAACAGAGCACCTCTAGACCCCCAGCTGGTTCTGGCGGTTACCAACAACAACCAGGATTACAAAACATTCCAGGTAATGCTAACTATTTGAACCCAGAACAAACAGCAGTCTACCAAACCTACTTTGGTGGAATCAACCAAGGGAACCAATATTGAGCTATAGGTGTGATTTATTGGTTCTATACTTGGGCTTTTGTTCTTTTTGACTAGTGTTCTGTTGGTTATATGTTGGTTATATGGGGGATTCACATGAGGAGGGTATTATCCTTCCATCATCTTCTCTCTCTTTTTTTTACATCTAAATATCCGTACTTTGGGTTTGGTCGTTACTGAAGCTGCACTGCTGTTCGTCTTTCCCTGATCTAATATGTTATTGCAATTGATTGAAGCACATTTTGGCCTCAAGATTGTGGTGTTTACTCAAGCAATTACTCGTCTCCTTCGTTATTTCTTTTATTTGAGCTGTTACTTCTTCCTTTTTTTTGTTCTCTCTATCTCTCTTCCATCTACAACTGCTATTGACCACCAACTGTGGCAAAGGCATTGTTTATTGGGATATGGATTGTATAATAAATCTGACATTGTTTCTAATCTCCAATTTCGATTTCAACGTAGAGAAGAACCAAACGGCCTGTTTGGAGCCAACGTTCGCGAGCCCGCCGCAACACGTTAGCCCTTTGAAATTTATCCGAGGTTTCTCTCCAGCCTGTGCTTTCGTAAACAAAGGCCAACAACTTTGTGCTGAACTGTCTCGAACGTGAACGGAGCTGTGTCCATTCACTGTATTGAGAAGACTGTAAAGATTAGACGAAACATGGCGAATGAGTCTACGGCTGGCGATTCTGGTAAGGAATCCTCCATTGAGCCCAGCAATGATGATTATGGTGACTACCCACCGGGCACTATTGTGCTTGCGAAGTTGAAGTCGTTCCCTCCATGGCCAGCGATTGTGATTCCAGATGATCTCGTCCCTGAGGGCGTTGCATCCTCTAAGCCTAAGAAGCCGGCTTCTTCCTCTGGAGCACGCTCCTCCAGAGCTTCACGCTCCAGGCGCAAATCAACGGCGGCGCAGTCGCAGACGTCACAGCAGGATTCAAGACTGTGGTGTGTAAGGTTTCTCAAAGATGATACGTTTATGTGGGCCACTGCCAATGACATTTCGCTGTTGACAAAAGAACAGATTGAGAAGTTTTTGTCGAAGAACCCCAAGAAGGGTATCCGTAGTGCGTATGAAATGGCACTTGATCCACCGGAAGTTGAAGAATTCATCATTTATGGAAGCGATGGTAAACCAATTGATATTGATAACGAAGCCGATGATGCCGATTTCGAGGATGGAGAATCAACTCCTGACGATGACGACGAAGATGCAATTGAGGAGGAAGGGCTGGAAGAAGATGACGATGATGTTGAATTACTCACAGATGAAGAAGTTGAGACAAAACGTACAAGTAAAAGGACACGGAAAACTACAAAGTCCACACCAAGAAAGAAAGCAAAACCTGCACCGGTTAAGAAAAAGGCAACGAAGAGGGGAGGTTCCAAAGCTAAAGTCGTTGAAGAGCCTGAGACCTCATCAGATGAAGATTGGGATGCACCTGATGATGATAGTGAACCAGTTGCCGTTGATATCCTAACATCTGAAGAGATCTCAAAGATCATCAAGAAAACTACGCCACTATTTTTAAAAGCCAGATTAGCATTACAATCCACCTTTTTATCTGGGAAAGAGATAACTGATAATTTGAAACAAATCAATACTACTCTGGACTCACTGGAGAAGTCAGAGTACCCACATGTTGGTATTATCAAGGCCACGGGGTTGCATAAAGTCATCTTTGACATTTTAAAAAGGCCAGATCTTACAACAAGAGAATTGTCCAAGGTTAGATCGAGACTAGAGAAATTGGCAAAGGAGTGGTTTGATGTCACCATAGATGTTGAAGAGTCATGGAACTTTGAAGAACAAAATGAGGAGTCAAAGGACGAAGAGTCAGAGGTGAAGAAGGAGGAAACTGGTGCCTCTGATATCAAAGAAGAAACAGAGTCTACCAACAACCATCCTACTAATGGGTCAACTACTAAAGCAGAAGAGTAGTTTTGAATCATCTTGGGGGGAGGGGGCATTCACCTGTTTGATACAAAACGAAGATACATGTGTACTAGATAACTCTTTATAGCAATTACCGAATAGAATGTGTGTTTCTATTAGAACTCTGAGAGTATGCGATGATACAATGACCATATGTTCTGTCCGTTCAAGATCAAAGGCATTTGATGTCTACACGAATGAGATTAAATCTGCAGAACTACAAAAAATATACCTATAACCTACCGGATACTGCAGAGCTTGCTAAGACCGTTGCTCTCCAATCTACTCCAGTATACCTTACAATTGAAACATTTCAGCGAGAAATAAGACACTTGATGTTTCATCACTGAATAGCGCAGTTCGTTGATACCGAAACCAAAAAAAAAATGCGATTTCTGTGGATTGAACACAGGACCTCATGATCTTCAGTCATGCGCTCTCCCGACTGAGCTAAAACCGCTTGTTACGAAATTTTAAAAACTGACAATTGTATAGTAAAAGCACACTGAATTGGCTTCTATCACATTAGCTTAATTTAACTACGCTATCGATGCAGAAATTGGTGCACATCTGGTGGCCAATGTATATCATCAACAAATCATATGTGAATGATGAATTACTTAGCACAAGACTTTTATCAGCGTACCTGGAAAGTTAGCGTGGTTAGTTCAACATTTCATTAGTGTACATAAAGTCCGATCCTACATTGCACATCATACTATTGCCTCTTAAAGCATAATACGTAGTTATTGATGTGTATTTATTTCAACCACTTCATAACTTATTGTTCACTGGTTACGGATTCCAGGACGTGCGACTCATGGATGCTGTGCTCTTGGTTCTCTTTATCATCCTCAACATCGGACTGATCATCAGAGCTGATGGGGTTCAAGTTGTAAGACTTCTTAGTATTAGGTGTGGTACAAGCATTGACATTCATCAAATACGAATTCGTGCTCAATACTCTGTTACCGTTTTGAGCCGGCTTTGAAAGAACAGAATCTTCATTTGAAAAGTTTGCAAAAGTGGTTGTATTCATTATCGACTGGAGCTTTTCGATGTTCAAATTCATGAATTTCTCAGAAACTCTTTCATATTCATTAGTCATTTGCTTCAAGTCATTGTAGCGCGCGTCATAGATTTCATTCAACCGCTCCAATTTGGATTCAAGTTTCCCACGCTTAGAGTATAATTCCCCTATGGATTCTTGCAGTGCCTCCTTGGATTGTAATTCTTCAAGTTTAGCTGTTAATTCTCTTATACGGGAATCTTTCAATTCTAATTCCAAATCTTTCTTTTCCAAAATGATCCTAGTGCTTTCATCGATACTTGATGATGATTTTTCCTTGAGTTCGATTATGGACGAAGCGAGGGTATTGCACTCATTCTTGGTCAAATGTTCCAAATGTATGAGCGTTTCACCAAGTGATACAGTTTTTTCATGGAGCAAATCCCCAGATTGCGCGGTATATTGATTTCCAGAGATTCCCTCTAACTGGCGTTCCACAGTGGATCTGAAAGCATCCAATGAAGTTTGAAACTCAGTTTTCATATGTTCCAAAATTTCATTCTGAACAATGTCCTTAGAAATGGTTTCAAGCTTATCAATCAGGGTATCCTGAAACTGTTTCATAGTATCCATTAATTGTGTGAGGCGTTCACCAGAAACATCAGCTTGCTCGTGTTGCACTGTTGATGCTTGAACCGTTTCATGAATAGAGCGGACACGTGATTCTAACTGTTCTTGATGGGAGACCAAAATTTCCTTGATATCCTGATTCATTAATTTTGTCAAGGATACCTGAATTGATGCAAGTAATGTTTGGATCTCTTGCTGGTTCTTGGTTATATCTGACGATTTATCATCATTGGCAATGTCTTTGATACTCTCATGAATCCGATTAACATCGTCAATGCTTGGCTGGTTTTGCATTGCAAGGAATATCTGTTCTTTAACTTCGCCTAGCTTCGAGAGAATGTTCTCCTCAATCGGAGATGGCCGATCTTCGATCTCAACAAGCTTTGATAGGATTTCGCTCTTCATCGTTTCAATTTTACCCAACTTCTCTGAAACTGGACCAAAGGACTTGCTGAATATCTCATGGATCTTTTCCTGGGTAACATCGGTTTCAACGTGCGCACTCGACGCCACGGTCTGGAGTAAATCTTTCAAGCGTGTATTGTTGTTCGACGATCTCTCGTTCAAACTTTCAAGATCCAGCTGTGTAGTCTTAACAGATGTGTCAATGCTCTGTAGTAGGTACTTCATAGACGCCTGCGACTCTGTAAGCTTCTTCACCTGGTATTCAATCTCTGACGTATCCACATTGCTGAGCTGAAAACGACCAGGGGACCCATTGTGCGGCTTGCTAGGCGAGCTCTTCGCAGAACGTAGCATTTTTGGCGACAATGGTAGCGGTGGTGGGTTTCTCATTGGGTCATTGCTGTCCCACATATTCTTCTGAACAGGTGAAAGGAGCGATGCCGCCGTTTCCTTGTGTCGAGTGGGAGATTCATCAAATCCTACATTCTCCTTAAACGGATCGCTATCAGTGTCTGTCATTCTTAACGCTTACCGCCCTATGAAGCTCACCTTGCGGTTGTGGTTGTGTTTCGTGATGTAAACAAAGCTTTTGAGGAAATGTAAACAAACAAAGCAGCGAGATCCGAGGGGGAGGAAGACTGGAGACTCTGGCGCGACTTCCGGCTCATCTTCCTTGGTTCGCTCGGCGTAAACGTGAGAACGGCATAGGCGTAAATCTGAGAACGCACAGGTGAAAAATTCGACGCACTTTTCAGATTTTTCACCTTAAGCGCCAATTGAGAGACGAATGGTGAGCGAGAGAGAAGGATTCCATACTCTGAAACAGTAAAGATGGCTAAGTTCATGAAGTCTGGCAAAGTTGGTAAGTGATACCGAAGAGGGGCAGGGTGGACTTATGGTTTTATATGTGGTATTTGTGGTGTTGGTGATGCTGGAAGAAGAGAGCGTCATTTTGTAGAAGGCTGTCGTGTGCTTCGTTGACATACACTTTGAACTTATGAGGATAATGGTTGATGTGAGACATTTGTTGTGGATACAATCTTTGGTGCATGGGAAACTCGCTATTCTCATGGTCAAAGCGGTGTGTTAAGCACCATTATTTTAGTTCAGCGCTGAAGAAGCTCATGTCCAGCCACAGGCAGCTTCCACGAAACAGCTTCCACGGTATAACTCCAAGGCTTATTCCAAGTCCACCTCAAACAAAACAATACAAGCTCATAGTACTGACACGAACCTCTAGCCATTGTTGTCCGTGGTCGTTATGCCGGTAAGAAGGTTGTGATTGTCAAGTCCCACGATGAAGGTTCCAAGGCTCACCAATTTCCACACGCCCTTGTTGCTGGTGTCGAGAGATACCCAACCAAGGTTGGTAAATCTGCTGGTGCCAAGAAGGCTGCTAAGAGATCAAAGGTCAAGCCATTCATCAAGGCTGTGAACTTCAACCACTTGTTGCCAACTCGTTACACCGTCGAGATTGAAGACTTCAAGGCTGCCGTCTCTACCGAGACCTTCGAGGAGCCAACCAAGAGAGAGGAGGCCAAGAAGCTCATCAAGAAGGCATTCGAGGACAGATACCAATCTGGTAAGAACAAATGGTTCTTCACCAAGTTGAACTTTTAAATTAAAAGCGTCTTTTGAGAATTGCATATTGGAGTCTTGAAAAGAGCACTCCGATTTTAGAGAAACAAAAACTATTTAAAATCACTGTTCGATGAACTTATCAATCTATAGCTTGAACGTAGCTTCCATAGCCCAATTGTGTATCACTCATAGCGATGCTTTTTTCGTCCCTGTTGTTTCACTGTGAAGTGGCCCCATAGTGGAAGAAAACAAAAATGGTGAAAAGGATACCGAGGATAGCACATCACCGCACAAGTGGCATTGATTCACACGTCTACATATACGCTATGCTGAGCAGAAGGATCACGCTATCGGCAGTGAAAAGAGGTGCCCAGCTCTACAGTGCCCGGTTCTATAGTGCGCTGCCACAGGAGAAACGCATCTTAAAGGCACCTTCTTTCGATGTGAAGGGAATAGTTTCCAACATTGATAGAGTTGTTGAGGTCTCAAAGTTGAGGGAGCTTCCATCCACGGTTGTTGACAAACTACCTCAGATACCTCTTCTGTACGAAGAGGTGAGACAATTGCAGACAACGTTGAACACTGTCCTTAAGGAGAAGAATGACGCACAGCGCTTGGTGAAGAAGGAGCTCAAGACCTCGGGGACTCCTTCCCAAGAGCTACAGAGCTTACAGCTCTCGTTGAAGACCAAGGAAAAGGAGATCTCCACAGCACTGTCCACGAAGGAGAAGGAGCTCTACTCTCTGGTTGACTTGGTCCCTAATGATATACACCCTTCCGTACAAGTTAAGGAGGATATAGTGCGGTGGTTGAATCCAAGGTCCCAGTATGAACCAGACTTGAAGCTAGAACACGATAAGATTGGCGTTGAATTGGGTATTCTCAACTTGAAATCGGCTGCCACTGTCAGCGGATCCTCTTGGTACTACCTTGTTGGAGATGGTGCACTGCTTGAACAGGCCTTGGTGCAATATGCGCTGAAGCTGGCCCGTAAACATGGCTTTATCACGGTGTTACCACCTTCCATCGTGAGAAACGAAGTAGCGGATGCCTGCGGGTTCAAACCAAGAGACCAGAACAACGAGGTACAGACGTACCAACTAATCAACGACGATCTGTGTCTGACTGGAACTGCTGAGATCCCGCTCGCCGGGCTTGGTATCAACAGGCTGTTCTCTGAGAAGGAGCTTCCAGTCAGGGCTGTCGGTCTCAGCAGAAGCTATAGAGCCGAGGCTGGCGCCAGAGGGAAGGACACCAGAGGGCTGTACCGTGTCCATGAATTCACCAAAGTTGAGCTGTTCGTATGGGCCACGGAGTCCCAGTCGGAGAACGAGCTCGAGAAGCTTCGTACTTTCCAAGAGGAGTTCGTCTCTTCCCTTGGGCTCAGTGCCAAAGTCATCAACATGCCATCCAACGACTTGGGCGCACCTGCTTTCAAGAAGTACGACATCGAGGCCTGGATGCCAGGCCGTGGCACCTTCGGCGAGGTCACTTCGGCCTCGAACTGTACGGACTACCAGAGCAGAAGACTGCAGACAAAGTACACCAGTCTGGCGGATAACAAGAGGAAGTATGTCCACACGCTGAACGGTACCGCCGTGGCAGTGCCTCGTGTAATCGTTGCAATCATCGAGAACTTCTACAACCATGAGACAAGAACTGTTGCAATTCCACGGGTCCTACAGCCTTATATGGACGACAAGACCGAGATCTCCACTCAGAGTAAACCGTTCTAAATAGATCATTGAACTAAGTAAACTTGTATATAAACGCTTTGGCAACCCAGGCAACCGCGGAACGATGAGCTGCTATTAGTGCGCGCACCGAACTACCGCGTCCTTTGTAGAAAATTTCAAAATCTGCGAGGGGGACTTCCCACTAAGCAAAGCTATCGAAAAGCAAACAATTACACGGAAACAAGAGCACGTTTGGTCGAACCAAGTCGCTGTTATTCAAAGAGGCTCGACTGATATCGTACTGCCTCAGCTGCTTATTGGGTTTTCCGCTACTTTTCCACCTTACCGCGTCTGTTGTGTTGTCTTGAAGCAGATCCATCTAGTTGCTTACTGGTTTGATTTTTGCCGCCATATACTTTGCTGATAAAGAGGTACGGTGTGATGGTGTTGACGAAGAAGGAAGAGAAGAAGTACCTGAAGGATGCGTCCGAGGCGCTCACTCAGCTAAAGGAGAAGATCATGGCTGCGTCTGATGAGAATCTCATTCAATTGCTGAACAAAAGCATGAAGTGGGATACCTCGAAAGGGACGTTGTACCACTGGATCCCAGTTCTCAACAAGTTCGATGCGTTGCTTGAAGGGGTCATCAATAAGTATGGGCTATCTGAAAAACACTGTAAACCACAGGAGATGAACACGTTCGATACCAATCTGGTGTGTGCAATCTTGGCGTTTACCCATATGCTGTTGGAGAACTGTTTGCATCGTGGTATCTATTCATCCTCCCATAGGCTGTACGACTTGCTGAATTGTCCATCTATCTCGGTTTGCGTTGCTGTTCTTAGATGCTACGTCGTGTTGGCACGCAAGTTCATCAACCAAAGACCCAAGATGTTCATTGGCCAGAGAAAAGTGTCTGAAAGAATATACACGTTGGGCGTTTTCCTGCCAGCGTCGTCGTTGACTGCGAACACAGGTTCCAGCACCACATGCTCGCTAGTGGATTACATCAAGGAAGAACCACAGATCCCAAAGAAATGGAAGTCGCTCAACTACATATACTGTCCTGAAGAAGCTCCTCGCTCTCACGCTCCTCAAAACCAGATTGAAGGATCGCCATCGATCAAGAGAGTTAAAGATTTACAGTCTCCAAAGAAGAAAAAACCATCTAAATTGGCAAGTGGAGAAACTATTGAGACCCTCCACATCGCTGAGCACGATGTTCGTAAGCTGACGCTCCAGCAGATGTTTGACAAAGGTGTTGCAAAGGTCCCTCCTAAGGTTTGGCCCAAGTTTGCCTATACGGCTACAATGGCAAAGGCTTTCAACTCAAATTCCTATGAGAACATCAAATTGAGACAGGACCTTGTTGTATTGAAATCTCTCAGCATCGCCTTCCTTGTCATGGTTAACAGGGAACTTGAAATTACATCAAAGGTCTTTGAATGTGATCCGACTCTTTTGACTTGCCTCATCGATTTGGTAAATTTGCAAAATAATGTTCCAACAGAAGTGAGATTGGCTGCGGCTACTTGTTTGGAGTGCATTGCTTCGAAGAAGACATGGTCCACAGAGATTATGAGAGGACTAGGTGGTAGTGTCTCTCATGGTCTCTTATTTCAAATTCTGAAATCGATGGCGAAACAGTTAAAAATTGGTATCCCTGAACAAGTATCTGAAAATTACAATTCTGTTATTTTCCATTTAGTTTTAAATCTGGCATCAACCAAAACTTTGGCCAGCTCTCTGGTTTCTGCCGGATTGATTCAGCACTTGTCTGAGTTCCTCACCATTCCAACACAGTTTAAGATTACAAGTGCCGGTGCTACTCATCTGCTTCAAAACATTGTCACTAGCAGCTCTGAGAATATTGCACTTTTCAAAGAGAACAAGGGTTTCCAGAAACTTTTGAGCTCGATCACGTCAGAAATCGAGTTTGCACTGCATGATAAGATGGGCGGTCCTCCATTGTTGAGTATTGTCCATTACACCATCAGCTACCCACAATGTTATTATCTCATTGCATTGCTGAGATTTGCTCTTGGAATTTTGCAGAAGGAAAGTGGGGATACAGTTAGAAACTTGTTCGATTCTTCTCTACTCAACGATATCAACAAAATTCTGCTCAACATACCGGTCTTTGGATTGTCCTTGCTTTCTAATGCAATTAATATCGTGAGTGCTATTCTTCACAATGAGCCTACATCCTACACAATATTGAAAGAAGCCGGAACTATTGATGTCGTTATCGATAATTTCGGGGACTTCTTACGTCCTTCAAAGGATGTCGTATGTGCTCTTCCTAACCTCATTGGTGCCGTATCGTTAAACAACAACGGTTTGGAGAGACTCAAACAGGTCAATGCGATCAAACAATTTTTCAAAATCTTTGAAATCCAAGGAATCGCAAGAGATATGGTTTCCAGTGAGAACTATGAATTCCTTGTTGGTGCTATTGATGAATTAGCAAGACATTATCCCGACTTTAAGCCTTTGATACTGGACGAATTATGCGCACTGGTTGAAAAATTGGCAGACGGTACACTATTTGAGTTCCCAAGACCTCATATATACCGTTCTGAACTGAAATCGTTTTACCACTCAAAGGAAGAACCTGTCGTGGATAACGAGGAGGGAAGTTCTGAGCTGGATGTATGGGAAAACATTGACGAGGCTTATACCTTGGAATTTGCTGCGTCTGTGATTGGAAGTCTTGTCGAATTAGGTGGCTTCTGGCATACAATGTACCAAAAAATTGCACCGGAAGTGTGGGTGAAGTTAGTTGTGTTGAAGAACTCTCCCTTTGACTATGTGTACTCTAATGCAATGTACCCAATCAATGGAGCTTTGAAATACTTTGATGATACATCTCGTGCCTATGGAATCTACTCAGTTTTCGATAAAATAGTGGAAACAGTTGATGCAATTGATTGGTATTGTGATTCATCGGAGAAACAGTCTTTGTTCCAAGCCCTGGAAAACCAAGACGACTTTGACAAGGCAGATGACCTCTTCAATGGCTTGATTGCAGTGAACAATGCATTGTTTGGCTTTGTTGATGTGTTTTGCAATTCTGATTCCCTCTCGCCTACTCGCTGTGAACAATTGTGTAAACTATTTGGAACAGATGGTGGGTGCAATCTCATTGATAAGTTGGGAAAGTTGTTACAACGAGTGACTTGGGAAGAGCATGCGCTTAGAACATCGATGCCACCAATTGTATCTGAAGAGACTGTTATTAAAGAGTATGATGACGGATTTCCTCCTACAAGAATTTTCGATAATGACGCCAACGTTAAATTGAAGTTTGACAAGACATCAGCTAAATTCAAGAATGCCTGTCAAGTACGTCTTGTGGGTCATCGTATCCACTCATCAATTGCGATCATCTTCAATACGTTACTTATGCTTGCAAACATGTCGACTGATGAACAACTACTCGATACAATACGCTGGCAGATTGTTAGAATTGCAGGCAAAATTTCAGAATTCTTTGTCTCTCTATTGTGCTCAAATCACTTTGCTAACGCTGATGTATTGTTAATATTACTGTACACGATGCATTATTGTTTTACAGACTCTCATAATGACAATGTGTTGACGTTGCCAGCGATACTATTTGTCCAAAAGGGTGGTTTGCTCAAGGAAAGAGAAGTGCTAGGGTATTTTTGGAGAGAAGTCTCCAGCCTTGATCCAACAAAAATATCTGAAGTGAAAGAATTAGCATATGTGAAGAATACCAAGGAGAGTATCACTATTTCAATTATTCTGAATTGTCTAGTTTTCTTCAATAAGTTGACAGACTTTAACCAACTGACCAATGTTCCATATCCAGACAAGTTCTACGAGAGTAACTTTCATGGTTATGCAATTGTTCGTGTCAACGATTTCAGATCGAATCTATTGGTTCAAACGAAGCTGTTTGGATTTGGAGTTCTCGAAAATATCCTCGAAGGAGATGAAACGTCTGATGTTAAAGAACTGATACCAGAAGACGTTTTTAATGAGTTGATCAAATTTAGCAAAAACATATTCACGGCGTCGGAGGAGAAACATCTACAGGAATCTGATGGTTCACTATTCTCTATCGATTGGAGGCGGTTGGAACACTCACTGGCAAAAGCTGATTATTTAAAAGATCTTGGTGTTTCTGAGGCCGATGTAGCCAAGTCATTGGCAGCATTTAAGGGATCATTGACGTTTCTCAAAGATGATATCAGATCAACATTGCCTACATCACCAGCAGATGCTGTTATGAAGAATGCGTCCGCAACACCATACACAGATTATGTTCCCTCTTTGGCAGAGCCACAGTTCTCAAACTACCATACTCTAGTAGAACTTCAGGAGCTTCGTGAATCTGAACTTGGTGCAGTTCTTGATGGTATCTTATCGCTTGTTCAGGTTCACCCGACTGCTTCTCGATTGGTATCACAATTTTTGATTGGTACATTTTTGGATGCTCCAGGTGCTTCAATAGAAGAGTTTGAATCTGTTATACTCCGTTTGGTTTTGGATTACATTGAATCGTTTGATCTAAGTGTATCTGATAACAAGGGCTTAGCTGGTTTGTTGAATCTTTTTAGTTTCTTGATTCTGAATGACACTGTGTTTTTCTCATGTCATTCAATCTTGGAAGAGTTCTCAGATTTTGTGATTGACCAATTGAAGCCTGAATATGTCAATGCTGACTGGTTTGATGATGCTGTACTTTCGATGGTTAAGATCATTTCGGGGACACAACTGCCATCACCAGTAAAGCTGGGACCAGAACGTCCATTTATTGGGATCTTCAAGGAACCACCAATTGCGTTTAAATTGGAGAAGGCTGCGGGGGATCGTCTTTTCGATATTGCTGTATCCGTCTCAGACATAAGCTCTACAGACAGTGCTTTGGCTCTATGTCGTCTGCTCACAATTTATGCTGGCGACCCTCGGTATGCAAACAAGGTCTCTCAATCTGGAGTTGTGGAGAAGATCTTGAAAGCGATTTCATATCCCAAACTCAAAGAACCTCAAAAGCCTTATATCCTCCAGACAGCCTTTATGTATTTGGTGAGAAGGTGTTATGAGACCACAGACATCATCACCGATATGGCTATAAGAGAGATAAAGACGCAGTATACCAATAAGAGCAGAAAGGAGCTGAAAAGCAAGTCTCGTGAACTTTCTTCAGTTCTGAAAGACTGTTATGGGGTAATTATGAGAAACCCTGACATATTTGTTGAGGAAATTTCCAAACGTGTAAGATTTGTTGATTTCACAGAGAGCTCAATGAAGTCATTTTCCACTGAAATGATAGATGTTGCAGATGAAGATGTCGATATGGTTGATGTTGACAAGGATGTAAAATCAGAAACCTGTACTGGACTCAAGAGCCCTGTCGGCATTGTTAACTTAATTCTCACTGAGTTGATGTCTGCTGTACGGAATAATTGGTTAATTGAACCACCCAAATCAGAAAAGGAAATCGAGGAGGAAAAGAAGAAGCAACTTGACCGCAAAGAGTTGGACCTTATCAAGGAGCCAAAGAGTGATGTTAGCAAGAACGAGCACTGTGAACACATCATATTTTTGTTGAAGGTCTTGACCGAACTTCTTGCGTCATATAAACAGAGTAAGCTGGAATTCTTGACGTTCTCCAAAAAGAATTTGTTTCAAGAGCCATCAGTCGAAGAACCGAAACCTAGGTCTACATCTTTGAACTTTTTACTTCACCAGCTAATCTTATCAGGAAAAGCCGAGTTACCAGATGAAGAATTGGCACGTAAAGCAGTTGTCGGTGAGCTGGCTGTCAGTGTTATAATAGCGTTCGTATCCACAGTGAGTGGTCGCCATGTCAAAGCAGATCCTAAGGACGTTGATCCTGACTTGACATTTATGAGGAAGTTTACTGTTGACACGATACACAAGGTGCTCAAGGAGTCTGTTACCACAGCACCTGGTATCAGAACGATGTGTGCTAGAGTAACTTCTCTTTGTTTGGCGTTACGTTCGTTGCTGAGCCCTCAAGAAGAACCTTACCTTGATCCAAACGTGATCGAATTTGATGCATTTCATATCGCCAGTGTTGTTATTGACTCTGGATTGCCAGCAACGCTGACATCCATCTTGTCTGATATTGATCTCAACTTTGGTGATTATATCTTTCCTCTGGAATCTGCAGTTAACGTACTGAGCTTTTTGGGTCAAATTAAAGCCAACAATCAGGAACTCTTCAGAGCAACACATCCTACCAATGGTCTCGAGGAAGAAGAGGTTGAAGATGATGACAATGACTTCAAAGAAGAAACACCTGATCTCTTCCAGAACTCTACACTTGGTATGTATGATGTTGAAGATATTGACTCTGAAGACGATTTCAGCAACGATGAATTGAGCTTTGGCGACGAAGACGAAGACATCGAGGAAGATGAAGACATGGATGATGATATTGGCCAAGATATTGAGATTGTCTATAGTGAGGATGAGGATGATGGAATGATTTCAACTGATGATGGTGAGACTGTTTCTTTAGATTCAGATCATAGCTCATTCTCTGACTTAGGATCTGACGAAGAAAACGCAGGATCAAATAGTAGCGATCAGTATGTTGGTTATGATATCGCTCCAGAACTTGCTGGTGGATCTGAATTCGATTCAGAGAGCGAGTCAGAGGAGTATTCTGACGCGAGCTTGGATATTGGATCTGATGCTGAAGATGATATCGAAGCAGCTGATGATGATGGATGGTACACAACTGATGACCATGACCACGATCATGTATTTGAATTTGATGATGATGATGATGCTGAGTCTTCCGATGAAGAAGCAGGAAGTGGCCATTGGATAGTGCGTTCTGGTGAGCATGGCGACATTTTGGACTTTGAAGATGAAGGAGATGTCTTGGGATATGATGACGAAGAAGAGGATATAAGTGATGGCTCTGAACTCATGGATACTGAAGCAGTAGAGGTCCCTCAGACTTTGAGACGTGTGCTTCATGGTGGCAGCAGAAGATATTTTGAACGTGAAAGACAAAGACATGGCCGTATTCTCACTTCCAACATTGCTGGTAATGATTTCATTGAGTTGATAAACAATGGTAATATCCATGCAAGACGTGGTTCATCTCGTCTCAACCAATTCTATGACTACTTTGTGAATATATTGACTCAGCGCAATGGGAATCAGATGCCATCGTCTCATAATCGTGCTAAGGAGGAATTCAAGATCTTGTCAACGAAAGAAAGATGGACCGAGCTTTCTCTGATTCTTGGATCAAAGACAGACGCACTTAGAATATACGGCCATATTTTCAAAAATATCTATGAACCAAGCCGTGAAATCTATAATGAAAACCAGAAGGCAGAGGATATGAAACACCAGAAGGAAGAAGAGGAGCAGAAACGTCAAGCTGAAGAAGAGGCACAGAGACGTGCAGAACAGGCACAACTTGAAGCCAATACCAGCAATAATGATGAGGAACACGAAGAACCCCATCAACTGGATCCTATTTGGGTGACTGTTGGTGGCCGACAAGTTGATATCAGTGGGACAGATATTGATCCTGAATTCTTCGAGGCTCTGCCGGATGATATGAGGGAAGACGTCTTGACACAGCATATTAGGGAGAGACGTGCAGAGGCATCCACCACAGGAGATACTGGACACACGAGAGAGATTGATGAGGACTTTTTGGAGGCTTTACCCGAGCATATACGAACAGAGATTCTAACTCAAGAAGCATTATCCAGCAGATTAAGAGCTGTTGAACAGTCCCAGACAGTTCAGCAAGAGGAAACTAACGTGACCTCAGATGAAGAGTCCAAAAAGGATAAGAAGGCCAAACAAAAAGTCTTCTTTACGCCTCTTTTAGACAAATATGGCGTTGCTTCTTTGATTAGATTTGTTTTCATACCGCAGTCATTCCCAGCAAGAAAGTCATTGTACATGCTGTTAGGACAGCTCTGTTTAAACAAACAGACCAGATCTGAAGTTCTTGGCTTGCTGATTGCAATATTGCAAGATGGCATTTCATCACAAGAGGCCTTACAAAATGTCTACCGTCAAATCTGCACTCGTGTAAGACCTTCACCAACTGCTTCCCAAGGTCCTGTATCTACTCCTTCTAAGCTTGGAACTCCACGGACTCCTTCACAATCAGTTGTTCCAAAAGATATGCAGAGTCTGGGTCATTTCCCAAACCGTGCTTCACCATTTGTGATTGCTTGCCAAGTGTTAGAAGCGCTTCAATTTTTACTCGAGTCAGATCCACAATTGAGATACTATTTCATTACAGAGCATGATCCGGTATTGCTATACAAGAAGGCAGGCTCCATCAAAAAATCCCATTTGAGTGGCAAGTCATCTAAATACCCCATAAACTTCTTATTAAACTTGCTTGATATTCCCCTGGTTAAGCAAAAGTCGGTGCTTATGGATGGCTTATCTCGCCTGGTTCAGATTACCACACGTCCATTGGCATCGATGAAGAAAGCAAAAGAAGCAGCTGAAGACCCTTCAAAGATTGAACTACCGATCATAACCAGCACCAGTTTGAGAAACTTTGTAACCATACTGGTTTCTGATGATTGCTCGAGTCGTACTTTTCAACAAACACTCAGTGCAATGCAAAATTTGCTTGTGCTGAATGCTCATAATGTATTCTCCAATGAGCTCTCTAAACTGTCTATGAAGTTGGCATCATCCTTGAACAAAGATCTTGAAGTGTTAGTTGGTGATTTGAAAAAACTGGATGAAGAAGCTTCTGATTTCGACTCACAGATTATGCAGAAGTTCACTTCATCGAGCTCTGATCAATCTAAATTATTGAGAGTATTAACAGCTTTGGACTATCTGTTTGGCAGGGAGAAGAAGGATGGTGGTGATAAGGTTATGGAGAACAAGGAACTGACGAAGCTTTATACAAATTTGAAGCTTGGTTCTCTATGGGTCTCTCTTAGTGACTCTCTTGATATTTTTGAAGCCAATAAGAGTATTACCCATGTTGCCACAGCTTTGTTACCTCTGATAGAGTCTTTGATGGTTGTTTGTAAACACAGTGAGGTAAAGGATGTACAAGCAAAAGATGTGTTTAACTATGAGAATTCCAAAGATTTTGCCAATGAAAACATTGAAAACCTTTTCTTCTCGTTCACTAATGAGCATAAGAAGATCTTGAATCAGATGGTTAGATCCAATCCAAAGTTGATGAGTGGTCCATTTACCATGCTTGTTAAGAATCCAAAGATCCTTGAGTTTGACAATAAGAAGAACTACTTTGACAGAAAGTTACATGATACTGAGACGGAAAGAAAGACGATGTCAATATCTGTGCGTCGTAAGGAGGTGTTTTTGGATTCTTATAGAGCTTTGTTCTTTAAATCTAAAGATGAATTCCGCAATGCCAAGTTGGAGATCAATTTCAAAGGCGAAGCTGGTGTTGATGCTGGTGGTGTGACCAGGGAATGGTATCAGGTCCTATCAAGACAGATGTTCAACCCTGATTACGCGCTGTTTTTACCAATTGCCTCTGATAAGACGACGTTCCATCCTAATAGAACGTCTTGGGTTAATCCTGAGCATTTATCATTCTTCAAGTTTGTTGGTCGTATCATTGGTAAGGCTATTTACGATGGCTGTTTTCTGGATTGTCATTTCACTCGTGATGTCTACAAGAGTATTCTTGGATGCAAAGTTTCTTTGAAAGATGTTGAGACAATCGACTTGAACATCTATAAATCTTTGACATGGATGCTGGAGAATGATATCACAGATGTTATAATTGAAACCTTTTCCATCGAGGCTGATGACTATGGTGAAAAGAAGATCATTGATTTAATACCTGATGGACGTAATATTGCAGTTACCGAGGAGAACAAACAACAATATGTCAAAAAGGTTGTTGAATTCCGTGTTCAAAAGAGTGTCGAAGAACAAGTTGAGAATTTCCTTCAAGGGTTCTATGAGATCATTCCAAAGACGTTGATTTCAATCTTTGACGAACAAGAATTGGAATTGCTGATCTCAGGATTGCCTGATATTGATGTTGATGACTGGAAGAACAACACCACATATGTGAACTATACCGCATCCTCTCGTGAGATTTCCTATTTCTGGAGAGCAGTCCGTTCATTTGACACTGAGGAACGTGCCAAACTGTTACAATTCGCAACTGGTACCTCCAAAGTTCCATTAAATGGATTTAAAGAATTAGAAGGCGCCAACGGAGCTACAAAGTTCAACATCCATAAAGATTTTGGATCCACTGATCGCTTACCATCATCTCATACTTGCTTTAACCAAATTGATCTGCCGGCATACGATTCGTATGAGAAATTGAGGAAGGCATTATTGCTGGCGATCAACGAAGGCCATGAAGGATTCGGATTAGCATAAAAAAAGATATACTTATAGTTTTTAAAGGAACGCTTTTCACTATTAGTTAAAAGCAGCGATAACGTAGATGTTCAATTGTGTTTTGTGTATGTAGATTTGAATATAAGTACTCTCTCGTAGAGATGTATGTTTGAGCTTAGTTTTGTCTGTATTTCATCACGATGCATCAGATTGGATATACTTAGAGTGTGGGGGAAGGGTTCACTTCTTTTCCTCGTCATCCTTCAAGAAGTCACTAGAACAACCATGTCAGTAATTGGAAATCAGATGGAATTGATGGTGTAGGGCTCCCGAGCAGCGGTGGGAGGGGGTAAAAGGAAAGGAGCACTCACTTCAACAACTTCTCAACATCAAAGTCTTCACTCTTCTCAGCAACCGGAGCAGCTGGAACAGGAGTGGCCTTTGGTGAGGCCTCGGCCTTAGATCCAGATGAGGACACAACACCAAGACCAAGAGCGGCGGATAGTGTTGCAATGGCAATCTTCAACATTTCAATTTTGACTGTTAGTGCTATGTCCAGCTCAGGGGCCAATTGACCCGCGCAGACGCATCAAACTTACCCAGTGAGAGGAGACTTGTTTACCAAAGATAGTATAAGCGGATCCCATCGTGTATTCTTGGTTTTAAAGTATGTTGAACAACCAATTGAACTAGCAAAAGGAGTCTCGAGAAAGGAGAACCAAATGGGCACCCGCAAAAAGTAGCGAAAACCACCGAGCATGCTTGGGGAAATTAAACCACCGCAAAACACCCAAAGCGGAAAGTATCCTATTTCGGTAGATTACCTATTTGGGAAACGCCGTCTCTATTGACTACCCATTCAAAGGAGCATATGCTTACGTAATCAAAACCAGAGAAAAATTCCAGAATTTTCGATTTTCCCACGCACCCACACCGGCGCCGTTTTTATGGGGGAACTTTTGCACAAATTTTGGTCATTTCCTTCAATCTTTCGCTTAGCTTCTTCTCTTCCTCTCTTCACTGCGGATTAGTTCTCACATCAACAAAATCAATCACCATGTCTGCTGCTCTCAAGTCAATTTCCTCCATTGTTCCACTGCTCGACAGAGTCCTTGTTCAAAGAGTCAAGGCGGAGGCTAAGACCGCGTCAGGTATTCTTTTGCCGGAGAAGAACGTTGAGAAGCTCAACCAGGCCAAGGTGTTGGCTGTTGGGCCAGGGTTCACCGACCAGAACGGTAACAAGGTTGTGCCAAACGTTGCTCCAGGAGAGACCGTCTTGATTCCAAGCTTTGGCGGCTCTCCAATCAAGGTTGGTGACGATGAGGTTATCCTCTTCAGAGACGCTGAGATCCTCGCAAAGATCCAAGAGTAAACGCGCCCGTCCCATCTCATCACGTCACAGTTGTTATTGTATGACGTTTGCCCCTCAACTCTTGGAAGCGTGTAGACGAAGTATAATACACAGATCTTGTATATATGCAGAGTTGTTCATTTTGCCCTTGCCTGTTGTGTAGCCTGTGTCTTTACAATGGCCTCCTTGAAGTACTGTATCACTCCAAAGTGCTCGAGGTAGCTCATCGCACCTTGCTCAGAATTGGATCTGAAGACGGTCCACTTCTTGAAATGTGGCTCGTTCAACGGCCCTTCCCAAACCAGTTGGCATTGGTTGCCAGCTAGTGACATGTCGTGACCGTCAACGCTGGTTGATTCATCCCACTTGATCCTGTTCATCATCAACCTCTTGTAGTGGCGGATGTTCTTTTCAGTGCCTTCGACAATCACCAGCACGAACTCAGGACAGTACAGTAAGCTACCGACAAACCTCGATTGAGTGGCGTTTCTCTCCACTTTGAACTTATGAGATGGATGCTCGAGCTTGTCAATCACAAAGACAGCACTGTAAACCCCCAGCTGTAGATCTCTTTCAATCTTCTCTTCCTTCTTCTCAATTCTCTGCTCCTTGCTCAGCTTCCGAGATTGGTTGTCTGCGATGTGCTTGGCCTCTCTTTCTTGGACTTCACGACGAACACGCTGCTCCACCGCTGTAGGGTCCTTGATAGCCTCGTTCGTCAATGCATTCATCAGGTTGTTCAGCTTCACCTTTGGAGGCGGGGGTGGAGCCAGGCCCAGCTTTATCTTGTTTTGCTCCTCCTCGTACTTCTCAGCTCGAGCCTGTCTTCGGATCCTCTTCATCTCTTTCTTCGTCAAGAACAGAGGTTTAGGCGGCGGAAGGTGGCTCTCCCAAGGCGCCATGATAGGCACAGGGTGTTGGATATACATCGATATCGACGCTTCGTTCAGTTCACGGTAATCTTCAGTGAACGGCGTGTCCCACCATTCACACAGTGGTTGTTCCGGTATCGCATACTTCTGCTCTTGTAGAGACTCATCCGGTAGTAAGCCTTGCGATCTCTTCTCCTCAATGACAGCCTGTTCAGCCCGCTCAAGGGCCAGTTGTTTCCGCACCTCGTCACCAAGTGCAATGTACTTCCCTCCTTTGTTGAACTTGAACTCCCTTCTCTTCCTCTCCGGCTTCGTATCACTGAGATAAGGATTGACAGCGTACCCACGCTTGTTGAACTTCCTCAAGTTCGGGTTGTCTGTCTTCCATTTCTCGTCACCGGTGAGCAGAGGGTGCAACTCCACGTCCAAACCTTTTGCTGGCTCCTTCTCCTTGACAACGCCTTTACTCTGAGCACCACCATTGCCATCAACCTGGCTTGCCTGCTGTCCTCGTTCGTGTAACAACAGCTTCTTAGCCTTCAGGGCTGCAATTCTCTCCCTTGCACGGCGGGCTTTCTCCTCCTTGTCCTCCAGCTTCACCCGTTTAAGCTCACCACCAGCAGACTCGTCTGACGGTCTCTTCGTGTTCATATCGTGGCGCTTTGATGTGCTTTGCCGGTGTCGATGTTGGCTGAACAGAGCTAGGCAGCGGAACGCAGAGGAAAAAGCGTGAAAATTTGTAGCTCATCGCAAGCCAACAACGGGCTCGGCAGCAGAAGGCAGCCAAGCAGACGATGAAGTACGTTATAGAGCACATGGAACAGGGATTCACCGAATGGGTGATTCTCGAGTACTCCACCATCATCAAGGAGGTCGGCAAGGAGAACTTGTTGCTGACTTCTCTTCCACAGGGCACCACGGACAGTGACATTCCAAAAGAGCTGCTTGCCTTGGGCTTACAGTGGACTTCTGACGACGTGAGCCAGGCTGGGACGGATGCTCTCCCCATCGTGAAGGAGCGAGTATGCCTGTTGGACCCTTCTGCAGAGAAGGACCTGGTACCAGGTGAGTCCGAGGCCTTTGACTATTTTGTCTTTGGAGGCATCCTTGGAGATCACCCTCCTAGGGACAGAACTGGTGAGCTCAGAAGAAAGTATGGGTTCGAAGGCAGAAGGCTGGGATCTAAGCAGATGACCACTGATACCGCAGTCAGGGTGACACAGCTGATCGTGAAGGACAAGAAGCCATTTGAAGATATCGACTTCATTGACTATCCCGAGTTCAGATTCAACAAGAACGAGGCTACGGAGATGCCATTCAGATACGTACTGGACAGCAACGGGAGACCAATACTGCCAGAGGGGATGCTAGACTTGATCAAGAGAGACTCTGAGCAGTCACTTGACGACTTGTTGTAATGGCGATCTTATCGTTTTTAACAGATTTTATGTACAGGTTCTAATTGTAATCATAGTTCAATCGGTTTCGTCTAGGATCAATGTTTTCATCTTCTTCTCCTTGACGAGCTCATGTGGTGCCATAGCCTCTTTGAGGATGAACGCGGCCACGTTCTCATCTTCAAAGTAACTGACATGAGCAGTTAGACCAGACACTATGGAGAAATCTAGATAGCCCTGCTGTAGGGCAAAGTCGACTCTACCGTTGTAGTTCAAAGCTGTGAATACCTTCAATTGTTCAGGTGTCATCTCCACAACCTCACCGGTGGCCTTCTTCACAGCTTCCTTGGTGACGTCCGCTTGTTGCTGTTGATCCTTGCGTTGTCCCATGTAGCTACTCCATTGAGAGGACCAAGAATCAGCAGCAGTTGCCATGACCTTTGTTCTGAAGTTATCTGAGAATTGGGCCAAAGTTGACAATTGCTTGTTGAAGTCTTCAATCATGAAGGGTATAGACTCGGCCTCATATTTTTTCATCTCCTTCATAACCAAAGGCTCAACCCTGTACCCAACTGGATCACAGGGATGGAATATGTTGTAGTAGTTATTGCACGCCAGCGTCAGGACTTTATCTGTTGATTGCCCCAGAGTGGAGCGTGGTCCAATGTTGTAGCCCTTCAACAGGTTGAACAGGCCTGCTGGTGATCCAATGGCAAAATAGTTCTCAACCTTGAAGTGGAGCTGGTCTGGGTCTGAAGGGTCCGGGATATCTGGCTGTTTAGTGAGAATGTCTAACGCGATACAGGAGCCCAGAGAGTGTCCAATGATTGACACCTTCCCTTTGAAGTCTGGGTGCCTCTTCTTGAAAATGTCGTATTGCCTATTGGACTCGTAGATAACCTGATGATATATCTGTGACAGATATTGAGGCTCATAGTATAACAGAATGTCAAACAATACAGAGCCCATCATGTTCCTCATTGGTCTGAGTTCAGACACTGTGATATCATTCAGCGAAGGCAACGTCTCGGACACATCATCGTCGTTGTTGAAGCTCAGCTTTTGACGCCATGATATTGGCAGTACTTGAACACGACAGTTGGTTGGATCACCCACACACTCTTGCATTTCGTTACTCTGCGAGTACACTTTCTTCAAATTCTTTCTCATGATGTTCACTGTATGAACAAAGTTCACGTTCTGATATTTTGTCCCCAGCATCTGACCAATACCATGGACACAGAAGATAAGATGATCTATCTGTCTTTCCTGTGGCTGCTCATCATCAGTGTCGCTCATAGCTCCATCTTCGTCATCAGATTTATAATCCTTCATCTCTAATTCCAAGGCCTTAGATGTATCAACTTCGTTGACGGATTTGCCTGTATTGAAGAGATCTGCAATCACATCGAAGCTTGCAAGGCCAAACTCATCGGGCTGTTCATCTCCATCCTTCTCCTTTTCAGCTTCTGGTGTACCAAATCCTCTCTTCAGCAGTTGTGCACCAATTGCTGGCAGCGATTTAACAGCCTTCAAGAAGTTCAGTTGCATCATTCCACCGTACCCTTCATCCAAGACATAGGCGTATGACGAATCAGCGTACAACACCTTGCGACCACCGGGCAATTCATAGACATCATCTGCTACGTTCTTCTTCGACAGTGGGTTCACCTTCTCGATATCATCTTCACTTTCGTATGGTCTCATGACACAGTAGCCTCGCTCCAGTTTATCGGCCAGCTCTTCCGGAACAGGCTGAGCCTCAGTGGTGAACCAACCTCCTCTTCTAACCTGGTAAACCGCACCTTCCCAGTAAACAGGATACATCGTTCTACTCTCCAAGTCCACTTCAAATAGCAGATCTTCATTGACCGAAATAATATTTCTGAAAGGCTCCTTATTCAAAAGCCTCTGGTACTCTTTTTCCAGCCTGTTGGAATCGGCTTCTGAGAATGCAGAGAACTTCTTTGGCTCTCCGACTTTTGTATACTTGAAGTAAGGTGGCATCGACTCAGGAATATCAGTTGCGTAAAACCATCGTATTCTCAGAGGAGGTGCCAGTGGGTCTTTTGCCAACTTCGCCAATGACGATAGAGCTCTCAATTGATCACTTGGGGTGAACCTCTGCTTGAAAACAGTTCCTATTGGGGGTAAAGCGAACACCATTGTATGGGTTGGATCTGGTTTCAATCCTCAAGTGATGACGACTATCAGCGGAACTACCAAGATTTCCCAAATCTGTAGAACAAGCAACACCTTTTCTGGGAAATTCTCAGATTGTAATTGCTAAATTTCCACTTCAATTCAGTAGAACAGGAAGTACCAAGCATCCTTTTCAAATGGTGAAGTTCTGGGTGGTTCATATAGACCATTTTCTCCCTATTTTAAGACGTGCAGGCTCATCAACGTACGCCGAAATTTGTACCGGATTTCAGAACAGGACCGAAAAAAGGGAGCACAATATCAGGGCCGTTCCAAATTGCAGAATGAAAATTGAAATGGAAATAAGCCACATTCTTTCTAGTTCTCTCCCACATTCAGCATCTGTTCAACTTGTGTAAAGTGACAATGGTCAAGGCGATTGATTACGTTAAGAGCAACAGGTTCTTCATGATATCGAAGTCATGGTGTCCTGATTGCCACTATGCTCAAGCCATCTGGAAGAAGTATGGTGTTTCCTCTAAGGTGACTGTTCTTGAGTTGGATAAGCTTGAAGATCAGAAAAAAGCCACAGAGCTCGAGAAGGAGTTCACGGCACTGAGTGGTAGAAAATGGGTCCCCACCATTTGGTTCAATGGTGAAGTGTTCGGAACAGAGCAGACTTTGAAGCAATTGGAAAGTTTGGATCAGACTGAAGAGGTGTTCAAGAAGGCTGGTTTACTCTAGAAATTATTGTTATATCTCCAAAGCGATGTATAAAATTGTCCATTTGATTTTTTGATAGCCATGTACAATCTTTATAGACACACATGTTGTTTTGCCACATTAACTGGAGTTTTGTCTGGATCGGCTCCTTGTACGCAAAGGTTCTGAAATAGATGGGAATCTTCTTCTCTGTGCAGGTGTTAGTCCTTCAACAGGTGGTATCTCGTACTCAACATTGGGTGAAAATGAAGCGTTGTCGCATTGACTACTCTGCCCTGCATTCCTTGGCTCATAAACTTCAACGTGCTCCTCAAAAGTCACGGCACTGAGACCACCACGACTCTTACGTCTGTTGTGCCCCATTTTCTTCTTCTTGCCATCACTGGGTTCAGACGGCTGCTGTTGATCCAAATCACCATCATCGTCGATAATCTCCTTCTTCGTGACGTCTTCAACAAGTGCCTTGTAATTCGAATCACTGTCTTTACCCTTCTCCACGAATAACTTCTCCAGATACCCACCTTTAGCGGTGCTCAGCTTCCGTCTCTTCTTATTGCCATTTTGATCTTCGATGCTCACCCCTGGGGCCAGGTTCCGGTTTGGATCAGCACCGCTCTCTTTTAGCAGAGCTATCGAGTTCAATCCGACTTGATCCTGGTCAGCGTCAGGGAGCAAAGAGCCACAACAGAGCGCAGCATGATCCTGGCTCTTATACTCGATGGAATGTGCCAACCTAGCGTGGTTTAAGAACCCCTGTGCGGACCCGAAATCAGTACGACCACATTTGGGACAGTCGATGCGGACTATAACCCCATCTGAACGCTTATGCACACAGATCTTATTCCCCTGGGCGTCCCATACTGGCCGTAGCCCGCCATAGGAAGTCCTGTGAACCGCACGCTCATGCTCTTTGGAAGATTTCCTCAGGTTGTAACCGGACTCTTGCGAGGCCTGTTGGTGCTGCACAGATGCCTTCGAATCCCTGTGCTCCAGTGCATCTTTCTTCAACGATACCAGGCTTTGCAGATACTCAGCGTAGTGCGGATCGCTGTGCAGTTTCTCCATTGTCTCCAGCTGTGTCATCACCTTGTGCATCTCCTTCTGCACAAGGTGATATTCTCTGTGCTTCAGGAGGATCTCCAGATCAACCTGCTCAACCAGCTTCTGTCTAAGCGCTCCTTCCAACGGATACGACTGCTCATCGTCTGTGAGTCGTGGATAGTCGTCCGACGTGGGTGATTTGGGAGTTGCTATCTGTCCGTATGCCGCCGCCTGGTCGTCTTCACCAGCAGCAGGCCCCATCGCACGTATTCTCCTCCAGTTACCGTAGATGTTGACTTTCAAGGAACAAGCAGCAATGAACAAGTACCAATACTCGACTCGTCACTGTATACGCCAGCTCTGTTACGCGCCGCCTCGATACCAAAGTGTTTGAAGAGCGGTTGAAGGGCGGCAACAGCGTGTTGATCCTTGCTGAAAGTAAACAAACAATGATTACATAAGCAATTTTCCTCTTGGGGGGGGGGGGGGGGGGCTCTGCTGCTTCCGCGCAGTGGGTTTTTTGTAGTGTGCGGGCATTGGTTTCTAGAACGCAAGAGAGATTATACCATTTTACTCTTTACATTCCCACACCGTTGTAACAACAGTATCAGCACGCGGAGCCATCACACCATGTCAAGAGTGCCATCATCATTTGACGACCAGAACGAGTACAGGTGAGTTTCTACGTCTTTTGTGTCGTGTTGGTGGCAGTAGCACTAACAGATGCGGTTTGTATAGACAGCTAGACTTCATCCAGAAGTGTGTCAAGAATTGTAAGGAACAACCGCTTGTGCCATTGGGCACGCTTGCCACGACGGTTGCAGTGATCTTAGCAGCCAAGTCGCTGCGTATAGGTAACAGACCAGGGGCCCAGAAGTGGTTCCGTTATCGTGTTGCGTTCCAGGGATTCACCATTGCTGCTCTTGTCGTTGGAGGTCTTGTCTATGGCAGAGGCACGGAGCAGGCACGCAAGACCAGGGAGGAGGAGCTGCGCGAGAAGGCCAAGCTGAGGGAGAAGCTGTGGATCGAAGAGCTGGAAAGAAGAGACTCGGAGGCCAAGCAGAGAAAGGAGAGGGCCGCCATTGCAAGACAGAAGTATCTCGAAGCCCAAGAGGCCGAGAAGAGCTCTGAAGAGAAGTGATCTCATCGCCTAGCTCGAAGGCTCCAGCTGTTTACCCGATACGCATCTCTATGTTCTCCGTGTGCCTGTTTTCTATCTCCCTTCTACTGACATTCCATTACCAATTTGTATATACGCTAGGAAACGATTCTCCATTGGCCTACATAGTAGTGCTTCGTCTGCTCTTCACGGCGCTGTGGCAGCGTGGTGATGAGTTGTTTGTAGATGTTATGGGCTTTGAGCAGTACAAAGGCCGCGCGAAAAGTGATGGTGTTCGGATTTACTACGTAAACAAGCCTGTTCAATGGGAAGCACCTCGGAGTGTATAAAGACGATGTAGGAGGCGAGCATGTGAAGAGTTGATGGCTGGAAGTTTAGCTGTGTAGGTAGTTGTAGCTGGTTGGTGGTGGTATGCGCTTCTGGTTGTTGCTTCCAGGCCGAGAGGTAGAGGTGATGGTTCTTATCGCGTACTTCTCCATTAGCGGAGGGAGGCTGGTGTATGATGATGTGTGGAAGTAATAGATGGTCTTCCAATGACAATTGGAGGCTGATAGCGGATGGTCAGGTCGTGATAATGCCCGCTAATTGGAGCTTTACCGATCATAGAGTATGGAGAATGTGAACTTCGCCCGGTGCTGCTGGTCCCAAAGTGCCCTGGTATAAGCGCGTAGCATACCGGCAATGCTCTACCGTGCTTATCAGCTGAAACGCCTTCATGGATGAGAACCATGGTAAGTATCGACGCCAGGATACGTGCAGTGTAATACACGGGCTGTCTATACCGATAGCACGAGCAGACAATTGAACAGACGTTAGATGGCTGGTGGCTCTGTTCAATTTATGGCACTTTCCGTGCTGAGAGTTTCCTATTACAGTGGATCCTAGACCTTAGTGTAGGTATCTGACTGTACAGCTGGTGAGACACGGGGTCGTCTAAGGCTTTTCAATAACCAACGTCCCTTATCACTGAAGACGCGTTTGACAGCATGTAGTTGAAGGTCATATGGGAATAGATGATGCCAGCAGTTCTTCGAGGCCTACATAGAGCCAGAGAGGTCAGTCTATGTCACTGAATGGTCACAACAGCCCTTTCAATGGCTCTTGAGATCATTTGAAAGGTGTGGATACTCTGCCTATGTGGGAGTATGATGATGGCTTCACATTTCAGCGCAGACGACAAGAGGTTGCTAATCAGACAACTCTTCAATGAAAAACATGTGCCTACTTATCAACCACTTAGTGAGGTGTACTGTCTGCTTGAAAGGCGGTGGTTGACGCCGGCTGATTGGGTTACTATGCCGATATATTGGCGTGTTGAGTGCGACCTCGCTCATTGCTGATTGGAAACGACAGAGAAGGATATATGGTAAAGGTTGATGAGTGATCTGTAGGGAGTGATAGACTGTGCATCAAAATCCGATTCAGAGATGGAGTCTGATACCTGCCCTAGAATGTCTGTGGAGACTACTCTTTTGAGTAGTCTCGGTATGGATGAAGGTCCATTGGCTCGTGGCACCGAGAAAGCCATTTATAAGGCAAGCATTGGAATCCTCAAATGCTCTTGGCGTAACGCAAGAACTTATCGGAAGGACGACAATGTGTAGTCTATAGGAGAGAATGCATTGCAAAGGACAATACACGGATCTGGTCCATGTGCAATGACCACCGGCTTTTCTCTTATTCAGTGTTATACAAGACTGCAGACAGACATTTGAATACGGCCAACGGCAACCAACCAACGATAACCAGCCAACAAAAGTAATAGCATACTGCCATTTAAAGACAGATAAGAAGGGTGAACTGTCAAATATATCACTGCTGAGGAGGATATAGAGGCCACAACAGGTCTTCCTGATTGAGATCTATGATCAGTTTTGAGCATGAGAGCGATTCCAACTTGGTGATCGACTTATGAACCTCAAATGATAACTACCGTACGACTGCTCACCCTCTAAAAGTGACAAAACCATGCTACAGCAGGTATGAGCCCAACGTAGTCGCCAATGATGGAACAGAGAGGAAAGCACACATACCTTGGTGAGATTTCTAGGAATGGAATTGGTGAACATAGCTGCTGGCCAACATACCCAGGACAAACAGAACCCACGTACAGAGAGAATCGTTGAGACTCTCAACAACCACAACAGGCAAGATCATGAGCAGTTGAAGCGTATACAACATTCATGGAAACTATTGGCTCTTCTTTCTTCTATCACATTACATGTGAGCATAACTGTGGGTTCTCCACAGCATCGCTAAATCATATCCTGCTAGTTCTCCAGGCTCAGGACTCAGAGCTCTGCCTCATGGAATCAATTTCACCACCTTGTGATAAACACACAAGCAATCGATCTAATTTGTAGATCTTAAACATGTTAGCCCGTACCGTATATCAGCACAAGCCATATGCGTTTGGCATGTGGCACGAACCGAAATACCTCACCAAAAGAGGAAAGGGTGTTAAGACAGCACAGCTGTGACACCACGCATTGTAACGGAAGATGGATGTCGAGCAGCTAAGGCAAATGTCGTCAATGTAAGCAATGGCATCGGAAGAATGGTGCTAGATAGCAGCTGATACTAACCGTCATCTTAGGGACAAATCAATTGTACCGTATCTGACGTCGAAATCACCATTCGCAGAAGATGAGTTTGTACCTGGTCAGGATGTGGTTGATGCGATCCACAATGCAAGAATACTGTGAGTGTTCAGACTATGACTGAAGCAAGTAAGCTCAGAAACGTACTGAAGACTAACTGAAGAGCTGTAGGGTACTAGGAGCTGGGGGCCTTGGATGCGAGATATTGAAGGACCTAGCATGTTCTGGGTTCACAGACATCCACGTTATTGATATGGATACAATAGACTTGTCCAATCTCAACAGACAGTTTCTGTTCAGAAGAGCCGATATTGGTAAATCCAAAGCAGAGACAGCTGCCAAATTCATCATGAAGAGGTTCCCGAATGTGAAGATCACGCCGTATTTTGGTAGGTTACAGGATAAGGAGGATGATTACTATAGGCAATTCTCACTGGTAATCTCTGGGTTGGATTCTATAGAGGCAAGAAGGTGGATAAACAACAAGCTGGTTCAGCTTGTGGATCCAAACGAGTTTGATTCGCTTAAGCCACTCATCGATGGTGGAACTGAAGGGTTCAGAGGACAGGTGAAGGTGATATTCCCAACGTTTTCAGCATGCTATGAATGTTCACTGGACACGATTAGTGGATCAACAACTTACCCAATGTGCACGATTGCAAACAATCCAAGACTACCAGAACATTGTATCGAGTACGTCAGCTCTGTTCTCTGGAAGGCAGAGTTTCCAAATGAAAAATTGGATATGGACATACCGCAACACGTGGACTGGATTTTAAAGTATTCACTGGAAAGGGCTCAAATGTTCAACATCGATGGTGTTGATAGAAAATTAGTTTTGGGAGTAGTCAAGAACATTATACCGGCAATTGCATCTACAAATGCAATCATCGCTGCTTCGTGTTGCAACGAAGCATTCAAGATCCTCTCGAGTTCGGCACCTGTTTTAGATAACTTCATGATGTATTCAGGAGCAGATTCTGTGTTTACGTATTCCTTTGCATACGAAAGAAAGGAATCATGTCCAGTATGTGGTGGCAGATAGACTGTTGTATATAATTGTTCCTTAAGTTTTGTTACTATACACTGGATCTTAAAAACCTGTACCGTTGCTTGTTCCAAACATGGAATGAGCAATCTGTATTGCTAGATCTTCATCAGTCGGCATGGTTTCAGAAGCCCCTAATGGATCAGCTCCGTTTGACACCATTTCTTGGGCAACGTCTGTACTCATGAACTTCATATTGTTCAATTGACCTTCACTAATTCCACTTTCAGTACTTGATGGCGGAGTTGTTTCTCCATTGGTATTATTACTCGATGAATAAGAACGATGTGTCATGTCCCTTGATGATTCCACACGATAAGTCGAGTCATTTGTATTAATACTCGATGAATAAGAACGATGTGTCATGTCCTTTGATGATTCCGCACGATAAGTCGAGTCATTAGTATTGAAGTTCATGGCATTATCAAAGTCTTGCAATGTCACTGGTGATTCTGGATCAAAAACAGACCCTTTGAGAAAGGGATCAGTGATACTATCAAACTTGTAAACCTTCGAATCCATGTAATCCGTTGCATCTTGCAAGAGTTGTTGCCAAAGATCGGATGCTTCCTTGTTCACACCAAAGAAAAGCTTGGTATCATTTGTAAGACTTGGAATATCCAAGTCAATCGATTTGCCATCTATTGATGAAGCATTGTAACGTTTGATTGCTGCATCGAGATCTTGAAACTTATTTGGGTAATGCGTCTCCAAGAATGTTTGAAAAAGGTTATGAACAAATACAAGTCTCCAACAGACAAAGTATCTCTGTGATAGAAGAGAACAGTACTTTACAGATTGCTCAATAAGGATCAACATATGATCAGCATGCGTAAACTCGGGACAAAGAGGTGTCAACCACTGTTTTAGTCCTTTAGAATCTTCAAAATTGAACCCGTTCAACACCCTAGAGATGTTAAACATACCAGCTAAGTCTCTAAGACAGAGGGATGCAGCCTGTTGAGAGCATCTCTTAGCAGATTCGAATACCGAAGCACTAAGGAATGCCTCAAAATTCAACGCACTGTTATAACAGGCAGGGTCCCTCGCATAGTAGTGGTAAAATCTGAAGATGATAAAAGTCGATTCAGCTGTTGATGCAGCGTATCTTTGGAAAGAACTTAATTCACCACCATCACAGGTCAACATGAGAATGAAGGCGAAGACTGAATGGAGATTATACAGCTGTAACTTCAATATGAGCTCTTTGACCTTATTTGTCTTTGAAAGAAACGTCTCTGCAGGTGATTTCAAATCAGTCAGATCTTCAATCGAACGGTACTTAGATATTGTGTGCTCCAATTTTCTTAAACAAGTATCGAGCTCAGATCGTTTCGGATGCGTCTTGATCTTCGATGCAGCTTTAATCATACTCCTCATGAGCTGTGTAACTTCATTCAATTTGACAAATGCTTCGATACAAGACTTTTCCATAGCAGAGTCTAGTGAGCTAGGCACTGGTAATTCCGTATCATATTCGTCATCAATGAGTAAAGGGCAGCCAAATTGTAAGGATTGCATCGCATCGAGATGAAGTAGACCTAACCATATTTTTCTCCATAGAAGTGCCGTCGCATGATCTTGAACCATTCCAAATCTTGAAGGATCACGATGCAGCCCGTGCATCTTGGCCATTTGGACTAGCAATGCAAGAAACATCGTCGAGTCAGAGCTTTCATCACCATCTTCTGGTGCATAAAACCTGTACAATCTTAAAAGCAATAAAGCCTGGATATGTTTCAGTGACGGTCTTCTGAAAATTGCGGCATTTGCCACACAAGCCTTTGCATACTCTATATAGGTCGGTGGAACCTGTACACCCGATCTCAATATTGTTTGGATGAGCTCATTGTGTGCGTTTTCAGGGGTTTGGACTGGTAGTGACAAAAATGAGAAGCGAAGTACGCAGAGTAACGTCGCAATAGTCACGAATTGGGAAGCATTATTCAACACAAGAACGGTCTTACCTTCCGGTGTTGAAGATATCAAAGATTCAATATTCTTTCTGAAAGACTCCTCGTCCAGATAAGGGACAAACGCATATGTTTCTGCAAAGAAATGGTCAATTAGTGCATTCAATATGTTCCGTGGGGGTAGTACATTGCTGATCGACTGAACCAATTCTTCCTGGCTTCCTGTTACCTGCTCAAAGATCGAAGTCATTGGATTATTCGAAGTTATGCTGCACTCGTCGTTTCTCATGGGAATGAACCCCTGGTCATATAGGAAATACTTGCCAAAATCAATCCCCATTGCCTTCACGTCAAGGAATTTCTGAAACACTTGACGTAAGATGGGATCCTGGGCAACAATTGACATGTAACTAGTTGAGCCATAATGAGAGATCTTACTCTCCTTCAACAACATCAGGTCAAAATTCTCTGCAAGCTCCAGAAAAGGGTCAGACGCTGGCTGATCTGGAATGATGAACCCAGTACTATCGCCCACTGGCGCCGCCTCATCGAGCGCTCGCTCGTTCAACAGCCTCTTCAGCTCAACGTTCTGCTCCTGCAGTTGGAACACCTGCTCCTTGAGCCGCTGTAGCTCGTTATCAGACGCCCATGGCTGTTCTTCATAGTGGCACAAATGGGTCGTACCGTTCCTCACGCACGATGAGCAGTGAGGTTTGACCTTGTCACACTTCATCTTACGACGGCGACACACAGTACACACCGTGGGCACCCTCACGCGTGACTTCTTACCGCACTTCTTCTGTGGATCCATTGCCTTTGTTTACCCTTGTGGAGCCAGCGGTAGTTGATGGAGCGAATGAAGAGCAAGTCGCCACAAAACGTAGAATTTTATAGGCTTTGTGGTTGCAGGCTGGGGTCACAACTGCGTACCACGCACACACGCGCGCGCTTGTCGCCAGAGGTACTTTTTCTCGGATCGACACTCTCTGTCCCGTGTAGTAAAGTTTATCACTCTGGGCAGAAAGGCACCGCACGCTGTCGCGCGCGCGTAGAGCGGCCGGTTGGGCTCGCTTGTAGAGGCCACGCTTGTAAGTTCAAAACACCAACGGTCCCACAGAAACACACCCAGGCTGAGTTGGGAGAGGGCGCTAGACCAGAGGTTGCTGAAAGAGTGTGGATAATCTTGAGAAGATGGCGATGCGTACGAGAGATATGACGATGGACATCGCGGCCAAGCATGTTGAGTTGTTGTTGTGGAGCTCTGATCCGTTGTTTGATGGGTTCCCCAACAAGCTGGTAAGAACGACACTGGACAATACGGTCCAGGACGTGAAGGAAGTGATCTCGCAGAGGTCATTTGAGCTGACACAGCAGAAGAATTTCAACCCTTCTGCGTTGAACCTTTACTACAAGCACAATGAGCTCTCGCGATTCAAGGTTTGGGCCCAGTGTATTGACTTATCTGACCCGCTGATACGAATCAGGGTAGAGTTTGTCCATGAGAAATTGGCTGTGCGTGAGATGGTGCCATCGATGGTTGACATTGGCATCCGTACAAGTACTGGCAGAGTCTTACAGATGAGGAAACTCATGTCCGTTACTGTTAAGGAGTTGAAGTGTGCACTCGTTGACTATCTTCATCTTGAGAGTCTTTTCGATATCACGTCGTTTGAGTACAACGGCGGTGTCAAAATTGAGGATGATAGCGTCACATTACACGACCTTTTACAGCAGGATACTGTTCCCTTTGGTCTTTTGAACTTTTATGCGACGGTCACTGGTGATTTCACAGTGAGACTTATGTCCCCAAGAGAGGGCGTACTACGGACGAATGAAATGAGCGTTAACCTTGATACAACAATATTCACCGTTAAGAAGTACATTTTGGATATGTACGCTGGGCTGACGCCAGACTTCACAACCAGTGAGATCAAGATTTTGTACTTTGGTCGTATATTGGAAGATGATACAAGGATAAGAAACATCAGCACTCCCAATACAATTGCTACGATGACTCTACACTTTATTATCCAAGAGCCAGATCACTCGAATGAGCACACAGGCTTCTGGAAGGATTTACAGAGAGGTAAGATCTTTGATTTCTATCCAAAGGAACCAAATCCAAACTTTATGGTTGAACATCAGAGAATCAAGAGGTTGAGAGAACAGTTCAAGAACAATACAGATAAAGAGGAATTTTTCCCACAGGAGGAAGCATTGGAAAACCTGGAACATTCAACTTTTATCAACCGGGACAACTTCAGAAACGTTGGAATATCTTCGCCATCGTACTCTGAACTGTCTAGCACTCAAAATGCCCATTCCAACAACAGTACAGACGAGCATCTGCCAGCTGAAGACACGACTAATGAGCTCATCGGTACAACGGATAGTACTGATTCATTGGAACAAACTTTGTTTGGATACGAATTCACTGTTAATGATACGCATCAACAGGTGAAGCTATCCACTGACGAGGTCATTGTCAACAACTCCGATCCATCAAATCCATACATTATGGTTTCTTCAGCTGGTATGAAGAAATTGGCTGAACTAGGCATCTCAATCGTTGTTCCAAATGTTGTACAAACTGTCCTTAGGGAAGAACTTGCAGAAGATGACAACCATCTTGCTGATGCGAACAACGAGCATGCTAATCGGGGTCAATTGAACAATATACACATTAGATTATTCGAGAGAATCAGAGATAATCTTGAACCGATCGGTGCATTTGCAGCAAACACGTTAATTTTTGTGATGTTCTACCGTGCATTGATCTCACCATTGGAAGATAGTGACTATATCTATCTAATTCATACTGTTGTTGCAATTGCGTACCTTTTCACACATCAACCAATACGTGAGTTCTTTACACAATTCATACACAATGGATCCCCACACGTTCGCAACCTGACCCAGAGGGCAACCAGATTACTGCATCAATTGGGATGGTCCAGGGTCACAAACGGTGCGACACGTCTCGTGGAGCAGGCTATAGAATTGGAGAATTCACAAAGACTACCAAGGTATCTACAATATATTTATCCCTTCGCGCTGAGTGTGTTTTTATGTCTCGTCACCCTCGTACCTTCTGGACACACCTTGACCAATAGGTTAATCAAGGAGAAGAAACAACGGGAAGATGAACTTCTTGCGAGGGCTGCAGATGCTGAGAGAGCTGAAGAGCACTCACAAACAGGTGAGCTGGGAGAATAAAGACGTGTATATAGGACGTTGGGCTAACACTCCAATCTGTACAATCTACATTTGATATGATGTGGACTAGCTGTAAAACTGTGGCTTTCCCCAACAGCTCAGTAGGGGGAGCAGCTGAGTTCCCGCGCCCGTGGCCTCCTGCGCCAAAGCACACGGGGCAGAACGTTGCCTATAAAATTACATCATCATGAACTCTGAACCAAGTCGGCAAATGGATCGCATACTGTGAAGTACGCATCCCAAGACGAACCCTGTGCTTGAACCGATGCCAGAGAGTTGGAATTCAGTGGCAACCCGGGCAGTGTGCGATTTTACAGGGAAGTGTCTGTGGGTGGTTCTAGGTGGATCAGAAGAGAATACTAGCGACGGGAGATAGGACTAATGCGCGCATGCACATGGTTAGTTCCGTCACGTCTTCTCCTGGTGTCGTTCGCTTTAGCGTGTAATAACATAGCCATTATATTGTTCCTGAGAGAACAGCCAAGGCAGTCTACAGTGCCTGTCGTTGCGGTTACACCCAATATCCGTTCAAAGTACCCTCCCTCTACGAATACTTCTGATAAACTCTCTTCGCATGCACCTAATTAGGCCCTTCTCCAGCCTATTCGCGATAGGCGTTGATTAATCATTTTGGCCATGGCGAGTCCCAGACCACAGAGTGCAGTTGGAAACACTACAACGGTAGAAAGCTGGGTGTGAAACCATATCATATTAATTGCCATTTCCGCGTGAAGTAGCACACCGTACAAGGCCAATTGCCTTCCTACAATCCCCTCTGTACTAAACACCCGTATTTTCTGTGTGTCTCTCCCGGTCGCCTTTTCAGTCGTAAACGCTTCCAAGGCTCCCTTACCCTAATTTCCCCCTGGGCTTATTTTCTCTCGTTCTTACAGATGTGATTTTTGTCAGCTGTAGCCCGTCCAGAACGTTCGCTGTGTCGCTTTGGGCGGGCCTTTTTTGGGCAATGGGAAATTTAGAGATCGCGTAACGTCACAACTTGCACAGGCACAGGTATATAAACCCCGGCGTGTCCCAGTTTTAAGAAATATCTACCCCTTCCTTTTTTTCTCTTTCCTTTCGATTTCTTCTAAACTCTATAGATCTCTTATCTCTATACACTTATAAATTATACCACAATGGTCGCCCAAGTTCAAAAGCCAGCTCCAAAGTTCACCAAGACCGCCGTCGTTGACGGTTTGTTCGAGGAGGTTTCCCTTGACAAATACCTTGCCGAGGGTAAGTGGGTTGTTTTGGCCTTCATCCCATTGGCTTTCACCTTTGTCTGTCCAACTGAGATCATTGCCTACTCCGAGGCTGCTAAGAAGTTTGCTGAGAAGGGTGCTCAAATCTTGTTTGCTTCTACCGACTCTGAGTACTCCCTCTTGGCCTGGACCAACGTTGCCAGAAAGGATGGTGGTTTGGGTCCAGTCGACATCCCATTGGTTGCCGACACCAACCACTCCCTTTCTAAGGACTACGGTGTCTTGATCGAGGAAGCTGGTGTTGCCTTGAGAGGTATCTTCATCATCGATCCAAAGGGTAACGTTAGACAATCCACCATCAACGATTTGCCAGTCGGTAGAAACGTTGAGGAGACCTACAGATTGTTGGAGGCCTTCCAATGGACCGAGGAGAACGGTGAGGTTTTGCCATGTAACTGGACTCCAGGTCAGTTGACCATCAAGCCAGAGGTTGAGGCTTCCAAGCAATACTTCGAGGAGGCCAACAAGTAAACTCAATTGCTTTATCTTCTATAAAATCTATACAGTGGAATTGAGAATACGTTTTCGCTTGATGTGAAATAATCAATCTTGTAGCCTACTCAATTGCGTTTTATATACCTCTGCGGTTAAACTATGTCAGCGTTGAATTGGTTCGATGTGACGGGGACCTGAGAACGCACTTAATTCCGTTTTGGGTTACTTTTTCCGATCATTTAGGCCAGAAACAGAAAACACCGTTACCCGGCCCTTTCACAATTGCTTACATAATATCATGGCCCGTAACGTATCGGAAGCACACACAAACTGCCTAATACTCTCGATACACGCAAACAAGATCAACCATTAAGACGCTTTTTCAGAGATTCTGCCACTTTAACAGAATGAGTAAGGCTGCTCAGACACTTATCTACTTCTCAAGGTTTGTGGTGAACGATCAGGTATGACAACTCTCCATCATTGGATTCGTTCAAAGTCGATTTAATACTGACAGTTGATCACTCACGTAAGGTGTTTTTCGTAAGTATACATGCCAATGCCTCATGACGTATTTATCGAGCCCATCTAACAGAAGGATGATACTTAGAGGTCCAAGTATTCATACGCACTTGTCAATCTGAAACCTATCGTCGCAGGCCATGTAAGTGGAATTTGTTCTGTTCTTCAAAAGACTTTATACATTGACTAATACCCTTCCCCCTCTTCGAATAGGTTCTAGTGGTTCCCCTGCGAGTCGTTGAAAGGTTAAAAGACCTGACCGACGAAGAGAGCATTGACTATATACGTACGATTCAGACGGTACACAAGTTCATAGAGAAGATCTATAAGGCAGATTCGTTGAACATTGCCATTCAAGATGGCCCGGAAGCTGGGCAGAGCATTCCTCATTTACATACGCATATCATTCCAAGGCATAGAGCCAATAACATGGGCGATGAAGTCTATGAGCGGATGGACTCCTCCGAGTACGACGTTGAGGATGGACTGAAGCAGTTCTACCAGCGCAAGAATCTAAAGAGGCTGGATAAATATGTCGTGAAGCCGGATGATGAAAGGTACGAAAGAACTACACAGGATATGCACAATGAAGCCAAATGGCTAGCACAAGAGTTTGAAAAGTACTCTAAAGGACAGTAGCGTATGCATATATACCGCCATCCTCTTATTTATTGTTATATACATCAGTGACTTTCCCCTTTCAAGCGGAAGTCATATCACATTACATCAACATACATCGAGTGCTCTTGTTCTAGCTGTTGATTTGTCATTTATGTACAGAACTCTCCTATTTACATGCTTCTTCATGTATAGCGACACCATGAGAGAAAATCTCAAGCCATAGCATCCTCGTGAGCATATCTCTCTTGTCTCTTCTCAGCGGCGAGTCTCGCAACTCTTTCTTTTCTCTTTCTTTCACCGCCGTAGAAACTCTTCTTACCCACTTGCGTGGCCTTAACCTCCTCGCCCTGTCTCAACTTCTCAACCTGTCTAAGAATATATCTTCTTTGCTGCACATCGATGCCTTTGTCCTTTAGATCCCTGCCACTGGTGTGGAACAGGCTCTCCCAATCTGGGAAGTGTTCTTCGTGTTCTATACAGTTACGCCCGATCGTTGTAAGGAAAGCCTTCACATCCGGAATCTTATCCGTAGGATGTGGAACTGCACTTTTCGTAGAGTAGCAAGCACGTGCAATACACTGAGATGAGAGTAGAAGCCTTCTGCTGAACATCTTTTGACGATGGCTGAGCTGTGTTTACTTTCGTTGTTTAAGCCTTCTTCAACATCTCAACGCAGTTTTGCTCATCCATTTTTTTCCTTCATCTTCAACCACAAAAACGACATTGAGAGTGTGCTGTCCCTACCGGTTATATCTGGAGAGAAATTTCCCGCTTCAACTTCTTCGAAAAGTAAACAAAACAAACAACATTGCAAAGGGTTTTACCATCTGAGCGGCAAGGATCAGTGATGAGTTACACGGCGAGACTGTCAAGCGTCTCCGCGACAATCAATGCATATCACTACCACTCGATATTTGGTGATGTCTGCTCTACACGGTTTCAGAAGTTGGCAAGGTTCTTGTTCACATCATCGTGGGTTCTGTGCATTGTGCTGGCGATACCCACCTCGAAGAGCTGGTTTTGGACATTTATGCCTTTAAGGGCGGGCGGTATAGCGCTGGGTCTGTTCCTGGTGACGTGTTTGAGGAAGAACAACCTCCACGTTGATTTTTTGGGCTATAAGACTCTGGCAAGTCAGGTTGTCGGGCAGTTGCTGAATAAAAAGTTCATTTGGACATTGATCATCTATATGATCTCAGCAACTCTGTTCTTTAGCATTGTGTTCCAAGACCTGACGGCTATACCAATTACAACCTCCTCGAGAATTCACCAATATCCTCCATTGAACGATCAGTTTGTGTTTTATTGGTTCTTCTCCTTTTATGCCTCTTTAATATACAGTCTACAACACGCGGTGTTCGACAAAGATCGTTTGATCTTCACATACGGTAACTTCCATACTCATCCAAAGAACACCATTGCTGCTAAACTGCCCCAAGTCATCTCAAACACAATCATCTTTTCTCTCTTCACCACCATCACGGCACCCTTGGTCTACCTCCTTGTTAGATCGTACATCATTGACGTTGTGCTCTTCATCTTGGGATTCTTTCTCCCTTTCAACCAAAACCAGCCTTCCTACAACGTCACACTTGGCCTTTTCTTCAAGACGTTGTTCTTTGCGTTGGTTCTCTTTGCCAGTTGGGAGATGACAAACATGGCATTCAACGCATATCTATCAATCGGTTGTTTACACCGTGGTCATGCAATTTCAGAATTATCAGCAGACCCGTTGGGTACACTCATTGAAGGCTTGAAATCTGATAAGCTTTTTACCAAAATGACAGCTTTCCAAGAGTTGGCTTACATTGCAAAAAGTGATGATTCTGATGCTAGATTGGCAATATACAACAGAAATAACAAGAGGGAGTTTCTATGGGGTGAAATATTACAAGAATGCGAAAAGACTATCAGGGTAAATAACATCAACGTGAACAACACTCTTGTGAAGGAACCGGAAAAACGCATTGTCAAACCAAGAAGAAATTCTAGAGATCAGCACATCTTTGGCCGTGATTACTATTCAATCGAAAATGAATTCAAAGATAGTGATCTATATGTCAAGCCTCTAAGATCAGAATCTTCTGGATTTTTTGACAATAGCACAATAGCAGAGATTATAACTCATTTGAAGAAGGTGTGGAAGACCTCAAAAGACTATTACCATCTTTTCATCATATCTGGGTTTGGTATACCATTTAGACACAGCGTTCTTCGCGAGACAGAAAGAATATGTCCAGTACCGGTAACTGTGGGGAATGCAATCATTGCAGTCTCATTATTGACGACTCACGCATATGACGAGGATAAGAAGGGAACAGTTTCTTCCACGGTTGCGGATGTAATGAATATCTTGGAACAATCCGTGTCGTCCTGTGGCCGCTTCGCACAGAATCCACCAGAAGACCTTGTCGATAGAGATGAAGATAACTTGATTTCAGTACTACATGATCTTTCGATGAATGCCTTCTTTGAAGTTACCATGAAGTACTCTGAGGTGTTAAAAGACGTGACACTCCCAAGTAATGTATTGCGTCTTGTCAACTGGACATTTGAAACAGCTTCTGACGAGCATGAATATTGATGCATGGTTTTATTTATACAGACCTACGCTAACTCCAATCTACAAGGACAACAAATGTTACAACCAATAAATAAATCTCTGTATTTTGATGTTGCTAATTGTACGTTTATAATTGTTTAGTTAGGTGAATCTTTCCCTGTTTTTGATTTGGTTGATGGATCTATATCCAACAAAACCGGTTTAAGAACTTGTTCGTCAAAGCTCTGGAACCATTTGGATCTGTCGTCCGATGTGATAATATTCTGTACTGTACTGACCAGACCTGGTCCATTGGCGTCATTAGGCACCAATGGTGGGATATCGTCAAGGTTGGTAGCATCGTCATCAACCAGGAGATCTTCTTGGCTTGCACTGTTAAAGTTGGGGCTCTGTCTTGAGCGAGAACCTGTGTTATCTGAATATGGTCTGGAGAATTGCCTGTTTGAAAGCACCGATGATGTAGTGACGATCTTTGGTGCCTCAATATCGAACTCATCGTCACTATCATCCTCCGCGACACAACCTGTTCTGATGTTCAAAACCTCCAACATTCCAGCAGTGGTACCACCAAAGAGAATCACCGTAAGAACAACGACAACCAAGACTGTAGCCAGTAGAGTTGATTTGAACTCTCCCTGAATACCCATAGCAAGAGCAACACCAACAGCACCCCTCAATCCTGCCCAGAATATCATCATTTGATATTGATAAGGTATTTCATCTGCTGCTCCTGGGTTTCCAGAACGTTTTCTATGAACCCAATTCGTCAATCTTGAGAGTGGGAAGACGGCTGCCCAACGGGATAAGCAGATGGAGATTGTCGTAACGATAATAAGCATTGGTTTATAGACGAGCTCCACTTCCGTGAACAATGCCAGGCCCAAGTAGACAAAGATGAAATTTTCTGACAAACGGGCCAAGAGCTGGAAGATGTATTTAGTAGCAATCTGCGTTCTTCTTGACATGTTGTAGTAGGCGTAGTGCTTCAAAGTGATACCGCAGAAAAGCAGAGACACGATACCAGACATGTGACAACCATTGGAGAAGAAGTACGACTCATACGCAATCAACAGGACGAGGCATGATTCGATCTGTGGGTATCTTCTGATGTGCGTATGTTTCAGCATCAAAGCAACAATTATTCCAATGAGGACACCTATAAGCAAGGAGATCGTGAAGATCATGAGGAACAGTCCCACACCTTCAAAGAATGAGCTGAAGTGTGCCTCCTTGTCGTGGAACTTTTGGCAAGTTTCAAACATGACGATGGAGATGGCATCGTTCAACAGGGACTCGCCGAAGATGATTGTATACAGCTTCGGATCAACTTTGTAAGCGTTGAATATAGACAAGATTGTAACAGGGTCAGTGGCAGATAGTGTTGCGCCCACGGACAAGGCATCGACAAAGGAGATGTTGATGCTCTCCAAACCGAGAGAGGTCCAGACGTAGAGAATCACACCTAAGACACACGCACTGATGAAGGTTCCAGGAATGGCAAACATCAGGATGGTCCCCAGATTCCTAAAGAAATTCGCCTGGTGCAGCTCATACCCACTGTTGAGAATAATTGGTGGCAGCAGCACGTTGAAGAAGTAACTCGAGTTGAAAGTAACAGTGTCCTGGATATAGTGACCGGGAAGCACACGGATGATCAAGCCAACAATCATACCGTAGAAGATCGACAGCACTGTTTCATGGACAGCTTGAATCCTCTTCTGCTGTAAGAAGTAAGAGCTGAACAGTGCCATGATGAGCAGCACTAGCAAGATGAAGAGCGCCCACGATGAAAAGATCTCCTCTGTAACAGGATTGGACTCGTCCAATTCATCGCTATCTGGGATAGTCACATCGGGAATCTCATTCTCATCATCGGAAAGGGCTCTCTTCAAGAGCTGTTTACCAGCAAATAACAACAGACTGGACATGTCCTATATCACTCTCAAGCACACGCGGGTTCTGTCTATATGTCTCTCTGTCTCTATTTGTCTCTTCAGCCAAATGGCAGTGCTAATTCCAGATTTGAAGTACCGGTTTACTGATTCTTGTAGCAGTAGCTCAGTTCCAATTGACCCAATGGTATGTGTCAGTGTTCTGCTTATTCTCCTTTTCCTTCTTGTTCCAAAGCCAGTGGATCAGAAGTGTTTGATCTATGAGATTGAGACGTCTGTTATCAATGTGCTCTCTGGTGGAAGATTTGGGAAATGTCCCAGAAATTTGTGTGTGTCCCCTTGGGCGCAGGGCCAATTCCAGCAACAACCGGACATTTTCAGCACAGGTTTCATACAACGGTTTGGGCCAAAGGTAGGGGCCAATTGAAGTGGATTTGTGGTATAACTACGGCACTGAGGTGGAGTGCTATGGTTTTTACGGATATTTATCCATTTGGGGATAAGATAATGGGCTAAGCATTGATGAGGTTGCGATGGTGACCACCACGTCTGGTGCCTTGGGAAACGGGTGTGTCCCTACCGCTGTTTCGAAAAAGAACGCTAAAACGAAAACGAAAACGTAAACGAAAACGAAAACAAGAACGAAAACAGAAACGAAAAGGAGACAACAAAAACGAAAATGAAACGCGAGCGCATGTGTTTTTTTTCTTCTCATCGACAGCGATGTGTATGTTTTTTTTTTTTGCTTTTTCGATTGGTTCCTTTAATACTTGTTTCTTTTTTTAGTTCCTTCCCAACTGTTTTGTTGACTCAATCACTCAACTTACAAGCCGTTGTATAAACATGTCACGTATGTTGAACCGTTTGTGTGAGTGCATCCAGTTCATTCTCTGTGTCTATGTGTCTTCTGGCCGCCCATCTGTGTGTGGGCAATGAATACTATGAAGAAGATACAGATTCAATTCATCAGATACAAAGATATACACGCACGCTCCGCTCCCCTATTCCACAATAACACACGTGTACTAACTCACAAACAGACCGTCCAATTGTTGTTTCAGGTCCATCTGGTGCTGGTAAATCTACCTTGCTGAAGAGACTGTTCAAAGAGTACCCAGACAGATTTGGATTCTCAGTGTCGAACACCACGCGTCAGCCGAGACCAGGTGAGGTTGACGGCAAGGATTACCACTTTGTCAGTGTCGACGAGTTTAAGAAGTTGATAGATGAGAATGCCTTCATCGAATGGGCCCAGTTCTCCGGTAACTATTACGGTACAACGGTTAAAGCAGTTCAAGACGTTGCCAAGTTGGGTAGGGTTTGTATATTGGATATCGATATGCAAGGTGTGAAATCCGTTAAGAACACGGATCTTAACGCAAGATACTTGTTCTTGTCGCCTCCATCGATTGAGATCTTGAGACAGAGATTAGAAGGTAGAGGTACGGAGACACAGGACTCCTTGGAGAAGAGAATTGGCGCTGCATCTGCAGAGATGGAATACGCAAAGAGTGGCGCCCACGATCAAATCATCATCAACGACGACCTTGAAAAGGCTTATAAAGAGTTGAAGGACTTCATCCTCCAAGAATGAACACAAGTTTAGAACAGTTTCAACGAGTAAACGTTTGAACAATCACACCTTAATCGTAAAAACGCCTAGTATTTTCATCGTTTAAGTAAATCCAATGGATCCTTCGTCTTAGAGCATAACTCCATCATCAGTTTGTATTCAACAAGCTGCTTTTGTTCATCGACAATGTTCTTCTTGGCCCGTTTCCGTTGACGAACATTCGGTAAACCTGGTGAACTCGACAGGCAACTGGACATCCTTCTTGTCTGTTTCCGTGGTGTGATCAACTCCACAGTGGTGTTGATTCTAACCTTCTTCGCCAAGCCCCCAGCTTTCATAGAGCTTGGAGTTTTCATAATCCCTCTATTCATACTGGAGTCTCTGGTCTCACGGGAAGCACTTTTGTCAAAGACAATGGAATCTCTAATACGCTCTGACATATGATGAAACGCACGGTTTTCCCTTGCCTTCACAAGACGTAGGTTACATGGACTGGCACTATCAAAGCTCTGGCTCTTAAACGATTCAAACAGCCGTTCCTGTTCATCGCACGAAATACCAGATGGACTCGAACTAGCATGCGATTGAAACCTGAACAAAGGCGTGGAATAGTCGTTTGGTCTCTTGTTCAATGGCGTTCTAAGAGGAGTTTTGGGAGGAGTTGTGGCTGTCAAATTACTCGTAATAGGGGACCCCAAGAGCGGATTAATAGGTGTAGAAGTGGATCGTGGCGGCTGTTCAAACTCACAGAGTTGAATCGACGTACTTGGCGGTTGTGATATTTCCACAGCGGTGTCGCCTATCGACGATGAATCAAGAATTGCTCTCAATGGCTGTGTGGTGATCAGCGATAATAGCGATGGTTTCACAGGCGCTGGCTGTCTCATCACTGCACGATATTCTGGAGAGTTGGTCTTTACCGGTGACGGAGTCCTCTTACATGGAGATACTTGTCTCACAGTCAGTCCAATATCATTTAGAGAAAACATATCCAGCGGGTTGTCATCGTTAACAAATGGATCATCGTCACCATCATGATCGGCGTTATCAACAGCCTGCTCATGCCCACAAGAGCTGTACGACGTATCGCTCAATATGTCTTTGAAAAAGAAGGCGGTAAAAGTCAGTTTGCCAGGTTCATCGGAGCTTGAGTACAGCAATCGGTGTCTTTGTTACCTTGGAAGAAGTCTCTGTATACAGCAAATCTGTGCTTCTTCGTGTAAAACATTGCTGTTGCTGTTGTTGCTGTTGTTGCTGTTGTCGCAGTTGTTGTTGTTGTTGTTGTTGTTGTTGTTGTTGTTGTTGTTGTTGTTGTTGTCTCTTAATGGAGTTTTGTGTGGAGTGTTTACAAACGAAGAAAAATAAAACAAAAGTTTGGCTTTTCCTGCTCACCATCGACAGGTCTAAACTAGCAGGACCATACATAGAAAAGATAGACAAAAGGAATGAGCCAACAGATCATTCAACCCTCCACTGCTACAAGAACCGCGCTGAAACCAGGGTACAACCCTTCCCTTGGTCCTATCCAACTACCGTCTTCATATACATCACAGGTGTCAAAAGCAAAGACCATCTACGACAATTCCTTATCGCGTCGTACGCCAGAGGTCAACATTGCTTCCCTTTCCTTCCTATTCAGTGGTATTGTCCAATACGTACAGAGTAGCTCAAAGGGTGTTAAGGAACTGGAGGCCAAGTTGAATGCTTTAGGGTACGGTGTCGGTACGAAATTCCTCGAGTTGATTACACTAAGGGATGGGAAGAACGCCAAAAGGGAGACAAAAGTCATTGAGATATTACAATTCATACATACGCAGCTATGGAAGACGTTATTTGGCAAGGTTGCAGACGAATTGGAGAAGAGTTCTGACTCGGATCAGGAATGTAAGTAGCACTGACAAACTTCCCCTGTGAGAAATCGATACTAACTATCGCCCTCCTCCTCGCCCCTGATAGACATGATAACTGATAATCTACCACTTATATCCCAGTTCATCTCAGTACCAAAGGAATTTGGACAGTTGAACGTGGGTGCCTTCACCGCAGGTATCATTGAGGGCATATTGGATGCAGCTTATTTCCAAGCAGAAGTTAGTGCACACACTGTCGAGCAAGAAGGCTTCCCACTAAGAACCGTATTCCTCGTCAAGTTTGACCGTGCAGTCATTGAAAGAGAAGCCGTTAGGTTTAGTAAATAACATATACATTCTTCTTATGACATCTCTGTAGAATGCCATCATCCATCTACGTCGTGTTTTGGAGAAAGTGGTGTGCCCAATGGTCAAAATGACCGTGAGAAGGGCTCAGAAAAAAAGCAGGCCGTCGAAATGGAGAAAAGACGATGGACGACGAACAAAATTCTTCGACGGAATACGACGAGGACAAAATACAACACAGTCATAACCTCGAGTATTTTTCTGTATATCCATCTATTTGCATCCAGCCATGGCTATAACAATTCGAAAGGCGACGATCAATGACGTCCAAGCTATGCAAAATGCCAACTTGCACAACCTTCCGGAGAACTACCAGCTCAAGTACTACATGTATCACATCTTATCATGGCCTGAAGCTTCATTTGTTGCTACTACAACTGATTTGCCAGACCATGTTTACACCAAAGACGTCAAAGGTGATCCAGCATATGTTGCTGCTGGAGAGAAAGTTGTCGGTTACGTTTTAGCCAAGATGGATGACGACCCAGATTCACAAGACAAAACACCACATGGTCATATCACTTCTCTTTCCGTCATGAGAACGTACAGAAGACAAGGTATTGCTGAGAAGCTCATGAGACAAGCTCTCTTTGCATTGACCGAGACTTTCCAGTCTGAATACGTCAGTTTACACGTGAGAAAGAGTAATAGAGCAGCGCTGCACCTCTATAGAGACACTTTACAATTTGAAGTTTTAAGCATTGAAAAGAGTTATTACGCCGACGGTGAAGATGCGTACTCCATGAAGAAGGTACTCAAAGTGCAAGACCTATTGCCAAGCAGCTTTCAAAAGTCTGAAGTTGTGGATGATTTGGATAAGGACCTGCTAGAAGGACTGGAAGAATAAAAGACATGTACTCATCGCTCCTAGGGGGTAAATACATCTACAGTCACCCCTCAAAAGTTGTAATAGGTGTAGCCACTGTAGTCAGCTAACTCCTACTCGTCGGAATTGGGGATGTACTAACCATGTTCTATCTACAGTCATTAGCATAAGAGAGAGAAAGTATATTATACGCAAGGTATGAATTGATCATCCACATACAACACTGAGATGCATTAGTACTCATTTTCCACAAAGTCTCGAAACGATGACATTATAAAACCCCAAAAGAAGTACAAATTGTCAGAAATAAAAGTAAGGTAGCGTGGTTTTTTCCACATCGACAAAAAGTCTCGAGCCAAATGCACTCAAGTCATCATTTAAATAAAAATTGTACTTCCTCGGTCTTATACAAGGGCCATCTGTTTCACATATCAAATCACTTACACTTTACTCAACTCTTGTCACGAGCATTGGAGTCGCTTTGCTTAACGAGTGTAAATAAGAAGAGAAAGAAGAAAAGTTTTCGATAGTCAAAGTTTTTTTTTCCTCGTTTTGTGTTTTTCTTGGGCGAAAAAAAAAAGCCCAAGGACACAAAAAGGAATCGTGGCTCTACCGAAAACAGCGGGTTGGTTAGTTAGGGCAAACAAGCCCTACATCGATTAGTCTAATCTACTGGACTTGACAGTATGTTCATTGGTTCTTGCGGTAGCTCACTTTATCCACCTTCACCTCGCCGTTGATATATGTGTAGATGTATAGCGTGATGACGGAGCCTTGGATGTCAAGCAGCGTGAACGATGGGATTATATCGTTATCCTCATCTTCTTCGTCACTACCATCTTTGTCTGATTCGATTGCCTTATCCTCCACTTTTTTCACACCTTGTTCTTCTTTCTCCTCCTCCTTGTTTTCAGGCTCAGCTGTTTCGGACGGCTCAGTCGTCTCCTTTGATCCGTCTTCACCTTTAGAGTCTTCATATGCCTCGATGGTATCCTCCTTCACAACATCACTTTGTGATTCTTCAACTCCGTCAATTTCAGGCCATTCAGTTGTGAATGCGCCAGTAGCACTTCCTGGGTTCACAAAGAACTTCCCTTCCAAAGTGTAAGCTTCGACCTTATGTGTTGCTCCCCATATCAACACATCAACGTTCATCTGTCTTGCCGTTATCAGTAAACTCAGCGGATCCCCTCTTGGAACTATGGTGTAGCCATTGGTGAACCCAATCTTCAAGGATCCATGTGTAATCACCAGGGATAGTGGTAGAGTAGAGTTATCATCAAATTCTCCCTTCACAATTTGGAAATCTGGTGATAGACTCTTAAGGAACTCAAGGGTAGATGGTGATGAAGTCGCATTGCCTAAGCATAACACCTGGGAGATTTTTCCTGGCACTAATAGCTTTTTGAACTGATAGATGGAAGCATATTAGTATAACGTTTTTAAAACAAAATAACAACACAAGAATAAAATGAAAGGTACAACTCACTTTTGCCGGTAGGTCCTGTTTGAGGGTGTCAGTACTGTGAAACGAAACGATTGTCTTCTGAGATGCCACAACACCAAAGACTTACAATTGCCCTATCTGGAATGTGTAAATCGCCAATAGCTAAGATAAGCATGACACTGGTACTTAAAATAACTGGAAACAACAAGCGTTGTGGAAATTCAGAGCCAGAGGAATACGATTATCATATAAAAGCGATCGGAAAGTGAGCTGGAGGAATGTAATAGAAGTGGGAGGGGGGGTACACATGGTGTCCAGGTTTTTCAAGATCCGTTAACAGGGCTCAGAACGCATATCACGTGACTTATTTTTGGTAGGCGCAAGACCAACGCGACGGTGTGCATAATTTATGCGTTGATCTTTTGAACTTGATAATTGAAGACTTTGAATTGGATATTACTGGAAGTTTTCCTTGTTGGATACGCCATTCACGCTCTTTTTTGCTTTTGGAGTTGTTTCTAGTCTCTGTTAAGATGCCCTCAAAGTAGCTCAATGAGTCAGCTACAAGCAGGGGCCATTCCGTGCGTTCTGGACACTCACTTATATGTTCCCATGTCCTCAAACTACCATAGGACTGCTTTTTGTACCACTCACAAATGGTGAAAACTACACAAAGATGATATGATTTCGATTGATGATTCAATAGTTTTCTAAACTATTCATGGAATTCATTTCCTACCTTTTAGCGGAAACTCGTAAGCTGGCTGTTTAGGGTGTTCATTTTACTACTGCACTTTGCTAGTTGCTATTCCCATGTATTTTACAGGAAAAGAAGAAGATTCTTCCACTATTTGGCAAGGACTGAGAGCTTCATATTGTGATACTGGTGATTCTATGAGCAAGAATGGCAGTTCAGATGATGTTGATACAGCTCATGTGCCAATAGATAAATGTCGCCACCATGGTATCTTCAGAAGGGGAAGTTTTGTTCATCACACGTCACATACTTGGAGGTCTACTGTGCCTAAAAGCACGTATCATAGTCTCAAAACCAAATTCAAGTTTCCTTTTCATGAATTGGCTCTTTCAAAGGAGAAAGCTTTGTCCAACGATGTGGTACACCAATCAGCATCGAAAGGTATTACTGTCAAGCTTTTAACTTCGATAAGCAGTGAAGAAATACCTGCTTACAGACATACTTCTGTTGCTAATTCTATTTTGGAGGTGACTAAGGAGGTCGATATGATGACAGCTTTGTCAACAACGTCGAGAAAGAGAGGTGCGACCCCAGAACTTGAGTGTAGAGGAGAGCAAACTATTGAATCTAGTATCCAGTTTAAGAAAAGGAAAAGGGCTATGATTAAGTCATGGTTCAGATGGAAACCCCAAAGTACTGAGCATAAAACGGCCCTTGGTGAACGAAGCACTAATTTGACATACACACCATTCTTCCACCTCAGTTGTGATGCCGATAGTAACACCAATGATGACCTTTTGGACGGCACAACTGAAACGTGTTGTCCACATATCAACTATAACAATGCAACCACCAGGATCTCGGTGCCAACAGCAATTTCCTCCAGGGAGTATGATGAGTTTACAAGAATCGAATATCCACAGGTGAATACCTGGAGCTTTGAGCGTCTTCAAGAACTTCAAAAGGTTATGTATGAATTCCCAAAGTTGTCGTTTTCTAGTGAAATAAACCTGGACAATGATATCAGTAACTTGGAAGAGGAGGCTGGACAATCTACAAATACCAGTGGATCGTCTATTGATCTCAACATTGAGTGTGATCCATATGATACCTTCGTAAAGAGTGGACCTCAGCAACAAAACATTGGTGGTAAGGTTCTTAAAGGGAATCATCAAGCTGTTGGAGTGGATACTGAGGTAGATAAGAATGTGCATGACAGTTGTTCTCGAGATATTCCCAACTACCACATTACTAAGGGCTCAGAACAAGTTGTTCAGTCATCCTCACACATATGTAATAATCTTGCTCCTACGATGCTTTGGGAAACTCATAACCAGCCTATGGATAACCAAATGTTTTATGAAGAGTTGAAAGAACCGATATACAGTCACGATGAATATTGTCAGCAACCGCATGTCTGCAAAATTGATGAAACAGGTAAGCCTCCTGAAAGTGATAGCAACACCAGCGTGGGTTCTGTTAACAGCTATGAACCTGTTACAATATTAGTCCCCACAATAAGAGAGGATAGGTACATGATATCTGGCTTGAAAACCAGTATACTTGAAGGAGAAAGGATCAAAAGTATCTATCACCCTCACGACGATTGTCTCTCCGATGATGAGAACAAACCGTACAATATTCAGGACCCAAGATTCTTTGGAGTCGAGCTACAGGACAAGTCTGGAAGCAAAATCTTGCAGGAACCGCAAAGGTTGTATTCGAGAATTAAATTTGATGACTTTTCAGAGGTTGTATTTTACAATGGTTCCGGAACTTTGAGGCAAACCACTGAAGAAAGTCCAGTTAAGTTAGCGCTGCAGACTTTGAGAAGCTCAATGGCTTTCAATCATCATCATGAACCATCCAAGTCTGTGCTCCCGAAAGAACACGCAGATAACAAGTTGGGCAGTCCAGAGTATGTTGTTCATGAGCCTTTCAACGTAATCGGAGAACCTTCTACATTTAACAAGTCCAACTTGTCCATGTCCTCTTTGAAGACACATCCAAAGTCAATTTTGAAATCCAAAGTGAACGAGCGTTGCCGGGATGAGTCCATCAAACTGAGCGAGTGCGACTCCATCAACGTGGTTGAGTTCATGAAGGTCTTCAATGAAAGAGAACAAGTCAGAATGGATGCACTTGACGATTTAGGAGATCAAAGAGAGAGACAGGTTATGCTCTACTATCAGAATGTTACCAAGTGAACTAAATGAGAACAGATGATTACGTGAGATAGACACCTTTTAGATACTCTCTTGTTGAATACAACGATGCTACACCTATATTCTCTAAGGCCTCGGTCGTAATGTGAAAGGGCGAACGGCTTTAGCCTGAATGTATCGTAGTGGTGCATGATGTCCATATCCCATAGGACTGTCTGAGGTGTCAGCTGTCCGGAAGAACTATTCCGAAGCCCACGGTACAACAAGGCTTGGGCCATTCTTTATGAACCGAACAGATGAAGTGAAGTAGCAGTTAGTCGTAGTTGATGATTGCGGACCGCTTACTCGCACCTCGAGCTTTGAGACATATCGGATTTTGATCACCCATACAATCAAGCTCAGTGTTTTGAACAGAGGGCACGATTGTCCGTTAATCACGCAAATTTGAGTCACTGAAATCATACTGGTGGGGGTTATGCTGCGATCTGTGTCGCACCATTTATGAAGATCTCTCCTTGAAGTATCACAGCCACCCCGAAAGATGCTGCTATAAGTTCTCAAGCTCCCTCACAAGAAACACTATAGGCACCAGTTGGAGAAGTACACACCTGCTTATATGCACAAAAGATCCGGAATCCGCTAGGTTTAGGAGTTCGTGGGGAGAATGTTCGCTCAGTAGCGCTGGTTTGAGACCCAATCGAAGGTTTCCCACACCTCTAGAGGGTTAGAGCCATACATCAAGGGAGCTACCTTGCTCTCTTGTACACCCCTGTTGGTAGGTATGCAGCACTGGCCTGACTGACGCTTTCCAGGTCGACTCGCCAGCTGGCTGCAGAATTTACACCCACACTGCGACCGTGTGGAGAACCATGTGGAGTATAAAACGTGGTGTTATTGTCCATATCATCAACAATGGTTATGTCTGTCCTATGACAGTTTGATACGGTCTAATTCTTCTTACACATACTTACACGATGTCCAGAGTTGCTCTAGTTACAGGTGCCGCCAGAGGTATTGGTAAAGGTATTTCACTTCAGCTTGCACGTGATGGTTACGACGTTGCCATTACTGATCTTTCATTCCAGAAGGAATTGGCGTTGCAAACAGTAAAGGAGATTGAGGCTCTTGGTCGCAAGTCCTTCTTCATTGAAGCTGATTCTTCTAAGAAAGAGGACTTGGCCAACGCAGTCAATTTGACTCATAAGGAATTGGGTAACTTCAATACTCTTGTTAACAACGCAGGTGCTGCCTCCATCGCGCCATTGGTTGATGTCAAGGCTGCTGATGTTGAAAAGCTGTGCAAGATTAACATCGGTGGTGTCCTGTTCGGTATCCAAGCTGCTGCTGAGAAGTTCCAGGAGCTGGATCAGCCTGGTAAGATCATCAATGCTTGTTCAATCGCTGGTCATCAAGCCTTCCCTATGCTTGGTCTGTACTCTGCTACCAAGTTTGCCGTTAGAGGTTTGACCCAAGTTGCAGCAAAGGAACTTGCTTCGAAGAAGATCACAGTTAATTCGTACTGTCCAGGTATTGTTCTCACTCCAATGTGGGATCTCATTGATGAAAAGATGGGTGAATACACTGGTGCACCAAAGGGTGAGACTTTGAAGAAGTACATTGAAGGGATCGCTCTTGGTAGAGGCTCCGAGCCACAGGATGTTGCAAACTTGGTCAGTTTCCTTGCCTCTGAGAAAGCCGATTACATCACTGGTCAATCCATTCTTGTTGACGGTGGTATTGTCTACAATTGATAGAATGAATAGTTCTATAAGTACTGAATATGTCTCAATGTAGATTCCACTTTCATTTCAGCTGTTAAGTAAGATCATGATGTACCAGAACCCTCTTTTTCTTGTTCTTTATTAATCGGTCTCTTTGGTGGTGGATACCGAGGTTTACCAATTTGACGATTAGGTATCAACTGTGGATTATCGTACCGTAGGGCACTGCGGTGTTGTAGTGGAGGGGCCACTTCTGATCTCTTTATAGGTGTGGATTTTGTGGGGTCAACAGTTCTCCGTATTGATGGTGAGATGAATTGCGGATTAAATGCATGTTCGCTGGTTATAGCTGAGGAACTCTTCTGTATTTCTTCTGCAACCCTGGCTTTAACAAAGCTAACCTCAGCTGGTGGATTCACTAGTGCATGTTGCTGACTTGGTTGTTCTTGTGGTTCTTGAGGCTGTTGCAAGGAGCCGTTTTCTTTCTTATTTGTTTCATTTGGTCGTCTAGATGGGGTCTCATTAGTGAATGCATTCTCTTGTGATGGCTCAGTATAGAGATTGAGCTGTTGTTGATTTTGTTGGCTTCCTTTCTCACCTTCTTGCCCCAGAGCAGGTGTTTTAAGTTTAGCATCAAGTAGTTCATTCACCTCATCGTTGAAGTCTTCTGATTCCAGGTTTAGATCATCGCTAAAGGTCAAAGAATCATCAAACATGTTATCGTTATCTACTCGTTTGGCAGGTTGTACTGGACCTGTTGGTTCGGAGGATCTTTTCTCTGGCACCACTGACTTCGGAATGTCCGGCTGAACTGATCTCTGAGGTGGTCTAATAGTAGTAGTTGAACTAGTTCCAGCTCTTGTAGTTGGTACCTGATTGGCCCTCTCAGGTTTTGAGGGGGATCTTGGAACTGCCGCCGATCGGCTTGTCATATCGTTAAATCTAAAGAGGTTAGACTCGTCAAAATCTGGGGGTGCACATTTCACCCCAGAGATTTTACTCAGGTACTCCTTATCATAGAGACAGTTACCCATGGCGTTGCCAAAACATCTCAATGCTCTTTTCAATCCATCTGTCATCGCTTCCTTTTTGGCCTTTTCAAAAGCCATGGCTTTCGTACGGGCATTATCCAGGCTTCCATATCCAATATCTTCATGGTATGAACCATCCTTAAGAGTAACCCGTACAACAACGGATAACCCCACGTTATACCTGCCATTACGTTCATCGAGGTAATCAACGTTGATCGTCTTCACTTCAGAGAACCATCCGTTGAAACCAAACACCTGATTAGCCAAGTTCAAAGCCTTCCACCCTTCGATATACGACACCTGTACACCACCAGCACCTGGTCTAGTTGAAACATATTCAGGGCCAAGTTTCTTGTCGAGCTTTGCTTGGATATCTTCAACCTCCGAGGGATGAAAGGGCTCAGTCTTCACCACTGTATCCTTAAATGATTTGTTGTGTAGATGGCTCATCACTCTCTTATCAATATAAGCCAATAACAAATCAACGACAAGAAGGGAAAGCCTGATAAATTAAAACGTTTCTCCTTTAGCAACTGTTCAACCAGTAATTCTGAAAAGCACACACATAGAGAGAGATCGGAGGTTGAAATTTCGCCTTCGAGACCGCAGCGCGTGCGCGTGTTTCCTTTGTTTACATTTCAGCATAATCCGGGAGGGATGTCATGTGATCAAATACGGTCGGAAATCTGAAACCAGGATCACTTTTCACTTGGAGGAGGAGGAGAAGTGATTGAACGGTGAAAAGATCACACACAGGGAAGTTGTGCACCTGTTCATACACATTGGAAAGTACAGATCTCGATGACTGATTCTAAACAGAAGCTCGATGAGCTTCAATGGAAGAGTCCCGAATGGATTCAATCGTTTGGATTAAGAACAGATAACGTTCTCGAGTACTTCTCAGAGTCGCCATTCTTTGACAGGACTTCCAACAACCAAACTGTTAAGATGCAGAGCCAATTCCAAGAAGGCTATCAAGCCAATAGTGCGCATCTAGAGGAAGAGTTGAAGAAGCTGGTCGGTGTTGAGTTTGTCATATTGCATCGTAGAGAACCGGATTTCTGGATCATAAGGAAACAGAATAGGAAGAGCCCCGAACTTGTGGAGCCCATGGCTGATTACTTCATCATTGGTGCAGATGTATACATGGCACCGACTGTTAAAGACGTCATCTCGTCTAGGTTATTGAGCACTGCATTGTCGTTGAAAGAGTCCATGAACAAACTACAGACGCTGGCGCAGTTCACCCCTTCAGACGGACACACATATAAAGTTCAACAACCCACCGCAGGAGCACCGGACTCAGCGTCATCGTCGAGATCCAGGACCTTGGGAAACACACCATACACCCCTACAACACCTGGGTTCCAAGCAGTGGGTACATCAGATAAGAATGACCAACTTTCCCGCGGCACCATCGACAACCTCTTCAACATCTCGCTGAACGGTACGCCTGCATACGTTGAGGATGAAACCAGTGAGAACAACATCGAATCCCTCACAAAACCAATACGGCCGCAGGTGTCCATACATCAGACGTCAGACGAAGCCACCATCAATTCGTTAAAGAAGGGTAAAAGGAGCATCCAATAATGGGTAAAAGACCTGTGGAAATGTGCTTTTATGTGTATATCAATGTTTATCTTTTCTTCCTTCTGTAGTGTAAACAAAGCACAAAACCCACAAACGCACCCGCCGCCCGCGCAATCTCCGCGCGGAAGTGTGATGGAAGCTCACGTAGGAAAGATTCGTGTCCTTTTTGTCGTTCAGACACGCTTGTAAATCAACAGTGGTTTTAATCCAAAATACCAATAAAATGAAGGCTTTTACTTCTGTTGTTTCGTTCTTGGTGCTTTTCGTCGTTGCGGTTTTGGCTACTGATCCAACCATCACCGACAGGGTCTACTTTGACCTGTCTCAAGGCGATGAATACCTTGGACGCGTTGTGCTTGGTCTTTACGGTAACGTTGTTCCAAAGACAGCACAGAATTTCCGTGAATTGACATTGTCCAAGGACCCATCTTTTGGTTATATCAACTCCATCTTCCACAGAGTGATCCCAAACTTTATGATCCAAGGTGGTGACTTCACTATGAGAAATGGCCGTGGCGGTAAATCCATCTACGGTGATAAGTTTGAAGACGAGAACTTTGAGTTGAAGCACGACAAGCCAGGTAAATTGTCCATGGCCAACGCCGGTAAGAACACCAACGGTTCTCAATTCTTCATCACCACAGTTGTCACTTCCTGGTTGGACGGTACGTTATTTTCATAGCTTTTTTTAGCTCTTTAATCTTGTGATATTACTAACACTGACCAAGGTCGTCACGTTGTGTTCGGTGAGGTTCTTTCTGGTCTCGATATCATTAACAAGGTCGAGAACACAAAGACCAAGAGAGACAAACCAGTTGTTGACGTTGTCATCTCCGGTACCGGTGAGTTGAATGAGGATGGTGAGGTTATCACCTCAATCACTTTGGAGGATGCTCTTGGTGACTCCAAGTCCGAGGAGGATGTCAAGGAAGAAGTCAAGAACGTAAAGGATGAGTTGTGATCGTCTAGTATAGTATTTCTATATATCTGTATACACTTCTCTTTAGCGATGTGTGTAACCCCTGTGTAAACGGTTTCCCTGGTTCCCGTGAAGTGGCATTTGTTGATGATAGCGCCTTGAAAAAAAAAGACACAACAAAAAAACACAACACTCATGAAATGACAATAACACCAGTCAACAAACGAATAAATCACTTTGCTGATAAACAAGTTGGCTTCAAAATAACACAATGACCGAGGAAAACTATGCTGGTGATAATGAACCAGTCGTTCCGCGTGATGTGCGTATTCTTCATTTGATCCTTGCTGCACAGGGAGTTCAAAACTATGAAGACCATGTGCCATTACAACTGATAGATTTTGCATACAGTGAGTGCCTCTGACTCGGTTTCCCACTGAAGATTTGGGAATCTGCTTTTGAACGATTGCTAATGCTCTAAACCAGGATACACGTCAGGCGTACTGAAAGATGCTGTCGTTTACAACGACCATTCTCGTGGTAGTAGCGGCAATGGTCCCCTGACTGGTAAGAACCTCACCACTGAAGACGTACGTTTGGCTATTGCTGCAAGAACGAACTACCAATTCAACCCTGTTACACCAAAGGAGCTTCTGCTTGAGCTGGCAGCTGAAAGAAACAAGAAGACGCTACCACCGGTACTTCCCGGTGTTGGTATAAGACTTCCGCCAGAGAAGTACTGCTTAACCGCAAGGGACTGGTCGCTGAGCGATGAAGAGGATGCGAACATGGAAACGTGATGGCCGTGTTCGTATATCTCATCTGTATACTAATACATCGTCAAATCATTACACACACAGTGCGATTACACACACAGTGGGCTATCTCACACGGTCTCTGAGGTACCCTGTGTAGAGAGTAAAAATAGCCTGGGGAAACAACCACTAATTCCTTCATTGCTACTTCCATCAATGCCTACAATACTACATTACCATAGCATGTACTTGTCCACACCAACAAGAACTGAATAACCTCAACATGGCTAACCAAACCCGTACACTGTTGATACACATAGCCTGCTTATGTAATCTTTAAAACCCGACTGCCGGTAAAACGAACAAGCCGATACGAAATCAGTAGCGAGCGCTGGGTTTTGTGTGTATTTTTTTCTCCTTCTCGGAGGCCCACGTCTATAACGGGAGTAAAACAATACTTGAACCGTGGCAGTGGAACATCAATTGCGAGTATAAACAACAGATGATCACCTCACAACGCTCCATTCCAGAGTATGTATGCATGCACTTTCACACAGCTTCCCTTCTCTGTGCGCTTTCATGTTTATTTCTTCTCCTCTTGAAACATTAGTACTGACACGTTGTGTGTGTTTTCCTACAGAGTTAAAGAGGACACCCCGGGGTCTTGTTTAGATGAAAGGGCTGCGAAGATCAGAACGTTCCAGGAACTGGGGCCTCCTGATCTTGTGAGCTTAACTAAGGTGCTGCCAGGAGGTAAGACACCGGAGGTATGTGTTTTGATGTTGATGATTGTGTCTTGTGTGCTTTCTTTCTCTTCTTCTTCTTGATGGCTTTCTAACAACGCTTTAGCTCGGTACCTTCCTGTACTACACAGGTCTTGATAACTCAAGTTCTTCTGCTGTAGCAGCACACTTGAATCAGATTGCGAATACGATTTCTCAGGAACCACAGGCTTGGTTTGGCAAATATAAGCATTTCAAAGTGACAAAGGCCATCTATGCGTCTTACGATGCGTTTTCACAAGTCGACGTTGTGGTTACTTGTCATCTACCAGGTGCAGTCTCGACGTATGTCATCGATGGCCGTGGTGAGCACGTCCAAGAGACTGATAGAATCTGGTTGGGTGTCTTTGCAAGTTCTGTTATGAGATCACTGGTCACCACTGATGACGAGGAAGAACAGGTCAATGCGATTGTCGAGTCCAGAGCTCTTGACCCATTCTCATCTCCAGATTTGGCCAAATTGTTCCTTCACGCATTTGAAGAGTTGTTCTACGAGGGTCCAAATATTGGGTGTGCTCCAGAGGTTCAGACAGCTAGTCTCGTACAGAATTATCTGGTGGATGCGCTCTTGAAGACCGTTGAGTTAACCGGGTTATACGATGAGGCTTTGGAAATCTTGGAGAGATTGAGAACCAAGGAGGAATCTGTCGTGGCATTGATAGTTAAAGTCTTGCTGTTGAAAGATGAAGAAGTGAAAGCAGTTAAGGCTCTGTACGATGGTATCCAAAAGACCCCGAGAGACCCTGAGCTTTTGCTCATAGAATCTCAATTCTTGATCAAGAAGGGTAAATTAACTCTGGCTTTGAAATCTGCAATCGATGCAGTCAACTCTGCTCCCTCTGAGTTCAACTATTGGGCTAACTTGTCAAAGGTTTATCTCGAACTTGGTGATATCGAACAATCCCTTTTCACCTTGAACTCTTGTCCAATGGCTGCCTTTAAAGAAAAGTATCACTTGAAACGTTTGCTGTTGGCTCCTGCTGATAAAGTTCATCTACCACTACCAAACGACGTCACTCTAGAAGATGTTGTTGCGCTGGATACTAACATGGTTGCTCAAGAACACAGATCAATCGATCAGGCTTTAGCAAACTTGCCAGCTGCAAAGTTGAAAACTACTCTGGCAAAGGCTTACAACATTCTGACTGAAATTGTCCATAGAACAGGCTGGGAAGCTCTCCTGAAGTACAGAGCACGAATCTTTGTCATGGAGGAAGAATACAGATCCAAGTCGACAAGCCAAACCAATATTGCAGAGAACGGTAACGTAAACGCAGATGATGGATTCAAGCAAAAGAGGCTATGTGAAAGATGGCTCGATAACCTGTTTATGATTCTCTACGATGATCTGAAGACCTACACCATGTGGCAAGCGGAACTGATCCACTTCCAGGCACAAAGGACCGTATATGAAAAACTGCCAATAGAATGGGAATACTTGGGCATGTGTGCCTTTAGATTACACCATTATAAGGAAGCATCTGTCGCTTTCCAGAACGCACTCGAGACTCGTTTTGCCCCAGTCTGTACTAGAAACCTGTTGAAATACTACCTCCTAGAGGCACAAGGCCTACAGAAGCAGGCATTGCACTCAGGAGCAAATGGCTCAGCTGATCAGGCCTCTGTTGAAAGTGCCCATCAGATTGAGCGTAAACTGGACAATTTGGACAATTTGATCCTGGAGCTCATCGTCAAACTCACTGCCTGGAATCACCGCTGGTACAGTGAATTTGCACCGTACCTGGTGAAAGCCCTAGGTACCGTTGTTGAGAGAGAGGGTCTGGTCAAGGTTGAGAATGAGATCAGTGCAGGATACGCAGAAGAGACTGGTGTCGCTGCAATGATGAACGATTACTTCCAATTCTTCAAATTGTTCAACAGACCTGGTGCTGACTCCTAAGTAAATGATATGGCCATTGTATAAATAAACAACTGTACCAGTTTTTCGTATCTATTTCTACTGGAAGGTGTATAGTCTGTAAGCGTGTATTACGCGTTCGTGAGTGCGGCTTCGGAGTTTGATGCGCTAATGTGGTTCCCAAGGTCTTTTTATGAGACTGTTCTTTGATGAAAGCTTTCTCCTGTCTACCTATAAGCAGTTAGTCTCCCTATACTTGCTCGATGGATACAATTGAGGATATTGCTATCATAGGTGCGGGTGGTGTTGCTGGGTTAACTGTGCTTCGTGAACTGGCTCTTATAGATGAATGTGGAAGAACGTATGTTGATTGTGAGAACGCCTGTCCTGACACACGACGATTCAACATCATAGGGTTTGAGCAGAAACATGAGCTTGGAGGAACCTGGTTTACTGATGACTACCAATTGGACCCGCCGATGCCATCACAACATGTGCTGAACACTGAACAGTACGATAGCGTCAAGGTCATCAGAGGTGAACATACATATGCTCCAAGTGATGAGCAGCTTGAAAATACATCTATAAACAATCAGATCTCTACAAAAACTGATCCAAGCTATTGCAATTGGTCTAGATGTGCAATATGGCCTGGCTTATATACAAATGTGCCAGAGATATACATGCGTCACTCAACTTCTGAGAGGTCCGATGAACCGTTAAACGGTCTTGGGCCATTCTTGACGCATGAACAAGTCAGACAAAGATTACTGGAATTTGCTCGAACTGAGCATCTGGATGAGCATATACGTTTCAATACCGAGGTGTATAACGTTAAGAAAGCTGGCTCCAAGTGGACTCTTACATTGAGAGTGAGTAATCCCCACAATGATGGCGGAGATTTATGGTATCAGCAATGCTTCGACGCTGTAATATTGGCACAGGGAAGCTACAGTATTCCCTTTATTCCGCATTACCCTGGATTGAGCGAATATGTAAGCAAGTTCCCTGGCTCTGTACTTCATTCAAAGAGCTATAGGGACCCATTGAGCTTCAAAGACAAGCGTGTTCTCATTGTGGGTGGAAACATATCCGCAATTGACATTGGCCAATACTTAGATCAAGTTGCCAAAGAAGTGTTGATAAGTCGAAACCTCAGTCATGAGCTATATCTGTCGACTCATATGACTCGTTGTACGAATAGTTTCAAGAATATTCAAAGTATCTCGAGGTTTATACCGCAAACTAAGCAAATCGAGCTGACAGATGGCACAATTTTGGAAGATATAGACGCTGTGATCTTTGCTACTGGTTACCATATTGAGCTACCCTTTCTTGAGGAGGGAATTCTTGAATATTCCACTCCAGCTCGGTGTAGGTTTCCCTCTTCAAATTCAAGGGTCAAAGGCTTATACCAACATGTGTTCAACATAGAAGACCCTACCATAGCCATGGTGGGCAAAGTCGTTGCTCCACCATTGTTCCGTACTCTGGAATCACAGGCTGCTGCCATTGCTGGTGTATGGACTGGCCAGAGGAAGCTCCCATTGAAACAAGAGCAATATGCCTGGGAACGACGCCGTCTCGAAACAGTGAGAGAGTCAATGTTTCACAAGTACGGAGTGTTGAACTTGAAGGAGGATTATTTTAATCCAATGCGCAAGCTCCATATTCCTGCTAGATCAGATCCATTGAAAGATGGAATATTACAATCAACAGAGGAATACGATGTTGCATTGGATGAATTCGAAAGGCTATTCTTCGAGTTCAAATCGGGGAAAAGACAATACAACTACGACTTCAATGCTGGTTCGAATAACCTGTGAGTATATGTTCTCTCTTTTTTCAGTCACATATAAATGTTTTACAACTTGAAGATCAATATCTTCCTCCGTAACCATCGCCACCAAAGCCTTGAGCCCCACCTTGGCCACCAAAGCCTTGAGGAGGAGGGCCACCTGGGCCACCTGGACCACCTGGACCACCTGGACCGCCATGGCGACCACCATGATGACCACCATATCCACCTTGGCCTTCGTATCCACCTTGGCCTCCGTATCCACCTTGGCCGCCATAACTGCCTTGGTTTGATCCATAGTTGCCATTTGATGGACGACCAGATCCACTGCCGGAACCTCCCATAAATGAGTTAAGCATACCGGAGAGTCCACCACCACTGCCTCCTTGGCCAAATCCCGAGCTGTTACCTTGGTTTGGATTGTAGTTCCCACCTTGATTACCACCTTGGTTTCCATAGTAGCTACCTGCGTTACTACCATATCCAGAGCCTTGACCTTGGCCGTGACCTTGACCTTGGCCGCCAAACATAGAGAGCAGGGAGCTTAGGCCACCACTTCCACCTTGGCCACCGTATGATCCACCCTGACCGCCATAGGATCCACCTTGACCGCCTTGCGAACCACCGGAGAGCATTGATACAACACTACCCAGAGAGAAACCACCTTGGTTAGACTGACGGCCTGAGCCGGAGCTGAAGAGGCTCGCCAGCATACCCAACTGCGACGAGTGACCTGACCCGCTATTCATGCCTCCCATTCCCCCAGACATCAACCCATTCATCAGAGTGGAGGTGAGGTCTCTGTCTTGCGAATCGCCCAAGGCACGAGATGATGTGGTATCCATATTCTGAACAACATGTTTGGAGAGGCTCTCAACCATAGATCCAATCTCTCGAGACTCCTCCTCATTCGGATTCATATCATTGGCACTCTGAAGATCCTGAATAGCACGTTGGTGCTCCCCAAGCTGCACCAAACATTTGGCCCTGAGGATGAGCGCCTTCGGGGAAGCCTGGCCTTGGTTAATGACTTGCTCCAATTCACTCAGCGCACGTTGGTAATCGCCTTGGCTAATGAGGTTCTCAATATCGTCAATTGAAGACATCGTTGTGCTTTGTTCTATGGCTCCACAGCTTGGTTCACTCAAGCATCAAGGTGGAATTTGGGGACCCCGTTTCACCTCATCCTGAAGCTTGCTACGCGGACACATGTTGATGAGCGGGTTTTTCTTCTCCATGTATCCAGCGCGCATTTCACAACTTCCGGATTCGGCAGTCGACGATACCCTCAATTTTCATTGGATCACCGGGAAAAACTCGTCTGAACGAAAATGGGATCGAAAACAACCTCTGAAGGGCAAGTGCGCTCATTTCTACTGTGCAAGGAGAGGACAGATTCAGAAGAGAGAGCACAATGTTCAAGTCCACTGTTGGGAAAACGTTCACGAAGCTCGTTGTGGGAACTTCGGTGTTCTACGCCGGAGGTGTTGCCCTAGCTCTTCAGAACAACGCCTTCAACGAGCTCTTTACCGATAATGTTCCGTTTGCTGAAGAAGCGGTTGACTTTGTGGAGTCGTTGACAACAAACACCAACAAAGACTACAATATTCAGAACTTCAAGAAGAAGTTTGGAGAGCTTGAAAAGACCTTTGAGATCCCAAAGTCCGGGTTGTTCTCCACAAAGATTGACAGTGTGAAAGAGAAGGAAGAGGCTCTTTCTGATAAAGTGAAGCAGGCTGTGGCCAAGGTGAAGGACACCGTCTCCACGACATCTTTCCCTTCCGCGTCATACAAGCTGCCATTGTTGGAATTGAAGAGTGAGAACCAAGACGTTCAAAATGCCATCACGGAGTTCAACGCGTTCATCACAAAGATCAACAACGGTGAGTTGAACCACGCCATTGACTTTGGTGCACTCTCTGAGCTGTTCACAAAGTTGGATAACGAAATCAAATCTTTACAGGACACCTCTTCCAAGGTGTTTGATGAAAAAGTCCAAAAGGGTATTGAGGGGAAAGCCAATGAGGTTCTCGCAGACTTCAACAAGAGATTTGACGCGAAGGTTAAAGAGATTGAGGATCATCACAATGCCCAGTTGGCCACCGAGGTTTCCTTGAACAAGCAAGTCTCTGAGAAGGAATTTGCCAACCGTGCCAAATTGATTGCCATCGATGCTCAAAAGGCCAGTACCGATGCTGTTGCAAAGGTTTTGGAGGAAGAGCGTGAAGGTAAATATGCTAACTTTGTTCAATTGAACAAGTCTTTGGAAGACCTTCAAACTCTTGTTCTCCAACTTGATCACCATTTGGATAATGCCGACTTGAAAGTTCAATTGCAATACGAATTGAATAAAATCAGAACAAAACTAGACTCTGAAAAGAATGTTCAGTTCTCACAAGAGCTTGCTGAATTGAAAAAATTGGCCCAAGAGGCTGATAACAAGGTCATCGTCAACGCTGTTGATGCCATTGATCCAAAAGCTGCATCTGAGGGTCTTTTGACGCCTTCTCAATTGATAACGAGATTTAACTTGTTGGCTCCAGAGTTAAGAACCGCTGCTCTCTTACCACCAAACGCTGGTGTTCTCGGTCACTTGGGTGCTAAATTCTTTGCGTTCTTCTTGTTGAGCAAGGCTGGTGACGTTGAAGGTAAAGACATTGAGAGTGTCATTGCCAGAGTTCAAAACAACTTGGTGACAAACAGATTGGACGATGCCGTTGAGGAAGTTGCCAACTTGAAGGGCTGGAGTAGAACATTGGCTGATGATTGGCTTGTTGAGAGCAGAAAGAGATTGGAAGTTGAGTTCCTTGTCAAGGTTATCGACTTGGAGTGCAAATCCTTGTACTAGAGATATTCTAATATTGTACCACTGACACATACAAGAAACATATAAACATTAAAACATTCTTTCCACACCAACGTCTTGTAATAAGAATCGCTTCTCATATGTCGATAGGAACTGGTTACGGTTTGATTATTGTAGCACGCTATTCTGTAAATGGAGCAAAGATGCAAGATAAACTAACAAGGGAAAAGAAGAAGCTTACATGTCATGAAGAAAGAGAACTCTCTGGAAGACAAAAAAGATGAAAACAAACTTATAAAAATGGTATCAACCTGAGTGGATCAAGAACAACAAGATGATTGGTTGTTTGTGCTTGGTCTTTGGAGGTTCACACTCTTTGGCTGGCTCTTGGACTTTATTTGGCTCTCCAGTGGCAACTTCTCTGCAATGCTCTGGAAAATTTCCTTCACACCTTGGCCTGTCTTTGCAGAGACTTCAAAGAAGAGCAGGCCTTCCTCTGTAGCATATGCCTGAGCGGCTTCCTTTGCGACTTTTCTCTCGGACTCCAAATCCAACTTATTCCCAGCAAGCGCAATCACAAGATCCTGGTTAGCTTGTCTTTGAAGCTCTTTGATCCACGATTTGGCCCTCTCAAGTGAAGCCTCCTGTGTAATATCGTAAACCACCACGGCAGCATTGGCGTTTCTGTAGTACATTGGTGCCAAAGACTTGTAACGCTCTTGACCGGCGGTATCCCAGATCTCAAACTTGATTGTTGTGTTTTCATCGAGTTGGATGGTCTGTGTTAAGAATGCAGCGCCGATCGTGGACTCTCTGAAGTCGTCAAATGAGTCCTTGACGAATCTGTGAACTATGGATGACTTACCGACGGCACTTTCACCAAGAAGCACCAGTTTAAACTGTGCGAAACGAGGTTCTTGTTGAGTTGCGGACATATCGAATATCAAATGTGCAGTATGTCAGATGAGTGGGTAATATTAGAATGTCGTAATATGTTTCAACACCAGCGGTTAGACTTTCCCCCAGTGATGTGATCTGATCGGTATACAACAGGTTTTATCCGTGATAGTGTCCCGTATAATGCGTTGATAGGTGGTGGAGTTGATGACAACAAAGTAAATTTGTGGGAAGAGCAGCTTAGGGGAGAAGAGAGAGGAACGACCGAAAAGCACAAGCCCAGTGGCATAAGGGAAAAACAACAAAATGAAAACAAAGACACGATAATATCTGCAAACGGCAGTTTTCCTGATTCGGTTTCACTAGCCTCGCACTTCCCGTTTGAGATAGTTCACTAGCCACGCATATCCATTACGGTAAATAGGGCTGGTGAAATGTTGTAACTTTTTAGCGTGCTTGGCCCTACATATACGCTACGTACATTGGTAATTGTACCTAGCTGGAAGGAGATACGGTTTATCCATTTGAGGCGTGTTGGTCTTGAGTAGGGTTAAGCTGAATCTTTAGTGATTACCTTACGATACCAGGTTGGAAGTGTATATCGATATACACTTTGTGCTGAGAAGCAGCAAACAAACGCACACATTGTCTGTGGGTACCTTTTGCTGTACTGCTCTAGCAGAACTCCCCCATCAGGAAACTAATACATGCACCAACCATCGATATATCTACATAGTACTTGCCACAATACGCTCAGTCACAGTAGTTAAAAGAGTTTATGCTTTGGAGAGCACTCTTCGAAAGGTTCACACCTGGCCCCTGTGAGTGGTTGTTGATGGAACATGTCAGTGCCAATCGACGGTGATCTATGATCCAATGTCTGCTTCTCTAGTCCTCCCACTATCAGTGTTCAGGTCTCATTCCAATTGACGTGAGTATCCACAGTAATAGCTTACAATCGCACACGACAATATTTATGTCTCTCTGCATACCCTTGTGGAGGTTTTCACTAACAGTGCACCACCATCAGCTTAACCACGTCCATACATCCCATGTTCCCTTCCGCTGAGCCTGATTTGAGGTCCACTACTCCAAACAACCCATTCTCATCAACCACCCCCTTCTGCCAGATGAACCATCATCAATAGACAAACACCTCTCCAATCAACTATAAACCATCACTTCACGCCTTAAGCGTTACCCTACGTGTAAAACAGGCGTCAGATTATACGCCAAAAATATTACGCCAAAATGACATCGCGCAAAAACATTGATCGATTTGCGAATTGCGCAAAACACAACGGTCGGGGCAGAACTTCAGCATTTCGCCCAGTGAGGCTGCAATTGAACAGAATTCCTTAGTTACACGTCACTCGAAGATCACGAAATTCAATCCCTCTGCTTGTTCTTCACCTCCATCGCCATCTCCAACAACAACCACAACAACCACAACAAAGAGAGAACGAATTGTCCTATCAACGGCCAATCCTAAGTTTCACTTGCAACCCGTACTAACTGAGTTATTCGCTTTAAAGATCTTCCATTTGGCTCCACCCATTTGACCTTCTTTTCCTTAGTCGATAACTTACATACGTTGTCCATTATTTCCATCTTTTAGTTCCTATCTTCCGTGTTTCTCCTTATCGTCTGTCTCTCTGATCAAAAGAGTTGGTTCCAAGCCATTGCTAGTCAGATAGTCCATAGTAAGAGAAATCGAAAGAAACAACCGAAATAAAAGAGAAATATTCCACTCCGCTCCCCACGCTGTCCGTTTGAATTGAATTCTGCCGTCCTGGAAATTGACTTGAATACTCATCATGTCCACTGAAAACGAAACCAACATTGCAACCGCTGTTGCCGATGTTGAGATCAATGACGAAAACAACTCCACCACGGATGTTGTCTCTGAAGAGTCCACCGCTGTCGAAACTCCTGTTGAAACTACACCTGTCCCACCACCTTCTATCAACGACGAGAACGCCTTCCCAACTCTTGGTTCCGGCGTTGTTGCCACTAACAAGAATGCCGTGTCCTGGGGTCCTTCTATGAAGACCACTGTGTCCTCTGGAAGTGTTAGCTCGGCACCTTCTTCAAATGGTAACTCTTCGAACAACTTGACTGCTGGTGTTGCCCGTTCTAAGAACGTTCAAGAGGCTTTCAACATCTCCCACATTGCTGCGTTGAACATCATCAAGACCGAGTTCATCAAGATTGTCTCTGATCTCAAGAAGGCCCACAATGTCTCCATCGAGTCCACTTTGTCCACAAAGACCCAAGACAGATCCTTCATCGTTACCGGTAAGCCAAACGATGTTGCTCGTGTCAGAAGAGAATTGGTTCGTCGTCTGACTAAACCTGTCGCTGAATCCTTCAAGGTTCCTGCATCTACAAGATCTGCAATCATCGGTTCCGGTGGTAGAAACTTGAAACCAATCGTTGAGGCTACTGCTACCAAGATTGACATCGAGAGATCTCAAACTCCTTCGTCCACCGACCAGGAAGATGACGATGAGATCACCGTCACCATTACCGGTGACGTTGATGGTGTTCTTGAGGCGAAGAAGAGTATTTTGGCCATCGTTGAGGAAGAGACAAAGACTCTTACTGCAAGAATCACCGTTCCTGAAAGGGTCCGTCCATTTGTTCAACCACTTGAATCTAGCGAGGAGGACTTGGTCGTTGCAGGTCCAAACAAGAACGGTATCATCACCATTTCTGGCTTGAGAGATGAGGTTATTTCCAAGAAGAATGAACTCTCACAGGAGTTCGATTCTTTGAACAAAAAGATCAAGGTTGATGTTAAAACCATTCCAAAGAAATATCAACAATTCATCAACACTGAACAATTGTGGAAGGAGTTCCAAGTTGTTGTCAAACTCCCAGATGGAGAAGACGATACTGAAGTTGAATTTGTTGGTCTTGAAAAGAACGTTGACGCCGCTATCAAGTCTGCTAGAAACACAAGCTCTCAGTTTGTCATTGACTCACTGGTCATCTCCAGAGCTCACGGTGGTGATGTTGTCCACGCCAGACGTTTGGCTGCCTTCTTGTCTTACTCTGGTCTTCTGAAGGAGATTGGTAAGCAACATCACACTAGTATCCAAGCTCCTCCATACTCAAAGTTAGCTGGTGATGAGTTGTCTTCGATTGCTATTGAGACCAGTGGTCCTTCATCAGATCCTGCATCGATCCAGGCATCTAGAAAGGCCATTATTGATACCGTCAACCGTTTCACACCATCCCGCTTCTTGGTTGTTTCCGATCTTTCTTCATTCTTTGCAAAGAGAGTTGTTCATGCTACTGAAGGAACTGCAAAGGTTGAAAATGTTGCTGTTGTTCCATTGTCCGAACTATCTAACAATGCCACGGATGATATCATCTTTGTTGCACTTGACGGCAAGGATGACGAATTCGCACCAACCCAAGAGGAGATTGACTCTAGACTAAGAAATACTGCTGAATCTTTGGATGAGCTGAGAAAGGCCCAAGAACACTTGAAGAGAGTTGTCTTGGACGTTCCATCTGACAAGCAACAGTTCATTGCTGGGCCAAACGGAACTACTCTAGCAAGCTTGATTGAGTCTGCAAACTCTGTAAATATTGTGCTTCACAATGATGGTAAAGCTGAAGCAGATGACAAGGTTTTCATCGAGGGTGCAAAGACTGATGTTGTTAAGGTTGAGAAGGAGATTGCCACCTTACTGGCTGATGCTGCTGATCAAACTGACTTGTACAGCTTCGTTCTTGAGACTACTGTTCCAACATCTGTCTTGTCAAGATTGATTGGTAAATCGGGCTCTAACTTGAAAGAGATTAGTGAAAAGTTTGCTGTTAATATCGACGTCGATAAAGAAGATTCAGGTGAAAAGACCGGCTTGAAAATCACTGGTTACAAGTTCAACGTTAAGGAGGCTGAAGTCCATATTGCACATGCTGCTAAGAGATGGGCTGACGAGATCACTAAGACTTTAATCGTTGCTAAGCAATATCGTGCATCCTTGATCGGTTCCAATGGTCAAAATGTCAAGAAATTGCAAACTAAGTACAACGTTGCTATCCATTTCGATAGAACTACTGATGATGTCACCATTAAGGGCCCATCAAGAGGAGTTGCCAAGGCTACTGAGGAATTGAAGGATCTTCTTGACTTTGAGATTGCCAACGGTTATACTAAGGAGTTGACAGTTCCTGTAGCTGCTATCTCAAGAATCATTGGTCGTTCTGGTGAGAACGTGAACCGTATTGCTGTTGACACTGGTGTTGATGTGAGGGTTCATAAAGGTCCGGATGGATCAGAAACCGGTACTATTGTTTTGACAGGTTCAAGAACAGGACTGACCAATGCTGAGAAACAAATTGAGGCTATTGTTAAAGAAGTTGAAGATACCATTACCGTTGAGCTTGAAGTTGATCAAAAGTATTTCAAGGACATTTTGGGTCCAAAGGGTGCAACTAAGCAAAAGATCATCACACAGGCCCTTGGTAACTCTGAAGGCGTTGCTGCTAAGTTGTTACATGTTCCAGAGGCTGGCTCTGATGTTTCTGTTATCTCTTCCACAGGTCCAAAGAAGGTTGTTGAGAACATCATTGAGCAAATCAAGGCCATCGTTGCCGATAAAGAGAGTGCAATTCAGGAAACTCTCGAGATCCCAAAGAACAAGCACAGATTGTTGATCGGTGCCGGTGGTTTCGTTCGTCGTTCTTTGGAAGATGAGTTTGATGTTTACCTCGACATTCCAAAGGCTGAATCCAAATCTGACTCGGTCGTGATCCAGGGACAACCAGCTAACGTTGAAAAGGCCAAGGCCAAGGTTCTTGAGTTGACTGCAGATTCATGGAAGACTGTCGTTGAAGTTCCAGTGAACGTCCATGCCTCTGTTTTCCAAAGAGGTTTGTTCGCAAAGGATGTAAGAATTGAGCACAACGTTGACATCAGCTTTGGTGATGCTAACAGAAAGGCACAGAAGCTGTCCAACGCTGTTCCAACTCTTCCAGATGGTGTTCGTGGTGAGGGCGAAGAGACTGAGAAGTTCACCGTTGTCGAGGATAAGCCAGTGGAAAACGATGATGTTATCCCATGGAGACTGTCTGGAGAAGACGAGGAAGTCGCCAAGGTTGAGAAGTTGATTAAAGACGCCATTGCGCAGCACTCCAACGACGATACTATCGGTTTCTTCTGGTTCAAAACACCAGAGAAAGTGTTCCGTAAGGTCATCGGGTCCCAAGGCTCACGCTTGAACAGTTTGAGAAAGAAGTCTGGCGCACAGATCACGGTCCCAAAACCATCAGACAAGGTAAACGACATCATCTACATCAAGGGTCCAAAGGCTGCCGTCGAGAAGGCTGAGAAGCTCCTCCGTTCTGAGATCAGCGCTTGAGCCAACTCTCCTTCCACTTCACCCTCCTCCCATAAAAAAACAACAGAAAATATCATCTATACATAGCATTCAACATTTAAAATAAGACTTGTTTTCTCTTAACGCCCTATCTTCTTCATACAATTGGTTGTAATATATAACCGCCAGCTATGGAGTGTTGATAAAAGATGCCTCACCGCTGAGCACTTGGCTGGTTTAACAATAGTGGGCCAGAACGGAGACCTCCGTCCTCGCCAGGCGGTGGAACGCACGCCAATTTGCTAAATTTGTACTGTTGCAACAAAGCCTGTGTCGTGTACCAGGGTCGCAGCCCCGTGAATTGCAACTTATCAGTAAGTTGGAATATGGCCGACGTTTAGAGGGAGAGATTACAACAGCGTTGTTTGATTTCTTGTCGATTCCCATCCGTTGTTAGGAGAAAGTTAACATTAGAACATGCCGTCCAAAGGAGAAGTGCCTAGTCTTGTTGGTGCAAGCGTTAGATCCGTGAAGCTTGAATCGGATTACGACGAAGCTTCGTACCGTTCCCCTTCCAGATCAGCCCACAAAGTTACAAGGGATGAACGTACTGGGGAGAAGCACTACACCACCGTCAACGAGCTGGCCAGCGAAGGTGCGCTTCTGAACGATGAGTTTGAATACGACGAATTACTCGATGACACTGGCAAGGTGAAACAAGGAGTCTCCGGTGCTGTTATTGTGGATGCCTCGTCGTCCCCTTCAAAGGACAAACCGGCTTCTGCGAAGGTCGCATCAACTGACGATGACGTTCTGGCTGCTAAGAAGGACCCCTCTGGTAGTGGTGACGAGTCCTCGTCGAGTTTCGTTGTTGTTGACGCTGTCAGCGACAAGCTTCATCGTCCGGATCTGGTTGCTGATACACCGTCGCTGTCGTCCGCTGCGGCCAGTGAAGGGTCCTCTATCTATTCGCTGAAGAACCAGGATTCAGGAATGTCCTTGGAGGACTTGATCGACTCGCAAATTGCATCAATGTCAGCTATGACGAGTGATTTGCAAAAGAGTATCTCTGAAAAGAGAATGGGGGGAAGATCCAGATCAAGACCTCAGATGAAGTCAAGCTTGAGTCAGAGTATCATTCCAACATCTGTCATTGAGAATGATTCCCTTCAGCAAGTTCCAGCAGGAGCCCCGGAAGGTATGGAGTCGCCACTAGTTCAGTCAAGATCACAGTCAATGGCTGCACCTGTTAGCAGATCGAAAGATGTGACCGTTGAAAGACCGCATTTGGCCAAGGGTGATTCCTACAAGGGGACTGTTGAGTATGCGCATGAGACTAGAACAGGGAGAGCTGCCGACCGTACCTTAGATACGTTCAGATCTTTCAGAGCAGGCTCGAGAGACTATTTGCGCTCTGTGTCTCGCTCAAGATCTAGGGTCAACGAGGAGCGTCAAGTTACAAACGAAGACCTTTTGAATGAAGGTGTTTTGATCAACGATGAGCTGGACCACGTTCCAGAACTTGTTGACCGCATCGACTCGGTTGCAGAAGAGGCTGATCTCTCTTCTCGTAAAAATGATTCTCGTTCTGCTTTCTCTGATTTGAAAAGAACTTCAATTTCAATATTTGAAGAGAAACTCAACGAGGACGAAAATGAAGTCATAACTAGTGCTCCTCAAGGCGACGTTGAAGACGAGGTTGATATTATTGAGAAATCAGAGAACGAGAATGCCAAAAAATCACTTGCTGATATTGAGGCTTCCGCAGTGACAGAACAACCTACCGAAAAGAAAGCAGTTGTTAAGGAGCAAGAGCCTGAAGCTGTTGAACAAAAAGCACACGAAATCTCATCACTCAAAGATGAGGATTCAGTTGTGGTTGGTGCTCCTGAAGGTGATGTTGAGGATGAAGAAGATGCAATTAAAGAGCTGAAGAGTGATGCAGCAAAGAAATCACTTGCTGAGGTGGAACCCTTGACAGTTGAAACCACTGCGAGGACTGTGAAAGCTGAAGATTCGGAAACAACTGATGCGAGCATTGTAGAGGATGATTCTCTAAAAGCTGCTACCATAAGCAGTGTAGAGACTGAAACTTCGGCCAAACCAGCAGATGCGAGCATTGTGACTGCCAACGCATCTGAAACAGTTCAGACTACCTCAAAGACTGATGATACTGAGAAGCAATCAACTAAAGTAGGATTAGAAACGGCCATCACTGATAATCTTAACACATCCATCTCTGATGAAGAGACTGAGACAGTTAAAGATCTTGAAGTTCCAAAATCAGTCAGCGAGGGAGAGAAATCTGGAATTCAAGAAGGCCCGGAGGGAGACGAGGAAGCAGATAAAGAGGACGGAGAACAAGAAGAAGAAAAGGATGATAAAGAGGATGACAAACAAGAGGATGAAGAGGACGTGAAACAAGAGGAGGAACAGGAGGACAGGGACGAAGACAAAACTGTCGAAGACACTGCTGTTGAACCTTCGAATGATAGTAACGAAACTTCAATCTCTGAAACTGAAACTCCTACAGAATCAGTCAACTTTGATGAAAAAACTGCTGCTGACTCTGATACAAAGTCTGTTGCAGTGGAAGAGAGCGAGAGTATTGAGGAGTCAGTGCCCGTTAACCTGGAAGATGAGGAGAGCGACATTGTAGAAGAATCTGTCAAGGACACTCGTCCTCTTGAAGATTCCAAGGCTCTTAAAGATGTCGACCCCGTCGAAAAGGCTTCTCTCAATGTTCCTTCGGTAGAAACTGATAAGCCTGATCTCGATGATCTTAGTGATGACAAATCGATTGGTCAACTTAGTGAGGGTGTCTCCAAACTGTCTGTCGCAGATGCCACAGAGAAACTAATCAGCGAGATTGAAGGCGTGTTAGGAGCTGATGTCACTAAAGAGAATGAGGATGAGGTCGATCAAGAAGCTGAAAATCTGGCAGATGAAAATGAGGAGAACTGTTCTTCAAAGGAGCTGGAGTCTAGAGAGTCGGTTGATGAGACTGAAGAGCCTGAGGAGGTAACCTCCAAGAAGCTCGAAACTGATGAATCTGAAGAAACTGTCTCCAAGAACGAGCCTGCTTCTGTTGACAAGGCTAAAGTAGATGATGGCTTTGATGATTTGCACGAACCTTCGAAGGATGAGATTATCGAGCTCTTGAAAGATGAACCAGTGTATATTTTTACCTCACTTGCAGGTGGTGGCTTCTTCATGCCTCAAAGAACAAACAAACTTGCCACCATTCTCACTGCTAACCGTATCCCATTTACCTATAGGGATCTGGGAACCGATGAGGAAGCTCGTAATGTCTGGAGACGTTATTCAAAGGGTCGCTCTCCACCAGGAGTTGTTAGAGGCAAAGATGACATCATTGGGAACTGGGAAGAGATTGAAGAGGCCAACGAAGATTACAGAGTGAGAGAATTGATTTATGAAACCCTTTAAAACAAATTATATCTGATATTTTATCTATCTATATAAACGTACATCCAAAGCAAAGTTTGATTACCCATTCTTACTCTAGAAGTGTCATGATGTGCTGCTCATCATGGAATTCATGCCAACCGTATTGTATATGCCCGTAACATCCAAACACCAAATGCAATCCTGGCTGTTATCAAAATTAATTGTTGGGAGTATAGTAGTTAAAGAACCTCTTCAATATGGCTGTTTGGACGTTTAACTACCGCAAGTAAAGAATCCCCAAAATGGGTATGTTTGTTGCAAGAAACATCGAGTCTTTACTAGAGCAAGCTGTTCGTGGGTCTAGAACAACAGACTCGCAGGTCACAGCAGTTACGATAACGAAGTCCTCTGGAGTTCCGCTTTGTACAGTTACAAGCAAGGACTTTTCAGTGACGAAAATTAAGATGTTTGCCCTCTTGGCCGCTAGACAGGGGATCACACTAGAGGTACAAAGGTTTGAAGCCCCAGAAGATGATGATGATGAAAAGATTTATGGCTCACTTGTCCCAGGAACTGAATACGGTGTCATATTTGTAACGGAGAGAAACTTCCCCGAGGGACTCATCAAGATAAGGATGAGAAACTTAACGGAGCAGCTCAAAGACCTCGCCAAATTTGACGAAGCTGAGGAGTACAGCTAAGCAGAATCTAACTCACGCTTTGACATGTTACTCTCTTGTCGATTTCTCTGTATGTATATATATGATGTTTATACTGTATAATAGCATATCCTTGGATCAGTGTGTCATATGTAAATAACAGAAAAGCATTAGCTGTAATCCTTAAAATGGGAAGAAGGAACAACACAAGTTTTGGACAATGAATAGTATGCCACGTCACACCTTCATGGAAGGTATATTTCATCTCCAAGAAATTGGCAATAGTGATCGTATACCGTTTTATCCTATGGAACTTGTGTTTGTTATTTGTTCTTTTTCTTCCTTCGTCTTCAACATGGTAACGTGATAGGAAGACACAAGCTGGAGGACAAGAGCAAAAGAAAACAGGTGATTATATAATGATGCAAAATGATGATACCAGTACATTAGAGAGGAAGTTGGTTCGTAAAACAAAAAAGAGGGAGCAAACATGATGGTAATGATGGGAAACTTTTTTTCACTTTTGAGAGTGTTCCATATCGGCTTCCGCTTCCGCCTCTTCATCCTCCTCGTTATCAACGTCATCCATGATGCTATCGTCATCGTAGCTCTCGTCATCATCCTCATCTTCTTCCGAATCGTACCAAAAGTTCTCATCAACAACATCCTCTTCAACTGGAGGGGCTGAGGCACTCAAGTAGGCGTCCTCTTCAGTAGGCATCACAAATCCCGCAGGAATATCCTGTTTCGATCTCTCCACTTCAAACTGTACCTTCTTCTTGTATTCGTCAGGTCTTGATCTGAAATCCACAGCGGCATCGACGTTTGCAGGTGAGAGAGGGTTTGGGTCCTCCAAGAGTGACACTATCGAGATCAACACCGTCTCTACGCTCTGCGCTGGAGACCACGTCTCTGCGTCTGGCTCGTCAGACGTTGGGTCGCCCGATCTGTGGAGGATGGATATACAGAGACGGCCATCCCTGTAGACGTTTGGATGGTAGATGGCCGGTGTGAATCTAAACGACGGCGGAGAGAAGGGGAAATCAGGAGGGAACTTCATCTGGGCCCTGAAGTAGCCGCCATAGTACGCAGAGTCCTTGTCCAATACCATCACGCCGATGTTCCACACAAAGATGTTGTCATCCTCTAGCTCGATGTGGAATCCCGGTAATCCCTTCTTAGGGTCCGTTAACTCTCTGTATTGCCGTAACAAGAGTGAAGCTGCGCTCGAAGCCATGTTGTGTTCTTTGGAAAGGTGCTCTTTTCTTGCTCTTCTCGTGGTTTCTGTGAGTGACGATGATTCTCAGACCCCTTTGTGGTATCAAAACAATAACTTGTGCCCTAAAACTTGATGAGGGAGTTTTGGTTTGTACTAAAACTTGTTGAACAGAAAGCAAGACAGGGAAAAAAGGGGGATGCGAAGACAAAATGGGAAATTGAACTAAAATGGACGGAAAAAAAAGGTCCCACACTTCACTTTCTCTCAAGATATCAGAGCGTGTGTGTACGTGTACGTTTCCGTTCTCGTTTTCGCTTTCTTGTAAAGGTAAAAAATTTCACCTCACTATGAATTTGTCGTTTGAGCTGTTTGGTTCAGCAGGTTGTGTGTTTTGCCGTTTTGTCTGTTTGTAGAAACGTAAGCCAAAAGGGAAGATAAAGAGAGCAAAACCTCAAAAGCGCAAAAAATAAGAACACCTCCTCCTTCTGTGTGCGTAGATTCTGCGTTTTCGGTTTTTATACCAATTTGTTTTACGTTTTCGCCTACGGCAAAAAGAAATTTTAGAACACGCCAGCGTCAAAGCAGGGAAGAGAAAAAGAAAAGAGGAAGGAAGAGTGGTGTCTGGATGTCGAAATCAGAGGAGTGCGCTTGATCCTTTCTTTTTCGCATGCGGCTCGTACCGTAATTGACCGGTTTTGTGGATTCCACGCGGTGTGTGGATGTTTATTTTCGTGTGCTCCCTTCGTCGAAAACCCATCTTCAACAACAACAACAACAACAACAGCTCTTTCTAAACATTGCGGTGTGTGCCAGCTCATTTGTAAAGACTCGAGGACCAGGCTGCATCAGTGGGAAACATTTCAAGAACAATGGCTCAAAATAACTCCCTACTACAGGTTTATGGTGGTGGTAAGTTGAGACCCTGATTGCGCTTCATAACCCATATACATTATACTGACGAACAACCCTCGCTGTTGGTAACTAGACGAAGTTGCCGCTATAGTACTAGATCCAGGCTCCCAAACCACACGAGCAGGTTATGCGGGTGATGATTTCCCCAGAATCATAACCCCATCGTACGTGGGCACTTCACAAGAATCTTCAGATGCAATGGAGGTGGATGATAATGATGATAACAACCTGGGAAAGAAGAAGTTGACAAAGAGATCCAACACTTACTATTCGGAAACGGCTTTAAATTACCCTAAACCAGGTGCTGAGTTGAGCCCAATAGTTAAAGACGGACTCATACAAGACTGGGACTCCGCCGTGGAACAATGGCAATACATATTTGATGATTTACGTGTTGATTTTGCAGAACAACCCTTACTCTTGACAGAGCCGGTTTGGAATTCCGCTAAAAACCGTGAGAAGTCGCTCGAAGTGGCTCTCGAACAGTTCCAATTCCCTGGTTTCTACTTGGCGTCTTCGCCAACTTGTGTCGCGTTTGCTCAAGGCCGTCCATCCGCTTTAGTCGTTGATGTTGGACATGACGTTGTGTCAGTAACCCCTGTTGTCGATGGAATGTGTTTGGCAAAGACAACGTTAAAGACTCATTATGCTGGTAGGTATCTATCTGAACAACTGAAAAAGCGCATCCAAACTGATATAGTTCCGCTGTACAAGGTGAAATCGAAAGTGCTTACAGCACCAAATGAAGAACCTAGATGGGTTCCAACCCAGTTCGAAAATATTACAAAATCATATGACGATTACCAAATCGAGCAAACGGTTCATCAGATGAAGGAATACCTCTTGAAGATCCCCCGTGAACCAATTCCAAAGAGTGAAGAATTGTCCAAAGAAGAATTTGAAGAGAAATATCCAACGCGTTCCTATGAATTACCAAATGGACACCGTTTCGACTTATCAAAGGAAAGATTCGAAGTTGGTGACTCACTGTTTAACCCAATAAACTACGAAATTCCTGAATTCCCAGCTGAGTCTGGTGAACCTGAAATTGAATCTAAGAACGATTACGTTCCAATCAAACGTTCATTTAAGAAGACAAATGATGAAGAGGATGGTCCAAAGAAATCATCCAAAGTCACTGTTACTCATAGAGGACTAACTGAGTTGACATCACATGCTCTGTCACTTGTCGATGTTGATATAAGAGCACAATTGGCACATAACATTGTGGTGACAGGTGCTTCATCTTTGATCACAGGATTGAACGAGAGATTGTTTGTCGAGCTATCGCAGTTACATCCTGGCCTGAAGATTCGTGTTCATGCAACTGGATCATCTGCGGAAAGAAAATTCCAAAGCTGGATTGGTGGTAGCGTGTTGAGTAGTTTGGGTACTTTCCATCAACTATGGGTCAGTAAAAAGGAATTTGAGGAAGTTGGTGTTGATAGACTCCTTGCACAAAGATTTAGATGATTTTATTATGTGAAAACTACATTACATGACTGCTGATGATAAATCATCGAGATGATTACATTGTTAGAGGCGTAGGGTGCCATTATTGATAGTTTCTTCCGTAGCAAGTACCATGGCCCTTTGCCTATCCTCCAGTAATTTTGAAGCATTCAGAAAGTTGAGCTTCTTCTTTGCAATCACTTCAACATCGGATATTTCAAACAGTAAACTGAGGGCTTCAACGGCATCTGCAAGTCCGGCCTGAACGGTCTCAAAAAGGTCCAGCGAATAACCTCGATCACAGTAGAATGCGACTGCGTACGACCATTTCAAAACCCTTCTGGCATTGAGCAGAGTTGAGGCACTATCAACCAAGAATTGTGCCTCTATCCATGAGATACCAACGCCCTCTTGTACTTCTCTCACAGTGTTCTCAACAACGTCACACCGTGATTTATCCTGCTTTGTGGAGATTTCGTGAATGTTGAACAGGTTATAATAATGCAAATACCTCTGTAAAGACTTCTTTGTAGCTTCATCTTGAAGCTTTTTATCCTTTGCTGATTTGTTGTTCTTCTCTGCTTGCTCGTACTGATACCTATTGCATTGGTAGTACTGGTTGTTATGGTTATCCCATGTTCCTAGACAAATCCAACAAAACTCATATGCACATTTCCTACAAGTCATATGGTTACAACCACCATTCTTTTCGATAGATGTGTCACATTTGGGACATGTCTTTGTATGCGTTGTGATCCATTTAACAGTCTCACTGTCATCTTTACACTTGTTTATCCATTGTTTGGTCACATTACACGGTGCTGGAACATGGGATTCGAATCCACAGTTGAAACAGAACCTGTGTCCATTGCTGCAGATCACAATGGGTATTTGGTTGGTATCCACTAAGTGGGCAATGTCCGATGAGTTCAATACTTCAACTATCGCATTACAGTCAGGTGAAGGACACCATTTGTAAGTCTTATGACGTTCGACGTACTCCTTGATTGAGTTCTCTAGGAGTACAGAGCTCCCATTTGTCCCACTGATGGTATCTATATCACCTGGTGTAAGTGCAACGTCACAGCTGGGACACTTTATCACGTTGGCCTGTTTCACCTTCTCATTCAAGTACGTTCTATAGCAATCAAGACAAAACTCATGTCCACATTTCAACTTGTAGGACTCAAGCTTGTCCTCACAACATATGAAGCATGAAAATGGAGCCTCTTCTGTGTACGTTTGAAGACCAGTGTTCTCATGATGTTCGCCATTAAGCTTCACTGTAGACAGTCCCAATCGAAGCTCAACGTCTTGAGGATCATCCATATAATCCTCTATAAGCTTTTCGGAGTTCCATTTATAGCTCTGTAGCAATGTCACCACGTAGTCGTGAGGTTTCCCTAGCACTTCGCTCAACTTTGTGCATTTCTTGTGTAACGTCTCCATCATCTCGCGCGTTGTATGCTGCTTGTACTGCACAATGTCGTGCTTCACCAAGGAGTCTTCAATCTTGAAGTTATCGTCATCAACTGAGTCTGAGTAAAGTGAGTCGGAATCGTCGGTATATTCGAATTCTTCATCGCTCATGGTTGCCACTGCTCAAGAAGGTACCAACTGTATCGGCTCAAAAGGTTTGTTCTGTTGCCATTCTCTTTAGCTTGGAAAGACGGGAAAAGAGCCCGCGACGGCGCGTTTGAAACGTCAATTAGGCCCAGAGAAGCAGGGAATCAAGGTCAACTTTTACGAGCAATATATATAATCTTGAGGAAATCTTTACGCTAAGACGATGGTAAAAGAAGTAATAATGATAATCAAAGATATAAAACGTTTGTGCACTTTATAGTGCTTCCAATCTATCAGTTGCAGCTTTAATCTTCATACTCACCCTCGTACTCAACTCATAATCATCTGCATAACCTTGGGCGTATACCAGCCATTCCTTCGAGGTCTCTAATCCGTCGACTCCAATCTGCTTCCAGACGAACAGCGCCCTCTCATACATCGCTGTAGGGTATAACCACGGATCTTCTGTATGATGGATGTACTTATACGGTTCCTTTCTCACGTTTGGTTGTAAAACAATGATGTTCTTGATGACTTTTTTATCCAAGATAGCCAGCCCTTCATCGATATTGCCCAAACGACGGAGTGTGATGGCTTGCAACAAGCTACGGATCATGCTGTGGTTTTCATGCTCTGGAATAGCAGAGTGGTCGGATACACTGTAGTCCAAAAGAACTTGTGCCAGTCTAAGATCCTTTTCAGGCATACGGTTATAGCCGTTCCAAAAGTACATCAGCTCGTGTGTTGGTGAAGTTCCAATAGCATCTATGAGATCCACCTTATAGCGTCTGACATTCTCCTGATATTCACCCATCTTACGCAATAAGAACTTGTCGAAAGGCATCGTCTTCTTACCGCTCTTGACCAACCCGGTGACTTTCAACAACAGCTCTTGGGCTTTTTTGGCAAATTCATCCTTTCTTGCCAATGTCTCTCCATCCTCAATTAAGCCAGCTTTACACATACGGTACAGTTCAACATAACACGAGGCCGCAATGTAAGTGTACAGACCTGGGGACCAAGCGTTCAAAGAGAGTAACTTTGGAATATCCTGTGCAGCTCTTTCATACTTGTGCAAGAACATGAGCACCATAACTCGGTCAAACACAAGAAGTGCTTCAACTTGCACCATCTTCACATCACGTTCAATACTATCCATAAGTTGTAAAGACTCTTCGAGACGACCTCTGGATGCAAGCATACGAGCTTCTTGTAATAACCACAACGCAGAGTGAGGGAACAGTGCCCTTGCGTAGAGAAGAGCATCTTCCAACTTCTTACCAGGGTGTAGCAATGTTGGTTTACCCAATCCTTGGAAGGCACGACTCTCTGTACGCATAATTCTCAGAGATTTCGTCTTCTTTAGATCGAGTCCACTCTCCTCGTTGGTCAAGTTCGTACCTAACGTGTGCTCATTGTTGAATAGATCTGGGATATCAAAATCTGCGTCTGTGAATTGGAAAGGTCCATCGTAGAATACCAACAATGCCAACAAACCAATGCATCCGTGAATATTTCTACCCTGGACGGATTCCCAGATCATCTTCAACCCATTTTCCCTCGATCCTTTAAATCCTACGACAGATAAAACCTTACCAATTGCAGGTGGAATGAGTGAAAGGACCAATTGCAATATACCAAAACACAGATTGGTACCTGTAATGATGTATTCATCAATAGTACTCATCTCAGAGTTTGGATTAACAGGGTAATGATGATCGAGACTATCGGTTCCTTCCAACTCGCACACTTTTTCAGAGTTATAACCAACAGTAACCCGCAGTCTCTCGCTTGCAGGTGTGTTACCGATATGAGAACCGTTAAGTCTAGAGATTCTCATATGTTGCACCTTATCAGCCATACCAACCAACCGGGCGTCTTTCAACATATCATCCGACAAATTGAATGGGACATCCGTAGAATATGAGCTCGCTGATGATGACAGACTAGGAGTGCTTTCATTCTTCAGTGGGAGAACACCTCTTCCTTGCATTTTCTTCTTTCTGTCAAAATCCTTCACAAGTCCCAACAATTCATCCAAAGTCTGATAGGCTCTTCTCAACTTGAGTAGGGCTTTAGCGCTTTCAATCATCGACTCACTCAGCAGCATAACCAATGCGTTGAGCAGTGTTGCCTCGGCATAGCACACCGCGTACTCAGTACCAGGAGGGAAGTTCTTTGAAGTTTTCAACTTCATTCTTTGAGATTTTGTACGGTCCCTAGCACTCAGCGTTTCAGCTTTACCCAAGACTTCACCAGCTTTACGCATCACTTCCGGCTCAAACCCCAGCGTGGCCTCGAGGAAATGGATCACACCGTTTGCAAGAGTCTTGATCGTCGAGTCTGATTCACCGGAGATGAGCAATAAACCCTCATCCGTGCGGTCATCTAGGAGGTAGTCCATGGCCTGGAGAGCAAGTTCAAAATCATGGGCCTGTTGCAAGATGAGCGGTGCTGCATCGTCGTCACTGATTGTGGTGTCACGTTTAAATCCAAAGGCACGAAGCATCGTTATAGCCAACTGCGTTCCACAAGAAGAATACTACTGCTAAACAAGGACTTCGGTGATTTGGGCTGCAATGTTGGCGGAGATGAGAGGAATGTGACAAAGAAACAAGTTCAAACCTCCCTAGAATCCCAACCGTGCTCTGCTCGCTCAGTCACTTCACAAAGGGTTTCAGCGGTGTATTTCCCCCTTTTCAGTGATCTAAATGGTTAGGAGATCCAGTTCAAAAATTCTCGCAATTTTAAGCTCACCTGTATGAGGTTACGTATATCACTTCTCCCCCTACAACGCGTGCGTTGGTTCCACAGCTCGTGTCCTCCGCTTGTGCTCGAAAGGGAGTCCAGCCCGCGGTGGGCAGACCGCACTAAAAGGGGCTAGACGGAGAAATTTTTACAGTCCTTCCTCCCCGGCGCGCACGAGTGCTTTCAGGCCGCTGAGTGGCACCCAGGCGGAGGTTGTGTCCAGCTAAACTGCTCTTGATCTTCAGCGGCACATTCGGTTCGCTGCCTGGAGCACTAGGCGGGATGGGCAGCTCGAGTGCTCTGCCCGTTGTGTCTGTCATGCGTACGATCGGTCTCCTCCCGCTAGCAAAGAGAGAAACACCGTAATGCTCGGTAAGATCGGCATTATACAGAAGAGCGGACTATGGCAAATTAATGAAGGTCACATTACAGGCATTAGAGAAAATTAGGTGTATAGCCATATACATTGATGGAGTGAAAGCAAAGGCAGAAAGGCTCTTCTTGTTACTTCTTTCCCTTTAGCATGACGTTGACTCCGATGTGTGAGACGCTGTTCCAGACCTCGTCGTTAACAGCTTTAGGTAACTTCCTACCGTAGAGGCACTGATCAACGAGCCACATACCGACGATGAAGCTCGTTCTATCCAGCGTACCGTCATGTCTGGTATCAACTAGGTCCCAAACCTGTCTCAGCAGGTCATTTGGTAGTTTGGACCTTTGCCATATCTCTCTCGCAACAACATTTAGCATTAGATTTGACAGCTGAGGCCCTAAAGCATCGCTTCCGCTAGATTCGTTCGGTAGCATTGTGGCTTTAAGAGCGGTGTTCAAAGCTCCAGGAACGTCCAATTCGCTGTTCAACGTGGATGGGTCAACCATATCCATGTATGACCCCCTGTTTGTGACCCAAACACCTTCATACCTTTTCCGCTCCTGGTCTGTGATGGTCCAGCGATCAGAGTGGTGTTTCCAAGGCTTGTCCTCGTTAAACTTATCCTGTTTTCTCTCTTTTCTCAAAGTGGTTCGCAATTGCACGGGTCTTTTATACTCAGGCTCTGCGAGAAATGCAGACGGCGTATGGGGAACCAAGTGTGAGTGGTGATGGTGGGTTGTTGTGGACTTCAATCCTTTCTTCAGGATCTTCTTTGCCCCCTGACGCAGGCCATGACGTTTCTTCTTGTTGAAATCATCGTCGAACGCTAACGGATACCTTGGAATTGTCTCCTCTTCTTCATCAACAGCGAGTCTTGACGCTGAGCCAGACCTTCCATCTTCATTCTCAGCAATGGAATCTGGTGGAGGTTTCCGCCTTGGTGATCCAGATCTTTTCTTTTGTAATTGTGAATAGCTCACAGGACTCGCATCAGCAGATGATCCAATCAACGTGGCCTCCTGTGGAGGAGTGCCAGGAGGCGCTTTCCTAATGGGTACTGGTTTTATGGACTTTTTGTCGTCAGTACCAATGGAACTTACCATACTTAGCTTATGTGAGCTGTTTGACACTGAATAGGACAAGTCATTCCCAGGCGTTGTATATGGTAAGTTAGCAGCACTGTTAACTTTTGAAGACATTGCACTTGCGGTTTCAGAGTCGTTACCGGACATGTACAGCTCAGAATCACTTGAAAAGTTGTAAGGGTGTCCATATACCTTGAACATATCGGTACTAAAGTTGTTATTCAACTTGGAATGAGTATTGTGAGAGTCTAGACTGTTTGTTGAAGACATTGCACTGGTAGATGCACTTGAACCATAAACACGGTGATGATGTGGGGGTTGCAAGAAATCGGTGGACTTTGACATTGCCGTGTGCGCAGCTATCGAGCTTGCAACCTGTGCGCTCTGTTGATAGTGCCTTGGAGAGTTGTTATCGTCATGTATTGAAAGGTTCTCAATGCTCGCGTCGGGGTGGTAGACGTTGTGGTACAGCACCGGGCTGTGATATGTACTGCCTCCCCTCGTTGACGACGTGACAGATGTCTGTGATGGTGATTGGGACATTTTACTCGTACGTCTTCTTATAGTTACCGGGTGTGTAAGCACTGGCACTGTAGTGATCTTTGAAGGAATTGGTTGTGGCTGTGTTGGTCTCATAGGTCTGCTCATGTTTGCTGCAGCTGCCTTCGCTGCGATCATAGAGGCACTGGGTACCCCATCTTCCTCTTTATTCTTCTGCACCGTTGGTACCCCCGTGGGGTTCTTCGTAACAAGAATGGACTTCTTATGCTTCCTGCTGAGAAACCCCATCGCTGTTTAGTTGTGTATGTGCTAGCTTAGCCCCTTCGCTCCTCGTCGTATACCAATTGCCCTGATCCCAGAATTCTGTCCCGTGCTCCTCTCAGCTCCACGACGATTCACAAACAGGCCTGTGAGTACAATAACACCAAACAAAGAGACGGTTCCTATATGCTCACGCCTAGCCAGTCCTCCTGTGTATTTTGGTGTGCTTTTCCCCCCTGTCGTTGCTCTGTCCACCGATGCGCTTGTTAGCTTCGGTAACCCGTCACTTAGTATGGAGTCCTCTTGTTTTGGTTTCAGATACGAAGGGTCAGAAGGAGAGAAAACCGTTTCAACGTACGTATCGAACTGCGGTGCGCACCACATTTACTCTGTGCGTTTCCAAGTTGGCACGCCGCCCTTGTTGGCGTCCTTACCTTAGAGAGACGGCGCGCGCTTTTCTATGGGAGACGGAATCAAGCGTCAAGATTGACGTCTTGTTGGGCGTTCCCTTCGCCAACCTCAGCCCCTGTAGTCTGTGTTGATGATTGGGTTGTGAGTTTGAGCCTATGACACAGAGGTCGGCTGGGTTGCTTAGGTGCTGGGTTGTGTGACGTATTCAATTGTGTTGCTGGAAGAATCTCCAGATGCTTTCCATCCACCAAGCATGGGCTGTAAACTATAACTACGGCTATTACTACGACATCGGTGGAGGAACGAAAGCGAACCGCGCATGTTTTTTAGAGTTGTTATACCAACGACGGATGAGCACACAAAGGTGTTCAGCAACAGCATGGCGATTCCCAAGTTGTATTCGATCATTCAAGGGAGATGGCCAGATACTGTTGCTGTGGCGAATGGGTCATCTTGTAAATGTGAGTGTCTTTATATAGATATGGGGTCTATCTTGCACTCGGCTCTTCACCGGACACAAGACCAAGACGGTGTATACAAAGCGCTGAAGAGCTATATTGGACAGATTGTGAGCATGGCAAAACCCACGGTGTTGATCTACGTTGCCCTTGATGGTGTTCCCCCGGTATCAAAGCTGAAGGAACAGGCGATGAGAAGGAAGATGTCAAAGACGTCAGGACACGGGTGGAATCCACATGAACTTACACCTGGAAGTGAACTGATGCACTCAATTGCAATGATGCTCGCTGTCTACTGTGAAACCTTATCCCAGTCTGTAGGCGTGACTGTCATATTGGATGACTGTTATTGTCCAGGAGAAGGAGAACAAAAGATTATTACGCATATCAAAGGTTTCAAACGTGATAGTCGACTCAACATTGTCATCTATAGCTCTGACGCAGATATGATTGCTATGACAGTACTCTTGAGGGATTGCAATGTTTATTTATTGAGGGAAACGCCTAATTCAAGGAAGAAGATGTACACTCAAAAGAGGTTTGAACAACTCAATATTGGAAAGCTGCAGACAAGAATTGGGAATATTCGTACAACGACAGAGAAGCCTCTCGACTCTAAATTACATGCGTTTGCGATTGCATCCATGATCTTGGGCAATGACTTTCTGAAGACTCCATTGGGATATGGTGTTTCTTATCCAGTGCTTATCGATCTTATTGATAGCCTTTGTTGTTGTGTTTCCGATGACAACGCCGTACTCGACTGGGCGAAATTCTTCGACAATATGGCACGGAGAGAATATTCCAATTTCAAAGAAGAATACCCTTTGGATGAAGGTTCCAAGAGGGAAATCATACTATCAATGTCGCTACAATCTCTTTCCCTCAAGGAGAAGAAAAACGTCATCAAGGAACAAATTGACGACGTTGAACGAGAAAACTTCCTACATTGGAGAGAAAGAAAGTACCTCTTTGAATCTATATCAATCGCAACAGCTCAACTAGCACAGATCACTGAGGACTACATCAAAGGTTTGGAATTGCTACACAAATATTACCAGGGCGACAACGCCGCTCTATCGTCTTGGTTATTCGGCCATAGTTATGTGCCAATGTTCAGTGATATGGCACCCCATGTCCATGACTTTGGTTCTAGCGCAGCTCCTGTTGTTGACGATACATTGCTGAAACCAATCCATGTCTTAGCATTGGTACTGCCCAGAAGCTCAAGCCATCTTCTCCCCAAGGTCTATCGAACTGATGCCAAAATTGAGCAGAATGACATATTCACTATGCAATTGACGGAACTGTTCGATCTCACCAACTACATGAAGCTCCAATTAGATCCGTTTTTGGATGAAGAAGAGAAGCTTAGAAACATCGAAGGTAACATTCAGATCTTTTCCCCTTCTATTTCAACGCCAAGTGGCCTTTAATGCTTAGAATGTGCCATCACTACCTCTTCCTTCCGCGTGTAAATTTCAGCACGCTGTAGCAAATTTCAGCACGCGCTGTCCGAAATCCCAACTCGCTGGAACTTCGTCAACGAGCGAACGCTAAATCATCGTCCAACAAATAAGGGAGAAACAAGGAATATAAACAACCACAAACAACCACAACAAAGCTCCAATAGCGGCTCCGGGTTGGTTTGACAAGAGATAATTTCTAAAGTATCATGGGTATTCCAAAGTTCTTTAGACTCATCTCTGAGAGATGGCCTCTTATATCGCAATTGATTGAGGGAAATCAGATACCTGAGTTTGACAACTTGTATCTCGATATGAACTCGATCTTGCACACCTGTACTGCTCGTAACAAGGAAGCTGACAGCTCCAAGAGAATGACTGAAGATGAAGTGTTTAGTGCTATCTTTGCTTACATCGATCATCTTTTCGATACTATCAAACCACAAAAGGTGTTTTACATGGCGATTGATGGTGTTGCACCAAGAGCTAAGATGAACCAGCAGAGATCTAGAAGATTTAGAACTGCACTTGACGCTGAGAAGAAGTTGAGGCAAGCTAATGAAGATGGTACCCATCTTGCAGATGATGAGCCTTTTGATTCGAACGCAATCACGCCAGGAACCGAATTTATGGCCAAATTGACGAGATTCTTGAAATACTTCATCCACAAGAAGGTTTCTTCAGATTCAAGATGGCAAAATTGTGAGATCATCCTGTCTGGCCATGAGGTTCCAGGTGAGGGTGAACATAAAATCATGCATTTCATCAGAAACAGAAAGGCATTGTCAGATTACAACCCCAACACTCGTCACTGTATCTATGGTCTTGATGCTGATTTGATTATGCTGGGTCTTGCGTGCCATGAACCTCACTTTGCTCTTTTAAGAGAAGAAGTTACATTCGGTAAGCGTCAGGTTCAGGCCACTGTTGAAGAACAAACTTTCTATCTCTTGCACATCAGTTTGGTTAGAGAATATCTCGAGATTGAGTTCCAAGACCTGAAAGATCAGCTCTCATTCGATTATGACTTTGAAAGAATTTTGGACGATTTCATTGTGATCATGTTTGTTATCGGTAATGATTTCTTGCCAAATTTACCAGATTTGCATTTGAACAAGGGAGCTTTCCCATTATTGCTTGAAACTTTCAAAGAAGCTTTGAGAACTACCGACGGATATCTCAGTGACCATGGTAATATTAACCTTGAAAGATTAGGTGTTTGGTTTGACGTTCTCTCAAAATTCGAACTGGAAAACTTTGAACAAGGTGAAGTTGATCTTGAATGGTTTAACAAGCAATTGGAGGATATCTCTATCCATGGTGAAAAGAAGAGAGAAAGAACTGGTAAGCTTGCATTGTTGAAACAACAAAGAAAATTAGTGGGTTTAATAAAACCATGGATTATCAAAGCTTATTCCGAAAGATTTCCATTGGATATCTCAGAGGAAAGTATTCCATCTTTGAAGATCCCTATTGAGTACACCAAAAACAACTTAGATTTCCTCAAGACTTTTGCTTATGACGTTGGCCTTATTGTCACACACTCAAGAAGCACTGATGAGTATTCTGTGAGAGTTGATATCGATGGTATTGACTTGCAGGAATCCGATGAGGATTGGGAAGAAAGAGTCAATGATGTTCGTCGTATAGTTAAAAGATACGAAGCTGCTATTATCTTGGACTATGACGGTGAGGATGCTGTGGAAGAGAAGAAGGCTGTGTATTCTCAGAAATTCGACAATTGGAAAGACTCTTATTACAAAGATAAATTAGGATTTGCTCTTGATGATGAAGAAGAAATGACAAAATTGACTGAAAATTATGTGGAAGGTTTACAATGGGTTATGTATTATTACTACCGTGGTGTCCAATCTTGGCCTTGGTACTACAAATACCACTATGCACCAAGAATATCAGACGTCAAGAAAGGCTTAAAGGTCAAAATCAACTTCCAATTGGGCGAACCTGTCAGACCGTTCGAGCAATTAATGGCTGTGTTGCCCGCAAGATCTCAGAATTTGGTTCCTATTCCATACAGAAAATTAATGACTGATGAGCACTCTCCAATTAAAGATTTCTATCCAAAGGAAGTCGAAACTGACATGAACGGTAAGACTGCTGATTGGGAAGCTGTGGTCAAGATCTCATTCGTTGATATGGACAAATTGAAAGCTGCTATGGCACCAATGGAAGACCAATTGACACCAGAGGAAAAGAAAAGAAACTCATTCGGTGTGGATATTTTGTTCACTTTCAACCCTCAGATCGAAGAAGTTTTCAAGTCCCCTCTGACCACAGTCTTCTCGGACCTCGAACATAATCACTGCTTTGAGACACCATTTCATTTGAAAGTCTTCTCGCAATCAGAGTTGATTACTGGACTTTGTAAAGGCGCCCTCTCTGGTGCTGAGTCCCTTGCAGGTTTCCCGACATTAAAGTCGATCCCTTTCGGATCTGAATTGAAGAATGCAGGACTGAAAATTTTCCAATTCCCTACCAGAGGCTCCTCTCAGATCTTATATCCTGAAGATACCCATGAAGGCTTGGAGATCGAACAGTTTGCCAAAAGATTCCTGGGTAAGATCATTTACACCAATTATCCTTTCCTTAGAGAATCTTTGACGACTAAAATCATCGATGGTGAATCGGTATACGAACGTACTGTCACCAACCGTGGTGTCAAAGAATCCTCTAGATTGTTGGATCATGAAGAACGTAATGATTACAAGAGAACTCGTGAATCCATCAGAGGAACATACCTTTTTAGAAAGGGTATTGAACTAAAAGAGATTCGTGCTTTGGTCTATGTCAAACCCGTTTCAGGCTTAAAACGTACAACTAATGGTGCTTACATCAAAACTTACGAACACAATGAGGAAATTTACCCATTGCCTCTCGTTGTGGATCAAGTTGCCAATAAAGATTCAAGGTTTACTGAAAAGCCACCACTGCCAATCAATGAGGAATTCCCACTCCAATCTGAAGCGATCTTCCTTGGTGAGTATGCATACGGTGGAAAGGTCACTATCACTGGATACAGCTCAACATCTCGTCTTGATATCACGGTTGTTAAAATGTCTACAAAAACAGAACCTCAATTTGGTACTATTGCAGCCAAGGTTGAGAGGCAAAGAGTGAGATATATCCCGCAACATGAGATTGCTAAACTTCTCAGATCACAAGCGCTATTCATCTCGAAGATTACATCTTCCTTCTCCTTGGATAATGGAGGACAACGTGCTGATGCTGGTCTGAATTTAAAATTTGAGTCCAGAAGACTTAAGGTTATTGGCTATACTCGTAAAGGTGCAAGAGGGTGGGAGTTCAGTGAAAAGGCCTTTAGACTTCTCAAGGAGTACCAGACAAAGTTCCCTGCTTTGTTCAATGCTCTTGCTAAACATGCACGTGAATCCAGTATTCCAAGTGTTAAGAGTCTTGGACTTGACCCTGAGGAGGTGAAGAGTGCACTTTCATGGTTGAAGTCTGTGAGATTAGATTTGAAAAGAAGTTCTTTGGAATCAGACTCTTTGACGACTGAAAGCATCAAAGAAATTGAAAACCAGATAGAGGTATTTGCTGCAACTGCTGATAAGCAAGAAACAAAGAAACTTAAAGGTGTGCCAACCCAGGCTGTTTTAAACCCGGGTGTTTCATTCCAACAGTTAAAGGCACAATCTTTTGAACTTGGTGATAGAGTTGTTTACGTCCAAGGTTCGGGTAAGGTTCCTATCTTTTCAAAGGGTACTGTTGTTGGATACAACAGTGTGGGATCTACTGTGACACTTCAAGTGTTGTTTGACCATATTTTACTCGGAGGTAACAAGATAGGTGGTCAGCTTAGAACCAGTCGTGGTTTGGAGATTGACTCTTCCTTGGTACTGAATGTAAGTCACAAGCAATTTGTCTACCATTCTAGGGCCTCGGCTCAAAGAGCGCATCGTAAGGAGCCAGCCCTCATTCCAGCACCTGTTCCAAAATCAAAGGCATCTGCTCCAAAGGCAAAAACTCCTGTCCAGAAGACACCGTTGAAGTCTGCCCCAGTGTCTTCCAATGGTGACAGCAAGAAGCCTGTTATCGATAAATCGGTTATGCCAGCGTCTCAAGCCAATGCTGAGAAGGAAAAGGTTGCATCAAAGGAAGATGTACAAGCAAAGGCAAAGACTCAGAAAAAGAAGCCAAATGAGCTCTTATCTCTTTTAAAAGGAAATCAAAAGGTCAGTGATGAGCAGGTTGGGGATTATAAGACCGATGGCGTGAATGGAGCAGATGGTGAGCACGATGCAATGAAGCAATTCCAATTGAAAACTCTTCAAGCGTCTGTTTTGAACAATGTCTCGGGGGTTCCTCAAATGCCACCACCTATGATGATGATTCCACAAGGCTTCCCACCACAAGGATTTGTTTCTATGCCAATTCCAGGGTTGATTCCAATACCACCGCATATGATTCCAGGAGCTAGTCAATTTATCCCAGCGCAAGTCCAACCTCAAAATGCGCCAATTCCTCCACAAGATGCTATTCCATCAGAAGCTATTGATGCCTCCAATAAGGGATCTAACAACTTTAGAGGAAGAGGTAGAGGTAGAGGAGGAAGAGGTCGTGGTCGTGGCAGAGGTCGTGGTGGAAAGCCTAGTGGTGAAACCTCACGTGCAACTGAGACCGCAGGCTCTACGAAATAATCAGAATAATGGGTATACGTTATGATGGAGAAAAAACTGTAATGAGTTTATTGTTTGTTGTTGTCCTGTGTTATTAGTCTGTTTACCGTTAAATAAACATATATACGTTCATTAGATGAAATTGTTTGTCTTCTTTTTTCGTTGATCTCTTTAGTTATGAAGTGAAATGTGAAAACCACTCATACCTTTTGGCTCAGTCCTCTTGCATCGTGTATGACAATGTTTTATCTCTCTGTGTTTCTTGTTGTTTTCTGAAATACGCCCTCTCGAACCCATTCGACCTATCCACACCATCCCATCTATACCCCGGTGCAATATTGAATCTATTTTCTGGGTACGCACCTCTGTATAGCTTTCTTCCTGTTCTGGATACATACTTTTTGGACTTTCCAGGTTTGAACGAGAGCATAGGGTCATCTTCCAGTTCTCTTGTCCTCTGTTGTGCGTTGAGTTCACTATCGTCTGCGTAAGTCGATAAGCTTGAACTAGCCGCCTTGTCCAATTTCCTCTTCTTTTCTTCCATATCCAACTTTTGAACTAACCCCATATTCATCTCCTTCTTTCTTCTCTCCGCCTCGGCTCTCTCTTCATCTCTTTTCCTCTTTCTCTCAGTGAGTCTGGCCCCCATATCCACTCTGGCACCGCCGGTATCTCTATACACTGTCTCAGCATCTTTCCCCATTCCCTCTGCAGACCATCTCTGGAGCATCTCTCTCTCTCTCTGTTCCTTTGCCCGTATCTGTTCAGCAACCTGTGCACCTGTCTGTAGCCCAGCTTTGGCGCCAGATGCCATCAGCGGCTCGCTCACAGTCACACCGCTGCCAACTACCGTCCATCCAGATTTCTTCTTGTCCGCATCTGTGGGCTCTTGTGGTGATTCATTGCTGCTTACTCCAGGCCTAGTACTGCTAATGGTGGGCCTTGGCCTGGTAAGCGATACGTTAACGTCCACCGTGGCTTCCGGTTTCTTCTTTGACTTCTTATCCTTCTTGTCCTTCTTGTTCTTCGAAGTATAGTTCTTCGCAAGGTAATCAGCTAACGACATGCTGGCTCAGTGGTGATGGAAGCCATAAGCCATAGCACGAGAGAACATCATGTACACAGCAGAAGAGTAACAGCACTACGAGATGACTTAACACCCAGACACCACTATCCATAATCATCTACACACACAGCACTTCCTGCCCCATCAAGACAAGAAGAAGGACATCTATGACGATCCAGTGCTTTGCTAGCAGTATCACATACAATCAAACATCTCTGATGGCTACATAGGATGAGAAGAACATACGCTTCCTTTCTCAATTGTGAAGTTCTCTGTTCTGACTTCTGGTTTCAGCAACTGCGACGTCAGTGGAAAAAAAAACTGCTTCTATGAGACGATGGTGAAAAAGTAAGGAAAAAAAACAGCGAACTGGACGAAACCACAACCATTTTCCAGCTGAATTGGTCAAGTATAAGCAAAATCACAATGGCTGATACCACTGAGAAGTTGGAGAAACTCGATATCTCTGAGCCAGCAAAGGAGCAACAGCAACCATCTGTTAGTGAAGGAGCCGCCACAGAGGAGGTTGTTCTTGGCCCAGATGGCCAGCCGTTGTCCAAGAAGGCCTTGAAGAAGCTCCAAAAGGAACAAGAGAAGGAACGTAAGAAACAGGAGCGTGCTGCTCAATTGGCCAAGGAACAAGCAGAGAAGGCTGCTAAGGCTGCAAATGATCCTGCTAAGGAGAACTATGGTAAATTGCCATTGATCCAATCCCAATACAGAACAGGTGTTCCAAGAGTCCTTTTGTCTACTTTGTCCGCCGCCAATGACGGTGAAGAGGTTGTGTTGAGGGCACGTATCCATACCTCGCGTCAGCAAGGTGCCACTCTGGCCTTCCTTGCCCTGAGACAACAGGATGAATCAATCCAAGCGTTGGTCAAAGCCAACGGTGAATCTGTCTCCAAGCAAATGGTTAAATGGGCTGGTTCCATCAACTTGGAATCCATTGTCCTTGTTCATGGTGTTGTCAAGAAAGTTGAAGAGCCAATCAAGTCTGCATCTATTCAAGACGCTGAGATCCATGTCACAAAGATTTATACCATCGTTGAGACCCCAGAGAAATTGCCAATTCTCATTGAGGATGCCTCCAGATCTGATGCCCAAGCTGAAGCTGCTGGCTTGCCAGTGGTCAACTTGGACACTAGATTGGATGCTAGAGTTATCGATTTGAGAACTCAAACCAACCACTCGATCTTCAAGATTCAGGCTGGTGTCACATCCCTCTTCAAGGAATTCCTTCAAAGTAAGAGATTTACTGAGATTCACACTCCAAAGCTCCTTGGTGCTCCATCTGAAGGTGGTGCCAACGTCTTTGAAGTCACATACTTCAAGACTAAAGCCTACCTTGCCCAATCTCCACAGCTTTACAAGCAACAACTGATTGCTGCCGATTTCGAACGTGTCTTCGAAGTTGCACCAGTGTTCAGAGCTGAGAACTCCAACACCCACCGTCACATGACTGAGTTTGTTGGTTTGGATTTGGAGATGGCGTTTGAAGAGCACTACCATGAGGTTTTGGATTTGTTATCTGACCTCTTTGTCTTTATCTTTTCCGAGTTGAAGACCAGATATGCCAAGGAGATTGCCGTTGTTAGAAAGCAATACCCTGTTGAAGAGTTCAAGTTGCCAAAGGATGGTAAGATGGTTCGTCTTCACTTCAAGGACGGTATCGAACTCTTGCGTACAAAGGGTGGTCGTACCGACATTGGAGAATTCGATGACCTTTCTACAGAAGATGAGAAACTGTTGGGAAGACTCGTCCGTGAAGAGTACGACACCGACTTCTACATCTTGGACAAGTTCCCATTGGCCATCAGACCTTTCTACACCATGCCAGACCCAGAGGACCCACGTTACTCCAACTCATACGATTTCTTCATGCGTGGTGAGGAGATTCTATCTGGTGCCCAGCGTATCCATGACCCAGAACTCCTTGCAGAGCGTATGAAGATCCATGACGTTGATCCACAAGGCCCAGGCTTGAAGGACTACGTCGATGCCTTCACCTACGGTTGTCCTCCACACGCCGGTGGTGGTATTGGTCTCGAACGTGTCGTCATGTTCTACTTGGACTTGAAGAACATTCGTCGTGCATCTCTCTTCCCTCGTGATCCAAAGAGACTTCGTCCATGAATATACGCTTAGATATCTTGGTGAATATATCAGTTGTTACATACAGCGCATACCATAATTGTAAAATTGCGTAAAAGTTGCGTAAAAGCTGCGCAAAAGTTGCGCAAACGTTGCGCAAAAACCGAAGCCAGAAGGCCGGACCCCGCACGCTTAGAAAACATCCAGACACACAGAGGTTTTTTTCCTTCTCGTGCCTATAATCTCGGACACAAAGCCGCAGCGCTAATTCTCACAAAGCAAACACTCTGTTTACTCCCTTGCTTCAATATTAGCTGAGCTTTAGGATGATGGAGACACCTCAAAGACCCATAGATGAAGTCATTGTTGTCCATGACTTCCACTCGGCAAAGCCGAACATTCTCACCTTGAGCCATGGGGATACCGTATATGTTATGGGCAAAGCAGAATCTGGTTGGTGGGATGGTGTTATATTTGGGGAGCACGGTCCAATAAGAGGTTGGTTCCCTGCAATTTATTGTAAAGGACGTTCTCAATTGCTCAGTGAGCAACAGGCGCTTGGTGGCAGGCCACACATGTCGTCTTTACTGAGACAAAGCTTGGACAGGCCCCCAAGGAAGAACTCCAATGTGAGCTTTACGTCTGAGCACAGCAGTACCAAAGAGGATGAAACAAGACATTCTTCATCACAACAGCAACTACAACAACCAGAAGCGCAGCCACAGCAGCCACAACCGCAACAGGTACAACAACCACAACAGGCACAACAGGTACAATCACAACAGAAGGATCAGAACAACCGTAAGAGCTCTGGAAACAACGGATTACCGGATGTTTCGTTGGACAAAATTCAACTTGTGTCCACTGCTGAAGCAGAAAACATCTTCAACTCCACAGGTTCATCGATGGTTCCTATCTGGATCCCTCAAATGACCACTGACGGTAAAATCATCTACTACAACGATGAACTGAATATTTATTGCAAAGATTTGCCCTTCATTGAAACTGCTGAACTAGATGAAGGTTCAGTTATCAAAGTGCCGACTAAAGAACAAAACCCGCGGACACTCGCTGTTGTAAACTTACATAAAGCACACGTTGATGTTGGCACCGTTAAATCTAGGTCATCAATGACTAGAACCATATCCGGTTCCGGTTCCATTTCAGGCTCTGTGTCAGGCTCTGTGTCAGGCTCTGTACCTGGTTCGGTTCCAACATCTGAACGTAAAAACAGCTCAAAGGAGAATGTAAGTGTTGGGTCATCTCTTCCTTCAACAAATACGGTCCATCCCTGGAATTCCGCATTATACTGTATACCTGACCTGTTCTACTATGACCCTTCGGATATAACTACCTGGCCTGCTCTGAGAGACGCCTTCGTCCATTTCTTGCAGCTGGCTTTGGAGTCGTTGAAGAAGAAGTCAGACTCTCTGTTCCATGCGCATTTCAACATTGCTTCAAGGATTGGGGCTCTTATCAATCTATCAGCAAGACTTGCACAGCATGATTTACAAAAATCCGGATCCCAAAGAAGAGTGCAGAAAAGGCTCAAGAGTATAGCTTCATCCATAGCCCAGGTTGGTATTAATGGGAACTTATTCTTATCAGAAGATGCAAAGGATCGACAGACTTCAACTTCAACCCAAAGCAGTGAGCATACTGATGGAACAGAGTCGACTCTAAGACGTTCAAGCTCAGGTAACGCTTCGGTTTACCTAGATCAAGTTGAAATTGAAGTGGAGAATCTCAAAAGAAATGCTATTAAATGTATCAAAGTTTTTATGCAAATTTCTTCGAATAACTTTAACGAACACTACTATCTTCCACAAGTTTACCCACGTTTCCTTACAGGGTTCTTTTCAGGTGGAAATTGGAGAAATCCATTCGTTCCTGAACCAAAAGACCCATTTGCTGGAAAGCAAATGTCAGGTACAACAACACAAAAGAAACGTATCAAAACTATCTTGGATCAGGATAACTATGAACTTCTAGAGGCAAGAAAGATGGAACTCATTGACTGCGGTGAGGACCTTTTGGAGATGCTGAAGTCCCCAAAAAGCGAAAAGAGAAACATTGAAATCTTGGAGAAACTGCACAAATCATTATCTATTACTTCCAGTATGATCGATAAAATTGAAGGTTTGGATTTCTCGGTGTTTTTGAAAAACAGAAGAGATTCTATGACTGGTGATTTTGATACAGCTCGTATGATTTATCCATTACTTTCTGAATTCTTCGAGGCAAAGCAAGCTACTCGTGATGCTTTAATAACAGTCGTGATGGAGGCACAAAATATAACCTTGACGGATGCATCAATGTTCAGATCTGTTCGAGAGGATGATCGGGAAGCCCCAAAGACCACTACAGAGCACGAGAAAGCTGCAAAACAGATCCAGGTGGAATTGCAAAAGTTGGATGTTGACTTCGATGATGGTATCTCTGTGAATAATGATGACAAACTTTCTGAAAGTCTTGCCAATGCAATTGATGCTTTGGATGTTCTTACAGCCCTTGTGTCTCAGCTGGTTTCTGAAAGAGAGGCTTACATCAACTACGCATCGCGTCTCTTAGGTGATGATACCGCATATGATTATATTCCAGCAGATCGTGAAGATTCTACGGTAACTGATGAATATGCTTTACCGGCTTCTGCAACTGGAAGACATGAACGTAGGAATGAGCCTTGGTATTTGGAATCGGAAGAATTCAACTTAATATTTTCTGATAAAGACACCGTTAAAGGAGGGACTCGTGAAGCATTGGTCCAAAGACTGACTCATCATGAACTATTGGATGCTACATTCAACTTGACTTTCTTGACCACTTTCAGAAGTATGATGACAGCCACAGAGCTTATAACGATGCTTGTTAAAAGGTTCAACATTGAACCTCCAGAGAATCTATCATATGAGGACTACTCACATTGGCTCGAAGTGAAATCTTATCCAATTAAACTGAGAGTGGTCAATATAATGAAGTCTCTACTGAATAAGTATTGGACTCCTGCCTATGACGAACCTCAGCTTCCATCAATATGGGGCAAATTCATTGATGGTCTGCTTCAGGAACAGTTTCCGGGTAGTGAACAATTAGCAAGACTCTTCAAAGATAAAGTGCTTGGTGCTGATCTTTCATCACAAAATTTCCAGGCGAAGCCAAAATCGATATCTTCTAAATCTAAGAAGATGAAACTCCTTGATATTGACCCTGCGGAGCTTGCAAATCAACTAACTATAAAGGAATCGAGACTTTATAACCAAATCAGTCAAATCGAATGCCTGGATAAGTGCTGGAATAACAAGTACGGCTCCCTAGGGGGCTTTCAACATTTACAGGAGTTCATTTCGAATTCAAACGATTTGACAAATTTCGTGTCATATACTATTGTATCACAGACGGATATCAAGAAGAGAGTAAACGTAATCAAATATTGGGTTCAGGTGGCAGAAAAATGTGATCAGTTAAACAACTATTCATCGATGACGGCAATTGTTTCTGCGTTGTACTCATCTCCAGTCCACCGTCTATCGAAGACTTGGGATCTCGTACCGGCAGGCTCTATGAACATTATGAATAAGCTGAACGATTTGATGAATTCTTCAAGAAACTTTAGTGAGTACAGAGAGCATTTACGCTTTATATCTGACAAGCCTTGTGTTCCATTTTTGGGTGTCTTCCTTTCCGATTTAACTTTCACTACAAATGGTAACTCTGATCATCTTCATGGGGATGCAAAGTTAGTCAACTTTGCCAAAAGATCAAAAACGTTGAGCATTTTGAGGGAAATGTCCCGTTATCAAAACGTGAAATACAATTTGAAGGTCAATGATGATATTCAAGACTTTATCACGTACCGCTTGTCTGATCTTGAAAGTATTGATGAACAGTACAGTCGTTCTCTTGTGATTGAGCCTCGTGTTAAAGTGGCAAAGAAGCAGACAATGGCGGCTGCTAGACCTCAACGGTTGTCTATTCTTCCATATATGGGATGAGTATATATATACCGTTCGTGATCATACCTTTCTGTGCTCCATAGAGACAGAACAGAAGTAGTGATTTCTTTACCGGGGCATGAACGTACTCCTTGTGTGTGTCTATTGAGATGCGACAAGATACTTGATGAGGAGGTTGCGCACACCGTTAATGTTGCGGTTGTTCTCTTCGCGGTTCAGCTTAATGTTTTCAGTTATATCGACGTCACAATATATCTTTCACTAACATTATGATGTATATGGCCCCAGTAAGAGTCCTCCGAATCTTTCTTGGATGCCCTCTGGGATTTCTGCTTTTATTGTTCAATCTTTTGTTCTTGGCCATTGCTTGATGATGTTTTAAACGTTGTATCTAAAGCTGTACTGGTTTTGTGTCATTTTTGTGTTGATAAGAATTCAAAATGTAAACAATGCAGGGGGAACTTGAAAACATCCTAACATTTTTATGATTACTGAGGCAACGAAGACCCAGAATTACATATGTAATGCAAAACGTTGTGATTTATTGTAAAACAACCATTGATTCAATCAAGCTGAAAGTTAGCATATATGATGATATGGATATGTTCTTTTGTTTCCCTAGTCAGTTTTCCCAATTGTTGTTTTGTTGCTCAGATATAAGCAAATTTATGTATTTTTCTTGATTCTACCATACAAACAATGAATGGTTATATCTCAGAAAGTATTGAAGGTAACATGATCATACTTTGTATATCTCTTAATTCGGGTAAGAGCTACATTGTGGTATAATTTGAGGAAATGTGAAGGGGGTTGCTATTTTTATAAGTATTATTCTAATAAAATCCCCACTGAGTAAATTCTCTGTATTAAAATGAACCTATATAATTTTTAATTAATCGAAGAAAATCAATTCTAAAAGAATTTGAAACTTATGGTATAATCAATTGTAAATATAAGCAATAACTTGTTCATTGTGCAGATAGTTACAAAATTCATCTTCAGGGTACAGCTTATCTGTAGATCGTTCATTGGTTAAATGGCTATATTACAAAGTACAAGCTGATGTTCTCCAGTGCTGTGATTGTGACATGCTAAACCCAGACACGTCTGATATCCATCAACTGTATCGTTGTTCATTTCAGTAATGACTACAGCTCAAGCTGAATATTCACCTATGGGCTTGCTGTTGAGAAGTACTGATCCATCTATTTACGGGAGATGCATGTCTCATTGTCTAGGATTAGACTTCATCCACTGCCCGAGAAGATGTAACAGTGACACATTAACTGTTACCAATCCTCGGAAAGATTCGGAATTCAAAACACTACACAAGGGTCATACTGACATCTCTGATCTATGCCACACCCAATTGAGCACATTGGTCCACTTGCTGCCTTTTACGGATTACACTGTGAGCGGTTTTCTAAGATCAACAAATTCGCGAAAACACACACACACACACACATATACTGTCCACTTTGGGCCGATAGGATAGACCTTTTTTCCACTCACAGAGTGAACCAAACGGAAATAGTCCTTGTGGTATTGTTCGGCACACCATAACTCATTGCACTTCAAAATGTTGTCACGGATCTCACAGATCGGTAAGAACTTGAGTGATGAGATTGCGAAAAACCTCGAACCGGAGGTACAGCCTGGCAAAAGAGTTGAAGAAGAAGATGTGGACATCACAAAGGGCGATGATGCACCAGAGACCGAGCATGAGGCGCACGCTGCTTTGCCCCCAGACGTAAAGGCCAAGTTACGGAAGTTTGCCAAGTATGAGCAGAAGTATCCATTGCTATTGAAAGAGTACAAAAGGTTGAAAGCTTACGCTGAACAAGTTTCCCGCTTTGAAAAGGAGCTACAGGAGAATACACCCTGTTCCAGCATCCACGAGGGAGACGCCCTTGTTGAATACTTGAACAGTCTCAATTTGAAAAACTCAATGCTTGGTGATGAAATGCGTAAACTCAAGAAGGAATCTGACACACATGTTAAGGAATTGGAGGCCAAGATTGGTGATCTGGAGAAGCAGCTGAAGGACTCACAAAGTGTCAATGCAGACTCCGCGGCAACAGCCGAAGCCGAGACTTTGAAGGATAATGAAACAAGTGATCCAAAGAACGAGGAGTTGGTAGTGGAGGTGGATTCTCTGACATCAAAGCTTTCCGAAGCTGAAGATGAGATCAAGAAGCTCCAGATTGAGAACAAAGACCTCTTTGCGAAGTTGACAATTTCCGAGGATTCTTTGAAAGGTACGACTGGTGAAGCAGATTCCTTGAAGAAGAAATTATCAGAAGTTACCGAACAGGTTGATTCTTTGCAGAAGGATAAGGAGACTTCTTCCAAAGACAAGCATGATTTGGAGAATTTCAAAGAAGAACTAAAGTTGACAAAGGATAGACTTCAATCGTCCCAAGAGGAGGTAAAGCTGCTAAACAAGACATTAGAAGAGTACAAGTCTTGTTCTGAGAAGTTGAAATCGACTCATGAACAGGAGATTACATCATTGAGACAAGACCTGGAGACTAGAACCTCTGAAATGGGAGATATAATTACTAAAGTCGAGGCTTTAGAAAAGGAAATCTTAGAGAAGGAGAGTAACATTAAAAAGCTTCAAGATGAGATGACCCAGAAAACCACCAATCAATCGGTAGAAGAACCTATCATCGATACCAAACCTGCTGTGAAGACTGGGAAGAATAAAAAGAAGAACAAGAAGAAGAATGGCAAACCAGATAATTCCACCGAAGTCCCTGTTAAGGATTCAGAGCATTTAGTTGTTGAACAAGATTCATTGCAAGACGACCAAGAAGAGCTCAAAGTTTTAAAAGAGAAACATTCAAATCTTGAAAAATCATTGCAGGAGCTCGAAACATCAAAGTCACAAGAGTTGAGATCAAAAGTAGAGGAGATTGAGAATTTGAGAGACATGCTTAAAGATGTTGGAGATGATCTCGTTACAGCTCGAGATGAACTGAAAGAGTTGACTTCTAAACACGATGATCTGAACAAACTTCACAATGAACTGAAGTCAAAGAATGAACAAGCGGTAACTGTTGAACAAAAGGCCATTGAAGACCAAAAAGCTGAATTGGAGGTGTTACGTACTCAACACGAAGAAGCAGTCACCGAATATGAAAAAGAAAAATCAGAGAATACAAGGCTTATTGGTCTCTTAGAAGGCGAGAAGAAAGACCTGGAAGCTCAAATGAAATCTCTCAATGATGAGTTGGCTGAGCTCAAACAGAAGACAACCGATGCTATAGCCAAAGAAGCGACACTTGCTTCTGAAATTGAGAAGTTAAAGAGTTTGGTGGACGAGAAAGACAAAGTAACCAAAGACTTGAAGTCTCATATAACTGATTTGGAAAAATCGTTAAAATCAGCTAGAGAAGAGTCTAAGAAGCACCTCAATGAGGTGAACACACTGTCAAGGGTTAAAACTACTTTGGAGAGGGATATTTCTAGCATCCAGCAGGAGAGAACCAAACTGATTGAACAGAAGGGTAAACTCGAACATGAACTTTCTGATATGAGTAAGTTGAAGAAGAGCGAAGCTTCTTTACAAAAGGAGCTTTCCCAAGTCCAAACGACGTTAACGCATCGCGATAAGACAATAGTATACTTCGAAAAGCAGGTGAAGGACTATGAAATCCTGAAAACGAATTTATTGGATGAGAACAACAAGCTTAAGAGCTCTAATCGTGACATCAATGCACAAGTGACTTCTTTGAATGACCAACTGAGTCGTCTCAACAAAGAAAAGGCAAGCTTGAAAGAACGTATAGCTACCCTTGAAACAAAACAGAAAGATAGCAACGATGAGAACAAGACACTTGTTGAGAAGATAAACATCCTTCAGGACAAGTTTGATGATTTACAAAGTGTCAAGTCTTCCTCAAATGAACAACTTGGTGCTATCAAGCAGCAATGTGAAGAGTTGAACATTTCGTATAAGGAGTCACAGAGAAGAGTAAGCGAACTTGAAGACGAATTGTCAGAAAATCGGGCTCTGTTACAAGAGAGAACACGTGAAGCTGGAACCATCAGAAGACTATTGTTAGAGAAAGAAGAGAATGAGGACAACAAGGTTGATTCTTTAAGCACAAAGGTACGCACATTGACAGAGGAAAAAGATCGTTTACAATCAGATAATGCAATTGCACTTTCCAAAAAGCAGAGACAGCTCGATGATGTCTTGTTGAAGAATGAAGAGCTGGAGAAACTTGTTCGTGATTGGAACACGAAGGAAAGTCTACTCAACCATGAGATTCAGGATTTGAGGGAAGCTAAGAGCTCATTGGAAAAGAAGACCCAACAGTCACATTCCAGCTCTGATGAGCTTTCACATGTCGTTGTCAAAATGAGAGAATCGCTAAGTACCTCTGAGAAAAAGGTACGCGATTATGAGAACTTGAACAATGTGTTAAAGAGGTTAAACGAGGAACTCACTGCAAAGATTGATCGTTTATCAAAGAACTACAAACTAGTTTCAACTCAGCTGAAAGATCAAAAGGCGAAGAATTCAGCAAATTCATCACCAGTGTCTTCAAGATCCAATTCCATCGTATCCAACATTCACGGCGATCCTGGTATTGGAGGTGGTTACAGTTCGAATGCATTCCCATTATCCCCAACGGAAGGTTCTGCGGGAGATATAAGCGAGAAGATTGCCTATGTGAGAAACGTACTGTTGGGGTTTTTAGAGCACCGTGACCAACGTCAACAGTTATTGCCTGTCATCTCCATGCTTTTACAATTGAGTAAGACGGATGAAAAGAGATTACTTGTTGCCCTAAAGTGACGCCTTTTGGAATCCTGTCCAATGTATTCCTCTAGAATAATATACTACTTCTACTAAATAAGACAAAGCCAGATATAACAATCATTTCACCTTAGATTCTAGACTTTGCTATCCCTGTTATATCCTCAAAGCGCGTTCAAGCAACGATATTAATAGCGATGAGATTCAATCACTTTGGGCGGTGCATCGCTATAGGAGTACTCTTGTGCGTATACGAGCAGATCCAAATGCTTGTCCCAACTCTTGCCAAAAGCACCCACATCAAGGACATATCCGTCAAACAAGGCTGAAAGGCTTCGCCCACCAGCGCGGTGCCGCCACGACTGGGACGAGTAGTGGCGGACACTCGGCTGAATTGAACAAAGCCGGAGGAAATATGAAACATGACAACTACACACCGCACGGCCTTACAACAAATCGTGACAGGGCTACACCATTTCCGTATGACTTAGAAGTTGTATGACGTGTCTGACGGCCATTGAATTGTTGGGATGGGCTTCTTTGGGAGGAGGAGTCGTGCCCGAGGAAATGGCAATACTTAAACGAAAGGATTCAACTCAATTAGAAAAGCCTGGGAACAGCACGCCGAACGAATTATAAAAAGGGGAAGAGAGTGCAGCTACTTTTTACTCTCTTGGAAGAAAAGGAGTAACTGCCTCATACACAGCTGATTTCTTTCTACACGGACAAAATTGTGGTAAAAAATAATCAGTGCCCCCCCAATAAGATCGCAATAACTCACGCAAGGCGCGCTGCTGATGCAAAAGAACTCGATTTTTGTGACAAGATAAGGGCAAAAAACAACAACACTACAACATTTATAAGGAAGCCCGTGGGGTTGAAAAAAGTTTTCGTTTTGTTTCTTCGTGATAAACGGAGCCAGAAAAGAAAGCTTTAAGAACAGACCTCTCAGCTCATAGTTTGACTCTTCCATTGATACTTCTCTTCAGGTGGTTTTAACAGTTCTAAACCGATCAAAGTTGATATATTATTGCACCAACAAATTCTATCAAGGTCTTTTTACAGATCAGGTTTTTTTTGTCTAAATAATTGCTCCAATGGTTGCAGATCACACAGAGCAGCAGAGGAAAGGACGCTTTGAGCACACAGACAAGTCCAATACTACAATGGTAGCAGATGATGATTCACAGTTGCTTGTGCCACCAAGCAACAACGCTGTGAACGGTTCTTATGGGAAGAACCACTCACGTTCCCCATTGAGGTCGAGCCGCGCCACTCAGAGGCTTCGCACAGCGGTAGCATCGTCAAACACTACAACAACGGGAACGTTACAAGTACCGCAGTTACACAATCCAGTTCAGCTAGCATCCACAGCGGCTCACAAGCGCAATCGTTCACTGACATCATACAATAGACGTTCCTCTTTGACATCTGCAGAAGAACCGTATCTAGCTTACAGTTTTGGGACGTATGGTTATTCTGGCACCACTGGCGGGTGCAGTACCGGAATTGGCACAAGCGGATGTCAGAACAGTGTTAGTGAGCATGTATCGCCATCAACCACATCAGTATCGGTGAATCTTGGCTCCTCATCGTTGGCACCAAATAGCTCTACAATTTCTTCAAGAACGCCAATTATGGGTACCGGCATGATCTCTTCCTCCCGCAGCTCTCCACGGAGCAGTTTCTCCTCAAGCTATGACAGTTTTGGTAACGGCTCGTTGCGCCGTCACAGTGAGCAACCACCACAGCGTAGACCAAGCGCACAGGAGGTGTTTGATGTTATGGAGAGAGAGCAAGATGCTATTGTGCTCAAGTTGATGCGTGAGATTCACCAGTTGAAAGAGGACAATAGAGCTCTTTCCCAGACGATTAACGCTCTAACCAACTCTTCCACCGTTAATTCACAAACAGGAATGGATGCGCTGAGAACAAGACGTCACTCCTCAATCTTGACAGATGAGGAGTGGAACATCTCCCATAGAAGTATGGATTCGATTCCAAGAAGCGCAAGACTTGAGCCGTTGTATAAGCCCACAACAATTATCCAAAGATCAAATGTCGTTGATAATAGAGTTGATAGATCTGATTCCACTGTGAATGCTGTTCACAGAGCTGGAACGGAGGATTGATAAACATCTACAATCAGTTGGCTTAGTATATTAGTAGTTTCCATAGGTTAATTTGGTTTCTCCTTTCCATCCACATTCTACCTGTATCGATTAGCTCACCACAAGCCTTAGTCCTACTAACGCTTTTGTGTAAAAGTTCACAAATGTAGCTGAAATCACAAAACAAATATACATTTTAAGGGCTTATATGTATACCTACGCTTTCAAAACAGCTCTTGTAGGATAATTATTTGCTAAGCAACCTGCAACTATGTTTTCACTCAAATACGTAGCTATTACTCTTCTAACACTCAATTGGTTCGTTATGGCGTTGAGGTTACCTGCTTCGACTCTGAAATTGCAATCAGCTACAAAACCACAGTTTACTATTGCAAAGACGCCAAAGAATACGTTGGGATTTGAAAAGAATCCTTACCGTGTCAAGTTAGCTGCTCGTGACCAGATTATAACGGGGTCAGGTGATAACGTGGTGGATGACTTCCCAATAACAGCATCAACACCAACAGGTTTCAATCCAGATGTCCAAGCTCAACAACCGGTTCCCAAATGGTTAAAGGATTTTACAGGATTAAGCGAGTGGCCGGGAATGGACCCACCTTATATTCCATTGGATTTCATTAAATTGGAAGAGATCCCAGATATTGCTCCTTACCCGCAAGGTGTTTGCCCATTGACCAGAGGTACGTGCTCGTTTGACTGTTACAAGTGCGTTGAGCCAGATGATGTTTTCACCTGTCCAAAGCTCTCACAGACATTCGATGATGGACCATCTCCAGCAACTCCAAAGCTCCTCTCTCATTTGCAGGGCAAGTCAAGCTTCTTCACTTTGGGTGTTAATGTTGTTAGATACCCAGAAATTTACCACAGTATCCAGAAGAAAGGGCACTTATTGGGTAGCCATACATGGTCCCACAAATTCCTACCGAGTTTAACAAATGAACAAGTTATTGCACAATTAGAATGGTCAATATGGGCCATGAATGCCACTGGGAACCACTTACCAAAGTGGTTTAGACCTCCATATGGAGGAATCGACAATAGAATCAGACATATTCTGAGAAAGTTTGGTTTACAAGCTGCACTTTGGGATCATGACACATTTGATTGGCAACTTCTTAACCCTAGCATGAATAGAACTCAGGATCAAATATTGGCAGACGTTAAGCAGTGGATGTCCAAGTCCAACCCACCGATGGGGTTGATATTGGAGCACGATGGAGCCATACAAACGGTCAATGCAGGTATTGAAGTACGTAACCTTATTGGAGAAGACCAATGGACGGTGGCCCAGTGCAAAGGTGGTGCCGAATACATCAGAGTTTTTGACCCAATGTGAGTCAATAACCATATGTAGTCATCATACATGTATAGTTTTGTACGCATCTATATATAGATGACTTGATACTTTAATTTGATCAACGACGTTGACGTAAGAATGCCCAGAAGAATTCGGACACTTCATCAATGCAAGGTTGATGTTGTCTTGTTTTGAAATCGACAGAAAGGGTACGAAGCTTCAGACATCTTTAAGTTAAGACAAAAGACAAGTGTTTCAACTTGCCGTGAGTAGTAACTTAATGTTCGGATGGTACATCCGGCGTTCTACTCAAACACCAACAAGTATACACTGTATAGTTCATCCTTAATTCCCTGGTCCCATGATCCCTTGATACGTCGGGGGCAAATAGATCAGAAACAACACCCATGAACGTACTTTATTCTCACGTCAAAGTAGTGTAAGAATTAGACAGATCACATCTTGTTTGTGTATAGAAAGGTACCCGAAACACAATGTTTCAAGCATATTGTTTACAACATTCCCGAACCAGATATTTCCCGCATCGTATTTGTTTACTTTTCGATAAGGCTGGCAAAATTCGTACGTTTGAACTTTTCTGCAAGATATATCTTGCATACCCCGTGTCAGCATTGGAGTGATGTTGGGATGAATGGGTGTCCAGGTGTTTAAATTCTGGGGGGTGTTCAGATGTTTTTTTTCTTTTTGTTATCACCGTGGCGGCAGTTTCGGTGAAAGCCTCTTGAGCCTCGAACCTTGCAACAAACTCTAATTCTCAGAATTTTTCTGTGAGGCATCTCTCACTCACCTGATCCAATCATGTGTGCTCGTCGTAAGGCAGACAGCACTGGACCAGGAGCTAGGGGCATATGCCATCACCGAAGAACATGAGACCCAATTCCATTCGAAAGGGGTTGAAATTAGGCAAGCAGTTCGGGAAACCATAAACTAGGTGTAGTACGATGATCAAGCATGATGGTCTCTTCCTGGCATATTCTGATTAATGACTTGCATCTGTATACTGTACCTATCCGACGATTACTACATTGGCCAGACGTGATCTAGGTATGACCATAGAGTGTATAATGAGCACATTCGATCTGTAGAGTACTTGGTACACTACGTATATACACAGTACGACATTTAAGGGCTAATCATGAAACTAATCGCATTGTGTGAATAAGAGCATGTCGCAGTTTTTGGCAGTCGTTTCTCAAGGTGTTTCTAACGACGAAGTGGAACCAATGTTATGTATAACGTTAAGACGTCCATTTGTTCACACTTTGTACATAGCATGTCTCTACTATCCGATGGTTCGATTAAGCCGAACATCATCTTGCTCAAAAACCAGTCATCATAGCTCGTGAGTATTGCTAAGTGCGCAAGACTGTGGACTTGTGTGTCTCTTGTCGTTCTTTCAAAGCATTGCATTGAAGATCCTGCTTAGCCCTTCTAGACTTTCTGCAGGCCGCCCGAATAAAAAATCGCTGCAAGTAATCAACACCCAAATTAGGAGGTCTATGGGTGCGAATGTCTACTGCGTGCTGTTCAGACAAGGAGATAAAGGACACCTCAAAACACTTAACCCATCCCACTCACAAAATACTAGTTACAAAAGGACATATCGTTTTAAAGAAACACGTATACATGTATAATGCATTGGCATGGGAATACATACGACCAATCACCGTCCTGAAAGTCATTATGTATGCAGGATCCCAGAGCCTGGTGGTCAAAAGATCAACGTCCTCCATGAGACCAGTGATCTGGTGTAACGCATTTCGTAAATTGAACTTCGACGGCCAAAATTGCCGGGAACAATACTATTTAGGTTATACCGTTAGAAGATACGTATTAGGCGTCCACAGTTACGCTAAAGATAATACGCCATTGAAATGGTCTACATATTTGATGACGATCTCCCAAGAAGCAATAAATGACGCTCATTCCTTTACACGTTGATTTCTAGACAGTGGACAAAACAGAGTAGGCTTAGGTTAAGAATGATGAACATTATTCGCAGACAATCATGGCCCCTAAGAGGTCACGCCTATGATACTATTAAAAGTAGATAAAGGGTGTGCATAAAAGGAACAGGTTGGTTATCGAACAATAGTTTCAGTTGAATGTATACATGCGCCTTCGCATCAAGGGCACGACTTGAGACACATTACCACGAGGCATTAAGAGAGGATATCACATTGATGGAAAGTCTATCAGAGTTCATTAATTTGTGAGTGAGAGTAGTTGCGTCATCAAAGCCTAGTGTATAAACCCAATCTGCTGCTTGTATAAGGTACTTCAATGTGTTGAAAGTGTTCCTTCCATCGTACAATAACTGAGTAGATTTAATCCAATTCACCACAGGTCATGACATAATAAGCCATAAAACACGGAATGATCCCACTTCAAGTCCAAGCATGTCTACAACCATGCTTTAGGCTCCGGTAAATATGGACTTTACCCCTGTGGGTTTATTCACCTGAGTACGACAAACTGATTCACCTCGCATGTACTATAAAACAAAAAAGAAATACTCTGGGTATGTAACACTTTAACAGCAAATTTGACATGGTGTATAGACAGTATTGGTTCTTGTTACCTGAGGAGATCAATTTAATTACACGCATGCATCTAATACCAGGAACGAACTTGAAGAAAGGTGGACCTCCCTGTGGGATTTAGTAGAGGTGTCCGCCATGTGTTTAATTAAGATCGAATTTTGCCTATAACGCCTTAGTTTGGATCGTGGTACGCGTAAGTTCCACCTTGATTAAATCCGAAAGGATCACTTACTTAGGTCCATATTAAGGCTCTAGGCTACATGACGCTTATGACGTATACATCTAAGTTACCACTTACTAATCGTAGAGGAAGCGTTGATTGGACAATTGGTTGGAACTAATCCTCAAAATTTCTCCAGGAAGAACTTAATATCAAGTGCTCCAATTGAGTAATCTACGCAAAGTTTGATTATAGAGTTAACTTGACTAATTGAGGTGGTATAACAGACACCTACTCTTGAAACATTGTTCTAAGGATGAATAAGAGCATTGGGAAGTCTCCAAGCGTCAGGCTTCACATAGACTCGTTCCCTTCTGGTTTTTAAAGCCGTGCTTTTTTTTTTACCTTTTTTTTCTGAACTTTATGTATGTATGTATGTGTGGGTTGGAACGTGAAGCTTGATACATGTCGATTTTCAAACGCCAACTTCAAGTTCCAAGTTCTTACAAACTTCACTATTTTTTCCAGTGAAAATTTCAGAATAACCGCGGTTTTACCGGTGTACGAGAAGCGCGTAGTTCCAAGAGCAGTAGACAGGAAATCAATTGAGCTGAATGTTGATTTCCTTGCCAACGAACGAGGATATGGCTTGCGGTCATATACCACTATTATGGCGTGTACAATTGATCCCCTTTGTCTTGGACCAATTAATTGAGCATCAGCGTCGGCGTCGGTATGAAGGCTTATTCGTAAACTTCCAGTTTTGGTGTGTTGTCAACAGGGAAATTTCATGGCATTTTTGCAGCACCCAAAAGAAAATGGCGGTCCAGACCCCCCAAACGTGTAGAGATCCCAGCCCCCCAAATTCTTAAACAGCCACACGAAATTCAAAAGATGCGCTCAGCGAAAGGAGAAAAGCTTTAGAGTTTTGTTGTTACCATGGTAACCAACTCTGAATTTCATGCATGTGTATGCGTAACGGGTGAATGTTTTAGTAGTAGAGGATGCGGTAAACGCATACAGACGCACAGATCGCAAACCTGTTAGTTCTTCTTTTCCCCCAAAGTAACCAAAGGCACGCCTTTTGGGATTTCCTCTATCAAGCCAGCGAATTATATAAAACGACAGGGGCCTGCCCTTAGGTGTCAATTGGTAAGCCTTGTTTTAATTACCAACCATCTTCATTCCCTAATCAGGCTAGTCAATAGGCAATCTCACCAGGTATCACCAAATTTCAACCAGAGCTTTGAGTATACTCATTCCTTACCATACTATAGTCCTTTCCTTTCTCTATCAAGTGTAAACAAACACCCACGTCAGGCTCACTGCTCACTACTTTCCTTTTCCATAGTTGAAGATACACAATACTATCATTTACAATGAGATTTTCTACTGTCCTTGCCCTTGCTGCTGGTGCCCTTGCTGCCCCAGTCGTTGTCACTGAAACGGAGGTTGTCTGGGTTACTGCAGGTTCCGAAGAAACCACTGCTGAACCAGTCCCAACCACCACACCAGCTCCAAAGGTTGGTAATGTCATCGAGGTTCTTATTTCTCAACTTGTTGTTGTTAACGATGACAAAACTGTCACCTCTGAGTACACCTACACCCAAACCAAAGAGGCCCAGACAACCACAAAGGCTGTTTCCGAGACTGCTAGTGTCGAGACACCATCTACTACAAAGCCAACTACAACTTTGACCCCAACCACCACCGCTTCTCCAACCACCACCACCACACCAACCACCTCTACTACACCAACCACCTCTACTACACCAACCACAACCACTACACCAACCACCTCTACTACTCCAACCACCACCACTACACCAACCACCACCACTTCTTCAACATCCACCAAGGCTACTACTAGTGCCACCGCTACCGAGACTGCTGACTCTTCTTTCGCCTCTGCTATCTTGGCCGCACACAACGAGAAGAGAGCTCTTCACGGTGTCTCTGACTTGTCCTGGTCATCTGAATTGGCTGCATATGCTCAAGCCTACGCTGATAACTACGACTGTTCCGGTACTTTGACTCACTCTGGTGGTAAGTACGGTGAGAACTTGGGTTTGGGTTACACCACCACCGGTGTTGTTGATGCTTGGTACAGCGAGATCTCCGACTACGACTGGAGCAACCCATCTGGTGACCACTTCACCCAAGTTGTCTGGAAATCAACCACTCAATTGGGTTGTGGTTACAAGGTCTGTGATAACATCTGGGGTCAATACACCATTTGTTCTTACAACCCAGCTGGTAACTACGCTGGCCAATACGCTGCCAACGTTTTGCCATTGGTCTAAACACACTTTTATATCCCCATGTATTTTTTTATGACACTCGTTTATGATCATCCAACTGAAAAAAAATATCTTAGCTTTTCTCAGTGGTGTTTGATAACGCCATTCCAAGTTTGACTTCTTCATGCCCAATTGAATTGGGCCGTTTTCTTGTGTACTTGACCATATTATACCATATATCCTGTTTGTTACAGCTTTTATTTTATGATATACTTTGTTCTGGAGACCATCGTAGTGAACGTGTTAGGGATTTGTTTGATATCAATCGCCCTGCATGTCACGGGTGTTATTCTTACACTGTATGTGTTGTACAGTTGCGTTATTGGTAAGAACAATGCACAGCAGCAGAGAGCGAATTTCTCCAACAGCCCATCTGCTCAGAACGTGCAAAGAGTACAAGTTTCATACTAACATCAAGAGTGTTTCGTTCAAAGTAATACCTAGGATGAGATTGTCATTATATAAGGATGTTGCAAATCTGTGTCCTAATCATCAGTAGTTTCTCGTCTGTCCTTTTACACATAGATCATGAGGCCCTTGGTGCTTTTTACGCTAATTCATCAGATCAATTGTGCTCTTTTGACGATATACGAAACACATATTCAGACAGTTACTGAATCTGTTCAAGAAATTGCATTTGAAACACTAACACAGTGGAGCACAAATTATATCGAAACGACCACAACTCATACTTCTACAATTGTTACGACGACTACGATGGAAGCGCTGGATGCCCATGCTCTGTTTAGGCACAACGACAAGAGACAGCTCCACGTGAACACATCAGATCTCTTATGGGATGAATCTTTAGCTCAGGAAGCCCAATTCTTTGCAGATGGATACAATTGTAACGGAACACTTATCCACTCAGATGCAAAGAGTCAATACGGTGAGAATCTAGCACTGGGATACGACACCATCAGCGCAATCGATGCGTGGTACAACGAAATCGATCTGTACGATTACGACAATCCCGTATTTTCTAGTGATACGGGTCATTTTACACAGCTCGTATGGAAAAGTTCCACATTGTTAGGATGTGGCTACAAGTACTGTGATTCGTATTTCGGCCAGTACACCGTGTGTAGGTACGCCATTTCTGGCAATTGGGCAGATCAATTTGTTGATAATGTCCTACCCTTGGCCTGAACTTGCGACTTCGCTTCTTACGCACGCATGCTCTATGTTACGCACACGTTCTGAGAATTACGCAGGATAGTAGAGAATTTTCCGAAATCAAAGTCTTGAAAAATGTCAACAAAAGGAGAGTTCAACAAGTCGAGGATCAAAACAACAAAGAGGTGGTACTACTCAAGGAATCTTCCATCAAAGATACATCATGTTTGGATCAAATTCCGGTAGCACCTTTGGGAAACCTGCTTCGACTGGTGGTCTTTTTGGCGGGAGCACCACTGGCGGGTTTGGCTCTTCGAGTACTACCAATGCGTTTGGTGGATCTAACACAACCAATAATGGTGGTGGGATGTTTGGCAGCGCTAATAACACGAACCCATCGAACCCTACGAATGCTTTTGGTGCAGCACAGAACAATACTAATGCGTTCGGGGCATCATCTAGCACGGGATCTGGCGGATTGTTTGGCAATGCCCAAAGCAACAACAACGCAAACACCAGTGGATCGCTTTTTGGTGCAAAGCCTGCAGCTACAGGATTTGGAACAACTGGCAATACAGTGACTGGTGGATTTGGAGGTGCCGGTAATACACAATCTAATGGACTCTTTGGCGCGTCTAATTCTAACACTGGTACATCAGGCGGACTCTTTGGAGCAAAGCCTTCAGGGTTTGGTACAACTTCCAACAATTCTACAGCCCCAGCTGCTAGTGGAGGGGGTCTATTTGGTGCTCAGAACAATGCCCAACAGGGAACTACAAGTGGTGGTCTGTTTGGTTCACAGAATAATACTCAACAAGGTGGTCTCTTTGGTACCCAGAATAATACTCAACAGGGGGCCACAAGTGGTGGCCTCTTTGGTGCTCAAAATAAAGCACAACAGGGAACTACTGGCGGGCTGTTTGGGGCTAACAACAACACTGCAACCTCTGGTGGATTATTCGGAGCCAAGCCAGCAGGAACAACCACAACTTCTGGAGGCCTTTTCGGTAATACGGGCAGCGCATCGAATACCACTACTACAGGTGGTCTTTTTGGTTCCAAACCAGCTACATCTGGAGGCTTGTTTGGTGCTAATACAGCTGGTACTACTGGTGGGTTGTTTGGTAACCAAACGACGAACACCACTGGAGGCGGCCTTTTCGGTAACAATAACCAAACTACAACAGCTGGAGGAATTTCTGGTGGATCGTTATTCAGTGGCGGTGCTGTACAACAACAACAACAACAAGTACTACCGAATATCACGCCTCTCACCACTATTGGTGATCTACCCGAAAACTTCCGTAGAGAGGTGGAGCAATTAGACCAATACATTCAAAACCAGGTTCAAATAGCAGAGCAATTGAAAGCTGAGAAGGACGAGCACAGCGAGGTCATTGAGTCTATTCCAAGAGACGTTGAATACCTACAGAACAAATATTCTTACACGAATCAGGCGTTGGATAACGATTTGAAAGTGTTACAAGAACTTCGAGCAGACACCGATGAAGCACTGAATGATGCGGAGAATTTCTTTGTTATCCTCCAAAGGCTATTGAACGCCAGCAACAAAACGTCATCTCTAGAGATCGATCAGTATTTCAATAAGAAGGCTGACTTTTACAGAAACAAACTCGAAAAGTACTCACAGGCATTGTCGGAGATCGATGCTGCGGTGGAAGGCATAGAAAAGGATTCCATCAGCGATGTTGGGGGAATGAGCCTCGTTGTCAGCACATTACACGAAGAGTACAGACTATTCATGGAGCTCGCAAACACCGTGGCTGATCTCCACCGCAAAGTAAAGCTGCTACAGGAAAAGGCCGGCGAAAAGATATAACCTATTCGCAATATACAAACGGAGCCATCAATCAATTGTTTGGATGTCTACACTTTTGTAGAACTGCAAATGTATACTCTTTCGCAAATTTGACACATTTTTTTGTGCCACATTGCGCGATGATCTTCCCAAAACGGAATGGCACAAAAAACAAATTTGGTGCACACATTAGCCATTTGGTGTGGGGGTGTTTCCCTGCTTATCTTCTGATAATGAGGCATATATTATAGGAACGGGATTAAAGCGGTAGTTCCCTTATTAATATTAGCCCACCACGTTTGAGTTGTCTTAATTTGGAGTTAAAGTCAACGTAGAAGCACTACAAAGAAACGTACTGGAAAAGCCAAAAGTAGTTGGTTCAATTCATCCTGGTTACAGCGACATACTGCTTACACTGGACGGTTGATATTGTGTTCTTATACCTGTATATTTCCCCATCTGTTTGACTGAAAGGAGTGACTCGCCACCAGGTATTTGAGAAGAGTATTATGAGAGTTTATAACAAGAAATTACTGGAGGTTTTATCTGTGAAAGAAGAGATGAGGGACATGGAACAAGCACAAGAAGCGAATATCACTCCAAGGGTGGATGCTGATGAGTTAAGGAGCCAGGTGTCAAGCTCTGATAGCGATTTTAGCGTTATCAGCTCTGACGAACACAGCCAGGAGCAAAGCGAGGATCGACACGAGAATGGCCCTGAGTTCAGCGGCAGCGCTGCGGAGGTGAAGTTCAGGTACAGACTTTCTGGTGACTGGTCAGAGGTGTTCACGGATGAGAATGCCGCCACTGACCACGATATCAGATCCTTGGATTCTTCATCAAGTGGGAATAATATCCCGGATGTGATATCAACTGAGGAGGATGACTCAGTTGCTGAGCTTGGTGGTGGAATATCCCGTTGCACATCAAACAATTCACAGAGAGGCGAAGAGTTGCGTACTACTAACAAATTGGAAAGTATGAAGGAAGTTGAAATTACAGGAAACATGTCCCCTTGTTTCGATGACAATTGTAACAGCCAGTCACAGTCGCTGTCTACACTCAAGGGATCAGAACCTGGGTTGAACCGATCTCTTTCGTATTCCTTTCCTGATCCTGTTAAGTCTACTGATACCATCAGTGGCAAAGACATTGATCTGCAACATATGGAATTCACCAAGGTCAGATCTCATAATGGCTTGAATCTACCTTCATGGAAAAATATTGGTATTATGGTGCTTCTTGGTCTACTTGTATTCGATCGTACCATTCAGATCTTTGGGGCAGATGGTCCTTCTTCGAAGTACATCTATTCTTACCTTGAGCCCACAGTTGATCCTCCAACAGTTGAAGTTGAAGTTGATGATTTCATTTCGCTGAAGAAAGACTTTTTGGATTTGTCTAACAGATTGTTCAAGTATGCGTCTCTCAAGGGAAGTGAAGTGGTTACCGACCAATCAGAGAAGCTTTCTCATGTGTATAGTGTTGGAATGTCACATACCAAAGCAGGACTTGGTAATGCACAGCCTTATCTTGCTATGATCAAGGAGAGCTTATCTCACGGAGCTAAGCAGTATGAATCCAACCTGTGTGAACTTTGGAGAGCCACCGGTAAAGGTGCTGTTCATATACAAACGAAATTCTCCGCAATAAAGAGTGAAGTGTTGAAAGAGTTAAACTCTATCAACCAAGAGGCAGAAAGGAGAAACAAGGAGCGCCGCATCTTTTTGGAAACTGTTGTCTTCCCTAGAGTTGTTAAGTTTACTAAGGCTTCATCTGAATCGTTGAAGAAGAGCATAAGTGCTTTCAGTGATGCGGCGTATGTCACGTACACTGCTACAGTCGTCCCATCTGCAGAATATGGATTGAAAACTGCTAGTAAGAAGGGTGCTGAATTATTCAGATATCTCAATACAACTGTATACGAGGTCAAAGAGTCAGAGGTTTTTTCGAGGGGATGGGTGAAGACAAAAGATTACTTTGCTATAGCATCTGAAACTGGCAAGAGAGGGCTTGGGTCGTTTTGGACACGAGTTGAGGTGAGGAAAGAGCAAATACCCAAGACTATGAATCTTTTTGGCAAAAAATTCTTTGATAATATGTCACATTTGAGAAAGAGCATTGATGAGGCTGGTAGAGGTGCAGATCGGGTGTATAGCTCTGTTCTGAGGAATTATTGGAGGAGCATTGGCACAGGTTCTCAGTGAAACGGCACGGGCAGACAATTTGATGAGGATCTTTGCAGAAGGTCTAAACAAGTTTCCCTGACCCGATTGTGTCAAGATCTAGTGAAATGATTCACAGCATCCTACAGCAACTTTTCTCCTTTGATGATTTTATACCTAGATCCCCCCTCTCGGTATGAATACTTTCAAGTGTTTACGTGTACTCACAAAACGTACTATATTCCTCACGTCTATATACGTTACTCTTTTCAGGTTTCTCCCCTTCACCTTATTGATGAATCAGCCAGTTTGAAGGGTTTCTTTTTTTATATCTTGTTTTGAATCTATATGTTAATGTTAGGATTAAGTTGTAACAATGATACATAAAGACATTACCTATACGATTAATCTGCAAGTGGTATATATACAAGAGCTCGAAAATGCGAACTAATTAGGACCTGTCCGTTGATGAGGCGGGTTGAGTTTCTGTAGATGTTGCAGCTTCTCTGGGCTGATCGTCATTTGGCAGTCCAAGGTTCTTCCATTCATCTTTCTCCATGAGCTGGTTATCCATACGGCATCCAAGGTACTTCTTTGCCAGAAGTCTGCAGTTGAGAGCGTTATTCCCACGCACGAGTTTCATACATTCGAGATATTCGGTCATTATTGAGGAGCACTCATGGTCATGGTCCAACGGGAAGGAACCACGCTCTGGTGGTGTAGGATTGAAACTTGCAAAAGAGTTTCCTATCAAAGTATTAGTAAGAGCTTCACAGTTGAGGATAGTAGGACATCTGGGATATAAGGAGAGCGCAAAAAAGAGTCTTCAAAGAGAACGTACCTGGTGCACCTGACATGGTTTATACTTCTCTCACGTCTTTAATAGTCAAATATATGAACTACAGGACATCGTAGCACTTTTCAAGGATGAAAATGTCTATTCTAAAAAGTAGCCCTAGAAAGTTCCGCTCGCGAAACACGAAAGCGTCCATCAAATCCCGACGCAAAAAGTTCCAAACCTTCAGCTCATCTCATCTCGGTGCAACGCTTGGGGAATCATATGAAATAAGAACATAAATGTCGGTATTATTTAAGATGGAAGCACTAGTTGACGGTTGATTACGCATCAGCACAATCGTTTAACATCAAATATCATGGCCATATAATATAGAGGATCTCCTCAGCTATCACGGAGAGAATCAAAACACAAAGCATTCACAATGAATCAGACCGTAGGAAAGGACGATGTGAATCAAGGAAATAACGAAAACACGACACACACAAACAAATAAAAGATTAAAAGAAATGAACGAATCAGTGACATCCCTGTCTACGACAGAAAAGGATGGCATTCCAATTACCAGCACATAAAACCACATGAATACCGACTATAACTCCAAAAGCAACCCACTCATTATCATCAAACAGACACAAGAAGAAGCATGCTTCTCACAACAGCTTTTTCTCATTGCAAAAAAGACCTCTATGCCAAATGGTTCTCTTGGTTCATTGAGCGTGTTGCCTCATCAATGATACCAAAATCCCACCATGGATGTTCCATCGCTTGGATCGCAGTTATACGTTTGCTTGGGTCGTACCTCAACAACTGTCTAACCAAATCGATAAAGTAAAACCAAAATTGGAATGCTTCATAGTCCAAATCAGCCATCTTGGAAACGTTAGTTTTCCAATTGGATTCAAGGGACTCATGCATGTTGATCTTAACTTTCAATTTCAGCTTTGAACAGATCCAATGGTCCAGTCTTTTAACCTTACTAACTGCATCGATGCTCTTCTGCTCGGTTTTGGCATTTGGATAATGGAGTAGGTAAGTTGAACCCGATTTGAGGAAAAAATCTTTAACAGATTGCTTTTCAACCCGACGAACCATGTGAGATGGAATCTTCTGATCCAAGATCTTTTGCATCATCGCCAGATGTTCCAAATTCTCATGTGTGTTGAAAAGCGCTTCACCAGTGACGAGCTCAACTAGAATACATCCCAAACTCCACATATCACATGGAAAGGACCAGCCTATTCCAAGGACAATCTCAGGTGCACGATAATGACGAGTAGAAACCAATTCTGAATGATATTCATCGTCAAATACCGCGGAGCCAAAATCAATAATGTTGATCACTGGGTCTTTCAGCACGAGAAGTCTGCGATGTTTCAGCGCATCGGCAGACGCTAGAAGGATATTCTCTGGTTTGAGATCGGTATGGATCAATTTCAAGTCATGAAGAAAGGCAACAGATCTAACCAACTGTCTAGTGATTGCCTGAATCTGTGAACCTGGGAACGGTTTGAACTTGTTCGACTGGAGAAATTCGTATAAGGAGATATCAAGTAAATCTGTAATGATGCAGATGTGGTTTTCATAGTCAAGAACTTCACGAAGGTGAATACAGTGATTCAAGTTCTCAGGATCAGCCTTTTTCAACGTGGTCAAAACACGAAGTTCAATCTTTGAAGCCTCACGATATTTGGGTATTGCTCTCACTATCTTTATGGCCACTGTTTCATTGGTCTGGCAATCTAAGGCTTTGATGACTTTCCCAAAAGTCCCCTGTCCTAATATTGACAAGATCTTGAAGCGTCCGTTCGCAAAATAGTCACCAATTTCCGCAATGTAATAACCATTGTCGTCAGTGCATGATTCTCTTCTTTTCGTTGAAGATACTGGTGACAATGGAGAACATGACAACGTTGCTGCTGCACCGTTCATGTTATTGAATCCTGATGAAGTGGATGATATAGGCGATGAGCCCGTCCATTGGTTCTTAGATGAAGACGCTGATGGTACAAAGCATGGTTTGATGTCACCAATCTTGGATAGTTCAGAAACACGTCTATACGAGATCTGCGACAGAGGCAACTGTGGTAAGGAGTTTGTTCTTCTTTTCTTGACACCGACATGCGCACCGGGTGGGATTAGTTCTTGGTCCAGGTTGAACGCCTGGTTTATACTTGATTGGAAGGCATCAGGACGGAACTTAAGACGAACGCTCTCATCATCCCTATATCCGCCTGGTAAGCTCAGACCTGTGCGAGAGCCGTAATACATTGGGTCATCGCCACTCAAATCCTCATCAACAACTTCATCGCCATCATCATCGCCAAGATCGTCAATCTCAACGTCGAACGGGTTCACATCGTCGTCTTCCAAGTCACAGTCCACAGCAAACGGAGCGTCTCCGTACAACAAGATGTTGCCGTCCTTCTCATCCGTTATGTTCCCCTGCTGTGCATCTTTGAAGTCATAATTACCATCTCCGTCAGAATCGTCAACAGCCACACTGCTATCTTTCACACCACTTGTAAGAGGGTTATCCTCGCTAAAGTTATTCTGGATGATAGAGTTCCAGTCACTAAAGCTCGTACTGGGACGAGGTCTCTTTCTCGACCGTATCACAGACATATCCATTGCTTCGTTGTCCCCTTTCAAAATGGTTCAAGTTCGTGCTCGGTTAAGGGGGGGGGGTGGCGGTTTTCTGTGCCCTCCAGGTAATAAATCCAGCCTAGCGATATCTCACCTTATGTTCTTCTGCTCAATTGGAAGAATACACAGAAGAAAACCAGATGAATAGACAAATGCAAAGGGGTTGCAGATACTATGAAAATACGAAATGAACACCTCTTGATTTCGCTCTTTTGAACTTGCTATATGAACGCTGGTCCGTCTCCAATTTGTTGTGTGGGAAACCAGCCTAATTCTCCTTTCCCTTAACATGCCATAAATTTCATAGGCTGTCTTTTTTGCGATGGCGGGCCACACTGACATATCTCCCCCCTCCAGTTTATTCCTCCTGCTACTGTCTGGCTGCCTGGCTGCCTGTCTGTCTGTTCAATTTGCTGGCCCCGCAGCTAAATTACTAACGGCCGCCCTTCTAAAATAATAAACACCACACAGACAAACTTGGCTAGCCCAGACCCCCGTGCTGTCGGAGGGGGAGGGGGATGTGATTGTGTGTTTTTATTGGCTGGGCCTGCGATTCAGGTGAATGGACTCGAGGGAAGGTTGTTTGCTACGCTCCCGTTAGAAGGCGCGCTGGAAGAACAGACGGCACGTCAATTGGCAATTTTAAGCGGACAAACTACGAAAATCGCATATTCACTAGAACGAGCATTAGGGTAGTCATAGCAGAGTGTACGATTCTCATGGCTTTTGGTTTGTTTTAATTGTTGAGAACAGATGACCCATATTGGGGATGAACTACAACGACAACGTAACCAGCTATACCCAGTCCAAAGCCGTTGACACAAACCAAGGTGCCGCCATCTGCACAGTGTGTGAGATTAGTTGCGCACATGGGGCTGCGAAAGCGTAGGTAAATAATTCGTTTCTCGTTTTTGCTGGCTGATGGGAGACAAGCCGAAAGGAAAAATTTGCTTGCTGTGTCCCCTCGAGCTGGGTGGTGCCGCCTCCATCTCCTCTTTTTTCTTGTGACGTTAGCGACCCACGTTTAGCTTTTTGATTGTTGCCCTGGCAATTTAGATGTTTATTGAAGGTTCGAGGTTTTTTGTCTCTTTTTCATTCCTTTGATTAGCAAGATAGAAGTTAATCCACATTAATAATATATTAGGTAAGCATGATGTGTGTACTGAAGCCAGTATTCCCCCCTACCTTGCGTTTTCTACTGGCTCCGCATACAAAGGACATTACGGTCTGTATTTACAAGCTATGGACATTTATGAATATGAGGATAGAGGAGTATTAAACATTCTTAGTGGAGAGGTTGAGTATAACCCTACCATAGTCCCTGTGCAATGTTTGGGTCCATCTTGGGATGAACTTACCATCCCTCAAGTACTTGTATTCGTGTGCACTTGCGAAATAGACGTCATAGACGTTAGAGTCTCCATCTGAGCCTGTAGAAATAACCAGTATTTCATGGACACCTCCGTTCATCATTCTCCAGGGATATCCATACTGTGCTAATGTTTCAAAGAACCCTACAATGGACTCATTGCTCCATCTCCACTTCAACAAGGTTGATTCGGAGTTTCTATTGACCTTCGATGGCAACACTTCTCCAGTGAACGTTCCTAACGACGAGCCTTGCGAATCCAATTGTTTCAACGCAGGCGTCTCCAAGATATGCTCAGTTAATTGCTCCTTCGTCAACTTTGTAACGACTGTTTGCTTGAAAGTGTCACAGTATGCAAAGTAGGGTTCACCAGGCGCAGGCAATGACTTCTTCAACAATGGCGCAATACGGCTCTGTCCAGGAAGCTCATAAGAACGGATATTTGGGTACTGCTGTTCCAATTGACGGTGTAAGTAAAAATACCCGCCGCAGACCAGAAGACCAGAAGTGATGGAAAGACGTTTGAGAATGGCCATTCGTACCCAGTGTTTATCTTAGAGCAAAAGACTCCGCTAACAAACATGTACAGTTGTTGAGTGTTGGATAAATGGGTAGAGCGCTAAAAAACATTTCCGGTAGAAGCAGCATCACCTAAAACAGCTTTACAAGCCACAACAAACAAGGGTAGAAAGTATGCAAAAGCCACAGAAGAAAGCCACTCTTTGGAGGGAGCTACGAAGGAGGGAAAAACGTTAGAATCAAAACCACACATATACACACAACCTAAACTTCGTTACAATATCGACGTTGTATCTCGAGCTCTTGAAGTGTCTGTATCGCACTGTAGCTCCAGTACAAAGGACATCTTGTTGGCTAAAAACTAAGCAGCGCAAGATTGGTAGCGCCATTTAACACCTGCCAAATCAACGGAAGATGACGGAGGTTTCAGATTCGAGACACCAACCACAAAATCTGGTTGATAGATTACACGACGAAGGAGAAGAGACAGGGCAGCAAGCTCAACGGAAGCAACAGAGTACACAGGATAAGCCACCACTTGGACAGACTCAGTATCGTTCACAAGAAAATCAACAGCACCTGCAAGAGTCAGTAAATGGTCGTGCACCTTCACCTTCACCGTCTGATCTGAACGATGACGGAACAGAGCGTAAATACCAATGCGAGCATTGTTCGCATGTCTTTACAAGAAAGCACAACTTGAAATCGCATCTATTGACACATACCCACGAAAAGCCATTTCAGTGTCACATATGCTCATCTAAATTCCGCAGATTACATGATTTGAAGCGTCATGAGAAGTTACATACAGGTGAAAAGCCCTACGCTTGTAAGACATGTGGACGTCGCTTTGCCAGGGCAGATGCCCTTGTTCGACATACGAACTCAATGAGCGGTTGTTCTTTGACAGATGAAGAACATGACGTTGATAAACGGAAATATGAAGCCCAGTTCAAAGTTAGAGAACAACTGCCTTCGATACATAGGATAACTACTCCATTACTACGCGAGAGATCAATCGCTTTAGATGCATTGTCATCGTCATTGCCCTCAAACAAACGTCAACAGCAGCAACAACCATCACTCCCACTCCAACAGCAGCTACCACTAGCACCCCAACAACAACAACAACAGCAGCAGCAACAACAAGAACAACATCAACAGCAGCAGCAACAGCAACAACAGCAGCAGCAACAACATGATATGTTCCAACGCTCAGATGTTACACATACCTCTTCAACTGTATATCAAGGGATCAACAATAGCATCTCGTCTCTACTGATGCCTCAACAGGTCCAACAACTACCGGCACAAACACATAGTAACGCCGTAATGAATTATGTAAAGACACTGGAAATGCGTGTTTCCACATTGGAGGCTAGATTAATTGCAGCTGAGTTAAAGATTGAGGATCTCGAGAGAACACACTGACCATCTCATCCACCCCTGTATTTCACTGCCACTATTTTATTATCCTTTTACGACCCAACTTCTTATTCAGCTAACATATTATATACACATGAAAAAATCTCTTGTCATTTCGATATAGCGACTCAACTCATCATCTGCTCATATGGTTAGTGTCAATTGGATCTAGACAATCCAAGCACTTTTAGTATAAAGACCATGGAAGTAGCATGACATGGTTGGTTATTAACCCTTTGAACGTATTTCTACGAAAGACTAAAGATAAACAGCTATAAACTCCGCTTTAATAGCTGTTGATAATCCGTGGGCTGTAAAAGCAGAGAGAGAGAGAGAATTGGGATCTTGGCCAATTCCAAAAAACTGTGCCTGGAGGATGAAGTTTGAGTTGTACAATTCCCTTCTGGCAACACTAAGAACTTTTCATATTTCAACCCAGACATGGTTTCTGAAACCTCTATGATGGAGTTTTTGAACACGCTATAGCCGAATTGCAAATGATATTGATCATAAGAAACCACCCCTCGTTATTTGACGGAGGAATGGTGGTTGCCAATATTCAGTCGATGTCGGTAGTTCCAAGCTTATTGTATATACGGATAACCCCAACAAATTTCTGTACAGTATGTCTTCGTATTTCCCACTAAGAATTCAAGCATAGAGGATAATAATGACCACTGTGACACTCTCTTCTGTCTAAAGCGCTTGTACCTTATTCACCGAATTCTTGCTGTTGTTTAATGTAGTTAATGCGTATCGGACTGAGTAATGTGGCTGCTCAACAACACACAGGGTAAGTGTAAGACTTGAATATCAAACGCCCTTTCCCATACCACTCATCATATATGTGCTACATTGGACACGTACCTTTACTAAGAGTTAAAGCGACGTATTTGTAAAGGTTTGAGATGAAGAACTTCTGGTGAGACAGAACTGTGAACTTCCGCATTGGCATTGGGTCCTTTTTTACAGCATGTGTATGGGTTTATATGACTTCATTTGACGCACGAAAATCTTGGTGGTTTGCTTCCCAGTGCAAAGTGATATTTATGGTAACATCCAGTAATGTAAAAGCTTCATATGCTCACCTGTAATTTTACCAACAGACCCATTTGTTTATCATTAATTGTCATACCCATAATGTATGGTTTGTACTATTTGTTTCCCCATTCAGCATTGGAAACTCAAAGTCGCAGTGTCTCATGCACACGTTAAAACTCTAACGGCGAACCAATAACAAAATTGCAGGAGAAACTACGACTTTTGCGAAGCAAAGTCACCTGTAAAAATACAAACTATGCCTTGCAAACAGGTTGAAGAGGTTGTGGGGGTTTCATTCATCTTGTGGAATGCCAGTATATTCCAAAGGCAGCCCCGCTTATATGAATAGACAAAGACAAAAAATGTTGGCAAATTAGGCTCCGCTTTCCAGATGGAGAGTGCCGTTTCGTTCGTGAGCTTGAAATCTGGGGTAAAAACACGCTTATTCATGGCAACAACAAGGTCCAAGAAACGCTTCTTCTTATACAGACACTAAGTAATGATTACTTTGTATTCCAGGCTAAGACTTTTATACGAGAAAATTCACTCATCATTCAAGAAGTCATCGAGTCATGGACCCCTCTCGACAGCTCATCAGTTCGAAGTATATAGAGAGGTTTGTATGCCTTTCTAAACAGATGAACAACATCAATATGTTCCTTAGAATTATACAAAGACAACAAAATGGCAATGTCTGATGTTAAGAGATACATTCTATCGCGTGTACCTACTCTGTTTTGTATACCAGGGACGTCATTTCAAGCGTTGAACCCAGTTCCAGCTCTATCTGCTCTATCGAGAAATGACTGGAACTATTTCCTCATGGGTTATGCTGCTTGGACAATCGATGCTTTCGACTTCTTCTGTGTCTCAGCCTGTGCCCCAGCATTGGCCCAGGCATTAGATAGATCAGTCACTGACATCACATGGGGTATTACTCTGGTGCTAATGACTCGTGAGTACTTTGCTCACATAGACGGACAGCTTACTGACATTTTTGAAATAGGTTCCCTTGGTGCAGTTATCTTCGGCTCTCTTTCTGATACATATGGTAGAAAGCCAACTTATTTGGCAGTCATGTGTCTTTTCTGTATCATTGAAGTTGGCACTGGGTTTGTTCAAAATTATACCCAATTCTTAGTTGTCAGAGCTATGTTCGGTATATGTATGGGAGGTTGTTACACCACAGCGTCCGCTACGGCTTTGGAATCACAACCAGTGGGCTCACGTTCTGTGCTGGGTGGTATTTTCCTACCGGGTTATAACTTGGGTTATATACTTGCTGTTGCATTCTACCGTGCCTTTGAGTTCACAGAGCACGGTTGGAGAGCTTTGTTCTGGTTCTCTGCTGCCCCACCGGCGATCTTGTTCGTTTGGAGAATGTTCTTCCCAGAGCATCCTCATTTTACAGCACTGAAACGTGTACAACGTGAAAAGGCACTTTCCGAAGGTAAACATCACCAGGCCTCCTCACCATGGGCACAGTTCTTTGCAGATCTGAAGAGTGCCATGAGACATCATTGGCTAATGTTTGTTTATTTGGTGATATACATGTCTTTGATGAACTTTTCATCTCATGCTTCTCAAGATTTGATGCCGACGATGTTGCAGAACCAATTGGGATTTGAAGCGAATGACCGTACTATCATTATGGTTGTCATCAATATTGGTGCGATCTTTGGTGGTTTATGTGTTGGCACAATCTCTGAATATACGGGTAGAAGACTTGCCGTCTTCGTCTGTACGATCTGCAGTTCTGCATTGATTTATCCAGCTTTCTACACCACAGATATGGCAGGCCTGATCTGTGGTGGATTCTTCATGCAATTCTTTGTTATGGGTTGCTGGGGTGTTACGTCGGTTTACATCATGGAACTTTCTCCAAATGCTTTTAGAGCGTTATTCGGTGGTTTGGCGTACCAGCTGGGTAACTTGGCCTCATCTGCTTCCTCCACCATTGAGGCAGAAATCAGCGAAGCTTTCCCTCTATCAGATATTGGCCCTGAAGTTTACGACTACGCTCGTAGTATGGCTTTGTTCATGGTTGGTGTTAACGTTTGTTTGGTTATTTGCATTGTCAGTGGTCCGGAGAAGTTCCATAAGGATTTCAGTATCCAAGGCGAGGGACAGGAGCAGTTGCAGCGCAAGTCATGCAATGATGTTGATGAAGAGCTAGCCATTGAATATACAGAGGATCTGAAGCATACGGACAGAGTATCCTGGACTGAGAAGCACTCCATTCACCATAATGAAAAAACCTGAACAATTCTTGCTTTCTAAGGCCAGTCGCATGAATATAATGTAGTCTCAATGTCTGAAGTTAATTGATATTAATTATAGTCATACAGGTGTGTTATAGTATAAGTTATTAAGTATTATTTGATTGGATGCACAATGGACTTCTTCCAGATTTCTTTCAAGGCATCGTTGAATACTTCAATGTTATAGTCAACAATGGCCATAGCACTGTCAACATCTGCATCCTTAATCAAAGTTACCAAAGCCAGTCCTCTAATCATTTTATGGAAAGTCAAAATGTAACCATTTTGCAAAACACTTGAACATTTGAGGTTTGATGTGTCGTTCTCGTACAAATCGTTCAAATCCACGGTCACGTCTATAAACTCTGCACAAACTTCATAAGTTTGAATGTCCACAGGAGAAGAGTCTGTTGCAACGTAGATCTTCGAATTGACATCAAACAAGAATGCCTTTTCAATTCTTGAGTGCTGCACCAAGTTATCCAATAAGTTTTCCAAACTTGGTAGTTCGTGCACTAATTTTTGAATGACCCTTGAGAACGCTTCATAAATACTGTGATCGAAGATACTCGTTAAGTGGAAACTCACCTGTACACCTTCAATCCCCAAGTCTAATAGCTCATCACCAATTCGTTGCATTATATCTCTCTGTGTATCCAATCTAAAATCTTCACTCAGGCCATCCACTTTATGTATTAGCACCTCGATATGAATGTCTGGATTGACCTTGTATGCATATTCGATGATCATGGCAAGATTTGTCAGTGCATTGAGGTACTCGTCTTGAGCATCAATGACGTAAACAAGTGCACCAACTGATTTGAATAGCTTCTCACTATCATAGGAGGGCTCGAAATAGTTGAGCTGTCCTGGAAGTTCCATAACTGCCAAGTCGATAAGTGAGGAATAATGCTCCGTTGTTGGCTTAGACGTAGACTCAAGATATAAAGTATCCAGAGGCTGCATATTATGGAACACAACTTTACAAATGGATGATTTACCACCTCTTTACGATTCCTCCATGTTAGTATAATCTGTTCCTATGATCACAATGGTCTCTATGTAAAGGCGTACTAACCTTCGAAGCCCCATAAGCAGAACTGTTGCTCTTTCAGGATCATCATCGGGCTCGCTTAACAGCACAGGTTGATCAAACGATGCCATCTTTAGATCCTTTCCTGTATAAATAACTCGGTCGAGAGACAGAGAACCCAAAGAAATGGGAGACAGAAAGAGAGATAAAGGACCAAAAAATTACAGTCCACGACCTCCCCTGGGCACAATAATTCCGATATTACGTAACCAACGAATTCCGACAATTGAAAATTTCCACTTTCGATGTGAGCGATGAGCTTTTTTTTGTTCATTCTTTAGTAAGAAATAAAGACTCTTGCTCAGGTTGAGAAGGTTGTTGTGACATGTCACAGGATTCGTTTGATCAGAAGAAGGCTTGGATTTTACAGGATATCGCACACACTCTTTCAGGAGCCAAGGATGCATCGCCAAAGGGCTCCATAGATGAGCTGTGCCTTCCAATAATGGACACGATCAATGCTCATGACGATATGGTCACAACATCGTCGTGTTCAGGTAGAGTTAGTGTTTTCTTAGAAGGACACAAGCTGAAGGAGGATCATGTCAAAGTTGGCGCCAAGGGTGATGGTGGCCGTTGGCTATATGTTACTCACGACAAGGACACATTGAACGGTTGGTACAGACAGCCGATATTCCACTACAATCATGTTGATGCTAGTACCCTTGACGAAAAAGTGAGGTATGTTTTGTTCAAATTCGAACCTTTGATTTTGCACGTCAAATGCCGTGATTTTGACACCGCTAGTGCGTTGTATACCACTGCGATGAACTGTGGCTTCAGAGAGAGTGGCATTAACGTACACAACATTGTCGCGATAAAGATCTCGATGAAGTTAGACATCCCAATTGGTTATCTCGACGAAGCGACCGATAAAGTCGTGCTGTTTGTTGATGAGAACTACCTGGAAATTGTGACACAAGGCTCCCTGACAAGATTTAGAGAAAACGAGCGTAAACTGTTACAGTTACACGATGCAATTACAGCACTGGTCCAGTCCAGCTCCAACAAACAGTCGAAAGACCGTGAAACGTTTGAAGAGAGAAGGGAGAGAAAGAAGAGAGAAGGGCTGGAAAGACAGAAACAGATACAAGTAGAAAGAGTTGTCGAGGAGATGAGAGAAGCAATAGAAGAGGACATACTGGAGGATCTAAACCAGTTCTAGAGACACAGTCTAATCATCAAACACCAGCTGTGCACCTCTGGTATTGTGTGGCCACAGCCCTTGACACGCTCCTGAAACATTACAATATAACTTTCAACTTATTAGATGCGGTGTTTGTTAACCGGCTAAATTCAAACTAGTAGAAGATATGCATCGTCGGTAAAATCGCACATATGAACAAGTAGACGGACGATATCAGCGGCCATGTCTTTTGCTACCAGGTAAATCCGTGGCAGCTCTTCGCCTTTAAAAGATATAATCTTCATTCGATCGACCCACAAACTCCTCCAAATGACCGCATCCTTCCTGCCTTTGGTGATCTCGTCTCTGGTGACTGTGTGACTCTCTAGAGCTGACTGTACGGATAGATAAATGCAGTTGGACTTCAGTTTAGGCAAGCAGACGATCCCCAAGCCGACAAAGAGCGAGTTGTAACCCTCTCAAAGGGGAGGAAGGCTACTAAAGCCGGCCCTTTCGACGCGGGAATATGTGCGTGTGTATTACGTACGTGCTACTGTTGCAGCTTCTCCGAACAAACGCGCTATAAAAACAGGTAAGCGCTATAAAAACAGGTAAGCGCTACGGAAATGACGGGAATATGAACGGTTCGAGACTTGCAAATTGCTGCACGAAGTTATACATCTTAACACACACTTATTGGTGTAATGACTACATCGGTGGCCAGAGAGAAAGAGAGAGAGAGAGAGGTGGAAAGAGAGAGGTGGAAAAAAACCTGGAAAGTTTTCGAATTTTGTAATACAAACGTACTGATTCATTCAAACTGCATTTCAAGTGTATCGGTAGTGCGGTATCATAGAACTGAAGAGATGGATACCATTAACGCGTGGGCGGAAAAACTGGAGGGAATTCCGGGCTATGACATGGCGGTGGACTGGATCAACGACAAAGCTGGTGAGAACTACCAGACCAAGGACCCGTACTATGTTGAAATACACGGGAAAAAGAAGAGAAGAAAGGCCCCAGAGACTTGTACTCCTGAAGAACAGAAGGCTTGGAAACAAGTGAAGAAACGTGCATGGTTGGACGATCGAAACTTCTTCGGATGTTATCCAGTGGACCTTGGGTTGGGACTAGCTCCTCTAATGGCCCTGGTGCCCGTGATTGGGCCTTTGCTCATGTTTGCCATACACGGTAGGCTGATCAACATTGCGGATCAAAAGTTCAACAAGCTGCCTGTGGAGTTGATTGCGAAGATGCACGCCAATATACTCTTCGATTTGCTCATATCACTGCCTCCGATATTGGGGAGCCTGTTCGCCTGGATGAACGCATGCTCCACTAGAAACGCTGCGTTGATACATACATGGCTCGTCAAGAAGGAGATGAAGAAGCAAGAAGAGTCAAGGAGACAAGAAGAAGAGGACAAGAGAATATATGAGCAGAGATTAACTAACAACAGGACAAGAACAAACAATAGCATACCGGTGTCGCAACATGACCCGTTCAAAACACCACAGCGTCAGTACGCAGATAACAACTCGATGGACAGACACTCCAACAACACAGCGTCATCAAGAAAGCAGAGTCAACATGACGTTCTGCAACGGCCACAACCAGCTTATGAACCAGATGTGGTAAGGGGGAGACAGATGTAGCTGTAATAGTATGTAGTGAAAACAGCGTCTAATGTACGATGATAACATTCAAGATTCACATAGGATTTTACATGGGGATTTATGATGATTCAAGAGGTCAAAAAACATAAAACATTGTCATAAAAGTTACACTATTCTTAACGTAACTGTGTGAATGCATCCAGCAAGACAGATTGAGGCCCCGACTCGTTCTTATTCTTATCGAACACGTTCCAGAATCGAAGGGTTTCATCACCAGATCCGGTAACAATGGTCTGACCGTCAGGACTGAGCGATAAGTAGAGGACTCGGTAAGTATGTCCCGTTAGAGATGCCACCTGTGACATCTGTGGGTACTTCCAAATCATCACTTGGTTTCTGGAATATCCATGAGTAGACACTAGTTCCACAGAATTTATTGACCAGCACAAATTGCAAACTTGGGATCCAGTGTCGATGTCACTCAACTTGTTACCGTTGAGAGTGTTCCAAATCTTTATACGACGATCCGTAGTGCCACCTCCAGATGCCAAAATACCCCTCTGATGTGGTGACCAACTAATTGCCTTTATGGCAGCGTTGTGCTCAAACCTATGTAACGGAGTATCATTCAAACCATCCCATACGTACAACTTGTTATCGTTACCACCAGATGCCAACTTGTTTTCTTCAACGTTCCACTTCAACCCGCACACTTCTTGTTTGTGATGGGTAAGCTTCTTCATATAGTGTTCCGGCTGTCTGACATCTCTGTGTAATATCGTTTTATCTTTGGAGCCCGATGTTAAAATATGCTCATTCCATGCCAGTGAAGACGCACGTTGAGTATGACCAGTCATTGTCCTCGTACACTTAGACGTCTGTGCATCCCATATTTGGACTAACCCCGTGTTTGTTCCAACAGCCAAGTGTGTACCCGTTCCGATCCACGATAAGCTTGTGATTTTATCACTATCTCCCAAGTCACAGAGCTTGTCCACCGAACCTGATGATGCATTCCACAGATAGACAGATGAGCCAAGCCCTACACCTAGGACGTCTTGAGAACCCCAGTCGAGAAGGTTCAAGTAGAAATCATCAACAAGTTCCGGCGCATCGAGCACACGGTAGGGCACTTTAGCAATAGATCTGGGCTTCTTTGTGGGCGAGAGGAGTAGCCTTTGCGAGTCAACCCGTACAGGCGACAAAGAATATATATCATTTTCAATGGAGGTGGAAGTTGGTCTGCTTCTGTTTGGCGACTGGTACGAGAAGAAGTTGGTAGCCTGTCTTGGGGTTCTCTCTGATGCGGATGTCGAACCGTTATCTGACGATGACCTCGGTGGTGTTATCTGATCCGTCGGCTTATTTGAAGTTCCAGCCAGGTTTATATTGTCCCCAAAGAGCTCATTCTTAAGCACCGTCGAGAAAGTTCTGTTGGCTTCTTGTTCTTTCCGTTGATCGAGATCCATGGCCTCATTGTTATTTGAGGGACAGGCAGACAGGTCGTCTGTTTGGCTTAGACTGAAGGCTGCTTGCAAGTCAACGCCACTTCTGCTGGGGATGTATCTATCACTATAGACAACTTTCTTCCTTCTAGGCGATTGCATTCCGAAGCTAGCCATTGACGTTGACCGTGAAGGTGATGACGGCGTGAGAAAGTTCTTATCTGATTGATCCATCTCTGCTATAGTACAGCTCACTTGTCTCGAATGTGCCGGCTCTGCGCCTCCAAATATGCGTATAAAACAAGTCGGTTGTGGTGTATGCGTTACCCGTCTAGGAAATGATGAGATAGCACACAAACAACAAGAAGAGAATGAGGTTCAAAGGGAATGTGGATAGGGAATGAATACGATAGCAGGGTCTCTGAGTCTGTAATAATGTACAGCCAATTGTCCTCAACAGAATTGTATTTTAAAAAAAAGCGTATACTTCTGAAGCGAGAATTCGCAAAGATGACACAGAAATGTTTCAATTGGTGAAGGCGACCGTTATTGTGTATATGCCCCTGTTGCTGGAGTTTTGATGTTGTTCAAATGGGAATTGACGAAAAATTGCGGAAATTTTTTCGGTTTCTGTGGTTGCAATACGCCAAAGGTTCAACGGGGGTCATGTGAGACACCACGTGACCAGTTTCTTCGAGGTACCATGAGATGTTATGAATTTGGATGGGTTAAACCATAGAGTTCAAGGGTTAATAACTAGTGAGTCTATACAATATTATTGGCACCTCAAGCCATCTACGGAGTGTTCAATTGGTGCAATTTCAACTAATGAAGAAAACTAAAAACAGGAACTGAACAAGAGAAAGCTGCTGACCCTCTACTGTTGTTCAAATTGTTTCATCTTCAAGTTCACAATGTCGACTTTGTCCTTTGCTGTTTGAGCCTTATCAGTTCTAGTCCCAACTCTGATATCACTTTGGATTCTGAGAATGCCTTGATCGTGCAAAGTTTGGTGCAATTGGCCAATGAGATTCATCACGTCGTCCCACTCACCTTCGATGGTGGTACCGGCGGAGTGTAGAGTGTGCTTCAATCCAGAGTTTTTGATGACGAGCTCGATCTTAGCAACCTCATCCGACACAGAAGGTGTTGCAGTGCCAATCTGTAAGATATTTGTTAGTAATCATAGACGCTAAGCAGGACTTTGGTAATGAGTAAGAGAAATACTCACAGGAACAAGGCACAAATCTGCGAGACAGTGAATATTGATAGGCTTGCGTTGGAATGTAGACATCACTCTAGTACTTCTTGTGATTGTTGGAAAGATCGATTTCAACATTTACGAACCGTCTCTCTCTCTCTCCTGAAATGTAGATGGAAAGTGTCTTAGGGAAAGTCATCATATTGGCAACGGGATTCAATGCCAGATATCGGCATAAAGTCGTGCACCTATCAACTTCAAACTACAATATGCATGTACCTTTGTATAAACTTATTTTTATAGATACATAGTCTGTTCTAATGAGTTCTTCTCTTCTTTGCCCTGTCCCAGGCCGACTTTGGTTTTGATCTCTTCGTGGAGGTTTCCACATCGTCTCTCTTGTTGTTGAAAATACCCCAGTCTTCACCGAAGAATGTATCAGCTTGTCTTCTCTTCTGCATTTGTTTATCCTTTTTACTCTTGGTGGTTGATAATCTTGTGAAGTTCGACTCCTCGAATCTCTTGATCTCCTCTTCCTTTTGACGGTCTCTCAAAGTCTTAACACCACCTCTACCATGATCAACAATCGTGGAACCAATAGAAGCCTCAACCATAGGTGCTTCTCCTGTTTCCATGAGATATTCCTCCATAGATTGAAGTTTGCTAGAGTTCTTGGAGCTCTTTGTATGAGACTCACGAAACTCTTGTGGTGGCAAAGCTGCTGCGATCTTTGGTGGTTTGTACTTCTCAGCTTTGCCTTCAGCAGTCGTAGAACGTTGAACGGCATTCTTCTTGTCAGCCTTTGTGGAAGCCAAAAGAGCACTCGGATCAGGTTTATAGTTGAGCTCATCCTCTTCACTGTCCTCATCTTCGTCTTGCTCACTTTCCTCTCCATCCATTGCCTCTTTATCGCCTTTGATTTTCTTATTGATGGCATCTTCAGTGAACTCCTGTTCCATTTTATTGTAACTTCTAACCATCTTATCTAACTGGTATTGCAGTTTTTTCTCTAAACCTTTGATACCTCTTTCCATGGTCACCCTTTGCACTATTGATCCTCTCACAGCCTTATCCTTCAACTCATCGATTTTACTGACATCGTTCGTCTTTGTCGCTTCAATTCTTGCAAGTATTATCAATACAATGTCGTTGATGTATGACAGCATGGCATTATTCTTCAAATCCAGCAGTGATACACCTTCAGGTAGAGACTGGCCTGTACGTTGCAATAGGTCATTAACAAGGTCAGGAAGTTCTGGCGCTTTCGAGATTGAGCTGAGATCTTTCAGAGCATCATTAGTAGCATTTGCAGAAGCTACTATAGATCTCAATAAGTTATTTAATGACTGACTCATGTTAAGCGATACCTATCATTCCAATACAATTTATATATGTCTCTTCTCATATGCACCGTGAAATTTTTTTTGCTGTTCTTTCGATGTCTCGGGGCGTGAAAAGGTGTGCGATGAGCTCAATAACACTGACTTCCATAAAAACCAGTTATATAGATCGCACTTCGTGTCTTGAAAACGGTGGGAAGATGATAGAGATGGTGTTAATAGAAACTCTTACACATATTAAGACTTCAAATACACATTGAAACATATGCTATACTCAAAGGTAAACCACTCCATCCATAACGCAATGATTACCCTACCCTTGAACGAATCGGTAGACACAGCAGGGCATCACTTCTAAAAATTTTTTCTCCCTACAAAGTCTCTTCTTTTGGCAGATAAAGTCTCCTTTTATAGTGGGACAACAACGACTTACGTACAGTTAACAATATGGTAAGCCAATCAATCCTATAGTATATGCTCGAAGAACTGTTGAAACTAATATTCTTATCCTAGCCTCAAAACGAATACATCGAACAACATATCAAACAACATGGTCGTCGTTTGGATTACGAAGAGAGAAAGAGAAAGAGAATTGCCAGAGAGGGACATAAGATTGCCAAAGATGCTCAGACACTGAAAGGTTGGAAGGGTAAGCAGTTTGCTAAGAAGCGTTATGCTGAGAAGGTTGCCATGAAGAAGAAGATCAAAGCCCATGAGGAGTCTAAAGTCAAGGGACCATCTAAACCTGTTGAGGACGATGGAGAGGCGCTGCCAACGTATTTGCTTGATCGTCAACAGACCAACACTGCCAAGGCCATCTCCTCTTCCATCAAGCAAAAGAGAATGGAGAAAGCTGATAAATTCTCTGTTCCTTTGCCAAAGGTGCGTGGTATCAGTGAGGAGGAAATGTTCAAAGTTGTCAAGACCGGTAAGTCTAAGTCTAAGGCATGGAAGAGAATGATTACAAAGCACACGTTTGTCGGTGAAGGTTTCACCAGAAGACCTGTTAAGATGGAAAGAATCATCAGACCATCGGCTCTTAGACAAAAGAAGGCAAACGTTACACATCCAGAACTGGGTGTTACTGTGTTCTTACCTATTCTCAGTGTTAAGAAGAACCCGCAGAGTCCAATGTACACCCAACTCGGTGTTCTTACAAAGGGTACTATCATTGAAGTGAACGTAAGTGAGCTGGGTATGGTCACTGCAGGTGGTAAAGTTGTTTGGGGTAAATATGCCCAAATCACGAACGAACCTGACAGGGACGGGTGTGTGAATGCAGTCTTGCTCGTGTAAAATTGACATGATGATGATATTGCTTTGCTTTTTTTAAAGTACCCCCTCTTATTCCTCTTCTTCACCTCCACAGTATCGTGTGGTTTCAGTCGTATGTGTTGTCGTTGTGTACTGTTGTTTTTTGGTTTTTGGGTTTTATTCTTTTGCATTATACAGCAGGCTCGGATCAATTTTATAGGGCCTGCGTGGTACATTTCAACTTTCTAATATAGTACGTAATTTGGTTTTCGACTCGAGGATCTTCACGGTTACGGACATGGTAACTCATTAGATGTAGTAGGTTTAAACGAGTAATTGTGCATTGTGTACAATAAGGGAAACGCCAATACCCTCCCCCTCCACACAAGTGATGTCTAATTATGTGCGGGAAGACGGCTAAGGCTGTTCTGCAAGTGGTCAGTATCACCACTCTTGACGTGATGCCATAAATGTCTAACCACCACTTCATTACGCGACCAGTGTGATTATACACAACGAACCTGGAGATAATTCCTTGGTATGAAAGAAAAACCACACACGACCACACGAGTCGTGTCAATGTGGAGGACCCCGTGTGCCTATGCGATGGTCAGAGAGTGCACACCATCTACTCTGTAGTGGAAAAAGGATAACAACACACCGTGCATATGAGACGACTTCAAGCACTCTCAAGCATGCTGATGTCTTAGGCATAGTTGTAGAGTATTCCCATTCTACAAAGAAATTGAAATAGCATGGGCTCTTCATCCTTGACGCCAACTCCTTTGGGAATAGCACTCTCTCATCGTAGACGTCATCAAGGCGTGGCTGAAACCCCATACTGAGGCCCGAACCACACAGTGGACATTTAAAAAGTTATCGGCCACCGGACGGCCACTGGAGAGGTTCCATGCCATCCCATGCCATCCCAACCAATCCGATACATTACAAATCTCTCCCAATCCTGAGCCAAGCCAAACAGGTTGAGCCCATAGGCAGAAGATTCATCGACGGTGCGCCACTCTGCCCTTGCTGTATAATAAACGTCGGGCACTGCGAGTACATACGGTAACGCCCAAGAAAAATTTGGCAGAGAAGGAAGCAAAGCTGTACGGCGACCTGAGCAGGAATCAGAAGCGCGGTTAAAGAAGCCCGAAAAAATAGCAGACCATTTGCAAAAACAAGCACCACCCGGAAGCGCCAAAGCGAAACGAGAAGCTGGTTCGATACGAGGAAGCGAAGCGAAAGCCAAGGAAGAACACGTAGAATAAATATGGCGGAAGTGAAGCAAGAGATGGAGGCTTCTGCCACGGATACCAGTGCTAGTGCTACAGACAGTACACCTATCAACACAGGCTCTGCAGAAATGACGAAGGAGGTATCCATGCAATCTACGACGGAAACACTGGCGGCAGAGCTATCCAGCAACGACTCTGATACCAGGGCGGGAGGCTCCAGTGGAGGCAAGAAGAGGAAGAAACGGCCAACCGGTGTGTTCAAATGCGACCACGAAGGATGCGACAAAGCCTTTACCAGAGCGGAACATCTATCACGGCATAAGCTAAACCACAACCCAACGGTCATTTACAAGTGTCCATGGGACAACTGTTCGAAATCCTTTGTGAGAAGTGATCTACGTGAACGGCATGTCAAAAGACATGAGCTGAGAAAGATGAAGGATGAGGCGAAAGCGGTATCTGCAGCGCTAAACGGTACGAAGAGACGCAGAGTTAAGAAAGTTGTAGAACGGCCTGTTTCATCACAACCAATGACACCAGATCCATCGATCACATCTATTCAAGGACATGTACCGATATCGGTTCCCCATGTGAACGGTCATAATACAAATACAGCCACAATGGATAATGGACTTGGTGCGAACAAGAAACCTCTGATCAACTCTCTTGATTCCATCATCCTGCCAAATATGGATGATCAAAGCCCAATAAGTTTGCACAGGTATGATCATAACACGGCTCATGTGAGTGCAGCAAGGGATGAGGCAAATGCACTACAGCACGATCTATCAAAGACGGCCCCGGACTCCTTCATAAATCATCCACAGTTGCTTCCGAGACACAATCACCAACCCTTGGTACCACAATCGGCACCTAGTCCTGCCAGACTGATCAACTGGTTCTTCGATGAACACACCGTTGCTGATACAAATTTGGCAGATTCAGTTCCACACATGTCGCACGGTAACTTTTTCAACCCGGAGGATGATCCATTTGGGTTGTCATCTGATCTCATGAATGACATCCTTGTAATGCCACCAAACTTCCCATCTCCTACTCAACAGACAGATATTACCAAGGATATCACCAAAAAAATTGTGCAAATGATACCAGAACTCGCTGGTCATGAGCATTTATCTCAGATACATGAATTCTTGGAGTCGTATTGGGCTTGTTTTCATACACAGTTCCCAATATTGCACAAGCCATCCTTCAATACCCATACTTGTCCAACAATCTTGCTTCTCAGCATGATCATGATTGGAGCAAGCTACTATACATCACATCCGTCAAGAAGACTAATCACCAACCCAAGGACCTTTGGGGATTTGATTGCAACACCATTGAGAAACATTATCTTTTCTAGTCACGAATTTCAACCTCCTGCACCGGTTTGGATAATTCAGAGCTTACTGATGCTCGAACATTATGAAAGGTTCACCACAAACAGAGTTCTCCATGAGAGAGCCTTTGTACATCATGGAACCACGATCCAATTGCTAAGGAGATCTCCTGGATTTGGAGGCAATCCATTGAATAACAAGACAGAATATGAAAAGAATCAAGGCTTGACCATTTGGGAGAAATGGATCGAATATGAACAATTGAAGAGAACTGCGCTCTATGCTTTTTATATTGACTCGTCCCATTCAATGGTTTTCGGTTATCAATTGATGCTCTCAACGCATCAGATCCAAATGAGATTACCTTGTGATGAAGAACTCTGGGAATCGTACCTAACACCAAAAGAGATACCTTCCAAGAGCGAGCAGTTACCATTCACATCTGCTCTGAAGAAACTTATCAACAGAGAATACGTCCAAACTAGTCGTTTCGGTAAGAAGTTGTTACTTTCAGGATTACTCTCCATAATGTTCCAGATGCAGCAACGTGCCATCCAAGGAACACTCTTGGAGATGGAGGATATCAGGGATACATGGCAAGAGTCATTATCATTTGCATTCGATTATTGGAATTGTGAGATTATGAACGGATGTTGTTCCTCTTCATGTATTTATTGGAAGGACCCAGACCAATCTCAATTACCGCTGTCATTACGTCAAGATGATACAAGGTGTAAATTTCCAGTATATCACATGGCGCAGATAACGTTGCGGATTCAGCACTATGATTATTATATTTATTCTGGAGCACCCTGGAGAATGAACGTTGAAGCAGAGGCATCGGATTATGAGCTTGTGGAGAAGAAGATCAAGGAATGGTCATCATCTCACAGTGGACGTGTTTCTGTTGTCTACGCCTATATGTTTCTCTTTGAAGTGTTTTTATCTCCACAGGACTGTTCTACGCCATATGAGTACAAGTTTCACAGTGATGACGATGCAATTCATGAACGACTCAACGTGTTGGCACTTGTCGTGATTCTAATCTGGGCCTACAACTATTCAGTGGAAGGTCCCGAGAGTAAAATCCTCTTGTATAATCCATCGGCAACTAACCTCGTGTGTAAAGAGACCGGCATTGAGTATCTGAGAAGAATTCGGAATGATATGAGTCAACTTGTTGGTGCCAAGGTGCACCTTTCCACACCGAGGGAGACACTAAAGTATCACAATACTATGATTGAAATAGCTACAAAGTTGACACGAATTCAGAACAAGCATCATATGACTGGTCTTTTACTGATGATTTCGAAATTATTCGAGGAGAACTACTGGGAAGTTGGTGGTGAATTCTCCAGGCTGGTGAAGAACTGCTTTAAGCGAAGCTTTGGTAGTCCAAAAATCCGTTGTGATGACATGTACATAAGCTCTGCCCATAGAGCTTGATGGAAGAGTTGGTACAATTTCTCTTGTGTTTAATCAATAAAATGAAGTTTACGATTAGTCCTGCCTGTATTATAGCTGCTCGGGATAGCGAGGATGTCCAGTCAAACACCTAAAACCATATCTTCAATAATAGAACTCTGTTATGTCGTTTACTTTTATGACTACGCAAGTACTGATGTAGAATAGACTCAGCGAAGGCTATAACTCCAGAGCCAACGTCATACGTGTATGTGAGTACATGAGGAGGAATGTACCAGCGGGTAGAGGTGGGATCAGTGTGACTGATCGGACGTATATCGATTACCGGACAATTACCGAATTACCATGTCTTTTAGCGCCAAAACTACTAATTCTGTTGTGTATTTACCAAGGGAAATACTCTTGCCTGCTTAAGAGTACCTAAAGGGATCCAGCTGGTTCTTTAAAGAACACAGACTAAATTCCAGTGAATACCTTATAGGATTCGTGAACAGCCAATCAAAGAAACCCTGACAGCTCAAAAGTGAGAAACACGGAGTATAAACACACATTCTAAGAGTTGCAACTTAGCACCCGAACTTCGAACGCATTAAAAAGGGAACCGTCGTTGCACATCGTTTCATACAGCAAGGACAAACGGCCAGGACAAACGGCTTCTCGGGTACATCAAGGCCAAAAACAAGAAGCAGCAGCAACGGCAACAACAACAGCAACAACTACAACAACGATACAGGAAGCAGTAGTAGCGACAAGTGGCTCTGTTTAAGCAATTCCACTGCAACGGTCTCTCCGTTGTCAAAGACAAGAAAATCTGGGGAAGGAATAGCCAAAAGTGCTCCAACCCCATCGGGTAAAAACGGCGTTAATTTGCACGAAACGATGAGGGGAAAGCTGGGGAAAAATAGCAGAAGTCGCAGATGGCCATAAAGCACAAGCCCAAACCCCCAAAAAGAAAAGACCACTTAGCGGGCACCGTGAGATGACAGGCCTGAAATTTCTAAAGGGAAAATCCATAGCGGTGCCCGTTGTCCGATGTTAGAGTCTGCAGCATGCGTAGCCAAATGAAGTGCAATCCGCTTTGTTGACAAAACAGGACCCACTCACCGCCGAGTAAAAACCCAGAAACGATCATCCAGAGATCGTTTCTTTTCCCTCCCCGTTTATGGTTTTTATGCTCCTCCATATCTATACACTTTCTGTGTATTTTCTTTTTTTGTTCTCTCCGTCGGAATATATATAAAAGGCACTTGTCCTTGTCTTCTGCCTATTTTTGTTTTGTTCTCACGACGCCCCCATTCTGTTTTCTTGTTCAATACACAGAACGTATACATATATACACTTTATACAGAGTGCTCATTAACAGGCTCCTCTCTGTTTGCTACACCATCAACAACAACAAACAGGCGGGTTTATCCACTCTGGATTTTAATTCTACCTCACCAATACACAACCACCTTGGAGCCCTCTTCACCAAAGGGTCTTTGTTTTATTGTCTGACCTACTCCCGAGCTGCCATTGGGCAACCGCCGTGCCCTCGCCAATCCAGAAACAAAGAGAAGAAAGCATCACCGAGATCTGATCCGGTAGGGAACGCAAGCGCATAACCAGACGACATATAACGCATACGCAGCGAGGGAAACTTGTACAAATTTTCTATAAAGTTTTATTCCTTGTTTTTTTTTTTGCTTCCCTGGCTTCTACTGTGCTGTTCCATTTTGTCCTAATTGGAAGGGAAACCCACTGGAGGTTTTGTTCAACATAGTTTTGTCCTTTGCATGGTTATTATTCGGTGTCTCTAGAGCAATACACCACCATGGAGTTACCAAGTTCGAGCTCAGAGCACAAGAAGCAGCAGCTGGAGATCTTCCGCAAGTATGCTCGTTACGATGAGGAAAAGCACCAGTTGGTTCTGGAGTACGACTCTTTCATAAAGCTGCTGTCGAGCTCTACAAAGCTGTATTCGAAATTTACAGACCATGAGCATAACTATAACAGGGTATCACCAGAGACGTTTGGAGTGATCTTTTTAGCCGTGGATGAGAACAATAAAGGTTATCTCAGCGTTAGTGATTGGTTCTATTTCAACAACTTGCTGAAGAACAAGAACTACCAGTATGCGGTCCTCTACGAATTTTTGCGTAAATTTGACTCTCACAACAATGGTAAGGCTATAAACTTCAACGATAAGTTTGTCAGCTTTGACGATTTGGTTCTCTCTCTCCCAGATTTGCAGGGTACCATTGCTAAAGTACAGGATTACACGGATAATGCGTTCTTCAAGAAGAATGGGTTGAATTTGAACTGGGGTGATCTTTCTTGGCTAAAATTTTATGCACAAGGTCCTCCAAGAACCCAAAAGAACCTTCCAACTGATGAACAGTACATCAGTCTGAACTCTATAGCGTCAATTCTTCAAACTGATTTACCGAATGAGAGAATTCAGAATGGGTTCTCACATTTGTCCACGGAAAACCCACTAACTGGAAAACTCGAGTTGTCAAAGAACCAACTCGTTTACCTCTTGAAAAATACTTATAGCCATAAGATTTCAAACCAAGTGTTTGATTCGTTGAATTTAACGAATGCAAAATTGATCAAGTCGACCAACAACTCTATCAGCTATACCGTCTTGAAAGATTTGCAATATTTATTTGAACATTTTGATCTGATCAATCAAATTCTCTTAAAGTTTTACCATGTCTCCAAGGAGAGTTCACCAGGTGCTAACTTGGTGATTACCAAGGAAGATTTTGTGAACTTCATTGATTATGAATATCACAAGGTTAATAATATTACATCATTCTCACCTTCACAGATCAATCTCTTGTTTTCCATCGTGGCAAACTACAAGACAAATACGTTAGAGACACAGAAGAAGGTTCAACAGTTGATGGATGAAGGAATGACTCAAAAACAAGCCGTCGATACCTGCAAACGTGAAGAACAGTACGACAACTTTATGAGACATTACGATGAACTTGCTGGCGACGATTCCACGACGTATCTCTTGGAGAAGAACGAAGTGTCTAAGACTTTGAACATCCAAGATTTTCTCAGAATCACAAATCCTAATTACTTGAACGATATTATCCACGAAGCTGAGGTTACCAGATTACCGCAGGTGAACTCGAACTGGTATTTTTATCCAGTGTTTGATTCCATTTACAACTTTACTCTTGGTTCTGTTGCCGGTGCGATTGGTGCCACTATTGTCTACCCCATCGATCTAGTGAAAACCCGTATGCAAGCCCAAAGAGTTCTGATTTACAAGAACTCCTTGGACTGTGCTGTAAAGGTTTTGAGAAGCGAAGGACTCCGTGGTTTGTACTCCGGTCTTGGTCCTCAATTGATCGGTGTTGCACCGGAGAAGGCTATCAAGCTGACCGTTAATGACTTGGCACGGTCTTATTTTACAAATAAAATCAGTAAAAAGATCACTTGGTACTACGAGGTTGTTTCTGGTGCATGTGCAGGTGCTTGTCAAGTTATCTTCACAAATCCGTTGGAGATTGTGAAAATTCGTCTCCAAGTCCAAGGTAATTATGATGTTTCTGAGAGAATGAGTGCTATGGGTATCATCCGGAAATTGGGTATTACAGGGTTATACAAAGGTGTTGGGGCCTGTTTATTGCGTGATGTCCCTTTCAGTGCTATTTACTTTCCAACTTATGCACACATAAAGAAGGATATCTTCAACTATGACCCGTCAGACAAAAAACGCAGACATAAGCTCAAGACATGGGAATTGTTGGTTAGTGGTGGTTTGGCCGGTATGCCTGCTGCATTCCTTACAACTCCTTGTGATGTTATCAAAACCCGATTACAGATTGACCCAAAGAAGGGTGAAACTCACTACAATGGTATTTTCCATGCTTTCAAGACCATTTTGAGAGAGGAGAGTGCAAGATCGTTCTTCAAGGGTGGTGGTGCAAGAGTTCTCAGATCCTCTCCACAGTTCGGTTTCACTTTGGCAGCTTACGAAATCTTCCAAACTTTGTTCCCACTTCACGGTGATGGTTTGAATAACATTGAAAAAACCCCCAAATCACCTGCAACACTAGCGACTCAAACCTTAGGAGGGCAATCTCCAGTACCAAGTGGTCAAACTGTTGTTCCAACAGGTCCACCTGCAGATACCAAATCTAGCAAGATCTTGAATGATAGCATGAAGAACAGATTTTTCTTGAACTACTACTTCAAAAGTTGTGAAATCTCAAAGACATTCATAGATTTGGATCCTAACTTTAAGGACTTCAACGCTGATGTCTATCAAAAGTTTTACAAGGACTTGAAATCACCTAAAAATTGATTGCAGAATGGCTGGGGATTATGAGAAAGATACACACGTCCTATGGCTTCACGAATTTATGACTTATACTAACATACAAGTGCATTGCTACTACTTATATTTATTTCGTCATTTTTTTTATCTGTATGTATTTATATTTCAGCTGCACATATGAATCTCATCTACAATATAATAGTTATTAATTTTCACGTCATGTTGAAGCTGATGTAGTTATTTACTCTTTCTCTTCATGAGCGAGATACTTCAAAAAGACACCTTGATCTAGGGTATAACGGGCGTCATTAACGCATTTATTCAGTTCTTCATTCTTGAACAACCATCTTTTGTCGTGCAACGCAGAGTATAGTCTCTCGTATGCCATACGTTTTTTCATAACTCTTGCCTCTTCCTTGTTCTTAATCCGTTCCTGGGTAGATGGGAAATCAAATTGGCCAAACCCAGGCGGACTATCAACTTTGTCCCAAAGATCCCTGTGTCGTGAGACCATCTTCACGACTTCAAAAGGCAAAGCATCATTATTATCATTCCATTTAGGGCCAACATTTGCGGTTTTAATATCACCCATAGATCTGTAAAAGTTATCACAATCTTGACAGGTTGTGCCGTGAATACAGCGTCGTTTTGCGCCTCGCACTACAACGTGATAGGCATAAGGAACGTTATCGTTCATTGCAGGATTCACTTTGAAGTCTTCAAGAATCCAATCACGCTTCTTGAAAGGGTTTTGAGTTAAGTCCATGTTGATATCTTCCTTCCTTTTTTTGTAAGTGGTGGTGAGATGCGGCAATAATTGGGTATCTGTAATAGCATTGGTGAGCCGTCTTGTATCTGTGTTTGCTTTGGACAGGGATAGAAGTGGGTCGTCCTGTGAATCTTCGTACGAATCTTTAATCTCTTCTTCGTACTTTAGTTCGGCTTTGAGTTGAATAGGCGATGAGGGAACTTGGGAATAGCTAACGTCAAAATGATCATCAACGAGTTCCACCGAGTCAGATCTTTCATGTTTCAGTTTCATGTCATATCTGTCGGATAGAGTAATAGAGCCACGTCTAGAGTGGAAACTGTGTTCATTTGCATGTTGGTCTTGAGGATCCATGAATCTGGTATTTGAAACGTGGAATGCGTCATCTTCTGCAAGAGTAAACTGAGTAGGTATGAGGTCACAATCAGAGTTATTTTCTGGAAAAGTGTGCGAGTAAACCTTTGGACGAGATGAGCTCTTTAACGATTCACATGGTTGCATGTACATGAGATTACATACTGATTGGTTCTTTTGGTGATTTTCTTCTCCTGTCTTATCACGCAAAGGTTGGCGTTCCAGCTTTCTTCTCAAATCGTGACTTTCAAGCTCCAATTGCTTATTCCTCATAAGAACCGTCTGTAGCTCTGATTCCAAATTCCTTATCCTCAAGTTGCACAACTTTAGTTTTGCATCGTATGTCTTCCTAATACTCTCTATCGACTCCTTTGAGCTGGTGTGTGAAGTAAGCCTCTCTTTAAGAACTGCACCTGATGTTAGCAATTGTGTTGGACGTGTTGAGATATGTAAAACATACCCTTATGGAGGTCTTTGTTTAATCTAAGTATGAAGTCCTGCGCAGTGTCATTCACTATATCTTCAACATCTTGAATTATGGGGTCCATCGCTCCCACCTTGCTTTATAATACAGAAGAACACGGATAAATGAGTTGCTATACTGCGCGTGTGGGTAATAGAAGGCGTTGGTTTTGTATACAAAATAGTTGATGAGCTGGATGTTGGGATGTTTAGGTGTTGGGATGTGTAGGTGTATGGATGTTACCACTGCTCCTTTGTTTTTTTCCTTCCCCGTTGTGCTGGTGATGGAGTTTAAAACATTTGTTTTTGATATTAAGGCATTCACTCCATCGGCACCAAAAGATTAATAAACAGTCAATACAAGGTCATTTCATTTGATATTGTGAAATTATCGTTGTTGATTACTGGTCACTGTACCTGCCTGGAAGAGTTCATTTCCCCCGGTGAAGCGCTTTTTGAAATCATGACCGAAGGACAGATCACGAAAACTACAAAAGACTTGTTGAAGAAAGTTGCTGACAGTAGGGAGCAGCATCAAGCGGAAGAGGCTCCTCACCAGCCGAAGAAGGTCTCGTTCTCCAGTTACCTTTCCAATAAGGACCAAAGAAAGAAGGAGTTGGCCGAAAAAGCGAAGACTGATGCTGATGCGTCTATTGTGAAAGAAGATGAGGTGAAGGCAGTGGAAGACAAGAAGGTGCCAGAAGAAGACAGAAAGCAGACAACACCTACTATTGAAGCTAAAGCGCGTGATTCCCTGATTGATACATCCCCTGTTCCAACGTCTCCACTCTCAATGTTGAACGATGAGGAGGACTCTGAAGATGACATTCGTATCGGATCCAACCGTGAATCTAGTATTGCAAAAGATGAGGACTCCGATGCTGACACTGACATTGGTGATTCACCACAGAGGAAGGGACACCGACTTCTGAGAGTCTCAGACATACAGAGAAGAAAGTCAGTACCCAAATTAAACGAAGAGAGTGACGAAGAGCAGGAGGAGATTAAGAAAAGGAAGAAATCTGCTAAATTACACACTGCCAAAAAGGTATTAAGAAATGCAAGGGGTGAAATTCCATTACACAATGCGGCACTTGAAGGAGATCTCAAATTGGTAAAGACAATGGTTGAAGAGGAAGGACAAGATATCGAAGCACAGGACAACGCAGGAAATACACCTTTGATGAATGCTGCTCTTGAAGGCAGAATTGAAATCGTCAGTTATCTTATATCGCAGGGTGCTAATCCAAATGTTAGAAACATCGATGGAGATACACCACTGATTGATTCTGCGTCTAACTCACACTTTGAAACTGTTGAATTTTTGTTGCGACATGGTGCAAATCCTTGGTTGGAGAATAAAAGGGGTCACACTGCACTGGATGAACTACATGCATACAACGACGACTCTCCTGATGTAAACAGAATTATGAAGGTTTTGCAGGATGGTTGCAGAAAGTATGCAGATGCTCTTGGTGGTGATACTACAAAGGCTGCGTACGAAGATGACAAAAAGAAATATGAGGAAAGGTCCAACCAATCCAGATCAAATAACTCTAGAAGATTTGGTGGTGTTGATGATGTGCCATTGATTGTCACGGGTAGCCATGCCTTGCATACACTTCGAGAGAAATCATTGATGGGTGATGCCCCTTATGTCCTTGCATATCTTCAAAGTGGATTCAAACGAGATCCAGAGAGTCTTTCATTGGCTGCAAGAGCTGGTCATGATGATCTAGTCAATTTCTTCATTGCCCTTACGCAGGGCAATATCAATGCACGCAGTGGTCCTGGTAAGATGAGTGCTTTAATGCGTTCTGTTGGAAGAAACCACCTTCGTACTGTGGAATTGCTTCTTAATAATGGTGCCAAAGTAAAACTCAAGTCTGAAGAGGGTTACAACTCTCTATACTATGCCGAGAACGGCCTTTATGTCTTGAAAGAAGAGATTGAGCTCTTGAAATCATTTGCGGAGAAAGAATCTACCGGCAGTGACGATACAAAGAACACACATGTTGCTAAATCGAAGCAGAAGAAGAAACGTAGTGTTTCAACAAATGAACACCAGGACCAGGTGTTACCTCCAGCAAAAAAGTCTAAGAAATCAAAAGACACTCTTTTATCTCATCCACATATCGAAGAAGCCAACAAAACCGAGACAGTAAAGGATAAAATACTACCATCTAAAGCTGTTGATAAATCTCTTGCACAGTCTGTGCATTCTAAATCCGATCCAGGTTCTAAGTCTAAGCAACAAGTGGAGAAGAAATACGAAAAACCGATTATTGAAAAACTACCTCGTCACGATCCAGAAGTGGTCTCTAAGAGTGTGGAGCACAACGAGAAAGTGGTCCATGAGAAGCAAGAAGATGAGTCGAAGCCAAAGCTTTCTAGCGATGAGGAAGCAATATCACGTTTGAAAAGAAGTGAAGAGGAAGAAGAAAAGAGAAAAGCTGCTCTACTGAAGGAAGAGCAGGAAAGAAAGGAACGTCTCATAAGGGAAGAGCAAGAGAAGAAAGAGGCCGAATTAAGAGCCGAACAGGAGCGTAAAAGGGAAGAAGAGTTTGCAGCCAAACGCAATGCTGAAGCAGAACGTCGCAAGCAGCAGTTCCTCTCTGATCTTCAAGCTGGTAATAAGAGACACCAGGAAAAGTTACAGGAGCTAGAACGTCAAAACGAGGAGCGTAAAAAGAGACAACTGGAAGAACTTGCAGCCAAGAAGAAAGAAGAAGAAAGGCAACGCGAACTCATGTCCAAGAAGGGCGAAGAGGAGAGAAGACAAAGTATTAGAGAAAAGTATCCAACAGGATTGAGAAACATGACTTTTTCTGAAACCGTTAGAAGCAGAGAGGATGTTGTGCAATTCTTACCTCTATATGTTGTTTCATTACATGGTGTTAAACACATCATTGATTTCCATCTGATCATCATTTTGGGTCTAGAGAGCTTTCTTGAAAAGTATTCTGATCGATTCTCATCAACGAAGCCACTAACCCTTGATCAAAAGCGTTCGATTTTCAACTTTTATTACCCTTTTTGCGCATCTCCATCACTTCTCTATGCAGACCAGACACATTCGAACTTCACTGAAGAAATGGCCAAGTTTGGAAATCTACGGATTCAATGGTTGAAGCTTGACGAGGTGTTACTTTTTTTGAAGGATGAATTCCCGGAACTTGAACCTGTTGTGTCTTCTAGAACTCTGGAACTTGACATTCATTTTGATAATGCCAACTCTGAAGTAATAAAACCACCTGTTATTAGTCCATCAGCGTTACCACCACCTACTTTCCGCAATGCCTCTCGTCTTCCATTAAGATTGAGATCGAGACCTGCAATCGTCAAGACGTTAAACCGTTTGAGAAAAATATGGTGATATTATGTGTAACGCTGATGCTTATGGTATATAACTTGACATTAATTTAACGATGAATCAATAGCGTGCTATTGCATATGTGGTATGAAGTATAACTAGCTGTAGTTTACCTATCTAGGGAGCGCACGCTGTTCAACATCATTCGAACCTCAACCCCATGGTCTGTTAAAGAGTTATCACTCTGTAACACTGTCCTTTTAATGCTTGATCTGATTTGATCTTTGTAACTTATCAGACTCTTTGCTACTGGGCCACCCCTTTGCATGGTTTCTCTCATCTTTGGTTCGAATTTCTTTGCAAAATTTCTCCAGAATACAGATAATAAAGAGTCCAATTCAAAAGATTGCAGTAATTCTGAAAGTAAAGTCTTATCGGATTGTAGTGTTGTATCGTGTAAGTAGCCGGATAATTTCAGTACAAACTTTGCCCTCGTCAACACTTGTTCGAGGGCTGTCGATATGTTTCTTGGCGAGGTCAAAACCCTTACTAATGTATTCACTGATATGGTGACCTCATTTGAGAGTATTGTCTTGAGAGTATCAAGAGTGTATTGTTGATCCAACGCATACAGTGCCTTCAGATAAGACATCGAAGTCGAGTCCAAGTTTTTGTCTGAGATTGCTCGAGCCTGGGTGGTAATCAGCTCTTTCAGCTCCAACTTTTGTTTAAAATCCACGGGTTCGTAGTCACGGATAATCTTTAGAGACTTCAGATTTGGATTCTCCGCAAGATGTTTATCCAATTGGTTGTGTAAGTTAGCCAATTTCAACAACGTACTTGAGTGCTTTGACGTTGTCGACAAGAACTGCGGTGCTGATTGCAATTCCTGGATCTGTTGGATCAGCAAGAGGAAATGCGTCACTGATCTCAGCAAGAATGAGGTGGTGTGGACCTTTTTCAACACCTCTTGAGTCTTCAATGCCTTGTTGTAGGGAGTCAGCAGGTCCTTCTGGATACGATCATACGACGAGGTGATATGTGTTAAAGGCTGGTCTAGCTGCTCAAACATTTGCTTTGTAGCCATATCGACCCTAATCTCGTTGATCAACGAGCCATGTTCCTCTGCGCTGACCTTTTCCATCTGTAGCTCCAGGTTGTTTATATCGAATCTTACCCTCTTTATCGACGTTGAGATATCCAATTCTTTACGAGACGAGTTCGTTGCAATGAGTAGGTCGTTCGCAAACCCCTTAGCATCGAACCCATCCTCTATTAATCCCTCGTAGTCCTCCATTTGCTCGCTTCCAGTCCTCATTCAGTGGGACATAATCTGACACTACGTTTCAACGCTGTTGTTACCTTCGGTGCTAAGCCAGTGTGTGCGTTGCCCCGACCGCTTTAGCGATAGGCGCAACAAACATAACCGCGGTCTTCCTTCTGGATAGCTGGAAGGTAGGGTAACACAGGATTGCGGAAGATGCCCATCTTTTCCAACCTCATTGCTACCATACGCAAATTGTGTGAATATACATCTACGAGATTTGGCCCGTTCGTAGGACGAAGAACTATAGAAGAGAAGCTGCGATAAACGACTGGCTTTTTTAGTGCTTCCTTGTTCTACCCAGCTCCCTCTGCTTTCTTCGATGGAATAAACAGCTGAAAAGTAAATAGTCTTATTTCTATACGAAGATGCCATGGAAACTGTCTTCCCTCATTTTTTTAGTTCCTGGAAACCAAGTCTTATTCCCCCGGTGATTGATAACTCCATAAACTTTCTGAAAATCCCCGTGTCTCCGTTGGCGGGGCCTCCCGCTGGCTGACTGCTTTCTCTTTTTTTGTGTGCTGGCGGGAGGGACCTCCCCAAAAGTTTGCTCTGTACGCTGCGTGTCAATTTCCCCGTCTCTTTAGCTAATAAAAACTTCTAGTGGGAGGTTTAAACAGGCGGACGACGGACGGTAGGCGCGCACACACAAAAATAAGAAAGCAAAACCACAGCTGCTTACAGCGAAAAGAAATTTTTAGACGGAGCGAACAAGCTGGGAAAAAAGACCCAACGTCACCTTTCTTCCTCACTTTTCCTTTCCTTTTTTTCTCTTTCCTTCTTTTTGACAACGAAAATAATTTACCACAAGTGCAAAACAACAAACATCAACAACAAACAAGAACCCACGTACCCCCTTTTTTCCCACTCCTGATAAAGTATACACACGGCGGCTGTTACTATTTACGCGGCGGTTAAGGAAAAGGATTCGATAGATCAGAGACAAGAGAGATTGTCTGTGTTTTTCCCTCGATTCCGGTTGGTTGGTTCCCATCGTTTATTTGATTTCAGCGGAGGGGTTTATTGTTTACAAACTCCTGTGTCTGTCATAGGTTGATAATCATTGTGTGTGTGTACTTCTTCCACTTCTGTTTCATTACAGCGCACGCGTTAGCCAGAAACCCAAGATGAGTCTTTCAAGACCTCCTGACACAGCGATGGACCTCAGGGTTGGAAGAAAGTTCCGTATCGGGCGAAAGATTGGAAGCGGGTCCTTTGGTGACATCTATCTGGGAACAAACATCGTATCCGGCGAACACGTTGCGATCAAGTTGGAGAGCGTTAATGCAAGACACCCTCAGTTGGAGTATGAGGCGAGGGTTTACAAGGCGTTGAGTGGTGGTGTCGGTATCCCGTTTGTAAGATGGTATGGACGTGAGTGCGATTATAACGCCATGGTTATGGACCTTTTGGGCCCCTCTTTGGAAGATTTGTTCAACTACTGTAACAGAAAATTCTCATACAAGACGGTCCTACTCCTCGCTGACCAACTGTTGTGCCGCATGGAGTACCTCCATGCAAGATGCTTCATACACAGAGATGTCAAACCGGATAACTTTTTAATGGGGATTGGCAAAAGAGGTTCTCAGGTTAACGTTATCGATTTTGGTTTGGCTAAGAAGTTTAGAGATCCAAGAACACATCTCCATATCCCTTATAGGGAGAATAAGAACTTGACAGGTACTGCGAGATATGCAAGTATAAACACACATCTGGGTATCGAACAATCAAGAAGGGATGACTTGGAGAGTTTGGGCTATGTGTTAATATATTTCTGTAGGGGCTCTCTACCATGGCAAGGCTTGAAAGCTGCGACAAAGAGACAGAAGTACGACCGTATCATGGAGAAGAAAATGTCAACACCTGCTGATCTGTTGGGAAGAGGGTTACCTGTGGAGTTTGTCCATTACTTGAATTACACAAGATCACTCAGATTTGAAGATAAGCCAGACTACACGTACTTGCGCAGACTCTTTAGGGATCTCTTTGTCAGAGAAGGTTACAAGTATGACTACGTATTTGACTGGGCAGTTCAGAAGAAGCAACAACAGATGTTGGCTCCAAAGGATGCCGAGGATGAGCAGAACAAAAAGGACCAATCTCAACAAAAACCACAGCAACAACAACAACCAGTATCACAGCAGCATCAACAATTACAACAACAAGCACAACCACAGCAGCAGCAACAACAACAACAACAACAACAACAACAACAACAATACATTGCAGAGCATGACCAACTCTTTACACAACAAGGCCAACAATTAGCACAACAACCGGACCCACAAAGTTCACTGGCAAGTAGACAGAAGGATGTGAATGATAAGCAAGATGAGTATTATCGTGATGCTCTCAGAGCAAGACAACAACCACTTGCAGGAAAGGGCACTTTAACTCGTGACGATCAAACACGTATAGCTGGATGGAACAACGAGACCGTTACTCAACAACAGCCTCCGGAAGACGAGATCTATCAGGATACCTCGAAGAAGGAGCCATTACCTCAACCACAAGTTAATCATAACCAGCAATGGCTATGATGGTATTAACAGGTCTATATTATTCCATTTGGTTTCTTCCCTCTTCTTTGTTCCCACGTCAATTGGTTTCAATCTATTTCTCCTCGCGCCTCTCCCTCCATCCTTCTTTTTTTTCTCTTTGTAAAACTTACCAATTGAACGTCTCTTTTCTATTCTCCTTTCATTTCGTTGCATTCCCTTACTTCCATCTTGACTTTTTTACTATTAGAATATATATGTAATTACTCATTCAAGAGTAAATTTGATGGACTGTTCCGATATTGTTGGTTGATATAGTTGGTGCTTCTTTCTGCTGGCTAAATGTGGTTTGGCCCACAGATTCGTTTATGATGTTTTTGTCAATTTTCTTCTCCACAAAAGTGGTCTGGGACTTCAGCAAAGGCATTTTTCAGCCAAATGTTTAGTCATCAATTGCCGTTATAAAAAAGACTTGGAAAGGGTTTTACTATGAACCGACTTCAACAAGTGAGCGGACATCTAACCAACAGTATGACTGGCTGTAGTGATAAGGATAGTTCTATCTTCTTCGGACAGGACACTGTGAACAGGGTGTCATTCCTACGTGAAGATGCGGACTTTATTGAATTGGCTCTGAGAGAAGGCAGCTCAAAGATTCTTGTTATGAGCAATGGCGCCCCAGCTGGGACGGTTGAAGGAGCAGAATTGATATACGCTACGTTTAAGGATTTCGAGGAGCTGTTAAACACATGGATTGTTAACAACAGAAGGGGTGTTGCAGCTGATGAGGTCCGTGTTGCATTTCTCGGCATTGATGAATCGCAAGATGGGATTAAATACAAGCAGTATTCAGGCTTAGCATTCTTTGCAGTTGATTTGACAACCAACGAGCATGCGTTGAACGAGTTCCTCAAGGCGAAGGAAGCAACACTGTATAAAGATAGAGGCACAATCTTCCATCTGGGTAACTTTGACGCTTCGATGATGAGCCATGGGAAGATGTACTTGGACTGGATGAACCGTATTAGATTCTGTGCAGGCTGTGGTTCAAAAACGCTTGCTATACACGCAGGCACTAAGATGTTATGCTCCTCCACAGATGACCAGAACTGTCCTGTGAAGACCGCAACCGTGTCAAATGTCTCATTCCCAAGAACTGATCCAGTGGTTATCTCTGCTATAGTTACAAGGGACCACAGTAAAGTGCTATTGGGTCGCGGGGAGAGATTCCCTGGTAACATGTACAGCTGTATAGCTGGATTCCTAGAACCGTCTGAGACGATTGAGGTTGCATCCATGAGAGAAGCATGGGAGGAAACTGGTGTTAGAGGAACAGAGGTTCAAATCATCAAGAGTCAGCCTTGGCCTTATCCCGCAAACTTGATGATTGGATGTGTCATTTATGTGGATCCAAATGGTGTCAATGAAGTTATACATCTGGGACATGATCCAGAATTGGCCGATGCTAAATGGTTTAGTATTGAAGAGATCAAACACTTGGAAAATGGTGGTACAGCAGATTGGACATTACCACCAAAACAGGCAATTGCACGTAGCTTGATCCAATACGTCATTGAACAGCACTCCAAAGCTACGAAATAGATTTAGATATGGAACAATATAGATTCATAGTTCTAGGACTTCACTGATAAATTTGTTCTCTTGGATTTCACTCTTGTATTCGGTTTGAACGAGTTGCCTCAATTTGGTAACGACTTCATCACTTGGGTCGGTGTCCAGATCAACTGTTGCTCTCCATTGTTTTAGTATCTTCCTTAGGAGTTTGGAACCTTCCTCTATCTCTTTACTGGTGCACTTGGTCCTCTTATCACTGACATATGGATCGTCCTTGTTGTCATTTTCACCCTCTAACTCGGACGCTTTCCTTTTGGCCATAGAAATGATTTTATGGGGAAATTTGACAACTTCAGCAACATGAATACCGAAAGATTGATCGGAAATACCAGGTTCCACTTTGTACAAAAGTGTGATATCTTCTGTGTTGTGGGACTCACCAACGTGGGCTACAACATGTAAGTTCTTAACTGTTGGAACAGTCTCTGAAAGCCTGGTAAGTTCATGGAAATGTGTTGCGAACAGCGTAAAGCAGTGCAAGTTCTGAGAGATATGCTCAGAGATGGCCCACGCAAGTCCAAACCCATCATAAGTACTTGTACCTCTTCCAAGCTCGTCAATAATGATCAATGAGTTCGTTGTAGCTGTTTTCAAGATCGATGCAGTTTCGAGCATTTCAACCATAAATGTTGATACACCTTTCAATTGGGAGTCACCGGCACCGATTCTTGCAAGTATAGCATCAATAACACATAACTCTGCCTCGCTAGCTGGAACGAAACACCCTATCTGTGCCATAAGAGAAATAACTCCAAGCTGACGAATGTACGTCGATTTACCACCCATATTTGGACCTGTTATAATCAAGAATTCTGTTTCAGACTTGATTAACTCATAATCATTAGCAATGAATGTAACTTCATCTTGCATTTCAACACATGGGTGTCTAGCCTCCTTCAGAATTGTACGTCCAACGTTAGAATTGAGACCATGCATTTTTGGACGAACATAAGCAACAGGTGCATAGGCAGATACATGTGCAAAAGATACAATAACATCCAGGTTTGCTAACACCAATGACAGACTTTCCAAAACTGGGGCATAAGTCACAGTGATGGAGACAATTTCCTTCACCAGAGACGATTGTTGACGAGCATACTTATGTTGAATGTCAATACTCTCTGCACTAATCTCTCGCATAGTCTCAGTGGTGAAGAATACACCAGCCTTGACTGTTTGTAATTCGATAAACTCAGGCTTACCTCTAATGGAACGTTCCTCGGTACGGGTAAGTCTCATACACCAACCGTGGTTTGGGTGCAGTTCAAGTTTCAGCTTCTTATCAGGGTCCAGGCCAAGTTCTTGAGCAACTTCTTGGTGAATTGATCTGATTTCATCTTCAATGTTGTCCAACCTTTGTCTGTACTCCAAGAGCTGCTCGTCATAATCTGGCTTAATGACAAACTCATGACGCTCCAAGCTGTCCAAGTCAACAGTGGTTTCCACCATTTCTTGAAGTTTCATCAGTGGTTCATAACATCTCTTAATCTCCGTTGTCCATGTTACATCAACCAGGATCTGTAGCTCCTCATCAGTAATACTATTTTGCTTTGACTCCAATAAATCTATGATATCTGCCACTTTAATCAAGAACTGATAGATTCTTACAACGTCTTCCAGATTTGCATGTTTAGACTTGGCAAGCTTCTTGTTCAGCCTTCTGATATCTGGGATCGAAGGCAACAGATCAGATTGTAAAGTTGATCTCATCTCAGTATCCTCTATCAACAATTCAACCAATTGATGACGTGCTGTAATGTCATCGACATCCACAAGTGGCTGTTTAATCCATTGGTGTAACAATCTAACACCACCGACACTTTTACAATGGTTAAGGAGATCAAAGACACTAGAGTTCTTCCCACTGTTGTTTGTTTTACTGGCTGGCAGGAGATTCAAAGACTTCACTGCTGACGAATCTAATTTCATGAATTGGTTAAGTGCGTGAGGTTTCAGCTTGAAGGCACCAAAGTTAGAGTCATCAGTAAGGAGCCCCAAATACCTAATTATGGCCGCTGCTGCACCCAATCCAATGATGCTTTTTGCCTCTTCTCCAACAGACAGTGCAAGATCGTCGCCTACAAGTCTCGTCAAGTCCTGTTCGACGTCATTGGTGTTGAAGTCAGACGGCTTCACCTGTGTAATTCTTGGACCACATCTTTCAATTAACCCAGCCAGCTTAACGAAATCGGGATCTTCAATTGAATTCGGTTGTTGGATGATAACCTCCTTTGCATCAATCTGGATTAAGAAACTCTCCAGATTTGAATACAAATCGTTGTCCAAGAACTCCGAGACACTGATTTCCTTAGCGTTCGTGTCGACGAAGCAGAACCCGATTGTCTTACCGTCAGCTTTGTTGGACACTTTCAACGATACAACGACTAGTGCGCTCTCGACTTCAGAAGAGTTGAACAAGTCCTCAACTGCTTCAATATTACCTGGCGATGCAAACTTGATGAGGTTCCAAGCCTTATCGTAGAATTCAATCTTGAGGCCCTTTTCAAACAGACACTGTTGCAACAAGTTTGAAAGTACAGCTGGCGATACAGTGACGTACTCCACGCCTTGTGCCTCTTTAATGACACTGGTTGTCCTATAGATCAACTCAGCAACAAATCTCGCGTCCTCGGCAAAGACCGAGTAGTAATCACCCTTATCCACAATACGGATCGTGTTCTCCTGTTTCGGCTCCAGCTTCTGAAACTTCCTATAGAAGCTTCTCTCATCCGCAGTGTCTGAGAACTTGAGCTCTGGCCTTGTACTGCTCATGCTTTGTTTGCACTGCCTTTCCTGTTCTAACTTGTTGATGTTGGGAGTGGAAAGCAAAACAAAAGCAGACGCGTCGCCAAAAAAGTTCGTGTACCACTTGGTTTTCTGTTTGTTGCGCGTCTTCCGTTTTAGGCTGCAGCTTTTTGGGACCATCCCAAAAAGAGGGTAAAAACCTATCATTAAACTAAACATCAAATCTATCTAAATGTGAATAAATGTTGTGGAGAGTGTGGTGTTTATGAGAAATCTATGCAGTGATCTCATCGACGGAATCGTCATCATCATCCTTATGGTATAAAAAGAACTGGACAAAGATGACAAAATCCATCGAGAGCGTACCGATCGATCCGGTTAGCCAACTTGATTGCACCAGTAAGTAGTATGGATCAATGCTAATGGAGAGGATGGAGATGACATATGTCAAGTTACCCAGGCATGCGCATAAGAAGAACAAAAATGAAATGCCTTCACACGATTTTCTCTTGTAGTTCAACAGGATCTGCGGTAAGCGTGAGCCCAGGTACAACGCAGCAGAGAGCCAACCAAAGAACTGGGCCATTGGGTCAAATGTCAAGTCCGGCTCCTTAAGGTCATCATCCGGCTTATAAGTGAAGTACCAACCCAACACACCGGACAGTATCACAAGCGCAATCAAAGAGCCCTGTACCATCAACGAGCGTTTCGATTCCTGTGGATGTCTGCCTCTTTGGCGCTCTGCATCCGTGGAGGAGCACGAATCCTCGTCTCCAAACACGTCTTCTCTAATCTCGTCGTACATGTTCTCCGTGAGAGGATTAGCAGGCGATAGGTGCACCGGATCAACGTTCGAGCCGTCGCCGTAGAGGTATATCTGGAAAAGCAGGATCAGGTCAGCCACGGTGTAGTATACAGCCAATATGATCATCGTTGGCAAGACGTGCTGTAGCACTGCCCCCAGCACGTTGAAGACATCACCAGCCAACCACAGCACAACGAATAACAACGATAGGCCTTCCGAACTTTGGCGCATCCACTGAGCATTCAACAACTTGTTAGCACGACACACGGTGAGTCACAGAGAACAATAGTAACATACGTTTTCATAGATTTGCGGCATGAACACAATCAGCCAGAACGAAATCGATATAGACCTGGGAAACCTGGGGTTAGTACTGGCCGTAATAAACAGGCATACACCGCTGAATCAACCATGGACGACATACCCAGTGATACCGCTGATCGCGCGGTTATCAATCACAACATGCGAGAAATGGCTCATGGTGTCTACGTCAGATGTGTCTGACTCGAGTGGCTTGTGCTGTGATGAAGAGGACTGAAGAGAATGGAGAAGAGGAAAAAGAGATGAAAAGTCTTTCGAGAAATGCGATGAGTCGTCGTTTCTATGCAGCGGGCGAGTCTCGGGAAAATCCCCTGGGAAACACAGAGAAAAAGAAAAGAGGAAAGAGGAGACCAAGATGACGACAAAATATGCCTATAATGGGTATATTTCCTGAAAGGGTGTTTGCGCTTTGGCACTTCCCTTTTGGGTCATCTGCGCAATTACTGTATTGGGAACAGCCCGTACGGTGCTGCCCATACGAAGCGCCACGCCTACTCAGGCAGACAGTGCTGTTACTCTGATGCCGACCCACTGAATTTTGACAGACGGACAGCAGTGGGAAAACGTGCACATTAGGTTTTATGTCTCACAACTTCAGCAGCCATACGTATATATATGGAAGATCTTAGACAAAGTTTCCACTGTTGTTGAACGTTCATCATCCCTTGTCCCCCCTTTTTTGGATCAATTCTTCTTTGTTCCTTATTCAAGAGAAGGAGAAGAACGAGACATACGCAGAAATGACACACAACCAGTTTAATCCACTGATTGCAGCGCACAGAGGGTATGTGTGGTGTTATTATGGTCAGCAGTGTCTGTGACAATGTCGCTATCGTATCCACAGGTTGTGTATTGTCTGTGAGACAGCTGATCGGTCCGAAGTCTTGTTATATTAACACAATTGGTCGCTTCACCAGGTATAAATCCAAATACGCAGAGAACACCATTGCTGCGTTCCAAGGAGCCATTGACGCCGGCGCAAAGTGTATAGAAACGGGTGAGTGTAGCTCTACCTTCTCCATCTCCTTTCTCAATAGGGGGTTTCTTCTGGAATACGATCATGGACTAACCAACGGCTCATTCAGACGTTCAATTGAGTGGTGATGGCACCGTCATGATCAACCATGTGAGTTTGGTATAGTGGTTCTGCCGCTTTTATATCCACACGTCTCGAACTAACATCGGACCAGGATCCACGTACGGGTCGAAACTATGATAAAGATCTAGTCATTGGAGAAAGCACGCTGGAGGAGCTCAAACAGTTGAAGAACTTGCAGGATCCGGCACTGAGGTTACTCACTTTCAAGGAGTTTCTCGAGTGGGCTGTTGAGCAACCGGAGGAGACCAAAATCATGCTTGACATCAAGGCTAATAACTCGATTATGGTCTTAGCTGTCATGCAGCGTATAATGTTGGAGGTGAAGGGCGATCTGGCATATTGGAGACGGAAGCTCATCTTTGGCTTCTGGACCTTGGAGTTCTACGAATATGCGTACAATGCAGGGTTCATATACGGGTTTGAAGTCATCAACATCACCTTTTCTCCAACCATTGCCAAACGATTCATCGAATACTCGTTGACCCTACCAAAGGAGTTCCAATTGCGTGCGATTTCCCTGATTCTCGTTGCCACATACGCCTCCGAGTTCAAGCAACTCCACGAGGAATTGATGATCCCCAACGGACTAGACCTGTATCTGTGGACACTGAACACCCAGGCCGACTTCGATCTCGGCTACCGCTTGGATTGCAAATCCTTCATCACTGACGACCCCATTGCGGCGCAAGCTGCTGTAGAGGCTCTTCAAAGAGGAGGCACTACGGGCGACAACGAGGTTAACTATGACGCGCCTCACCTGTTCTCCCTTGCTGGTGCTACGCTTGGCCTGAGATTTGGTCTCTTCCGGGTGTTTGAGTTCTGCGTGTTGAACAACCTCATGAGATTCGCCCTCATACAGGGCGCTCTTCGGTTCATCTTCAAGAATTTTGTTGCGAAAGGCCAGAAATGAAGCGTCTGCGTGTGTATTAGCTTACGTTGAATGGAACGGATTGGTGTTTTGGAGATGTAGATGAATCCCTGTACTGCTGTTGCTGCCACTGCCACCGCTACTGCTACAGTCACCGCCATTGCCACTGCCACCGCTACTGCTACCGCCCCCTGTCTAAGCTGCGCTCCCACCGCTCCCACCGCTCAAAACTCGCATGCAGTTCACCGCGCCGCTGTTTCATATCCACATTCCCTACCGCTTCGCTTGCCTAGCTTTCTCCCATATAAAAGCGAAAATAGACACAAAATTGGGGCAACGCAACTTTTCAAAGGGGCAATCCTCCTCTTGAACGGAAAAACCTGCATACCAAACCACCAATTCCTTGACGTTTGACCAGAAATCCCCGTTTCAGCGCACTTCCTACGCATACAAATTCCAGCGTGTGTTTTTCCTCTCTCGTTCTGGCCATTTTCTTTTTTTAACAAGGTCGTTTCCTCTCTCGTTTTCAGGCACTGTGAACAAGGCTTTCAGGTTACACAAACACATCATCACCATAAAATGATCAAGGTAAGCATTCCACTTCTTTTTTGCTATGCCGACGGCTTATAGCTTCTCTTTATGAGCAGCACCGCTATTCGCAGACAGGGGCTGTTTGCCCCGTCACCGTCACAGCTTTGCTTAGCTATAGCAACGGGCAGGTGGTGCGATCGAGGCACACGGTAGGGCTTTACGGCCTCGTGTGTGAGGTTCTCTCTCCGTGTGCTGTGAGCGTGTGCGAGCGTGTGCGAGCGTGTGTGTGCTTGCTTATTTTTAGACGGTTGTTTGAGCGATGTCGAAGTTGTCTCCTTGGAGCTCTTCCTGGTCTTCCCATACGAGGCATAGCGCTTGGGACGTAAAGCTGGGACATAGCACTTCAATATGAGTCGTTTACTAACATCGCCAATGAAGGGCCTGAGAAAGTCGCTGAGGGACAAGTCCAAGTCGTCACACTCGTCGATCTCGTCGCCGATCAGCGACCGGATGGCGTCCATCTCATCCATAAACGACTTGAAGATTGGAACCAGCAACCTGCTCCAATCTCCAAAGAAGGTTATCAAGGCTCTGTACGACTATACACCACAAGGCCCGGGCGAATTGGCCTTCTCGAAAGGTGACTTCTTTCACGTGATTGGCAACGAAGACGACCCTGAGTGGTACGAGGCCTGTAACCCTTCAAAGAATCAAAGAGGAATGGTCCCGGTGCCTTACTTCGAAACATTTGATAAGACAAGACCACCAACGACGAAGAATTCATCATCGCCTTCGAAGGTTTCACGTTCTTCGAAGAAGCTGTCCACCGACTCAATGCCAGTGTCGATTTCTTCAAAGTCATCCTCTTCAAATACGCTCTATGCCATTGTCTTGTACGATTTCAAAGCTGAACGCTCTGATGAGCTGGACATAATTGCCGGCGAGAATATCATATTATGTGCTCATCATGAATATGAGTGGTTTATAGCCAAGCCTATTGATAGATTGGGAGGACCCGGTTTGGTCCCAGTGAGCTACGTATCCGTGATTGATATCTTGACCGGGAATTCGACGGGCAATAACGTGGTTGATGATATTACCAGTGCAAACTTACCCACAGTGGAACAGTGGAAGTCGAGAAATGCCAAGTATAAGGCTTCTTCAATCCCATTGGGCAACGTTGATGAAACAACTACAGGATCTCCACAGGTTCAGCAGCAAGAACAACAGCAACAACAGCCATTCTTACATGCACGTAATCCTTCAAGGTCCTCAAGACGTTCACAATTGGCCTTTTCACAATCACAGTCACAAATAGCAATAACGCCTGATGCTGATATCGTTGTTAACGACTCTCTACCTTATATCGTTGACGCAACAGTGGATTCGTTTTACGTCGACAATGGAAGGTACTGGTTTCACATAAATGCGGAACTTAGTAACGGAGAGCTGAGATCTTTGTGCCGTTACTACGAAGACTTCTACGATTTCCAGATTAGATTGTTGGAGCTGTTCCCTGCAGAGGCCGGTAGATCTTCACAGTCGCAAAAGAGAATACTGCCTTTCATTCCAGGTCCATTAACATACGTGACTGATAAAATAACAAAGAAGAGACAAGTTGACTTGAATGAATACGTTAAAGAATTGGTGGCGTTGCCTGTTTACGTGTCGCATTGCAATTTTGTCAAATCGTTATTCTCCATCAAGAATGAATTAGATCGGGTACTCGAAAGTTCAAATCTTGACTTGCAAGACGATGACAGAGAAAGAACGATTGTTAAGAATGAATCTATCAAGACTCTCAACTTGGAGAGACAACCAACGTCACAGAAGCTGAAATTCTACTACAAGGATGATATATTTGCATTGCTCTTGTCTCGCGATACAACATTGGCTACGCTCCGTAAGAAAGTTTCTACAAGAATCCATGACGAAGAGGGACAAACTTCGTTCCGTATTTATACAAGAATAGGTGAAGACAAGGGAGAAGAAGTCCTTAATGATGAAGATGTTCAAAATGTGCTGAATCAAAAGTTGAAGATGATAATTGAAGATGAATGAACAACCACCTTCACAAGATGTTGTAAATAATTCCACAGGATGATGTATTATTAATAATTTTATTTACACTTTTATTGATGTGAGTACTAGTTTCAAGATCTATGTGTATGTTTAAATCCTTATTTATGTTGTGCAACCAGTGTTTGATAGTCCTGGTACATTTCCTTCAATTGCGAGATGGTCAAATCTTCAAATTGCTTGCCTTTGAATTTGCTGTAGTCAACAGACGATGCATTCGACGCCGTTGTGGAAAGATTTGACAGTGGTGTTTCGTTCAAGTTGAGTTGACTTCTAACACGTTGTTGTAAAGAATTTGTTCTGGATCTAACACGTCCTGTAAAGGTATTTGTAGATGTAGTGGATGTTGTCACTGTTGGGGTCTTCTCAGATGAGTTTCTCCATTTCATAACACCTGCAGCCAATCTATTCAAGGGGTTATAACTCTCTTCGTCTACTGTAGAAGCGACTTGTTCATGTACTGGTGAAGGGGAGGAAAACCTGTTGATCATGGACTTGATGCCTGAATCAAGTGCATACCCGATAGATCTTGTTGGGGTTGGGGAAACTTTGGCGTCAGGGTGTGATTTCAAGACGAGTGGTGTCTTGAGAAAATGGCAGTCCTCTTCTGAAATCTCTGAAAGGTCATATTCATCTTCAGTCAGGTCCAAAGACTGGATATACATCAGCGCAGCCTCATAGTTTGTGAGGCAATAGAGCGAGTCTTCAACCAATAGAGAATGTTTCCTGAACCTTTTGATGTACATCAAGTTCAAGTAGAAGTCAACGTCATCCTCGTTCACCAGTATGAGGTAAATCAGTATCGGCAATATGTAATCGCCATCAACATGGGAAACCTGCTTCAACAGTGTAGAGTTGATGGAGGCATGGATCGACAGGAGAACGTCAAGCTTATCACACGGTGTTTTCAAGTGACAAAGCTCGCTAAATATATGGGAGACAGAGTCCAGCTCGGGCGTCAACTTCATGTTGACGTCCAGCAACTTGCAGTAGTCCAAATCTTTGATCCTCTTCATGAGGGATATCTTCTTCTTGATGTAGTTGTTTATCTCAACATCCTCGGGGAACTTGTTGAATAGCTTGTCAAACAACGAGGTGCAGATATCATCTTCGCCCAGCTGTACATACCTCCGTATCTTCAAGTGCACTTGTAGTAAAATCTTCTTCCTCTGCACTTGCTCCTCAGCTGTCAACATCTCAATCTCCTTGAGTCTATTTTTGTAATACACGGACCCTTTGACAAAGAGGTCCACTCTATACTGGAACATCTGATAGAAGTCCTGGAACATGTCGCTGAGCTGTTCAGCTGTGAGCGGTTTGTTGTACTTTGGCTGCTGGACATCGTGCAAGAACTGGGACACCAACTGCTGCAACTCAGGCACCAACTGTTGAGGTAGCTCCACCGATACGCTGCTTTCATCAACGGCTATGGACTCTTCGCTTGTGGCGTGCAAGGGATCCGTGAAAGGCTCAGCAGTTGATCCCTCCGCTGACTCCCCTGCTACAAACGTGCCCTTGGTCGGTGGTGTATGCAACATTGCTTCCTGACGATATCAATGACGGCTTTCAAGCACTAGCAAGGCAAGGTTTCTGGAATATTCCAAGGAATCATTCAAAACTGATAGTCGATTGGCTGTGCTCTCTGTGTGCGATGCGTGTCTGCGTAATTCTGCCCCTTCTCGGCACGCCAGAAACGCCAAAGGGAAAACTCCCCCCGGAGGTTGTGTAGGTGGACTTGTTATAAAACGCATTGCACTTGGTATCAACGGGTTTCTCTCCAATTCGATGCGTTGAGTCTCTCTAGCTCCTTTGAGACAGTCTGGGATGGAAGAGCGATGAAAAGAAGAACAAGTTCGGCACCAACAATAGATGACATAAGACAGTACAACATCAAGAGACAGAGGGTGTTGGAGGACTTCTCATTGCTGGAGTTACAGAACTCTGGTAGACTGTCGCCGAGCCAGATACACAGGCCCATATCCTCAGCGCACAAGGAGTATATCCCCAGCATCGATGAGTTCTTGTTGCTGAACCAGGACGACGCCGATGTCCTGGAGTCGTCGAAGTACATTGATGATTTCAACGCGGTTGAGGCTGATCAGCTGGTGATTCCTGACCTGTCCCTCATTCCGATGACCAAAGCTCAACTCCGGCAGCGTATTGGGAAAGTGAGGTCTTCAGACGATCGGAGATCGTTGGAAGACATCATCAGAGAATGTGACATAATGATGAATTGGGCCCTTGTGCCCTATGTTGACTATCGGCTGAATGTCTATCAGCACTGGGTGCGCTGGATGAGCTCCATTGACCCTGATGCTGAGATGGCCATCGATGACACACCCGACTTGGAGCCTCAGAACCCTCGCTTTGATAATGCACAGTGGAATGATGCGTATAAAGGAGGCTACTATGGAGGTGATACAGGTCAGATAAACATCCAGGGGCACCAATTCGACGATGACCATGCCACTGATGATGATGATGTGATGGACATCGACTGAAGCGCATTATATAAATCTAATGGTGAGTAAACGTATCCATCACGATTTCTTTTCTCTGCAGTTATGGAAAGAACTACAGTATTAAATTGGATTAAAGTAAACATTAACAAGACTGAGAAATGAAGAACGACAAACGATTATTATAAATATAAGACTGATTGGTGAATGACCCTGAAAGGTAGAACGGGGAAAGAGAAGTGAATGTAGATGAGAGGTTCAGATTAACAATATTAAACCTCTTGTTTTGGTTAAAGTCATGAAAGGGTCGTTAATATATCTCCACACAATAGGAGGGCACAGATAATCACAGTTCCTTTTTGTTCTTTTATGGAATTGGTGGGCCTTGGTTGAGGAAGTCGATAAAGTCGATATCTTCATCTTCCTCCTCGTCTGTGCTAGTGTTTCTCTTGCAAGATTGACAAGAGTCCACACCATTGCAAATATGATCGGGTTCGGTTTGAGAGTGTAAGAATTCATTAGGATCCAGCCCAGTGAGATCCATCTCTGGATGATTGGTTGCCTTCTCTGTAATCTGGAGATGATGTTCAGGGATGTGAAAGAGTGGTAATTTAGTAACCCAAAGACGCCATCTTGATATCTTATTGCTCTGTGCCACTGGTGTGTTTTCGTACGTCAATCTCCATGGCTTTTCACGATAGACAAAGACAAGTGTATCCACCAATCCGTTTAATGGCTGGACAAAAGAAACAAGGACCAGGATGGGATAGTTAAACTTTTTTTCGATTCTCAACGAATTTTGAATCATTGGGAAAATCCATAGAAGGAAATATGCGATTGGATATAAGAAGATGACTTTCATCTGTCTTGCAATTTGAGCATACCTTGCTGCAATTTTTTTGTTGTTCTGTAATTCTAACTCGAGTCTTATATCGTCGATCCTTGAGACCGGTTCTTCTTTTGTTGTTCCATCTTGGAGGAACTTCACTGTCCTGGTCCACACCCATCTGGTGTTATGTTTTGGCTTACGGGCACCGATTCCTTGCTTCTCCATTGTCTTTAGCTCTCTCACAACGTAGAAGTAGATTGTGCAGTAAATGATCAAAATGGAAAGCATGATAAAATAACGCGGCCCCCAACTCAGCACCATACGATACCATATTGGCTCTGTTGGTAAATAACAATAAACACCATACGATACGTAACCCACGTTGTTAATGAACGCCAGTGACGCCAGAATTACCGGTATGACAAAGCATGCCCAAAACACATAGGCTTTCAGGAAGGATAAGCCACCATACCTTTGTGGGTAGAAGATCGTCAGAAGCGTATGTATAGCGAACAAGAAGATGGCCAGGTCGCTGCCTTCGATCCCCAGCGCAGTAAACCAACCAATTGCATTGATGCCAGCTCTATTGACAACGTGGTTCAGCGCTATGATCGGGTATATGAACACTGCGATGGACTTGAAGAGGTCGGTCAAGACCAAGAAGAGGATCAGCTGGTGTCGAAACAGCCGCCTCGAAGGATGTATTGCCAGGTAGAGGTAGATTGCAATGAGGCATGACAATATCGACGCCGAGCCCGAAGATATAGCAATGATTCTCAGCGTCCGAAGCCGTGACGCCGACATGTCGCCATTATCCATCATGGCCAGCAAATCTATAATACGTGCACGTCAGTTGGCTCGTTTGTAGCCCAAGTGTCCTTACTTGGGCTCACTTGGAATATGTCTATGGGGGCAAGCCCGTGTCGTCTCCGCGTGCTTTCTCGCTCCCTTGGAGGACGCGATGGAGTGTGCTATCAAGTGTACTCCCTGTGCTGCCACAGTCTCCCCGTGTCCCTGTATCGGTTCCACCACCGCTTGTGCCGAGTTGATGTGTGTATCTGACTGCAGAGCTCAACCTCTGGGAAGGGCCCTGACAGAGTTTCAACGTTAGGCAACTCTATCTCTCCAAGCTGGCTGTCACTTCCACAGAGCAGTTCTGTCTCGCTGAGGGAGGAAAAATAAAGAAGAAGAAGAATGGTGTGACCCTTACGGCTGCAAATGACCCTGTGTTGCCTCTGAGCTCTAGCAGAAGACTCTGTATCACTTTGTGAACGAAGGAAGAAGGGGAGAGGATGGATTTACGAAACCAAGCGTTTTTCGTTTTCGTGCTTCTTTTAGAGGCCCTGGGTAGGGAAAAATTGTTCAGTTAGGGTGTGTGGGTTTTGTCAGAAAAAGAACCACTCAGACGGGACGCATATACAAAGCTAAGGTAGCATGCTTCGCAGCCTGGGATTTCCGCGCAGGGAAATTGGCCATGCTGCAGCGGACGAGCAGCCACTGATTCTCCGGGCCTGAGTTTTCTTTGTACTTTCTGTACGCGCTGGTGTGGAAGCCTCCTCTTACTTGCGCGCAACAGTATGGCCGGGTTGGACCCCCCTGGTAAGAACTGGAGGTGGCGTGCTCACTGGTGGCACATCGCGGTGTCCAGTTCACACAGCACACGGCCCGAGTGTTTGGTGGTGGCCCACCAGGCTTGGAGGAACTGGGTTTCAACCTAAAGCGTGGACCACTGGAATGCGCGTGCTAAGGGAGTGTGGGAACCTTAGATTGGGAACCTTAGATTGGGACACGATAGGATCTACACGCAGGCACTGTTAACGAGTGAGTGGTTTGCCACTTCTTCGCGTGTTGTTCAGCCACTTGTACGCTGGGATCCACAGGCCATTGGAATGTTTGGCGGGTTGCTCTGGCGTATGACCGACCCACGGTTTCAGCCTTGGAAGTAGGACAACTTCCAAGTGTGGGTTGCGATGATGCGACATGGCAGTGCTACGTAGTGTGGTCTCTACACAGTGTCGAAGGGCAAAGCGGAAGAGGAAGCCAACGTCCTGCGATCCACAACGGGCCAGTAGCGGGACCGATCGTCACGACTCACTTACGTGTAGTCCTCTGAACATGAGTCCGCTCCCACCTCCCAACTCATACCATTCCTTTCACACACCACATCGACCGGCCAAGCGCGTGATACCCGTGCCCAAACTACTACATCCACCTGTACGCTGAGTTCGGGTGCAAAGTGGGAGGGCCACCACATCCGTACACCACCTCGAGGCCGTCACCATGGTAGCACACATGCCGGTAGGGACCGCATAGTGTCTGCAATGCAGCCGAGGCACCAAAACCAGCATGGAGTTTTTTTTTTTTTGTATGGGCATGCTCGGCCGCGATGAGGTCTTAAAAGGCTTCAGCACCCAAGCGTCACGGTGTTGGATGTCAGTAAAGCCATCGCTAGGGGGGAAGGAGAGCAAGAGAGAGGAAACTCACATTCTTTGAGTTCTTACAACTGTGAAGACAGAGGTCTTTTCCACTATATCTATAAAGCTAGCAACCTCCCATGCCCTTTAGGTGCTCCCGAGATGAGTTCCAGTTCGCTATCCAATCAGACTCTGAGGACGAACAGGAGGACACATTCCAGACGTCAGTACAGAGGACCATAATTTCGAAATCAGCACTTGTGATGACATCCACTACAGCATCAGTAGCAACCGAGGCACCTGTGGCGATCACTACTGATTGCAAAGCGCAAGCATTGGTTAGACGTCGAAGCTCAGTACGATCCCGTATCAGCTACACCGCGTTACAGGCCAACGCACAGGACCTGCTGATAGATGACTACTCGATAGATTTGCGCAAGAGAACGGTGGACGACTTTGAGCAGTTGAAGATCTTGGGTGTTGGCTCTTACGGGTCTGTGTATCTCGTGAAGGATAAGCACACAGGGCAGTACTTTGCCAAAAAGACCATAAAGAAGGCACGTCTTTCTGTTAATAAGACGTTGTTGAAGAACCAAATGAACGAACGTGATATCCTAGCATCAATTTCACATCCAGCTATAGTGAAATTGTTCTATGCGTTCCATGACTTGGAGAATATTGATTTGATCCTCGAGTTCATCCCTGGTGGTGAATTGTTCTACTATTTGGCTGATGTCCGCAGATTCAACGAAAACGACACTGCCTTCTACATGGCTGAAATTTCACAGGCTCTACATCATTTGCACTCCATTGGTGTTGTGTACCGTGACCTCAAGCCAGAGAATTGTCTCTTGGACAAGAAAGGCCATCTCGTCCTCACGGATTTTGGGCTCTCCTCACAGGAGGAGAAATGCCGATCAATCCTTGGAACGCCAGAATACTCCGCACCCGAGGTGTTGATGGGAAAGGAATACTCATACGAGGCTGACTGGTGGAGCTTTGGTGTGATGATGTATGACATGGTTGTTGGACAAGTCCCATACCCAGGTTCTGATCGTAAGAAACTCATTACAAGCATTCAAAAACGTGGTGCTAATTTCCCCAATTGGTTGAGTGAAGATGCCAAGGACATCATGAGGAAACTCCTACAAAGAGATCCCAAAAAACGTATGGACGTTGATGGCTCATTCGACAAGTTTATGAATCACAGGTTCTTTAGAAAGATCGACTGGAAACGACTCCGTGATTCAACACCACCTGTGGAACCTCAGGTTGGGTCCCCCGAGGATACAAAAGTCGATAGCAGTTACATCGATTATGGACTCGCAGCTCTCAAACAGCATTCAACGTCAGAATACGTGGATCAATCTCTCTTTAGAGGATTCAGCTTTGTTGCTGAAAAGTCTGTTTTAGAACAGCATTATGATCAAATTTAAATACGCTTCTATGTCACAATTAATATTCATATATCAGATGGTATACACATCGTAGTTCAACCCACTTTCTTTTAGAATAGCCTCTGTTCTTTCCCATGGAACCCTGAATATGCCGGCATTGATCTTAGGCATGGATACTTCACAATCTGCACCCATCTCGACGAGCTGTTTCTTCATGTCTTCAATAGCTAGCTTGGTCTTTGCAAGAATACTCTCTACAGGGTCTGCTGAGCCGCCACCTCCTACGCTGGTGAACAAACACGCTATCACGTGTGCTTGACCGTTCAAAAGCTCATTGCCCTTTTCCTCCCTATTCGTCAAAATGAGTAATGTTGTTCCCAACAACGAATTGCCATGCTTCTCACAATGGGCAATATACTCCTCTTCCGCTTGTGGAAACAGCTGCGCAATTTGATACGCAATTCCACCACCCCAGATACCTTGTGTATTGCAAGCATGTGCAATGATAGAGGGCTTTGCGCATTTCAAGACGTTCCCTTGGATATACTTGATGCTCATCGCGTGTCCGATGGTTTTACTACGTGGTGGGAGTGGAAAGAACTGCGCGATTGATCTACAATTTTTATAGGCAGAGGTCTCTATATTAATCAAAACTTGGGGTTGTTACTTACTTTGCAATTCTAAGCTTTGCTTTATAACTCCAACGCTTGAACTGCTTTGAATTTTTTCATTTCCACCTTTCGAAATGGCATATTCGATTTCTCCCAATCCTTCAAGTATTGAAGCCCTGGTTTGCCTTTCAAGTTCATAATGGTCAAGGATCTCCACAAAGCCTTGCAATAAGTCGATTAATGCAAGACCCTTGAGCTGTTTGATTCTGTTCAGAGTGCCAACAGCAGTGCTCCAGTCATCTTTCAAGATAGAGTCCAGTATGGTTTCAATGTCCTTTGGGTGCGGTGCACCTACACTTTCGAAGATCATATCTTCGGTGATTTCCCCATCAGTGGCAGCTTTACATGCTTGTAGGACATTTAGGGCCTTTCTCATGTCACCTTTGGATAGTTTCAGAAGCGCACTTTCTGCCTCTTGTGAAATGGTCAGGTGTTCCTTGATGATGACTTTTTGGACGTTATCCTTGATGGATTCTTCGCTCAATGGAGAGAACCTGAATCTAGTGCAACGAGACAACAGAGCTGGATTCAACTTGTGTGCATAGTTGGCCAGAATACAAAATCTTGTGTTCTTGGTATACTTTTCTATGATACGTCTCAATGCGTTCTGTGCAACGTTTGTCATGGCATCTGCTTCATCCAGAATAATCAATTTGAAACCTTTACTGAAGATTTGCATCGTACTGGCAAAGTCCTTGATCTGGTTTCGCACAACGTCAATACCACGATCGTCTGAGGCGTTCAGCTCCAACACCATATTCTTGTAGTTCTTCCCGTAAATTTCACGAGCAAGAGCGATGATTGTCGATGTCTTTCCTGTACCTGGTGGTCCGTAGAACAAAAGATGAGGCAGTCTACCATCATGAACAAAACGGCGAACTATAGAGATATTAGTACATGCATGGAACAAAGCACAAGATCCACTCACCTGTGTCAACAACTTCTGGTTGACCATACACATCGTCCAGAGTAGTGGGACGATACTTTTCAACCCTATCACCAACATTAGTACGAGGGAGTACCATCAGCCAAACATTTCAACACACATACCATGGCAGGTTCTCAGCTGTACGATTGGTAGCCATTGCAAACGCTATCTTGGAGACGAGGACCTAGAGACCAACCACACGTTCCAAGTTATAACTTGCCCTCCAATAAAAGTTGGTCTCCGAGACGCGAAAACGCGAAAACGCGAAACGCACACCAGAATGGACCTGGTCTGAAATTTACGCTGGATCTCAGGGTGTCAGCGTAAATGTCAGACCACATTTCGTGATCTCAACAGCTGCGTCTCCGAAAAGTAAACAAACAGAAAAATACCAAACCTTCTCAGCAGTAAACAGGCGCTGGATCTTCATTCTTACTCTACGCTCGAGGGTGTATACGTCTTTCACGCTGAGGAGTTGACGGAGCGCTGTATCGTATAAACGACAATAGATCTTCAGTCGTTGGAATCAGCCTCCTCCCCCTCTTTGGTGTGTGTTTTACATCGGCAACGTACATTTGCCACGAACAATGAGGAACAATCTGAAAGCACAGATCACCTGGCTAAATGAGTCCAAGGCCAACGTTGTATCACGAAGCGCGCTTTTAGATATTACCAGCAAGAGCAACTCCGAGTATAACCATGTTACTTCGAGTAGGTCGAACAACAGTGTACCCAAGGCCACTGCAGCTACACCACACAACACAAATTCAAAGTTGGAACAGAGCTCAGATCTCACATCGCTGGTGAGCTCTGCGATAAAACCAACGAGGTCATCAGGGTTAAGAGTTGCCAGGAAAGAGCATCCACTACGATCTTCGGCCAGCCATGTGGACTCCTCTCCAGAACCGCAGTTCAGAGCGCCTAGTGGTCCTACTGTACGGCATGCAGCAGTCATTGATTTGACATTTGACGAATCCAACCTCCATGCAGCAGACAAAAAGAAGAGATCACAAACCTCGGTCATAGCAGCACCGAGTAAACGACAAAGGACCACACCCAATTCCATTGAGAGTTTTGCTAACGACTTTAATGACTACACTTATAATGACGATACCAATTTCCACTCTTCCCCAATAGAAGGGGAAATACAGCCCGCACCAGAACGGCCAGCACCTTTGAATCAACCTACACCACCTTTTGTTCCGCAGAGGGATTGTAAGGATCGTTTAATTGCTTTACAAAGAAGTTATATTCAACTCTGTGAGCAGAGAATTTCACTTCTTCAGCAGAGAATTGATATAGAGACATCCACTGCACTTTCAGAAGATGACAAGAAGAAGAAAAGAATAGATTTGGGGGAACGTGTCTTAAGGGTTGAGGCAGCACAGCAAAGGGTTAAAAATGACCTCAATTCGGTAAATTCAACGGTTGTCCAGACCCCATCTCCGGCTGTATCACCACCTCAATCCAACGTTGTGGTTGCTCAAGTTGCAGATACTATTATGGAGCGCACCTCTCAAGAAACACCACTAACAAGGCCACCTGTACACAATTCTGAGGTCACAGTGCAACCGTTGATCCAGAGCTCTGCGCTTTCAACTGAGACTCCAGGAAATATTATGGACATGGACATTCCGGATGAAGATTTACAAATCGAAGATGCCGAGATGGCTGATGAAGAGGAGGAGGAGGATGATCAAGGAGTTCATACCATGGATGGCCTTGTAACTAGTGATCCTGAAGATGAAGATGAAATCAGAAGAGAATTGGGTGATTTTGTAATTTATGAAGATGGAAAGGAAGATTCCGAAGATGAAGATTTTGTGGATGCCTCTGAAAACATTGAACCTCTCGATGATGACGATGATAATGATGAAAACGATGAAGCCTTTAGTGTGTTAAAAGTTTCGCAAAGTGAAGTTTTGAATTTGAGAAACTCTAGTGACTCTGAAGGTGAGGATATTGTCCCTGACTCTTATAAGAGAGTAGAAGAGCAATCATCTAGTGATCTAGAAGAAATTCAAGATTTCACTGCACATGAAAGCAAGTTGATAAGATCTGACGATGAAGATGATGACATTCCAGAAGCTTATGAGATCGGAGACAACTTTGATGATGAAAGAGAGATCATTCAGTCTCAAGAAGCTATTCAGATCAATTCAGATAGTGACCTTGATAACATGGACATACCACCTCCTAAACTGCCCCTTGTATCCCGCACGCAATTTGATAATGTTCCAAGCTCGCCAATTATGGAATCTCAGATAGAATCTCAGTTGGATGATCCTGAATTCGACAAATTGTTAGAACAAGGCCCATTACCTGGTGAGTCATATCCTTGGACCAATGAAGTTTTTGCTAAACTCAAGCAGGTTTTCAAACTATCTTCGTTCAGACCAAATCAACTGGAGGCTGTCAATTCGACCCTTTCTGGTAAAGATACTTTTGTTCTTATGCCAACAGGAGGAGGAAAATCGTTATGTTATCAATTGCCGGCTGTCGTGAAATCTGGTACAACTAGCGGTACTACAATCGTTGTTTCTCCATTGATTTCGTTGATGCAAGATCAAGTGGAACATTTGTGGGCTAAGAACATTCCAGCTGGCCTGATCAACAGTAAGAGCTCATCTGAAGAGAGAAAAACAACGTTCAATTTGTTCGTCAATGGTATGTTGGATTTGGTTTATCTATCGCCAGAGATGATCAGTGCTTCTAAACAGGCACAGTCTGCAATCTCGAGATTGCACAAGGAGGGCAAGTTGGCGAGAATTGTGATTGATGAAGCTCACTGTGTAAGTAGTTGGGGTCATGACTTTCGACCAGATTACAAAGCACTTTCTATTTTCAAGGATCAGTATCCCGATATACCTGTCATAGCATTGACCGCTACCGCAAACCAGCAGGTTCGAATGGATATTGTCCATAATTTGAAATTGAAAGATCCTGTTTTTTTGAAACAGAGTTTCAATAGAACAAACTTGTTTTACGAAGTTTTACCAAAGGACAAGAACTTCATGAAAGATCTTGAAACAAAGATCAAAACCAAGTTTAAAGATGAGACAGGTATCATTTATTGTCATTCAAAGAACTCATGTGAACACACCTCTGAAAGGCTCATGAATGCCGGAATTAAGGTTGCATTTTATCATGCCGGAATGGATCCTGATGACAGATTAGTGATACAAAGGAAATGGCAATCTGGAGAAATCAAGGTCATATGCGCAACCATTGCATTCGGTATGGGTATTGATAAACCAGATGTCCGGTTTGTGATTCACCTAACTCTTCCTCGCACTTTAGAAGGCTACTATCAGGAAACTGGTAGAGCTGGTAGGGATGGGAAGTACAGTTGGTGTACGCTATACTTTAGTCTCCGTGATGCAATTCTACTTCAAAATATGATCCATAGGGATTCTGAACTGGATGCAGCTGGTAAAGATAAACATTCAAACAAATTGAGACAGGTTACACAGTACTGTGAGAATCGTACGGATTGTCGACGTGAACAAGTACTGCGCTACTTTAACGAGGAGTTCGATAAACGTGACTGTCACAACAACTGTGATAATTGTAAAGCTGGTGGTACAGAGATGCTTCACCGTGATGTCACTGAATATGCTAAAAAATTCACATCATTGGTGAAGCAAATTCAGAAAAACAAGGTGACACTGATCTACTGTCAAGACATTTTCCGTGGCTCTAAAGCAAATAAAATTGTTCAGTCTGGTTATGACAAGTTGTCTGAACACGGTGCAGGAAAAAATCTAGATAAAGTTGATCTACAAAGAATGGCCTTCCACTTAATCTCTGAGAAGATATTGGAAGAGTTCAATGTGATGAACAATGCTGGTTTTGCAGCTAGTTATATCAGGGTTGGGCCAAACGCCAATTTACTAATGTCAGGTAGAAAGAAGATTGTGATGAGTTTTGCTGATAAAGCTCAACAATCGACAAGTGATCGGGCCTCTGGGCGCAGTTATACAGACACTGATAACAATCAGATGCCTTCATCCACTCCAAAGATCATCAGTGCAAGAACACACCTTGAAAGAACTTCTTCAGGTTTAGCACCTGCTCCACCTCCCATTCCAACGATGAGAACAGCGCCTCAATCCACTAGAATTACACTCAATATGAGACAATTTGAGACTGAGCAGGACAAGACAAGATTCGTTGAGTGTTATAAGCAATTGTCTGATAAATCCCATGAAATTATGAGTCGGTTGAAGTTTAAGTTGAGTTCTTCGGTGTGTACCGCTGTCACTCTACGCGATATGGCCTCCAAGCTCCCACAGACCGAATCCGAATATCTCCAGCTAGCTGGTGTCACGACCGATGACCATAAAAAGATGTTCAAGTATTTTGAACCTCTGTTGAAGAAGTTGAAATCCGAAGGTGCTGATGGATCGAGGTCTAGATATTGGAATCGTCAAAGACAAGAGGACAACATGGCAATTATTGACGTGTTAAAAGCGTCTCAGAAGCCGTCGCAAGATAAGTCCAAACCTAACGGTAGAAAGGGCAAAGCTGGTTCTAAAAGTGGTGGAAAGAGCAATGGCTCTGGTTTCAGAAGGGGGAGCAGTCAGACTAAGAGAAAGGGAGGAAGGTCGGTAAGAGGTCCAAGAACTAAACAATTATCAATGCCTTTATAGTTGAACGTGAACTCAATTATATATTATGACAGCGTATGTAAGGCCAAATATCATCAACCTATTTAATGCCAAGTTTTGCAAGTTACACTGTATCATCGTGGTATACAAATCTCGTGTCCTTTGGGTTCTTCGGAGCGTGTTTAAAATAAGACGAATCATCTGGCGGTCTCTCTGACCTTGTATTCGAGGCCAGGAATGAATGGAGCGATAAGAGTATACTTCTGATGGTATGAACAGGTGTCCATGCGGTCCCCAGCAGATCAAGGCAGATGTGACCGTTTGTATATATATGTGGATGTATTGGTATCGAAACGATTCCCCGATCAATATCCTTGACAAACATACACGCTGGAGGCGTGAATGGATATTCCTCTGTGATGGTAAACTTCACCTTGTAAACCTGGTCCTTATACAGCGGGTTTCCATCTACTGATATTGTGGCGAAGAGAACGTAGATATTATCTGTTAGCTCGATGTTTATCCCGTCCAAAGTCTCCTTCTCTAAGCCTCTCAGCTCTTTGAGAATACGGTTACGAGCAGCCATTGTAATCCTTATGGAGTCTTTTTAGAGAGAGAGATGGTGCGTGGTGATACGAGAGGTCTGATCAAGATTGTATTTCGGTTTCAATGTGTTTATTAATTTTTCCCTCACTTTGTCTTGCTTTTGTGTCAAATTTGAAGAGCATTGATGTTTTCTGGTGTGTCCCCAACCAGTTGATTTAATTATAATCATAATTAAATTTATAATCTTCAAATGGTGGTTCGTATCGAACTTTGAAAACAGGAAACCAGAACTTCTGAAAGATTCATCAAATCTCCAAACTTCGTGTGTGTTTTTGTATTCATCCAGCTGGTCACCAAGGGCTCATTGTTTATACCGTGGTGATTAGATTGTACTTTTATTGCACTGTGTCGTGGTGCTGAGAATCCACTTCTTTTTGACGTGTGCTTGCCCTGAAATTGCAACCTTGGACACCTCTTGACCCTGAAATTACCACCAAGTGGAATATACATCGAGAACGGGTTCCGTACCACCACCGTATACTTGTTACCCGTTTGCAAATATGGATTGGAGTAAACAGAAAAGAAGCTCCTTCTCTATGGGCTCATTGAATGCTCGTGAGTGATCTACCTTTTCCTTGCTCTACTTGAAGAACCTTCTACTAACACACATGCTCTCCGCTATAATAGCAGCATATCCACATCAACATCATCAAAACATTAGCTCTTCAACACAACAACGCCCAGTCCTGCAACAACCGTTATCGGCTTTGCCTGTACGCTCAGCTTATTATGAATCACATGGACCACTCTTCTGCAGCGATTGGAAACCAACAGAGCAGCACTCATTTCACACGATTGCTGTTTCGTCGTACAGAGAACACTCTTACAACAAGATTGAAATTGTAGAAGCGTCGCCTGAGCTGGTGGAACAGGTGGATGGAAATAGAGGTGGTGGCGGTCTCTCTCTGAAGAAGTTCGCCGATGCCACAGTGGATCTGCCGGTGACTAAACTACAGTGGGACCCCTCAGGATCAAACAAGTTGGTCACTACGACAAACGTCTTAACCGTTTGGGAACTATCACCTGACAATCGCTTGGTGGCTCACTCAACAGTGGCGAATAAAGGCGATGACCTCACAAGAGCATCGCATCCCCCTCTAACCTCCTTTGACTGGAACAAAGTTAACCCAAACCTCATCATTACGAGCAGTATTGACACTACATGTACTGTATGGGACCTACACAGGCCTATCTATCCAAAGACACAGCTCATTGCACATGACTCTGAAGTCTTTGACGTTGCTTTCATAAAGGGCTCGACGGATATCTTTGCGAGTGTTGGGCACGATGGTTCTGTACGCATGTTTGACCTCAGATGCCTAGAACACTCCACAATCGTGTACGAGCCTCGTGGGCCAGAGGAGGTTGGTGCAATGCCAGGGAAGACCAATGACATGAACAGCTTACCACTGCTGCGACTGGCCACCTCGAACACGGACTCCAACGTTATGGCCACTTTTGTCGGTGGGTCCGACAGCATCGCCATAATCGACATGAGGTACCCAGGCTATGCAAGCTCGATGCTCAAGGGCCACTCCTCGCCGCTGAACTCCATACAATGGCACCCGTCGCAGTCCAAGCTGTTGTCCGGCGCTGACGACTGCCAGGCACTCGTGTGGGACCTAAAGGAGTCTCGTCTGAGAAACGGCACAGGCCTGCCGAGCGGCGTGTACGGTGATATGATGGAGATCAACAACGTCTCCTGGAGCTCCGACGGTGAGTGGTTCGGAGTCGTCGCAGGCAAGGGCTTGCAGGCCGTTAGAGTGTAACCTGTACAGTTTGGATGCGTATCTGCCTCATCAATTATAGCACAACACATACATAATTACTCAACCTAATAGCTATGCTGTTCCCGAGTCACGCGTACACCCTCCCGCCAGCCACTAAAACCCACGGTCTGCAGTGCCAACCTCGCCCTGACTCCGGCCAATCGCATGTGAAAACTGTTTGGGCGGCTGCAAGGAACAAAAAAAAATCTTTGTGGTAATCTGACTCGGCCCACAGTATCAACAACGGGCAGGGACCGAAAAGCTGGGGTGGGTGGGCCCGTCTAATAAACACGAATTTTAACTCTGGATCAAGGGGAAATGGGCAGGGCAATAAAAGTTTTGTATATAAATTGACGATGATCTTCCCTCGCGTCCCGTTTTCTGTAGCCTGTGCTTTGATTTTGTTAGTTCTCGCTGTTAACTCACACTGCCAGGTTTTATCTCTTTTCCCTTCAGTCAACTATGCTTAGAGCAGTGACATCAGTGGCCCTGAGATCCTCATCTCGCACCCTCGTTATCAGAGCTGCTGCTAGACGGCTCATCGCATCGAAGAGCGACGTGTCCACTGCGAAGTTCAACCAGATCTACGAGCCCTTAAGTGCGTCGTCCCTGCCTGTTGACCACCTGAAGCCTTTAGATACGTTCCAGAGACGCCATCTGGGCCCAAACACCACCGATGTGGAGCACATGCTGGGTACCTTGGGCTACACAGAGTTGCAGGACTTCATCAAGGAAGTTGTTCCAGAGAACATTCTCGTTCAGAGAAAGCTGAACATTGAGCCGGAAAACGGGTTCACGGAGTCTCAGCTGATTGAGCGTCTCAAGCAGTTTGCCAGTCAGAACAAAATCTACAGATCCTTTATCGGTAAAGGTTACTACAACACCATCACACCGCCAGTGATTCAGAGAAACATCTTGGAATCGCCAGAATGGTACACCTCTTACACACCATATCAGCCAGAGATCTCTCAAGGACGTCTTGAGTCTCTTTTGAACTTCCAGACAGTTATCTCTGACCTGACAGGGTTGCCTGTGGCTAATGCATCGCTTCTTGATGAAGGTACTGCCGCTGCTGAGGCAATGTCCTTGTCCTTCACGAACTCAAAGAAGAAGAAATCCAAGTACGTTGTTGATTCTGATATACACCCACAAACCCTTTCCGTTTTGAAGACAAGAGCAGCTCCGTTGAATGTTGAGCTTGTGCAATTGGACTTGTCATCCCCTTCAGCTGTGCAAGAATTGGAAAGCATCAAGAATGAGGTTTCCGGTGTCTTGTTACAGTACCCAGGTTCATCTGGTGAAATCTCAGACTACACACATTTGCAACAGATTGCCGATATCGTCCACTCGTCTAAAGGACTGTTTGCTGTGGCTACTGATCTTTTGGCGTTAACTTTGCTCAAGCCACCATCATCGTTTGGCGCTGATATCGCTCTCGGTTCATCTCAAAGATTCGGTGTCCCAGTAGGATACGGTGGTCCACATGCTGGATTCTTCTCCGTTATCCAAACATTGAATAGAAAGATTCCAGGAAGAATTGTTGGTGTCTCCAAGGACCGTTTGGGTAACAGTGCATTGAGATTGGCTCTTCAAACTAGAGAACAACATATCAAAAGAGACAAGGCTACTTCCAACATCTGTACTGCTCAGGCATTGCTTGCCAACATGGCATCCAACTTTGCTGTCTACCACGGTCCAGAAAAGTTGAGACTCATTGCTCAAAGAACATATGGTTACACAACGTTACTCGCTGAAGAGGTTGCTAAGAAGCATACCATATTGAACAAGAAATGGTTTGACACCTTGACAATAAAACTTGAAGGTGTCACCGCTGATGAGCTCTTGAAAACAGCTGTTGAGAAATACCAAATCAATCTGTATAAAGTTGACAGCAACACTGTCTCTCTTTCTCTGGATGAAACTGTCACTGAGAAGGACTTGAAGGACCTTGTGGAGTTATTCACTGGTGCTACTATTGATACGCAAGCAATTTCCCAATTCCCAGTCTTCCCAAAGACTCGTATCAGAACTGACAAGTTCTTGACGAACCCAGTGTTCAACCTCCATCATTCTGAGACTGCAATGCTCAGATATTTGCACCATTTACAATCCAGGGATTTGTCTCTTGCCAACTCCATGATTGCCCTTGGTTCATGTACCATGAAGTTGAATGGTACCGTTGAGATGCTTCCAATTTCATGGCCAGAGTTTGGTGCCTTGCATCCCTTCATCCCGAAAGACCAGGCTCAAGGTTATGCTGAGTTGATCAAAGAGCTTGAGAGTGACTTGGCTAACATTACTGGTTTCAAGGCCACAACACTTCAACCAAACTCTGGTGCTCAAGGTGAATTTACCGGCTTGAAAGTCATCAGAGCTTACTTGGAGTCCAGGGGTGAACAACATCGTAACATTTGTTTGATTCCTGTTTCTGCTCATGGTACAAACCCTGCTTCTGCTGCTATGTCCAACTTCAAGGTTGTTCCAGTGAAGTGTTTGAGCAATGGTTCCCTTGACCTTGTCGATCTTGAGGAAAAAGTTGCAAAACATAAGGACAATTTAGCTGCTATCATGATCACATACCCATCAACATACGGTTTGTTTGAACCAGGTGTTAAGACTGCCATCGATCTTGTTCATGCTAACGGTGGTCAAGTGTACTTGGATGGTGCCAATATGAATGCTCAAGTAGGTCTCACATCTCCAGGCGATTTGGGTGCTGACGTTTGTCACTTGAACTTGCACAAGACATTTGCCATCCCACACGGTGGTGGTGGTCCAGGTGTTGGTCCAATCTGTGTTGCCGAACATCTTGAACAATTCTTGCCAAAGCATGAAGTTATTGCCATTGAAGGCCAGACTGAAAAGTCCATTGACTCTGTTTCTTCAGCCCCATATGGTTCTGCATCCATTTTGCCAATATCATACAGTTACATCAAGTTGTTGGGTGGTGCTGGTCTTCCATTCAGCACTTCCATTGCCATTTTGAATGCCAACTACATGATGAACAGGTTGAAAGAACACTACGATATTGCATTTGTCGGGTCTGATGACATCAAGTTCTGTGGTCATGAATTCATCTTGGACTTGAGAAGTTTCAAGAACAAAGGTCTTGAAGCTATTGATGTTGCAAAGAGATTGCAGGATTATGGTTTCCATGCTCCAACTTTGGCCTTCCCAATCCCAGGTACTCTGATGATTGAACCTACAGAATCTGAAAACAAGCAGGAATTGGACAGATTCTGCGATGCCCTAATTTCTATCAAGGGGGAAATCGAAGCACTCGTTGCTGGGGAACCATTGGGTCAAGTTTTGAAGAATGCACCACATTCATTAAGTGATTTGGTTTCCTCCAACGATTGGGAGTCCAGAGGATACACAAGAGAACAAGCAGTATATCCACTTCCATATCTGAAAACACACAAGTTCTGGCCACCAGTTGCCAGATTGGATGATACTTATGGTGATTTGAACCTGATGTGTACCTGTTCTTCTGTTGAGGAGGTTGCTAATGAATCCTAACTACGACAACATTTATAAAGTACAAGACGAATAAAATGAACGTTGAATATATCATTTCATAAAACTAATAGAGTGGTAAATGCAATCATACCCCATAGTTTCTTATCCAGGAGAACTCTTTGAGCTGAACTGTCATCTGGCTTGGCTAACTGTAACACTGCGTCGCCAACAATATTACAAGTATCATATGACGTGTCACTATTGTAGTAGTTGTAGCTCATCATAAGGATTGTATCATTGTTCTGAGGACACTGAAATCCAAAGCTTGCTGGACAAGTTCTCACTATCTCGTTACACATGTCAATACATGGTAACACCTCATAATAGCTCCTTTGAGGTTGTATCAAGTTCTGTAATTCCTCTGTACGCATTTCTCCCGCCTCTCTCCTGATAAAATAAGATGAACTATTCGTTGTGCAACGAGGTATGGTAACAGAGCATAGCCAGTTCTTGTACGCTTCTTCGCAATCCTCGCAGGTCACTATTGGGGAATACCTTGAGTCAAGACTAACATCACAGGACACCTGTTGCATTAATAAGGAGAAATTTGCATATATCGCAGCAGCATAGGCATCATATAACAGTTTGAGATCTCGGTTATTGTCAGTTAAGTTTGAGCGTGGCACTGAGTACGCCACATTTGAACAGAATTCCAGGTCATAGATAAATTCGCAAACACCGCCTTCCTGTGTTGTAAACTTCCGTGGGCTATAAACAGTACCGCTTGCTCCTGAATTCCCCAGGCCAAAGGTCAATATTGAATAGTAGGTCGTTGATGGGTCCAGCCCTTCGACGTAAAGTTGTAGTCTGTAAGAACCACTCAAGTTTCTGTATCCAACTTGAATTAAATCATCAGAAATGACAGTCTGGGCCGCAGTTACAGCTGCCCAGCTCTTTAGCAGACCAGCAACTTTCCCAAATCCATCTTCATCAAACACATGGAGCTTTAAGGAGCCAGTCTCGTTTACTATTCTGTAGAGACTGTCCGCACTGACATTATAACGTGAAGATTGTAAAAAGGCTGATGATCCGTCGGTATCGACAACATCTGCTAGAGTTCCATTATCCCACTGATAGATCAGCTCAGAGCTGGAGAATCCAAATGTAAACTTTGCCTGGTCAGTCTGATCAAAGTATCGACTGGTTGTTTGGAAATAGGGCTCGACGTAAATGGTCCCATTCAGTGCAACGTAGTTGTTTGAGTAGTATACTATATCAGATGCATACCCTTCTTCAAAGAACTCCGTCACTGCGTACGTTGTATCATTTATGTACAGGTTTAGTCCGAACAGATCATCGAGTGCCTCATCACTCACAAGCCGTGACATGTTCAACGGGTATTCAATAACGTTTGCAGTGAAGTAGTGCAAGGATATGTACGACACGTTCGGCGTCGTGAAATCAAACCTGTATAGAGCATGTTCACCTGGTCCTATAGACACCTCCACGGGCGATCCGTCGGTCATCTCGATTGCATTCGCAAAATCATCCGCATCCAGTGTATCTCGGGGTACCAGTGGTAGGCGGTTTTTGGTCTGTGGGTACCGAGTCAAAGGCATCTCGCCCATATCTTCAACACCAATTTTGTACTGCCAGTCCCTCTCAAAGTCCTGAACCACCAGCTGGGACAGTGCCGCAGTTGCAAGCAGCACAGGCAGTGTGTATATCATCCCTAGAGCCCCTCCACCTCTTCTCTTTCACAGATCGTGTGCCCAATGTAACGAACAAGGCTTTCCTATTCCATACAAAGACCCTTCGTAGTGTGTGTGCGCTGTGGGCATATAAAATGTTAAGAATAGCCCGCTGTGATTTCCGACCACATTTACCCCCGGATATGTGGCGTGTGTCCTGTACCATGTGTCTGCAACGCCGTTTAAAGTTCCTCGTGCACAGTTTGAAAGCATCAAACTCACTGGCGCTAAAACCACGCTGGGTTCACTCCACCCCTTAACTCCACCCTTTAACTCCACGCACATCTACCAACACCAGGCATCGAGAGTCATCCTTACTGATACGCTGTGTTATCACAGATCTCTGAAAAAAATGACACAAGAAGCATGAAGTGAGGGTCACACGCTGTATACGCGGAATGAAAGCAGCCCAGGAGCCTATTTTTGCGTCATAAATGAGCCAGCCCTACGTTTATCTCCCTTGTTCTTCTGAGTGTTACTAACGTGGGAAAGAAATTTCCCGCCCAATCTTCCCGCGCTGCCGGGAAAAGCTACTTGTGTTTTAACGCCACTGGGTCCGCCGTACTACAAAAACTCCACCAGGTGCACTGCTTTTTTTTCATTAGTGGTTCACGCTGCTTCTACGGTAACACACTCTGCTTCTACGGTGACGCAAAGCTAAATTTTTTTCGCCTGTGTGTTTTTTTATTGCGCATACCACCGGGTTTTATTAATTTTGGATCCCCCATTACCATCAAACTGGACAAATTTAAAGAAAAACAAAAAGCAAAACGAAAAAAGTCCAGTCTTTCTTCTAATCCCTCTTTAGGCGCAATCAATTACTATGAACCATATGAAGGCGGTATTCATAGAACAAGCGGTATGTGATTCAACACCACCACTTTCTCTCCTCTGTCACTGTCTCTCTTCTGTCTTTTCTTTTTTTTTTCTGTTTTGATTTCTCGTTTTCGTTTTTGTGTTTTTCGGTGTTCTGTTTTGATTTTCCCGTGTGGTATGGGTTTAGGGCTCTGTGAAGGGCTCGGACTCCATGAGGATCGCCACGATGGACGTGAAAGTTGCAAATATCAAAGCAATAGCGGACGAAGAGAACAGTAGAGGAGCTGTGTCTGCGGATGTGTGTGTGTGTTTTTTAGAACGTTGATGTACTAACGCTAGCATCAGTGTGACTCGTGCCGAAAGAGGAAGCTGAAATGTTCCAAAGACCTCCCCAAGTGCTCCAAGTGTCAGCAACACAACTGGGAGTGTAACTACTCGCCAAGGGTAGTTAGAAGTCCGCTAACGAGAATCCATTTGACAAAAGTGGAGAATAGGGTGCGTGGTTTGGAAGCTATCATACACGAGCTGCTGCCAGAAGTGGATATCGACAAACTTCTGAGCCGTCAGGTTGCAAGGATTTCCACGCCAAGGCAACAGACCTCCGAGCCTCAATCACCAGTGACACAGCAGCCTTTGAAACGTACACAGAGCTCAGAATACCCTGAGATACCAGAGGATGACGTTCCGGATGATGCAATCTATGGGTTTGACTGGAACGAAGAAGATATCGATGCCTTAAATGACGGAATGGCTGCTTTAAGTGTTGACCCCTCTAATAAGGGCTATTTCGGCGTTGCGTCAAGTGCAGTTATTGTTCGAGCTCTACGGAAGCCTTCACAGGATAGAGATATGGATGAATCCGTGTATACTAATGCATCTGACTCGAGAAGTAACTCAAAGACTTTGCCAGATTTGGATTCGACTGTGTCATTGACTGCAAAGTACCTAACAAACGAGTTCATTGACTCATATTTTGAAAACTACCACAGCTCTTACCCATTCATACACAAGGAGACATTTTTGGCTCAGTATAGGGATGAAATCCCAATTCCAAATAATGACATTTGGCAAATACTATTGAATGCCGTGCTGGCATTGGGTGCCTGGTGTTTGCACGGTGAATCTTCAAATTTTGATCTTCACTACTACCAAAATGCGAAATCATATCTATCTTCCTACGTGTTTGAATCTGGAAGCATACCGCTATTACTGGCTTTGACGCTGTTGAGTAACTATGCTCAAAAGAGAAATAAACCGAATACTGGTTGGAATTATTTAGGTTTGGCTGTGAGAATGGCAATGGGTCTTGGATTGTACAAGGAGTTTGCAAACTGGTCTAGTTCTAAACAACAATTACAATTGGAGATGAGAAGAAGAATCTGGTGGGGTTTGTACATATTTGATGGAGGTGCAGCAATCACGTTTGGAAGACCAGTAAATTTACCAGATGCGCAGATGATGGACATCAACGAAGTTTCAAATATTGATGATGACGATCAAATCATGATGGGAAGTAATAACAAGGAATTAAGAGTGGTTGAATATCCAACGATATATTCAGGACTGATATGGCAAGCAAGATTCACAATCATCTCAACAGAAATTTACAACAGACTCATATCAACACCAAGACCTGGAACCCACGAATGCCTTGCAATGAATGATCGTATAACCAAATTTGTCTCTGAGCTGCCAAAATACTTTTCTGAAGATAAATCCATAGCTGAATCGGCTTCTCAAATACCTGGTGAAAATGGAGTTCCCGAATGGCTGGCATTCACAAGATACAGATTGATCTGGAGATACAAGAATTTACAGCTGATCCTGATGAGAGCGTTTGTATTACAACGTGTTGTTGGTGTTCAAAATCCTGCCATGCTGGAATTGGCCAAATCTCCTGAAGGTAAGCAGTGCCGTGTCATATGTATGGATGTGACTCACGAAACCATCCTGTCTGTGGCTGAATTTGTCGAGAATCATAAAGTCACCGTCATTACTAGTTGGTATGCAACGTTCTTCTTGTTTCATGCCTCTCTGGTCTCTGTGGTCTGCCTCCGTTCTGATCCAAAGTCTAAGCATGCCGTTGGTTGGAAATCGGACATCATTCTGGCAAAACAAGTTCTGAGATGTCTTGCAAGGGATAACTCATTAGCAAATAAGTTCATTACGGTCATTGATAGCATGTGTGGCCAATACCTCGGTGAGCAATCTGCTGATGACAATAATCAAGCGAACTGTGGGGCTAGCGGGGCTTCCTTTAGCGGCGACACTTCGTTACCACGTCCTTCAAACGGTGATGGCAAGATCAAAGTTGAATCTGATATCTTACCAGATGTAGACTTCACTGATATTGCACTCAACGCTGGCATTAACGAGCTATGGGGTCTACTTCCCTCTGACATTGCCAGTATTGAAACGCCGACTAATGTTGCCAACTGGCCGCAACAAGCTGTGAATGTGAACACCAGCTTGATGGAGATGGGCACGCCTGCTGCACCAAACCTCCAGAACACTCAAATGACAAGCAACACAAATGTCTACGCCAACATGTCAGATGAGATACCACCGCGTCCAGCGCCTCTGTTCACGCATAACGCTGCTGATTTCTCCCGTACGATGAATTCAACTGTCAATTCCTCTATCAACTCGAGAACAGGCACCCCAGCTGCACATCACCATCAGGATCAAGACTTCTACTCCTTGTTCATGACAGATGCTGACCATATGGACGCAAAGCCACCTACAGACATGTGGAACCACTAAGTCGCACACTGCACCTGCTGGCGACAAAACTAAATAAGTAAAGAAAACCCACACTATAACGAATGTGATGATATAATATAACTAATACCGATCTCGGAACATAACATCCGTACAACATCTGGTAGGGACACGGATCCCGGGTGACACACTGCCCCGACGCCCTAAAAGGAACACGGCAAAAAACCCGTACAAACTGTGTGTCACACCCAACTGTTTTGTGACACAACACAATTTGGGTATAAAATTAGGCGATCGGCTGAGTTTCAACACCTCCTTGAAATCAACAGATAACGCAACTTACACACGTCTTTAACCAACAACACCTCTTTCTTTCTCTGTTTTTTACTCTTTTCTGGTTGTTTGGTTTTGCCTGTCTATCCATATTCTCGCTATTGTGTTTAGGGGGCCTGTCTCTGAGTTCTGAGTTTTTGAATAGCGTCTGGTTTGTCGATTGCAAGCGGTAGTAACAAATGATGGTGGCAAATAGACTGAAGAACCTGGCACAGGTGACGAGGGGCGCGGTCCGTGACGTTCGTCGTGCCTTGGAGGACTTGCTGGATGGCTTGAATCTTCAGCCAAAGCCACAACTCGTCCGTGTTCCTGTTCGAGCGGATAACGGCATCAGATCGCCGTTTAACAGAGGAGGCCCAAGGTCGTTTAGCACGTCACGTGTGTTTAAAGCCTACGCAACGAATAACGCGAACTTTGGTGCTTTTAGAAATAGGGGTTTCTTCAAGTTTATACGTTCAAAGCCTAACTTGACCTTGAGATTGTGGCCGAGCTCGACCTATAACTCTGCTCTGAGAACCCCGTTCCAAAGATTTGCCTTTGCAAAGGCGCCGTTACGTGGGACACTGTACAACAGCTTTGTTAACCTCAGCGCGAGGAGCTTCACAACTGTCCATGGTGGCTCGTATGGCCAGGACGGCATCTTGAACCTATTCATTGGGTTTCAAACCTTGATAGACGATCAGAGAACGGCGTTGCAACTTTCGAAGATGAACAAGGCCATTTCCATGAACAGGGAAAGTTCACATGTGAGATCATTCCATGGGTGTGCATCCCAAAGTGCAGCTTGTGAGACTCTACAACTCGCTAGATCTGAATCAACACACGTTGCCAAACTGGGCGCATATGTTGAATTCAAATTCCCCAAAGTTGAATTGTCAATTCCATCTGTTGCTTTTATGAACTCTGAGATCATGGGTTCAATAGAGGAGGAATTCCAACTGATCAAGAAGCAAATCGACACAGCAAACCATAACATCAAGTTAATCTTTGAAAACTATGGTTCGTTACCTATTGAGAGAATCGGTTCCAGTGTAAGAATCCATTTCCCAAACTTGGAGGCTGAAGAGCTCGAAAGACTTCTTATTGATTTGAACATTGATGATGGGTTGGTGTTCACCATGGATGAATTGGATGTAACGATGGAGGCCAATACAGCTGGTTCTGAGTTATCCTCTTCGTCTCTCTCCGATTTGATTGAAGACTGTGTTCCAGGCCTGGTTTCTTCGGAAAGCGGCTCTGAAGTCTCAAGCATGTGTGATTCCGCAGAGTTCTTCCCTGTCTTGTCATCTTCAGATTCTCAATACCTGACTCCAATTGACCCATCTGAGGCTTCAAGTCCAGTAATTATCGCTGCTGATGATGACTTCACATTCTCACAGGTTTCAGCGTAGAGGGAGCCTTCACGGATTGATCTATGGGCACCAGGGGCGGTGTTCAGTTCTTATTGACTACTATATAATACGAATTTATGAATATTTCAACGATACATTTGAAAGTCCCCTAGATAAGGTCCGATGGACAACAGGCAGTATAAGTTTCAACACCACCTATTACGGGTGTGGTCACCACTGCACTTGGAGTGCGTGTGCATCCCCCCGGCTGGGAAAAATAATTCCTCCCTCTACGTGTCAGACTTGTTTTGGAGAAGAAACGCCGCCAACTATTGGAAAACACTGGAGCCAATTCAACGGCATTAACCATTCGTGGAAGTGATAGTTTAGTCCTTGTGTTTTAATTCAGGTTCTGTGTTGATTCGTTTTAAGCACAGATGATGTCTTCAAATAACAGCGATCATCCCGTGGATGATTCCTTCCAAGATGCCGTCGATGAAATTCATTCCGGGAGCGAACAGAGAGACGTATCAGACACAGAGGTGGAGGATACTAAGACCAAGCTGGATAGCGAAGAGGGTGGAGCTGCTGGTGAGAGTTCAACCGGTGATAACGATCACAACGGCGACGATGATGGCGACGATGATGGAGAAGAGATTCCGAATGACCCTGAGCCTTCGGAAGCAGATGACCGCGAAGGCGGAGGTGATGAAGGCGCCGAGGGTGAAGACGACGGTGAGCAGGAGGAATCCCAAGTTCCAGCTTTTGATGAGGTGCCATTAGATGGATCCGAAGAGTCTGGGCTGAATGGCTCGTCGGCTAAGAGCTTGGATGAGAAGCTTGAAGAGCTGGCTGTTGAAGAGGCGAAAGACAATGATGAAGCGAAACTTCAACCAGCTGCAATCATCTCCCCTCCAATCCTTCCAAGTCGTGAAAATGTGACGAGCAACTCCTCAGCCGATGGTCCTGTCTTGCCACCAAGAGACTTGGAGACCTCAGGCTCGGTGGCACCGCCGCCGCCTCCTAGGGACACTGATGCCGCCAAGTCAGAAAGACCAGTACCACCACCACCTCCTCCTAGGGATGTGAATGCTGCTGTCTCTGAAGAGGAACATGCTCCGCCATTACCTGAAAGACATGATATATTCAAAACCGCAGCCTCTTTGACACCGCCTCCTCTTCCTCCCCAGTTGACCCACACGCAGAAACAACACCATAGATCAACAATTTCTTCTTGGTTCCATAGGGGAGATTCAAGTGGTTCATCCGGCCCAAGAAAGTCCACTGTTGAGTACGATGAAAATTACGATCTGTTGTTAAGCAGACTGGATAAGAATCATGAAGCCTTTTCCGCTAAGGATGATGTCTTGAAAGCTCAGATCAACTCTGCACATGAGACGTTAAAATCAACATTTGCCGACAAACTCACCAGTTTAGAAGATGAGACATCTGTAGATGATTCTGAACTAAAGATTGATTGGCCATTCTGGACAAGGGTGGTGAACGACTATCCATCGGTGGTTAAATCCGATGCTGTGACTCTATCCAACCATCTATCAGGCGGTATTCCTGAACAGATCAGAGGTATTGTATGGCAGCTGGTTTCTAACTCAAATCCTCAAGAGTTTGAAGATGTGTACAATGTATTGAAGGATCAGGAGTCCAAATCTGAAAAGGCAATTCAAAAAGATCTCAGCAGAACGAGCTTCATCTCAGACGTTGGACTGGACCAAGATGCGTTGTACCGGGTCATAAAGGCTTATTCAAATATGGATGAAGAGGTTGGTTATACCCAAGGAATGGCATTCATTACAGTTCCTCTTCTTATTAACATGGATGAGCTCCAAGCCTTCAGTTTGCTCCATAAGATCATGTATGACTATAACGCAAGATCGCTATACTTACCTGAAATGCCAGGATTGGTGCTGAAATTGTACCAGTTTGACAGACTCGTTGAAGATTTGTTACCAAACTTGTACAACCATTTCCAGAGACAGGGAATAAGATCGTCTATGTACGCCAGTCAGTGGTTCCTTACCTTCTTTGCTTACAAATTCCCATTGCAATTCGTAATGAGAATCTTTGATCTGATCATTACTGAAGGTGTTGAATCTATTTTAAAGTTTGCTGTCGCTCTGGTTCAGAAAAATGAAGAAAAGCTTCTGACACTTAACTTTGATGATCTGCTCAACTTCTTGAAGGGTAATCTCTTTGACGTTTATAGTCTTGTGCCTGTGTCCGAGCAAAGTGAAGAAGATGAAGCAAAGGTGCCACCTTCTAGAACAGTTCCAATTACCCCCGAAAACTATGACGTTGATGCTTTTGTTGACGAAGCAACCAAAGTTAAGCTTCTCCCAATGACATTGAAAAGATACGAAAACGAATGGAAAGAAGTCAACCGTGAGGAGAAGGAGAGACGTGAAGAAGTTGACCAGCTTAAACTCAGAAACACCCAATTAGGCAAAGAGATTAAAAACCTTGAGGCTAGTTACACGATATTGAACAGAGAACACGTTCAAATTGCCAATGAACTAATCACAGGAAGAATAAAGATTGCTGAATTAGAGGATGAGGCTAAGGATCTGAAGGAGCAGAATCAAAACCTTCGGAACATGGTGAAGAGCTTACAAGAGAACCCTATCAGCGAGAACGTTCCAATCCCAGAGGCACTTGAAGCTGATTTGAAAAGAACAATGGAGAGAAACTTGGAAGTTATGAGTCAAAACCAAGAACTTGAAGACCAAGTCCAGTCACTTCTTCAAGAAGTTGAGGAATTGAAGGCTAAACTCAAGGAGCATGAGGAGCAACCAGCTACATCTCCAACGGAAGAGAAAACTGCTTCGTCCCCACCAAAGCAACAGGGTCTTTGGGGTAAGAAACTCTTCGGATAACATCTTATTAGTTCTTACACTGGCATAAATCTATATATATATCCTATCTATACTATTTCCTTCCTGTATACATCATTCATCTATTGTAGAGACTAAATTGTCGAGATTCAATGTGATGTGGTCCCTACCTGTTTTGACGCCAATTTTCGAACGTCCAAAAATTGAAACATCAACGACGGCATTGGAAGGAGCGAAGGAGATTGAGTCCATTATCAATAAGCAATACCTGGTTTACGTGATGCTTGGTCCTTTAAGCTTTTCGAGATCGTTCTCGTCCACATCTGCTGTTGGTAAAACATACGCTCATGTTGTGAGTCGTAGAGTAGCACGCAGACAAGAGTACAATGTTGGCGACGAGAAGCCAAAGCACATTCCAAACAGACAATTAACACCAGACTACAAATGGGGTGAATCCAGCTTCTTTGCCAGAAGCAATCGTGGACTGTTTGGTGGTTCCTTTATCAAATCTGGTAACCAAATCTCAGAGATGGGAAACAAGAGTAGAAGATTTTGGAGACCGAATGCCCACAAGAAGACGCTGTGGAGTGAGGTACTCAACAGAGGAATCACTTGTCAAGTAACTGCTAAGGTTCTCAAGACAATTGATAAGTCGGGTGGTCTTGACAACTACTTAATCAAGGAGAAATCTGCCAGAGTCAAAGAACTAGGGCCATTTGGATGGAAACTCCGTTTTGAAGTTCTCAAAAAACTAGAACAGAACTCAAAACCTGCTGATTCTCAAAAGTGTACTCTGAAAGACGGCTCTGAAGGTACTATCTACTTCTCTGGTGTCAAAGTTGACGGTATTGATGGCCCATTGGATATTACTCTTGGTAGAAGAAAACTGCTAAACGAGCTTTACGTAGCTGAGAAGAGAGAAAGACAAGCACTTGGGGAAAAGCTCAACGGTAAGCAATTCCATGATGAGTTTAGAGAACTGAGTGCACAGGAGATCTGCCAAAAACTTGCTTCCTACGGCTATGACTTCACCAGCATCACCCCTGCACAGGTCTAATCATTCCGTTGAAATGATACCTCGGGACTCCAAAGTATTCGTGTATATAGAAACATGTTCATAACAGTACGATGCATATGATAAAGAACAAGACGGTGTCTTTGTAGTGGTCAGAATATCCCAAGTAATGGTGTCCATGGGCCTTTCCCGATGCCACTGATTGTTCAACATTGAAGTGAAATCCCTCGAACCAGTAATTAGGGCTTCACAACGATATCAAACCACGTGATGTGACTGCGAACCCTAGGAGGATTTCCATAACATCCGTACATTATCATTAGTCTATAAATCACCGGGACAACACACGGCGAAAAAAACCTCACTCTAGTCGCGGATGCAATGTAGTTTTCTGGTATGTGCACACATCAATGTGGAAGAGGACTCTGTTGGTTTGTGAAAAATATAATCAAATTCACACACAACCGTTAACGTTTCAAACTCAGTAATATCAAACTACACATCAAAAATGGCTAAGTCTGGTACGTTAAATGAAGAAGTGAGAGTGACTATTGTTCGTGAGCTAGACGTATTTGATAGTTGAAGGATTTACAATATACTGGAATCAACATCGTGGTGTATTGATGAGAAGGGACTGTTAGAGGACTAGGCTTGTGTATGACAGAGGGCCATACCTGACACCTTAATCTGTTGGACGTGCTAGGAATAGTCTCTATACTTTATCCTATACGTATATCAACCCATGTGGCAACTTGAAAAAGATATGAGCTCACTATGAACAGGATACTCGAACTGCGGTGTAAACGATCGACCATGTACTAACATATTTGAACAGGTATCGCTACTGGTCTCAACAAGGGTAGAAAGGTTGAACAATTGGAGAAGGTCCCAAAGATCTCTTACAGAAAGGGTGCTGCTTCCAAGAGAACCACCTTTGTCCGTTCTATCGTCAGAGAGGTTGCCGGTTTGGCTCCATACGAGAGAAGATTGATGGAGTTGATCAGAAACGCTGGTGAGAAGAGAGCTAGAAAGGTCGCCAAGAAGAGATTGGGTACTTTCTCCAGAGCCAAGGGTAAAGTTGAGGAGATCAACAACATCATTGCTCAATCCCGTCGTCACTAAGCATCTTTTCTTCTAAATTTTTAACTGAAGAGATTATATCGTTTCTTTTGGGTAATGTGTTGACTTTTTAATGTAAATTTATCGCTCTCATGGATTAGAAGTGATGTTATTGTAGTGTTGACACCCATGTGCTTTTTGTAGCTGAAGGCTTAAGCCTTATACACTTTATTAGCCACCCCCACCCCCCTCACGTTAAGTTTTTCGCTGTCGATCATGAATTTATAGGGAACCGGCTTTTGAACTGTTTAAGTACAACTTCACCTCGCCAACTCCTTATTGTACTTCACCTCTACCATTAGAGCTACTAACCATTGTTGTGTGAATAGGCTACTCCTTCATATTCTTTTCAGCTATGCATCTTCCTTCTTCACGAATTACACCAGGGAGTATTAGGTCAGCCATCAGAGGTTACACCACAAGGCCACCAACGTATTTTGCCCAACACCTACAAAGCTATAACGATAGTAAGGACTTTGCACCCTCACCACAGAATATATTCTCTTCCCCTTCAGCGGCGGAGCAATCTGGTACCAACTATCACCATCAACGAAGTCAAGAACAGAATCAAGGACAACAACAACAACAACACAGCGATAGCAACGATCCTGTGGGGGGTTCCCGTCTTTCTACGATCCGTGACTTGAGTGTTGTTGTTTCCATCCTTTCGTTGACTTACTTTGCCTTGGACAACTACAGAGTTCGTACCACATTGGAGCAACGGTCAATGGAGCAGTCTGTGGCCCATATGAAGAGCATGGCAATTGCCCAGAATAAAGTCAACATGCAGAGAAAAAATAGAGAATTACAAGTTTTAAACGAGAGGAAACAGACTCAAAAGAGGGAGATGAAGATGGTTTATCATATAGCCATGCTTAGAAAGCAATTGATGGATGCCGGTCTCAAACCAAGTGAGTTTGCTCTCTCGATATTTCGGTACATGTGTACTATGAATAGGGTTCGGTACTAACTAAGGTAAAAGTTGAGATTGACAATGCAATGGCAGAATTTGAAAAGAATGTAAAGATGGAAACGGCGATAAGCAATGTCTCTGGAACTGCCCTTTGGGTAGTTGATGAGTCTCGTAAGTGAATTCAACGGTATTTGTTGAGGGGTACACATACTAACAACCAGTTCAGCGATGAAGGGGTACGTTCCAAACGTTCATGACTACGATAATAAGAAACCGTGATATATATAGATTCTCTACATTATGTACTAAAGTGATACATATACAAGAAAGAGCTCCAGTATTGTAGATATACCGCTGTGGAAACAGCCCTAATAGACATAAGTGGTGTTTGGATGTGTATGGATTCTCGTTGGTGGAGGCTGGCGCTGCCTACAAGAAAAAAATTCAACTGAAAGTCTTTCTTGCACTTCTTTCCAACACTTTTTTTTCCTTCTTTACAATGTCTTTTAACTAGGCACCCAGAGTCACGGTCCGATTGCCTTTCTCCTCTATGGACGGGCAAATGTAAGCTATATGTTTGCATTTTTCGTGCTCGCGGTAGCCTTAGATTGAACCAAGGTCAGCTCCAATTGGGGTTGGTCGGTTTTGTCCAACTGTTTTTTGTCGTGTCTTTCTTGTTGTGGATTGACTACGCGGTTCTAAACCTACATATTTCTTTTCAACTATATAGCTTTGTATATATGGCTGTATACGATGTTACAACCATGAGCTCCCTCGTGGTTATATCCCAATGAAACTTTGGTTGTAGATTGACTCTATGTACAAGAATTTGTAAACTCAACTGGTAGATGGGTCATCTCTTTTGTTGAAGAAGCTTTGCATCCACTTTCTCCTGTTCACGTTGTTTAATCTTCAATTCGAGTAAAGAAGGAATAGGACAACATGGTGAACGGGCATCCTCACCTTGATTAGTATAAAATTGTGTGCAACATGCGTACAGTTGATCTATAACTTTGGTACATTTGGACTCATCATAATTGAACCTTTTCAGACATGCTATCGAAAAATGATTAGTCGCCAATTCTCTTCCTCATACCCAATGTATAGCATACTCACCTTGGATTTGACAAGCCTCAGCTTTACACGGATCTGACATTGCTCTTTCGTTAACTTAGCAAAGATGTAAAGAGGTCCGATGAAATTTTTCGCGGCCTTTTTACACTACACCAGGCAGCTCTGAGAGAGTTACGATCGTGGTGCAATACTGATGAGAAAGAAGACGTAAAGATCTGTAGGGGAATCAAACCCTTAAGCCTTGTTTTCTTTACTTTCAATACTTCGGTGTGGTGGGAAAAGTGAACAGTATTTAATCATAGTTCAGAATTGAACCTCATCATCAAGTTCAGATCATAGGGACTCAAGGACACTACATAATAGATACTTAGCTTATCTAAAGAGTGATACATTCAATCATGAAGACCCCCTCATGATTCCCCACATCGTTATTGATAATGCAAGAGCCATTCCAGATAATAGGCCAACATAATCGCTCTCATGGCCTGACATTTTCGATGTAGATGTTTACCTCCCGACGTCTTCTCTAGAATGGTCAAGTGGAAGCGCCCTCTCACATCGCGTTTCAAATTTCTCGATTGGGACATGTTCTCGAGACCCTTTTGCGCATCAGTGGTTTTTAGTGTTAGCTGCCTCAAGACTTAAAAAAGCACGCTATATTTCTACTGGCAATCATAATGTCGCTTATAACCGGCGTCCGTTGTTGACTGGAGTTCCTGTACGAAGATTTTGACTGAAAACTCAGTTATTCAGTTCATATAACACATGTCACTTTTTGCTTACTTCAATGCCAGAACGCGACTTGAAAGTGTCACCCTGTCGAATTCACACAGCTTAAACCAACTTTTATTCGTTACTCTTTGATGACATTGGTAGGCTAGTGGAGATCACTGTTTAACGGTATGCATGAATAGACAAAGTGGATGTCCTTGAGTCTTGAGTCTAGATGGAGCGTCCTATAGAATTGGGAATTATGAAATGTGTTTAGCATATAGGTGGTTCTGCCGTCATTGACATGAGAACATCTGTCTAATGTCTCAGTATTATGAGATTTAAAGGTTAAAACGGGGGAGAGTAAATCAGAGCTTCATTCAACTAACAAAAAGTGCTAATTATGAAACTGACACTAAACGCACTTTGGAATAGGAGGTTTCTAAGAGCATATTTTCGAGCAATCATTTGTCGACAATGTTGAAGGACCTAGATTTTCATGTAAGTGTAGATTGCTGGTGTGTTTCACGACGCTTGCTCAATATTCACTCTGCGAATCGGTAAATACCGTGACGCTTCATCGTACAGAAGACAAAACTCAATGCCAAAACGAAACTGCCAGTAATTTGCTAGAGATTTAGCCGGTGGTTTAGAAGGTTTAAACGCTTAGTTTCGTTGACTCAAAAGATGTTTGGCTTCCCGAGGCAATAATATTCATCACTTGGATTGAATGGATGAAACGAATTGATCAATCTTGTTACTATGCACTTGATCAAGCAGTACCTACAGGCCATGGGCAATGACCAATTACAACCAGGTGGTAGTTGGGGATCAATTCGTACTTGTCTCCATATTGTTTACCCCATCATTCAACAAGCAGATGTGATGACTCCTCCCTCGTTCTTCTGTCTGAGAAATTATAGTTGGGGAAGACTCTCGGAATTTGAACTTTCAGTTTCCGGGGCTATTGTTGGGTAGATCGGAATTTGACATTTTGCTCAAACGACGATGAGGTTCTGTGGAATAAAAAAGAACCCTTCCAGCCCCCGGTGACGCCCATGAAATTGTGAAATGTGGTGTGCGTTAGAGAGCAGGAAGAAAAAAAGGAACACACACACACACAAACGCCCCTCATAGAAACTAAAATATCTGAAACAAGAGAAGATATTTGTAGTCAAAGAGTGTAATCTGTTGAGAGAGTGTTTTAATTCCTCATCGATGACGATTCCACAGCCATCCGTGGTTGATTTCTAATCTTTCATCTGATAAATCAGAATAGTGTGTGAATAGTCGTCATCGCCACTTGATTAGAAATTTGACAGTTGTGGCTGACCGAGTCCCCCTCGCTCATGGCAACATAGGAGCAAACGCGCGCATAAAAGTTGTGTGTGTTTTTCTGCTTCTGGGTGTCTTGGGTTTTTCCGAGAAACTCGGGTTAACTAATCCCTAATATTCCCCATCTAATTTGCAATACTGGTTCTAGATAACCTCAAAGGGTTTCGGAAATAGCTAATTATGGTACTCTATGTGTGTCCTTGCCCCAAAGAGCTTTTATGTTAAGCCTTGAAACCTGGCTTGTGCGTCTATAACACAGCGTTTAATTTGCGCTCTGAAAGCCATAGCCCACGAGCTTTGCTTATTTTTGTCTATTTTTTTCGTCATGTAAGGTGGAGCACGAGGGTGTCAAATTTGTTCAAGGTGTCACACTTTAAGTGTGTGACTCAGTTTTTATTTCACCTCAATGGGGGTGTAAACACCTATTGTTTTGAATTACAAACCGTTGTGAAGAGAAATCATAATTACTTGAAGAACTACATAATAGTCTATAGACTTTTGGATAACCACTATCCCTCAAGATATGAAACGCCATAACCACTATAATTCCAACGTTGTAACCTCTATTTACTTTTCTCACTGTCCAACTTTCCTAAATTGTCTATTTGAAGCGCGTTTCGTTTCGTACGGTTTTTCACACTTTAGGGTTGCGCGCACCGTGTGAAATGGCTCGGTTTGGCGTTATTTGTGGAAAAAGAAGCCCAAAGAAAATTTTTTTATTCAAATTGCGCAATTCAATGCGCAAGATTGTTGGTGCACGATGAATCATAACCACATGTGTGTTAAAAAAATGTGTGGGTCGTCACACTGATGTACAATTGTGGGCGGGTGTTTTCACCCACATGTTATATAAATGCCAACGGGAGCCCAACTTTCCACTTGTTTGATCTAAATATTAATCACCACTGATCAACCAGCTTCAGCAAAACCAGTTGATACTAAGACAAGGCATAAACATAACTGAGATATTATACACATCTCCAATGGATCTTTTTGAATTTGAAATCGAACAACCAGAGTTCGACCTCTACTCGTCCTCTTTGGAGTCCCAAGAGTCAATTCCAGAACCACAAGAGGCACAGACACCTCTTCTCTACGAATCAAGAATATCTTCAAGAAACAACTCCATTGCCTTCCACAATGACGAGGATGATTGCTTTATCGATCAACTGGACCTCTCGCAGGATGTCATTCCTGCTTTTGAGCTCGCTACCAAGAAAACAAGTCTGCAATATACCACCTCTCCTATAATCAAATCCCTCGAACAAAATGACGTGATTGAAGAAACCATTGTCAAGGGTTCAAATGCTTTGAAGATGAACTACAAGAAGTGGCTTCTGTCCACATCTTCTTAGTTTAGGGTGTCTATCTTTTTCAACTGGCTCATCACAAATTCAAGCCAGCAATACAACATAGCAAAAAAGAACAAAACAAACATCAAACTAATGAAGCTTTTGATATGGTTTCATCACATGGGATAACGGTTAATTTGGGAATACGGGATATTTTTTACTTTTACAATAACACTTATATTTGTGTTCGGATGCTTTTTTTTTTTGGAACGATCTTTTTGAGAATCAATACATAACGCAATTTGTATATAACCATTTGAAATGGATGAACTAATTGGTTCTATCTGTGTCTTGTAGTCATTACATAGCCATTGTATTTAAATTTAGCTTGGTTTTGGCCTGTCGCCGTCAGTTAAGCATCGAGAATTTATAGTCAAGATGAAAGCCTTCATGCACATGCGGAAAGCGATGGTTGATGTAATATCCACCCACAATTTTGGGAGTTTAGGGCTAGCTATGACATGATGAAGTTATTGGTGGTTCCTGAAGCGGTTTGTGATCTGTATTCTTTGACTCAATTTCCAGTCTCGTACCTCTCTCTGCCTTTCTTCTCATCAAGAGGCGTATACCCCTATCTCACAAACACTACAAAGAGGGGGGGGTGAAAGGCAAGGCGTTCCATGGCCCCAAGTCCCTATAGTGTACAAAGTCACAGTCAATTAGGGGCTGAGGTCTTGGCTATGTTTAGAAGCTGGTGGCAATATTGGAACACGGTAAATCAGTTGATGTGTAAGATAGGTTGCGTACATTAAGCCCTACAATGGTCGTTAAATTGGTGCATAATACTAAACCTGTATAGCCTTGCCTATAGTGCGTCTCTTTGTTGAAATTTGCGTTTCTCCTTTCTCGACCCACAGAGTGTGGGAGAGCGTGTCGTTTCAAAAACAAGAAACTCAAGCTGACGCTCCTTGATTCTGGCCACAGTTCAATTGAAATACTTGCGAAAACACCTGGTAGGTACACAGAAGACTAGTTTCAATCCCTTCTGTGGAACCAAAACACTAGTTCAGGCAGTGCATCTCTGAGTTAAATGTGTGGAGAGTACGGGGTGTCTCCACGGAAAGTATCTCAACCGTTTCTCGTGGATGCCGTATCCGAACCTCTCCCGTTCAATTAAGTCCACCAGGCAAGTTGTCACTTCGCCTTGACGTTGGACTCGGGATCGTTAAGATGTGTTAAGCCCCACATGTTTCAGTGCGGCGCGGGATGTACATAACGACCTGGTCTCATGATTCTATGTAGTGTGTACGCATCTTTTCACGATTTACCATTGCGAGTTTTCGTGCTTCTAAAGCATCGTCCCAAAATGCAATGCAGAAACGAAAATTGCAATACGCACTTATGTTTTGACACAAAGCTTCACAAAATAGAGTGAATTTTTTTTCGCTGCGACATGTGCACAAACCATCTTCGCAGAATCAATTCCAACTGTGACGTGTGAACTGAAAATAGCACTAGCGCTTTATTTCTGGTCAACATAATCACTAAACGCAGAGGACGCTGATTCTAGAATTCTATGAAATCAGAGTCCAATGTCTTTGACCTCCACAGCGTTGTGATGTCACAGCCCAAAGCTTTAATCCTTTCGATGGTAATCCCAGACTGAAAATGCTTGTGGCGCCGCACTGAAAGCTTTACAAGCTGCTGATGGTTCTACTATGAGCAATCAACTCTGAGTGTCGTTCTTCTTATCAATTGAAACTTATATGGCAAGCCAAGCCTTTACTCCGATACTTATGATTAAAGGACGCCGTCATGAACGAGATTGTCATTAATCATTAGTAATTCACAATTAGCTTTGTACCGGTTTCTCTTGTGCTATGACAAACTCATTCGCTTAAAACAGCAGATTTAAGATTTTCGGAACGCACAGGTTGGCTTCACTAGCTCAGTCGGTAGAGCGTCAGTCTCATAATCTGAAGGTCGACAGTTCGAACCTGCCGTGGAGCAATCTGATTTATTTTTTTCAAACAAAATAATTGACAGAGTTGGTTGGGCCACTTGAGAACTTACACTTCGTGCATGGCTGTTATTGATCGAGATGAACTTTGCTGTATCTTTCAATACATCTCCAATTTTTTTTATCTATCCATAGTCCTTTCCTAATCGAGTGCCAGTGTATCAGTTGTTCTTTATAACTTTAAGTCATTCGAGTCAGCTATGTCAGATACAAATAAATTTCCCGAGATCTTGCCCAATGGCTCATTGATATTGGCGTGGCAGGTGAAAAGTGAGTCAGACTTAAACCAACATGGGTCAAAGGTACTAACTCAGACCAGATCGCCACGTTCTAGTTGTTGGTGGTGGCGAAGTTGCTGCCAGTAGAATTTATCATCTCTTAAATGCGAATGCCAAAATCACTGTGATTTCACCAACCATCAACGAAGAGATTCAACATCGGGAGAATTCTGGTCAACTGTACTCTGTTGTCAAGAGACCTTTCCAAGAGAGTGATCTTTCCCTATATGAAAACAACTACACACTACCAGTGTTGAAGGAATACAGTGATGAAGAATACAAGCAAATGGACCAATATTTGAGAGAGACTCAGTTTGAGATGGTGTTGGTAGCCATTGACGATCCAGTGGAGAGCAAAAGGATTTACTACCAATGTAAAGCGAGAAACTTGAAAGTTAATATTGCTGATGTTCCTCCATTGTGTGATTTCTATTTTGGAGCAATCTTTAGAAAGGGTTCATTACAGGTTATGGTGAGCACTAACGGTAAGGGGCCAAGAATGGCCCGTCTTATCAAGGATAAGATCGGTGATCTATTTAGTGATTATGAGATCGATCAAACAGTGGAAAACATTGGAAGGGTCCGTAAACTATTGAGAGACAAGTGTCCTGGCAGTTCAGAGAAAGATATCAAATCTAGGATGGACTGGATGACAAAGGTTACTGATATGTACTCGTTCAAACAGTGGGCTATTGTAAATGAGGGTATTGGGAAGAGGTTGGTTGAATCTTTCCCGGAGATGCCTCCAAAGTTTGATGAGCTCTCCATTGGTTAGTTACAGAGTAATCATTAGACCAAGTTTTGATGACAAAATCAATAAATTAAGATTTTTTTAAACGTAAACATGAAACAATAGGAAGAAAAGTATAACCAAACATAAAAGGCAAACAGATAATGAAATGCAATTTAAAGTAAAACAAAACAATTTTGGTTAAAAAAATCAATTGAGGGAATCCAATTTTCCAGCAACTGCGGCATTGTACATCTCTTGCAATTTAGAAACTCCGTCAACATTTTCGTTGCTGTTACCATTTCCATTGCTGTTACCATCAACTTCACCAGAGCCGTTATCTGTGTGAGCTTCTTCATAATTCTGGGTAGTGAAGCTTTGATTTGGCTTCTGTTGTGAGTGTAGATGAGGTTCTTGAATTTGATAAATTGATGGATCATATGGAGATTTAGGATCATTTGTTGCAAGGTAATACATGTTATTCATTGCAGGCACCGGTGGTGCCATCATTGGTTGAGAAAATGCGGTCATTGGCGGAACGTTCGATGCCAATTGTTGCTGATGAGCCCCCTGAGCCATTGCTAACTGCGGTGGTGGAGCCCCACCTTGCATTACAGCAGCCATTGCAGCCATTTGCATTCTCTGTTGGTTCTGTTGTCTTCCCCAACTCAAACGAATGCGTGAACCTCCAATGGAGAATCCTTGCATGGCATTGATGGCATTGACAGCATCCTCACGGTTCTCAAAACGGATAAATCCACAGCCCTTGTTTTGGGGAATCTTAATATGTATGATGTTACCAAAAGGCTGAAAAAGTGCAGCCAAAGTCTGTTCAGTGACACCAGCAGCCAATCCACCAACGAATACTGTTGTATTGTTTGGGTCAGCGTATGGAACTGCTTGGATTCCAGCGTTCATAGGACCAACCTGCTGTTGTGGTATTGGTGGTTGAGCTTGAGATTGATTCTGTTGCTGAATATGCACCTGTTGTGAAGAAGTATCCTGAGGATAGTACACCATTGATGGGGGAGGGACTTGTTGGTACTGCATCATCATGATATCGTTAGTCTGTTGCGGTGGTTGTTGTCCTGGGAATTGTGAAAACTGTTGAGCTCCTTGGAAAGAACCTGGGATCGCAGTTCCATTTTGCAAAACCGTATGAGCAGCTGGTTGTGCCCTTGGTGTAGCCAACGCCACTCTCAATGGTCTTCCAGCACACCAGACACCAGACATTTCTGTTAAAGCACGTCTACGTTCTTCTTCATCGCTGAAACGAACAAAGCCGAAGCATCTTGAAGTACCAGTTATTGGGTCTGTCATCACACGCACAGTCTTGACAGATTTGAAGTGGGTCTGGAAAAGTGCAAGAAGGTGCGCTTCAGTCGTGGATGGTGATAAATCACCGACAAAGAGCGAATATTCCGGTGATTGAGGGATTGGAGAGGTCAATGTGGCACCGGAAGCCCAGTTAAGCCTAAACAATCTGTTTGTATTTGGTATTTGCGATCCATTCAAGGCCAATACAGATTTAGCATCGTCATACGATTCAAATTCAACAAAGCAGTAACCGGCGTGTCCGGTGTTCAAATTAGCAGCTGGTGTTCCTCTCTTAGCCTTGATGAGCTTCACAAGGACACGTTTTCCCAAAGATTCCCATAGGTTGACGATGGCCTCTTCATCAGACCACGGATCCAAATCACCCATCCATAGAGTCTTTGGTGGAGACGATGATGTAGATGCCGTTGCAGACGGAGGGTTTGGAATTGGAAGTGGAGCCATATAATCCTGTCCAGCTAATTGGGCCATTGGTTGGTTAGAGATCTCCAACGTAGACGAGGGTTGAGAGCCCTGTTGTTGCGCCTGTGGAGGGTTTTGCTGCTGCTGCTGTTGATCTGTAGTAGAAGGTGCGGCATCGATGGCACCAGCGGACTGTGAAGGAGACTCTTCAAAGTTGTTTTCAAAAGTAGCACTTGTCGAGGACATGATTGACGCCATATGTATACGCAGCCTTTGGTCGGGAAGTTGAACGGTTCAAAACTGTAGACAAGCAAAAAAACTTGTAAGCGATCAAGCAGGCGGTGATGACAACTAAAAAAGTATCAAAAGCCCAGAGACGAGATATAATCAGAACAAGTACACCACACACACGATTGTGACAAAATGGAAATCAAATCAAATCAAATCAAACCCAACCAAAACAGATGCAAGGGGTACGCTCTCAACTCGATGTTCAAAGTATTTCAAAGCGGCTCTTATCAACTGAGCAGTGGTGGAAAGCTATCAGTCCGTAATAAAACCTTTGGTGTGTGTCGATAAGAGAGAGCAAAGGAAAAGCCTGCTGTACAAAGAACACACAAGACACCCACACAGTATAAGCAAAGCAAAGCAAAATGTGTGATTCGGTCTCGCAGGGATTGGAACTGACTGTTGAAACAGAAAGGGCACAAAACAAATCAAACTAAAACAAAGAAATCAAAGCCAATAACAAAATTAAATGAAATCACCTCTAATGAAGTCTTTTCTCTCTCTTTCTATCTCGTTGTTGAAACCTGTTCGAAGTTATAAAGGGAAAAAAGAAGAAGAAGAAAATTTCAAGTGATCGGAAAAGGAGACAAAATGGCGATGAAGTTGCGCCGAAGATGCCTACTGCCACCCTCCCCCCTCCAAACAGAAAAGAAAAACAAAAAAATTGGCTAGGTCTTCCGCCTACCATCCGGTGGGCGATCCTACCGCGCAGTAGGAAAATAAAAATACTCCCACCGCCACCAACACCACAAACAACCCCGTGTGTCACTGCAATCTACGGTTGTGGGTTTGTAAGGTTGTAAGCGCGTGTGCTCATGTCATTGATTTATGGATTGGGCTTTTTTCTGCGCAAGATAGAATCTCTCTTTCAAAACATCTGCAATGCAGTTACGTCGAGTTAGGTTCTGGACCATTGTTTTTCCTAAAACCCACGCCCTGCCCAGTTTTGACAAGCAGATGATGGGAAAACTGTCATCGAAGTGATGAAAATCGCCTGTGTCTATTTTTACATACAAACGGGATCGCGCTGCGGGCGGGAGCGTACGCGTAGAATTACGTCGACAATAAGATCTAAAGACACGGCACCTGTATCTTGCGACTATCAACGTGTTTGTCTCCAAGCTCTAGGCTGTCGGCTTCATCCAAGTGCTTGTACAATCGAGTCGATCCGCCGGGAGGTTTGAGCTCGTCAGCGATGCCTAGGGCTGGCTGTCCATGTCTCAATTGTGATGGCATTGTGTATTACCCACGTATAAGCAGTAATTTGTAACTGGTGAGACTACAGAGCCTTGTCATTGGGTGTGTATCCCAAAGGGTTCTTTCGTCGTGTTTCTTAACTCCAGATTTGGTTCGAAACGTTGGTTAATGTTGACGTTACTGGAAATGATCAACAGGGAGGATAAGATGCATGATACGTCTACTACCATGAGCCTTTCCGGATATCAGAGGTGGCTCGCCACGAGACCCATCAACCACACATGTTCTATCCTGAGACCAAATCTGCACTTGCATTAAACCCCTTGTCTCCTAAGGCTATCTATCTTGACCTCTACTAGATTCTACCAACACGCTTCACAAAAATAAACTTTTGGTACCAACAAACACTGTACTGTGCTATCAGTATCATCCCCCCTATGTACACCGAGTGGGTTACAGAAATCTTTTGTGAATTACTTCACACCAGATCCCTAACATCGCACTGGAGGAGAGCCCACATCGTAATAGAACCATTTGGTATCCTGAACCACATATCAATCAAAGTCATACGGTGCGGTCTGATAACAAATGGGCACTAGCATAACCAGCTAATAGCCGTGTAACTGACATTGTAATCATTATCTGAACTGGGCCTTTGGCACCTAGTGAAACTGTCGATATCCACTAGCAAGGAATAGAAAACGAATTGAAGTGCTTGAGGTTCTGTCAGCAGTATGTGAAATTTTACCTGTGTAGGCATGCCCCACGAGCGCGAATCGCTGTAAATTTCATATCACTTTTCAACCCGATAATGCAACCTAGATGTTGTCAAGTTCGGAATATACCAATAGTTTATAAATATGGCTTACGGCTATCTGAAAAAGAAATATCTGTCACCACTTGAAGTTCCAGATTGTAACTTTATCACTATACATTTTGAGAGGTACTCACATTGGTGGGCTGTTGTCAGTCGCCAAAAACATTATGCATCCCTTTAATAATCTATGCATCTTACTGCATATGTAATTCATTGATGAATATCTGCAAAAAAACAAGCTCCGATACCGGGAGTCGAACCCGGGTCTGCTCGGTGAAAGCGAACCGTGCTAGCCGTTACACTATATCGGATATTTTACACCTACCGAAGGGATATATTCTACCTAGTTGTATCTGTATTGTTTTATGTCGGATATGCTTCTACCTGTGTGAGTGCAGATCACAAAGCTGTACCTGCAGGTATCACCTTTGTCTTCTTCACCATCGTAAAGTCCGCTTCTTCACTATGTTATTTGTCACTTTGGCCCATCAATGTGTCAATCCGTGTCCCTTACAATCCCAGAATCATGGAACTTGAGCACAACCAAAACTGTCTGTGTTTCTTCTTTTATCTGGCCATTGCCCCGTCTTCTCTTCACTGTGTTTATAGCCCCCTCTTCGTATTTCAACATTGCATCGATAAAAAAGTTTGTCATTTAGAGCTGAATTGTTTTCTAGCATTGTTTTATGATCTATCTATTGAAATCTCTCAGGCCACGGACATCCTTCTTTACTCCTGAATCAGCACTCTGTAACTTTGGTGGTTAGTCTTAGCATCTCAGTCAGTATAATCCATGTTGATAATGAATACAGAATATTTGGACAGTTCTTTGGTGTTGTGCTAACCAACGAGCTCTATATCTGTAAAACTTATCGTATTGACATTACAGTGAATATGATTTCCAATAAATAAGAATATCTTGGTTTGGTAAAACTTTTGATGGAAAATGTAGTTATAATTAACGCTTCTAATGATAGAAAAGAGGAATTATAGTAAATTATGCTTTCAATAATGCATCGTTTTAATCATTTATCCAACAAAAAAGAGCCACCACAATACGGCATCAATGTTTCTAATGTAATGGCATAGTGCTAACTCACAATTTCACACATTCCATTTATATATACACCACAGGTGACCATATATTAATAAGAAAACCGCTCATTATTATAATTATATAATGTTGGACAACGCCCGACTAAAACATCCGTGCACCAATGAATGACTAGCCCGCCTGAGGGTGAGAAAGTAACGCAACCGCAAATTGTCTTGAATTAAGAAGCTTAGCGTATAACCACCAAGTTTTCCAACATCCAATCAATCTGGACTCTTTGCAACCAGTAGCACAACAGTTCGCATTTGGCAATATGGGGATAAAAAAGTTCTTCAAAACTAAACCTCCTACCCAGGAGGATGTGGAGACCAACATGCATGAAGAAATGCTTGATAGAGGTTTACCAGTGAAGCATAATTCGAAGAAGAAGCCAAATACCTTTGGTGCCTACGCAGAGTACGCCAAAGATAAGGCCAAAGCTAAGGGGGAATACGCACCAAAGGGTTACAGCAAACAAGAGAAGGAGGCACAAGCTCTCGCTGAAGCTCAAGCCCAAGCCCGTCTGAATGATAATCCTTATGGTTCTATGGACACATCCAACCCTTATGGGTCTCACGGGAACAGTGGTGGTTCTGGTGTAAACCCTTATGGGTCTATTGGGACGAGCTCAACTGGAGGTAATCCGTATGATTCGCCATCGAGAGGAAACCAGGGGAGCGGTAACCCATATGGAGACTCTGGCAACTCTGGCACCTCCTACCACAAGAACAATGGTGGTGGAAACCCCTACGGCCAAGGGTCACAAGGACACGGCTATAGCCAGCATGAAGTTCCAGGGGGTGGTTATGATGATTATAACAATGCCTATGATGAGCAAGGCGGCCACGGTTCCAAAGAGTCAAACCCTTACTCTGTTAAGAACACATCTCAGAGAATACAACATCCTGCGGTTGCGGAGTCGGGAAAGCGTAGTCAGTTTTCCTTTGTACCTGAGGAAGGTGCTGGTGCACACTCTGGTGATGATGATGACGCGTATGTTCCTAGCCTGTACCAGAAGCAAACTCATGACACGGAAGGGTTGGATTTGAACGACACTCATTACGCAGATGAAGACCTGAACGATACCAATTACAGACGGGAGGTCAACAATGACGATGCTTATCAATCCTTCTCTCAAGAACCCGAATCAGAGGAGCAAAGAATCCTAAGAGAAGAGGATGAAGAAGTTGAAGGAATCAAGGGCCAGATACGATTCACAAAGCAGGAGTCTGTTGCGTCTACTAGAAACACCTTGAGAATGGCCAGAGAGGCTGAGGAGAGTGGTAAGAACACCATGGGTATGCTGGGTGCGCAGAGTGAGATCTTGTTCAACACCGAGAGAAACTTGGGCTTAGCTGAGACCCAAGATGCTATGGCCAAGGAGAAGATTACTCAGTTGAACCATTACAACAGAAACATTCTCAAACCGAACATCAAGAACCCATTCACAAAGAACCGTAGATTGAGAGAGAAAGAGGAGAAGATCAAAGCAGAGCACATTGCTGCCAAGGTTGAGAACGAGAGAACTCGTGCTCAGCTGACAGATTCGACAAAGAGAATCAAGAGTGCCCTGGATGACGGCGAAGGCTTGGGCGATGAGGTTGCATCCAAGTATAGACGTGACAAGGTCCTCGCGCAGGCCAAACAGTACCAATTCGAAGCTGACAGCGAGGACGACGAGATGGAAGCGGAGATTGGGGCCAACATTGACGAAATTGGCAAGTTCAGCAGCAGATTGAAGAAGTTGGCTATATCTCAAGGTGAGGAGCTCGATAGACAGAATAAGAGACTCAACGACATTGAAGAAAGAGCCGATAGACTGGACCTCAACGTTCATGTCAATACCGCAAGACTACGTGAATATCACTAGACATAAATGAACTATCATCGTTAAACAATTAATAATCAACACAATTTGTAATGTTAGTCCTTTTGACGTGTATACGTAAAATGTGAGAGCTGTGTGTGCGCGCTTCGAAGCGGTGTAAGCCGACGATGGATTCGAGGGAGAGGGAGAAAAAAACATACACAACAACATCAACAGGACTGAAGAACAAGACTCAACAACAAAAGCTGCGGACAAGGGGCCTGGCTTAGCGATCGAGGAAGGTATCAAGGAAATGGCATCTCACAATCAGCAGGGTAAACAGCCATTGTCGCATACGCTGTGGTCTCCAATCGACACCGTTAAGGATGTTGCGGACTCGCTTGGGCTTACCGATTTGAACGAGGAAACGTCGAAAAACCTTGCGATGGATGTAGAGTACCGAATCCATGAGATATTGGAACAAGCTGTGAAGTTCATGCGCCACTCGAAGCGTCGTGTGCTATCCACGACAGATATCGAAAAGGCGTTGAAAGTGTTGAACGTTGAGCCCTTATACGGGTACGATGTCTCCAGACCGTTGCAGTTCAAAGAGGCGTTGGTCGGTAATGGGCAGACGTTGTACTACATTGACGATGAAGAGGTTGATTTTGAGAAGTTAGTGAACGAGCCACTGCCAAAAGTTCCTAGAGCAACAACTTTCACAGCTCATTGGCTTGCTATTGAAGGAGTTCAACCTGCAATTCCTCAAAACCCTCTCGAGACTGAAATCAGACAGCTGCCTCCAGCCTCTAGAGGAGCTCTTTCCCATCAGCTTACAGAGAACTCCATTGGTGTATCCACGAATTCACACGTTGCCAATGGAAACACCACAGCTTTGAATAAGGATGCAGAAGTGAGACCACTGGTGAAACACGTATTGTCAAAGGAGCTTCAGTTGTACTTTGATAAAGTCATCCAAGCTCTCACTAAAACCGAACAGGACGAAACAACTCTTCACTTGAGACAGGCAGCGCTTTCGTCCTTACGTTCAGATCCAGGTCTTCACCAACTCCTGCCATATTTCATCCAGTTCATCTCAGAACAGATCACTCATCATTTAGACAACATCTACCTGCTTTCTACAATGCTCGAGGTGATTTATTCGCTACTTTCGAACGATAACATATTTCTCGATCCATACATACATGCTTTGATGCCTTGTATCCTTACTCTTCTCCTTGCAAAGCGCATTGGAACGAATGATGAACATTTTGCTGTGCGTGATTTCGCAGCTTCTCTGCTTGAACACGTTTGCAAGAATTATGGGAAGAACTATACCACTTTACGCCCAAGAGTTACAAGAACATTGTTAAAGGCATTCTTGGATTCCAACAAACCTGTTGGCACCTTGTACGGTGCGATAATTGGACTCCGCAGCTTGGGTGATGAAGTTGTTAGACTTACAATCTTGGGAAATCTCTCAAATTGGAGTCAAACAGTGTTGGTTAATTTGAAACCAGAGGATAGAGATGTACTAATACAGACTGTTGTGAAAACCATCAAGGGATTAGTTTCTACGCAGGACTCTGATATGGAGGTTGAACTTTCACATGATGAGAAGGAAAAGTTGTCTCAAAGAGTTGGTAGTGTCATTGCAGAGAAGATTAGCGAGGATATGTCTGCAAAAGCCATACATGATGCGATATTCTTTGGGAGCTCCAAATGAACTGTACTATACAAATACATGGCTTAATGATGAACAAATACCGTAACATTCGTAATATCTATTGGTGAGTAGATCCAATTAAGTCTTTGACGGAGCAAACAAACGTCTTCTGACGTTTTTTGCTGTAACAGGGCTATCCATTAGTCTCGGTGATGATTCTGTAAAGTCCTTTGAAGGCTCTTTCTTTTGGGGTTTCGACCTTACATTGATTGGACTACCCAGAGTACGCACAGCAATGGGCGATGAACATACAGCAGTGTCGAGAGCACTCCCACTATCCTCAATAACAACACTCTCTGCAGAGCCCGGTATTTGACCCTGCGTATTCTTCACATTGTCATTTGGAGTATTGATAATATCGACGATCTTTCCTTTCTTGATCGGAGTAGCTTCTATTTGACTATATGACTTTGTCAACCTGAGAGACGTAGTGGAGGCTGTTCTTTTACCAACACGGTTGAATATTTGAGAATTTGACGTCTTCAGCGGTTTACTTTCAAACACTGGAACTGAAACATCAATTTCTCGTTTGGAAAGTATCTTCGAATTAAACGAAGATACTCTCTTAAGTGATTCCAATTCTGAATTCGAACGTACTAATGACGAATTCAATTCTTCAATATCTTCCAGTCTGGACCGAGTAGATTGTGATCTCTGTAAGATTGGTTTGCTCACCTTATCCCGTTTTCTAGTTTTATCAGCTTGTTTAGAATCAGGGGGTTTGAAAGATGGTCCTTTGATCTTTTTGATCATATGTCTGACTGAATGAGGACATTTTTTCTCAAAGAATGGAACCACTGTATAGTTGATGAACTTTGGAGTGTAGTTTTCATTTGACGAGGAACCATTTAACAGATCATTAATGGCCAGCTTCTCAATATAAAGGTCCAATAATTGATTGTACGACAACTGTTCCATTGATAGAGACTTTGAGCGCTGTCTACCTGTGTCAATACCCATTCCGTTCAGTATTGGTGTGATTTTCTTCTTTCCCACAAGTTTTCTCTTTGGCTTTTGCATTTTTACAGGCTTAAAGTACCTTTTATCATCCCTATCGGATATTTCAATCAATTCTAACAGGATTAATATTTGTAGTTGAGTTTCCTTAACTTTGAAACCGCTTAACAGGGGACCCAAGCTTCTGTTAGTTTCTTGGTAATCCTGGGAATGAATATCGAAATCCACCAAGTTTAAGGATTTTGCAATGAATTCCTTTCTGTATATTTCCTCTTTTTCGAAGAGTGTCGATGAGTTCAGCAATCCGTTGTTTAATGCTGAATGCCTCTGGTCGAATTGGTCCAATCTCATGACAAACTGTGATAAAATGGATTCATAAAACTTCAAATCCTTTAAACAAATTGCTCGCAGTCTTGCAAAAACTGACTTAGTAAATACAGTCAATGGTGTTGAGAGGAGGTACAAATTGGAGAAATACTTATCGAGGAAGTAGTCAAATGGATCGTTGATAACATCTTCGTGGTCAATGATCTTCACTGGAGAGCTTTGTACCGGTGGTGACATTTTGAGCTTATATGTGTTTATTGGAGCCTCGTGAAGCTCTGAAATTGAGTACCAGGATTCAGATATGCTGTGTGAGACGTGCAGCGTCTTGAGAGGTTCAGATTGATGTGTGGATGGTGGAGATATTAAGTAATTCACAATGATCCGTGTGCTATCCAAGCACGAAGCAACGCCATATTGGTCTCTTTCATTTAGTGTTATTTTGACAACATAAGGCTGTATTTGAAGTTGTTGAAGAAATGTATCATTATCATTGCAGGAGAAAATCCTTGACTTATTGTTGTTTATGGTAAGTGTATCGCCGTTTGATCTCCCTGTATGTAGCATTAGAGATGCCAGCAGAGAGAGATCAGACATCACTGGTGAAATCAATGTCACAACGGCATCATTTTGATTCTTGAGTGAATGTACAGTAACAGAAACGTTACTCATAATGTACTGTGAGCTGCGGACTGATCGGTATGACCGATTCTTTTGTTACAACCACCTTCTGTGAAGTATCATTTGTATCTGGAGGTATACTCATTGGCAAAATCCTGAGGAGTATAGACACCCAAACACCCAAACATCCAAACACCCAAACACCCAAACATCTAAGGAAGAATGTCCACTGGGTTGTTTCTATGCTACTTTAGATCCTTAAAGCCATGTCTACTAGTTAGACCGCATATACTGAGCCGTTGGTCGATGGGGGTTGGTAAGACGAGTTTTACAAATTGTAAGATTCCATTGATTTGGCAGTTACGTTGGCATTTAACCTAGCATATGAGAGAGGACCAAAGCACTGAAGTATAACAGCAAAGAGAGTTCGGAAGGCGAATGACACATACAAAGCGGTCAATGAGGCCTTTGATAGAGGGATATCTTCTTTGTCAAAGTAGAAAGGCGGATTTACAATATTTCACAGAAGTATTAATTGATCGCTACTTTGGCCAACCAATGTGCATCGATCCAGTTTGATAGTTCTCAAATCTCATGAATGACAGCAGATTCATTCAAAGTGTTCTCACCAACTACTATCTGAGACACCGACGTTCAAATGGACCACAACTGGCGCCTCGCTGCCGTGGTGTGGTGAACTTCTGTGTACCCCTAGAGTCAAAATAAACAGCGATCAAAGTGGCACTAAATATGAAACAGATTTTGTTCATCATCCAATTATCAAATCAGCTAGCGACTTACCAGGCTTTTTGCATAGAACAACAGCACACAGAAACCCATACAAATGTAAACGAGGAGAAATGAACTTATCCTTATACCTTGACTAGACTGACAATTGGACCATTGAATAAATCTTGTATTATTTAGTATTTGAAAATTTGGGATTTGTTCAAAACTGATAAAACAACGTTGTTTCGCCATCTCCCACAACCCATGGCCATTTCATCGATACAATGTGCGAATAGATAATTTAATAAAATCATGTTTGAGATTGCACATTTTGCCCGTCGATTTAAGATGACTTGGTCCTGACATTTGTAAGACTTGAGAAATCCATCAACCATGCTATATAAGTTATCGCACGATGCACTTGTGAACGGACTCCTCAACTCTCAGTTGTGTGTGTATCATTATCATTGGTTTCAGATTGCTAGTTAGAATGAATGAATGCTTCCCCTGAACTTGTGAGTCTGAACGCCTATATGTAGACATTTACCTGATACCAATGACTGGCAAGCCCAGTGAAACAAATCAAGCAACACTGTTACAACTATCTAAACTAACAGAAATCATACACTTCTGAAGCTCGAACATTGAAGTTGGAGTGCCCAATCTGGCATTCGGATTTCAGGTAAGCATACAGGAGGTTGCTGTAACCTATGCGCTGTCATATTATATAGGTGATGGTTCTGATCCCTTGCTTCAGAGATGAGACAATGCAACGTTATGTACTGAAAAATGAATCAAACAATTGCACCAGAGAAGTTTCCAGCAAATAGGTTTCTCTACCACCCCGGTGTCTGAGGCTGTCGCTGTTCGATCGTACATGACAACCTCCCGATGTCAAATTTCAGGTCTCTATTTAGTGCAGGTTTTGAGACTAGTATTGATACACTACCTCAGTAGTCGAATCATAAGTCCTGTGCAGCTATGTACAGGTCGGCCTTGCAGAAGGCTGAAATAACCTCAATAATCCTGGAAGTATTCTAGTAGTTGCAACTCACACAAAGCAAGATCAAGTTTTATAGATTGAGCCATGTCAAGTAGATTTTTAGAGCCTTTTGAAGCTTCTAAGTTATGCAAACTACCCAATGAAGTGGCGTGTCAGACAAGAGTTACAAAGTTATTTGTTTCCAATTCCCTTTCGTTTTTCGTGATTACTATTCCTGCGTGAGTTTTTTTTTTGCATGATTTACGAAAGCATTTGCAGATTCATGATCACCCTTTCATGCGTCGTTGCTGTGGATATTCTTCTGAACCAAATCTAAACACATCCACAGTAAGCTGAGGCAATAAAGGTTTACAGATTTTCATCTTCACCTTACAGTTTACCGGCTGTGAACATCACCTATGACCAGCATGGATTAAACGCCGTCTAATGGATTATGGAATGGGACATTCCATGATATTCCACCCTATGAAGTAATGGTTACAAGGGCTGGGGTGTTGGTCCTGAAGTTTTTAGCACTACGATCCGTTCATGATCATTCCAGAGACTTTTCCACCAAGGGGGGCGTCTCCTGTTTACTATCAAGCTGATGCCAGTCCTTCAAAATTTAGTGTATAGACATGGCATTGCAAAATTCTCTTGGGAGGTCAGACAATTCGATCATTATCGGTGAGGACAAAAAGAATATCTCAACTTTACGGAGAATGCACCGAAAGAGATGGGAAATGAATTGTTGGATGCTCACATTGACTTCTTTTGTACGCTGTGTAATCTAATCAATGGAAGGCGATTAAGAAGGTTACAGGGCTACTAGTTGCCATATTCAAGGAATTGAAGACTCAAGCCCATAACAGAGGAAAAATCATTCATCAAAGAATCCAAACTACCAATTGTACTAAAGCAGGTTTATCATCCACTACCATATCTGATAATTAGGAGAGTCAGGCTCATAGTCACTACGGCTGCCGTGTTTCGAGTATATTGCGCTCCCATGACTTGAATATTGTTCCCTAGAAAGGATGTTGATGGTACCTGCGGATTTTACGTTGACGATAGTGATAGTACTTCCCTTACTGAGAGCTCATAAAACGAGTAGTTAGTTACTAGCCTATACACCTGCAAGGAATAAAGTGATAATTCTCTATTGCTGTTGTTAATGAATTGATTTCTCCGTAGAATTGGAATACATAATCAGCCACCTTTTGTTTACAGTTTCTGGAAGACAACGGAATCTCCGTTTCTCTGAAGAAAACTGGAACATGCAACTGTATTCTCAAAACAGTGAGTTTTCGTTACTTCTCGTTATCTGTGCTCTAAAATTTCCAAAGTAAAAAGCTTTGCTTGCTGGTTTTCAATTTCCTAATCAGCAAGTTGCCAATGAACCCTAATGGTAGTGTGACATCTTTTACTGGACATATCCATACAGGCGGGGAAGTGTTTTGGTCCTCGTCCACTACGCGGATAATTTTATTTCCCGAAATTCTGGTATGAACGAATTTTTGCAAAGCAATACTCGCAACCTCGAATAAACGGTGATTGCGAAATTGCAAAATTGGAAGTCATCAAGAAGCAGGGTGCATTAGATAAGACCAACACGCAAAATGTATCCACGACTCAGTGCACTATCCTCCAGTGATGAGATACGTTGCTAGTTCAATTGAAGTATCAATCAAGTAGACTTTGGTGAGATGAACATCTTGGCTCGTGATGAAGAGGTAATTGATGATTATCAGTAATATATGGATGCGACCTCTAGAAACAAGACCATTTCCAGCACTGATTTATTGAACCCTACAATATTTGATCCAAATAACCTGTACAAGAGGTGTATAAAGTCGCATGCTATACTGGTTAAGAATAACATTCACACAACATTCTACGATCAATGGATGGAGAAGCAAAAAGCCTCCAAAAATTCAGGAACTAATGTGGAAGGCCGTGGAACAGTGCCCTGTGATGTCTCAAGTCTTTCATTGAGAACAGGGATGTACTTGAAGATCTGGCCAAGCTTGACGAGACATCCAAATTTCCTCATGTGGTTATGTTGAAACAGGGTGGGTTTCAAAGCCAGTGAACACTTTGATATCCACACAAATTATTCCAGCGAAATTGATAGAGTTCTACCCATGCTCACACCAACACTTAATTCGTCGCTCTGTCTTCTGAAGAATCAATGAGAAATAACAGTCAATTCACAAGATTCAACTCAACGTTTTGTCCCAACAACGACTATGTAAGTTGTTTGTTAGGAGTCCACGAACTCTTCTAAAATCTTTTCATGAGAACATTCTCAGGGGATAAATCATAAGGATAATATGAAACAAGAGGTTTTGTAGTTATTTGCTCAGCTAATTAGAACAGTTCAAAGACACAACCTTTCTTTAATAGTTGACTTAACGCCATCGAATTACTAATGATGGGCAGAATCATTAGATAAATGGTAACACTTGAACACCATGCTTACTCTCATTGACGTCAATAATTGCACCAAGTTTCGCCGTTTTCGTTCTCGTTGAAACCTTTTTTCCCGATCTAGTTTGGGTTTGTGCGCCTGTGTGGGTCTACTAGTGGTCAGTGGCTGAAGGCCAGGCTCACACGCGCGTAAGTAAACTTGAACAAGAGAATTTGACAAGAATATTTGTGCAAATCAAAGATTTTGGGATCAAAATGTCAGTATATGTCAATAACTATTAAAGTTACTTGTAGAATATGATTATAAAAGTCAGGAAAATGTTTGAGAGTCGACCTTAACCTTGACGCAAACAATTCACGAAATCTCGTTCCTTCGCAAATTTCAACGGCCTGAGGTGCCTCAAGTGCCTGAAGTGAAAACCTGAACCCAAAAATATTTTTGCGTGTGTAAATCTACTCCTGATTTGCGCTGCCACATTTCACTGCACACGACACCAAGATGCCTTACACATATGCATGCAAGCTCAAATTTGGGTTGCCAAGGGACCTCTAAAATAGACAGCCGATGATCAATTCGACCACTTTTGGAGCCACTACATCAAATTTCAATGCATATTTCCACTTCGTATTGCTTGGGCAATTTTAGGATCAGGGACTCGTAGACTAAATACACCAGAGAACAGACGGTTGCTAAATTTACATACTCAACAGTCACCATTGCTAGATAGCTTAAGAGAATTCTTTCTCAAAATATAACTTTTCGTTGTGAAAGAAGAACCTCACGTATAGAGAAAACTAGCAAAGGGACAGGTTTTAGATGTGAATGCCGTTTAAAAATAAAAGACTAGGGGTAGGCCCAGTGAAAATGAACCAGGTGCATTAGCATGAGGGGCTTCCCTATAACTTTTACAGAATATGCTGTAGCTGCAGCTGCTGATTGGCTCTAGCGTCAAATTTGTACCAAACAGCAACAGCAACAAAAGCCCTGAAATTGGGTCCTGAAATATTTATTGAGGAGGATAGCCTCTAAGCATTCCTCTCTATTTACTGAACTGTTTAGGTATTGCTCCATTGTTGACTGCCACCACTCACTACGTGAAGGGCAAATTGAACAATGTGGTCATGGAGGAGGATCTTTCAGTTGGCTATACAGAGCTTTTTTAACGTTGTTTCGTCGTCTGGGTCAAACAAAACTGTGCTTCATCCCTCACAACAGAATATACTACTGAAATCAAAGTTGGTCCTACTCGTTGCATCGTTATTTCTATTTTCAAATCTTTTACTCTCATCGACAATCTTCAATGCGTCAAACTATTCACAATACATGGAGGCCTAAAGAAATTTGAATAATTTCCTTAGATTGGATCTCCAAGTTTTCCAGGCTAGTGGGTTCCTCAACACATTCAGATCGAGCTTAAATCCACAGACTTTTGTGGGTAAGAGTAGAACCTACAACGAATTCACTTCTAATCACTCTGCTGTTGCTCATTGGAACAAATTGCTACAAATATACGAAGAACATGACGACCCAGAGAATTATCTTAAAACACACAAACTGTCTTTCCATTGGGCTGATTGGGTTGATACCGCACCAGCAAATGCTTTCATTGATTCCTACGAGAGTCTTTTGAAAGAGTTCGATAATGATCCTGATGAGCTGGCTCATGTCGTCAAAAAATATTGCATAAACAACTTTTCCGATGGCGATGATAGACCTAATAATAATCTATACGCAAAAGAAAGACTCAAAATTTTTGAGCAACTCGAAGATGTCGGTTACTGCGCTGCAATTTACATGTATTATTACCAAGAGTTACCCAGAAACGTTGTTTTCGAAACAGACTTTGAATATTTCTCTTGGCCAGTTAAGAATGAAGTTGCCCCTAGACCTCACACATTGGACGAATTCGCATCTTTATACTATGATCAAGAAGAAATTTCCAAACCTCAGGTGAAAGAGTTTGCCATTAAGTCTAGTTCAGAGCTGATCAAATATCCTCAAAAAATGCGTGAAGTTTTTCAAGCGAAGGGCAAAGAAATCAAAAAGATTTCATTAAAGGAATACATCGATATTCCTAAGAACCATTTTGACAAACCCAATGTTGATCAAATCATTAAAGACCTTGAAAGTCAGAAATCTCTGACCGAAGAACAGCAACGAGAATTGGACTTTGTGAAGTACTCAAAGGCCCAATTGCCAAATGCTCACAGATTTTATTGGTTGTTCCCATTCTTCGGATACGATAAAATTGATGAATTTCATCACTATACATTTCCATTTGTGAAACAGATGATTCTTTCCAAGGAACGTAGCACAATGGTACATCATTTGGGAAGATCGTGGTTCAAATTTACAGAATATGCTGGTGTTGTCTCATGGTTTGGGTACGGTAATTTGATTGGTTGGTATCGTCACTCTCGTAACCTACCATGGGATCCTGACATTGATGTAGTTCTGTCCATCAAAGATCTTACCAAAATGTCAAAGAAGTTCAATGCATCGTTAGTTGTTGAGAACCCAGAGAATGGTCACAACTTGTTCTATTTCCAAACAACACCATATTTCTATCAGCATAGGGACAACCAGATGATTGATGCTCGCTATATTGACGTAAGGACGGGCATATATATTGATATATCCTGTCTTTGGAATGACAATGATAGAGATATCCCTGATAGATTCAAGAATGAGGCGCCTGAGACTATTTATCATTGTAAAAATTACAATTGGTTTTCCCACAGAGAGTTATTCCCACTAAGACGCACATTGTACGAAGGAGCACAGGCTTACGCACCGAATGACTATAAAGCCATCCTTTTGGCGAAATATGGTGAAAAGTCAATGACAGCCACAAACAACTTTGGTCATAATTGGCAACCCGATATTGGAGTTTGGGTCCCAAATGAGATTTGTGATGAAAAAACGGTCCCTGCAAAAGAGAAAAGATTTGATAAAAATGGGGAGTTGACTCTTACGGGTGCCTGTAATGATACCAACATATTGGAAGAATGGTCCAGATTCAGAGACCTGTACACAATTCATAATAAGGAACAGAAGCTTTTAGAGAAAGGCAAAGATGCCTCTGAATTATCGAAAGAAGATTTGCCTGTCGCTCGTTATTTCGATCGAACAAAATATATGTAAACACAACGTCAGAGTCATGAATGATCACATTTGATCTCTATATCTTGCAGCTGGGGAGAAATTATCAAATGTTCACCGTATGCTTTACAACCAACTGTCGATCTTCCGACATTTCACATTGCATGAATTGATATTATGCAGATTTTGGTTTTCAGTCCTTGAATCCCGTTTGAAGGTACACTATTCATTTTCGTATGCTATAGAATCAGGCCGGGAGGATCACCACAACTAGTTATGAAACAGATCTGGTTCCATCAGACTGGTTGACAGACAAGCTAGTACTTCTATGGTTTGAAACATATTTTTTCAAGGGTCCGGTAGATAACTTTGCAACTGAGACATGCATGAAGACATCTGCATTACGACCTGACTTAGTGACCACTGTCGTACCTTAATTATAACCTAAGATCAACATTGCCAAATCACAATTCTGGAAAAATCTACAAATTAGATGACACTCATGTATTTGATGTACTTATGTTTGATATCTCTATTCCGGTATTTGCAACTACAAATTAAGATGCGTTGAGAACTAATGTTAGTTTTATACCGACGTGCCTTTAATCATAAATCTAGATAGGTGTGCTCGTTTCGTCAGCTCCACAATTCCCCATAGTGTTTTCTTTTTTTTCATCAACAGCGTTAGTAAGAGTTATAGCGTTTCTAGTATTTCATCGTTCGCTTTCACATCTACCTTCCCAAAAGGATTGTTGAAGGGTGGAATATCTTTGGATAATATCTGGTGGGGTGGGGGATTCGTGGTTAACAGTGAAATAAAAAACATTGCAATAATCTAGCGAATGAGCTGAAATCAAGAAAACTCTGAAGGCATTGGTGAACAAATTTTCAAATTATTCCTGATGCATTACACAATTCCAGAAGACCAGTGGTATTGTTCTTACGGGAGAGCAGAATGATGAAATGAATTGGGGCCTCATGACCTTGTGCCGTATAATGTAGTCGTTGGAAATAGCTCATTCAGTAATTTTGTTACTGAGGCTAGATCTTAAACTGATAAGAAAACAGTTGATTCCACTTCAGGTTTTGAGAGATAGTGGTTGAGATCAGAATCTGATCATTAACTAATCTGGATCTTTTATCCGTGAGCCGGCGACCTCAAAAATTCAAACAATTTCAGTTGAACTCTTAATGAAAACTTTTGCTTGACAGCTGTTTATATCAAGTGCCACTTCAAATCTGCCTGATTAACGACGCCCCACCATTAGTGGTTCTAGTGTGGTATCTCAGAATACACAACGTGAAGTTGGTAAGAGCACCTTGTATAGATATTTTACTAACGCCGAATGCCGAACGTTGGGGGTTTGTATCGGTGATTGCATGTGAAAAATGCAACCGATACCGGAGTTTTGTTATTCTTGCGGGAAAATTGATGAAGTGTCAAAAATGGTCCGGCTCCAAAATGAACCGTAATTCGGTTGTTGGAATGGGGAACGGCTATGCTCGCTTGGCTTTCTACCGTTCGACAATTTCTTGTCCAAATCTCATACTAAATTTCAGATTTTGTCCCCCCAGTGATGTTCGTCTGTCATGTTTGAAGTCGGGATGGAGATGGTTTAGTTGAATTTGAAACTACCTTCACAAGTCCAGCAAATGTTTTACGTTATTTCTGATCTGAATATTCAAGACAGCGGCAGCTAATTGATTTTTACGATTTCGCTGATTCTGAGATCTTCAGTTTCAAGTCTTGACGATAAACTTGTGATATATACTGCTTATACTTTTACATGGTAGGCATAGTGGTTTGGTCATGTTCATTATCCAGAACATCAACAAGGACCAACTTGTGGCTAAGAGATTACAACTTGTCAATTAATACCATGTCAAATAGGTCAACCACAATTCCAGTTGGATACTCAAGCACGACGTGATCTTTACGTGTTGAGGAAGCAATAACTACAGGATGAACCTGTCTAATGATTCCAAATTGATGCACCATTACAATCATAACAGGTTGACAGGTTGGCAGTTCAACTATAAATAAGACTATCGTCTGAACCATATAGTTCTTCTACCTAGTATTTTAATGAAGGTGTGAGTCAATAGAGCATTATAAAAAACCGATAACACATAATGTCCAGTTTTCACTTTAAAGATATGTAAAATACATCATCCTCTTTGAGCAACTACTATGGTGAAATTCTTCAAAAGTGTGTCAATGTTATGATCTTTAGAAAACTTCTTGTTGGGCAACTCAGACCTGAAAGCCGTGAACAAGGATTGAAATTACCGATGACCGGGAAGAATATTAATAGTACAGGAACTATGTTCTTCTTGAACATATCCGCTTCTCTTCCAAACAGCCAATATTCTTAATGACCCCATCCATGGTAGAAATAACCCCTTACTCTGCCGCTACATGTTTCTTAACGAAAGCTACACAGCCAAATCAACCAGCCACATGTTGAGGATAACTAGACCAAGGCTTTTATTTAAGCAGGAGCAATGTTGCCGATCTGAAGATTTTTTTACTAGTAAAGTATACTGGGTGTATTCCTTCATGAAATTCATGGTGTCCATATTGCTAAAGAACGTCATTCTTCTCGAAGATAGTGCCACAGTACTTTTCGAGTACTTGGAATTGGTAATTCCCGCATCCCCACTTATTACCAACCGTTTCGACAATGCATTGCATACCTTGAAAGATCTAATAGCATGTGCATTTGAATCTTGATTCTCTTACTAGAATCAAATACGTAAGGTTATCATGCGTACCTTACTAGGTTTTATGCACGTATTGATTAAAAGCCGAATACGTGAAAAGTCATATGTAATTGTAAGGAAACCCCGCCGGGGTCTATAACGTTTCGTTCCCCTTATAATGTACAATCCCCAGGTTATCTAGCTCCTCTCTAGATATTACCTCGTATTGGCTAGGTGATCAAGCAGTGCGTGGGGGTTTCAAATGCTAGATAGCTTTATCGGTTATTGCTTTACCAATTGTCTTATCCTGTGGAGCCCTCTGAGTCATGCTTATTTCGAGATTGGTAGCTCTTGATGGACTCATATGCAGCCCACTGTGAGCGAATGGTTTTTCCCCACTTGACATATAAAGCAGTCCGAGATATTAGTATCAGGAATAGAGCACAATTCTCAACTAATATGCTCAATCATTGAATTATTGTTAATCTGCACTAGTTCAGGTGTAGAAGCAAGCGTATAATAGTTTTGGGAAGTGGTTAAGAGGATCACTGCCATCTGGCATAACTCTTATGTATGGCGGTAAGCATTTACAACAACTTCACCATTAGTACCCCTAATGAAGTCAGCCTTGGTTCATTGGATTGAAAACACCTTAGTCTCTACCGTGTTACCTTTTAACTAGTTTCTGAGTTATATAACTACACTGTTCTAATATATCGGTCTGTATCTTGTTTCATGTGCACAAACCCAAATACAGCTAGTATGCAACTGAAAATTGTATGTTAGAGTAATTAATAAGGGTTCAATCTTTCTACTTTGTGAATTTAGGTTTCATCTCTGACTTTTCACAATTTCGTTTATGCGATACGGGTAATAGCACTTCTACTAGTGCATCATGTACTTCCTATACATTAGGAGAAAATCTGCAAATACGGAGTTCTATGAATGTCGAGGATCTATGTAAGGGGGTGGTTTCCCGTTTCCTGCGTTTGTGCCTTTACCAGACAAGTCGCGCAGCCCAGGTTGAGTACGATAACGGAGGTGCGATAGAGATTTGGACCTAGGCTTAGGTCAGATAAATCACTGGCAATTCATTAACCGTCTTTCATCAACTTGTGATTTCATAAACTAATATATTAACGAAGACCATGTTATGACTTTTTATTTTTCAGTTGCTTTTCACAATATCGATCAAGGTTATGCCTTTTTCCTTGCTTGGATGACCGGCAACTAATCATGTCCTGGTGTTTCCAAAACTTTGTGAAAACCTCACGCGTCCGCGTGTTTCAAAAATGTAAGTTAAAATTCTTCAGAGCTGGGAAGTTTACCAAATTTTTGAAGTGACCGTTCCCATACTACAATCTCCCAGTGAATACCAAAGGAAATGAGATTTAATAAGGGATAATACGGATTAATTTCCCATAACTTTGGAGACTGGGTTGAGCAACATATGCGAAAGCTGCTTTGTTCGGCAATCCAAATTCTTGCCCAACATTAGCCGATGGGAGCTTTTGCATAAGAACAATGCGTCGACAGGGTGTTATTTTTCATATGGGAGTCACGGACGGCTTGAAAAGCTTCTTGTTGCATTTTGCTTTTTACATATCATGGAAATTCAACTTTTTACATATACCGGTGTGAATACCCTTCTAACTTTTCGCCCAGGGAAGTTACCGTAACCGTTCGAACCTTGATTAGTTGAAAAGGATGGTGAGATTAACGAAAATACTTAATGGTGGGGTCAGAAGGATTTTTCGATTCCGTTCACTATATGGATCAAAGACCCGGTCCCTTACTTCGCCTCAACAGAATGCGTTTTTCAAGTCCAAGTTGTCCTTCCTGATTATACTGATATTTCTTTGCTCCAATTACTTACTCTCATCTACAATCCTTACGGCGTCAAATTATCCCCAGTATATCGAGGCCTCTAAGGCTTTAGATGGTTTTTTCAAATTGGATCCGCAACTCTTCCAAACGAGTGGATTTCTCAACAAGTTCAGAGTGACATCCAAACCAAAGGTGTTTGTCGGTAAGAACAGAAAGTTTAACCAGTTCAATCCCAACATATCGTCGGTGGCACACTGGAGCAAATTACTACAGGTTTATGAAAAGGAGGACAACCCTGAAAAGTATCTTAAAGAACACAAACTCTCTTTCCATTGGGCTGATTGGATCGACACTTCACCAGCAAACGCCTTTATTGATGCGTATGATTCTTTATTAGCGGAGTATGATAACGATCCCAGTGAATTGGCCAAGGTTGTTCAAGAGCGATGCAAAGCACAAATATTCGATGGTTCAGATAGACAGGATCCAAACCTCTATGCAAAGGAGAGATTGAAAATTTTCGAACAGCTTGAAGACATTGGTATTTGTGCTGCAATTTTCGTCCACTATTACGTCCCACCCCCTAAGCAGCTTGTTTTCGAAACCGATTTCCACTACTTTTCATGGCCTCTTGAAAATGCAATGGCCGAGACGCAGCGCACCATGGAGAGGTTTGCCTCGTTATACTACAACGATGATGAGGTTTCAGCCTTGCAAGTCCAGGAATTTGCCGAAAAGGCCCCAAGCGACTTGTCCAATTTCCCGGAAAAGATGCGGGAAATTTTCAAATCAAAGAATTTAAACACCGATAAGATAACTCTTCAAAAGCAAATTGAAGTCTCAGGAAGGAATTTCAAGAGACCTGATACCAAGGAAATTCTGAAGGAATTAGCAGACAGTGGAAAGCTCAACGAAGGAGAGAAGGAAACTTTGGAATTTTTGGAGTTCTCTCATGATAAAGTAGATGATGCTGAAAAGTTTCATTGGGACTTCCCTAATCAAGGGTTTGACAAAGAGGCTCGTTGGCATCATTATACATTCCCATGGTGCAAACAGTTGGTGGATTCTAGAGAGCGTATAATGTCAATTCACCATTTCGTTAGATCATGGTTCAAACTTTGTGAATTTGCGGGTGCTATTTCCTGGTTTGGGTATGGTAATCTCATTGGTTGGTATCGTCATTCGCGTAATTTGCCCTGGGATACCGATGTTGATGTTGTTATGCCCTTCCAGGATCTGGTGGTGCTGAGTGAAAAGTTCAACGCATCATTAGTCATTGAAAATCCAGAACTTGGGGATAATATCTTTTGGTTTGCAACAATGCCTTACTTCTACCAACAGAAGGATACCCAATTCATCGATGCTCGTTATATTGACGTTAAAACAGGATTCTACATCGACGTTTCTGCACTTTGGAATTCAAATGAAAGGGAACCGCCAGATGAGTTTAAACGTGAAGACCGTAGTACCATATACCATTGCAAGCACTACAACTGGTTTTCTCATAAGCAGCTGTTCCCTCTGAGACGTACATTATACGAAGGAGGCCAGGCTTATGTTCCACATGACTATGAGAGTATTATGTGGTTTAAATACGGTAAAGATTCCATGGAGTCGACAAACAATTACGGTCACAACTGGCAGGAAGACATTGGAATCTGGGTTCCAAATGAGATCTGTGAGAACGAAGCGGTTCCTCCTAAGGAGTCCAGATTCGACAGTGATGGGAGCTTGACGTTGTTTGGCGCCTGTAACGACTCTAATATTTTAGAAGAGTGGGCCAGATTTAAGGATTTATATGAGATACACAAGAAGGAGTTCAAAGGAATAAAGGAAGGCGAAGACACGAGTGTGTATTCTGAGAACGATTTGCCTATCGCTCGTTACTTCGACAGAACTTTGTACATGTGAGAGATATCCGAATAATATATAGTCAAGGGTCTATACTGCCCTTATAATAGGATGAAGTTAGATTACACATAGAAGAGAAGGAATGGTAGTCACGAATGAAGCGGAGCGTGTCCAGTACAGTCAATTGGGGGATATTTCTTTACACACGTTAAAGCACTCACACTAAGGAGTGACGTAGAGACGAGGAGATCAAATTATTCCACATTGACTATGCCCGTGCCCATCATGGCTTTGTTGAAATATGTGCCTATTACTAAACGCCTGGGTGTGTTTTCCGTTATGTGTGTGTAGGGGGGAATTAACATGGAAATCAATGCAAATCGGACATCAATATATAACTTGAAAGAAGAAGTTTTGCCGTAGTGTATCAACCTGATCTGTTCCAAGAGATTTCCCTGTTCATTTGTTTTCTACGAAGAGTACTGAAAATGACGTGCGTTGCCATCTGAGCTTCCCATCTTGTTACAGTTGGCCATATTTGATTCTGCCTAATTTCTACAAGGAAACCGCGTGCTTGGAGTTTACCTGTTATAAATTGAAAGAGGAGATATAACATGTCCTTCTGCTGTCTCTACCATTATGGCGCCTTATGCGGTAATATGTGATGGTATGCGGTATGTGTAATAGAGATGGGTAAGAAGGAGGTAGTAGTGGTCCGTTTCCATGGATACAGTGGGACAGCCGCACGCTTCTGGTAAAGTATGGTTGGCTAAGTACAACTGAGAAACTATCAAAAATACATTGATTATGATGGTTAACTATGAGGACTCTGTAGGAAAGCGATCTTACGTTGGGTGCGAGTTCTTTGGATCAACCTTTGCTTCTTCCATAAGCTTTCTAGCCTTGTGGTTCCTCTTCTGTTCTGACTTTTTTGGTCGTCCTCTTCCTCTCTTCTTCTTCCCGATTGCGGATGGAATCCTATTGGAACCATATGTGATCCCCTGGTTCTTCTTAGTCTTCTTTTTGATGCGCTGCATAGTGTCGTGATGATCGTTTTACACTTGCACCGTCTTCAGTAGAGCCTCTTTGTTGGATGTCTTCACTGCTGACCTGGAAGTTTGAGACGCCGTCTTCCGTATGATACATCTATTGGCTTTTGAAAAACAGCTCTGGTATCTGAATATTGGTGGGCAGTAACTGGAGTTCTTCTTTCTTTTCTTCTTTCTGCTATCTTAGTAGATAATCTCTTTGGCAAGTCGTGGCATTGATAGGATAAGAGCTTGGCCGTTGAGAACCCTTCTCATCTTCACACAAGTGATATGTGGACATTCGAAGAATATATACGCTTGATTGCGACAATGGGAACAACTGTACGTAGACTTTTCTTCCGTTTTCCCCTCTTGTGAGATGGTGCATCGCTTCTCAGTAACAACAGCTGTTCTGGCTCGCAATTGATGATAAACATAAGCACGAAAGTTGACAAACGAATCACGTCTTCTCATCTTCTTCACATAAACTCACAGCACCTTTAAAAGGTCCCTAAGTGACAAACCACAGTCCCACAATACGCTATGCTTGTGAGTCGTCATTTTGGTTCCAGGTGAACTCTCATCAACGGTTACACTAGTGTCTTTGCTATTTAGACAACAAGAAGTGATAATGGTTGTTGAGTACAAGAAATAGCCATAGTTCGTGGGTATCTCCGCATGTTCTGGTTCGTCCTCTTCATCAGCAAAGTTGCTTGCATCATCTGAGTCGCTCCCGTCATCGAAATCGCTGGCATAATTCATTTCATCATCATATTGAGGCATCTGTCTCACTGTTTTCCAATCACAGGACATATACTCTGCCATTTTCACCTTCTCACACTGCATCGACAGCACTTCGAGAATGAGATTGGTTGGGTTCAATCGCCTAAACACAAACATCTCTGCATTCAAAATCTCACAATGATGGGATGTCATGATATCAAACCTTGGAGTTACCGAATTGTAAAGTTGAAGACCTCTAGCACAGTCTTGGGTGTTGGTGATAAGATTATAGGTACTGTTAACTTTCTCCTTCTTATGCCTCTCAAAGAAACCCCCTTCATAGCTTCTTGGATTAGTGGAACCTTTGCGGGATCAGATTCAATATCAACCGGAAAAGGTTATGTTGCATAGCACTTCTATGCTTTGCGATTGTGTACTTGAAGAGGTTTCTTTCGACGTGTTTGGAGCATGCGAAGCTCTCAATCGGAACACCACACCGGGGTCTCAACATATTCAAGGCCTTCTTGATACCCTTATCCTGATCTGATATGATTTGTAATGGGGGAATGCTCTCCTCAGTGATACTATCATTGTGTAATTGTAGAGATTCCCGTAACTTCTTCCAATGCGATCCATCATTCTTCTTGAGGAATGTGTATAGGAAGGTGAACCATTCTAATCCACACTCTGCATTCTTTGAAAGCATCATACCCAGGGGAACAAGTCCCTTGGACCCAGCCTGGCCAACAATAGTGTATAATGTACGAAAATCCTCTTTGTACCCCTGACTATTGTACAAAGACAAATGGCAAGCATCTAATGAGAGTGTTGGTACTAAGCTTTCGTAGAACTGGCCATCAATGGAGTTGGAGAAATAGATGCACTTGATTTCATCCTGTGAATGTGATATTAAATTGAGTGCTGAAAAAGTCAGCTCTGAGGACTTCACAGCAGCTTTCAACATCTTTGTTGCTTTGTCAACACTCAAATTTAGCCTCTTGTCACCCGCCTGTGCAGGCCTCTTCTTATTATAGAGAACTGTCAGGTTGTTCAGCACTGACTTTTCACCCCGAGAATCGGGTGCAGGACCATCTTCGGGGTGATCACTATTGGCGTCTTTCAAGTGTTGTAAAAACTCGTCCTGTACCTTTTCCCATTCAACATTTGTATCACTGATACTTGGTACATCTGCATCTTTTGTTGAAGCACAGTCACTCTCTGCTTCTCGCTGATGTCCATCTCCTCTCCAGTCAGAAACTATTCTGGTGACCTCAGTCGTATCATCCTTGCTTAGGATGTTGTCGATATACCTGTTATCCTGTAGAAGTAATGCTATCTCAAAGTGCTTCAAACCCTGTAGAAGGTCTTCAGTTTTTTGATTGTCTTGTACCACATCATCAGCTGCCTGGTTATTGCTCTTACCATCATCTGTATGTGAAGTTGAGAGTGCAGTCAATAACAACTGTATCATGTATTCTCCATTCGCCGTTCTATCTGTGAATTTGGAGAACGATGTCTCCGAGAAGGCTCGTTGAACAGAGCCAAATAGTTAATCCAGTGTTATCGTTAGACGATGATTTATTCTTGACCCTTGTCCCACTTGTCTCACAATTCTCAACATCGGGCACAAGTCCAGTTTGTACTTCAGCACGTGAATCAAGATCTTGATACCAAGAGGTATCTAACATCATGTCCTGGTGACACATGTTGAATTCGACAAAACTTCTTCTCAAATCACTTAATACATTTCCCATATTGAAAGAAAAGCTGCTTTCGAGACTGTTGAACAGTTCGATACACGCGTGGAAATGATGTTTCCATTCGTTGAGATGGTCTTTTAGTAGTCTTTTCTCCGCCATTGGTGACGCTGATATCTTCTTCTTCACACATGCGAGCATAACGATCATCCGGGGAGATAGGGACATAACGATGTCCGGGTCTGGTAGAGACATTATGGTTGCCGATGATCTGTATTAACCACACGTATCTGATGTTTTATCTATGGATTTGTTTACAATCTCTGTTGGAATTTGTTTCGCGTTTGTGCTGTTGTTTTGACCATGAGGTATGGATGTGGTGTGTGGGTGAAAGGACTTGGGACTACGGATGCCTACGATATCTCTCTTTATTTGCACTAAATTAACAGGGTGAAGAATTTAAAGAACCCATAGCTTTTAAAGCCTCTAATCGCTCCATCAGTGAATTCTAAAGAGAGAATATGTATCATATGTGTATTCCTGTGTTTTTTGAAAAATTTATGTTTCAGTTAATATTTTAGATCAATTTATCTCTCTTCATTTTCTTGCGTTATTCTTGCATTATTCATGCGTTATTCTTGTTAATTCATGATAAAACTGTTTCTTCTTCACTAAAATTTACCATGGGACTTGCGTATATATCCTAAAGATTTCATATTAATAAAATTCAATATTCCTAGATTTCCAAACATTCTATTGTAATTACTCTTGTAAATTCTTTTGCCTTGAAATTTTGTACTACATTTCTTGCTACTTTTCGGGTACCTGAAGCGCGATAGAGGTAACGTTTGAAATGGCTTGACCTTTTGGCTCGACCGTGGAAAAGAGGTATCTAATACTTTCCATACAAGCAATGTAATGACTAGACATTGATATGAAATCACACTATATGGAATATAGGACCTTGGTCGATATATCCCAGTTACCTTTAAGTACTCCTTTGTTGTGGGTTCTCTCAAGTTGAGGCGCAGTACGACCAACACATACAAGCTCATTAAATTTCATCAATATACAAGATTTGGGTGCTATAAGTGAAACCTAACGAGAAGTGCCAATAATGCTTTTCATGACATAGATTCTTGTCGTCGAAATGAGGCATAGCGTATATTGTCATTGTTTTTGGATCAAAGCATTGGTGACTTAATATCTGCCTGGCAGAAGTCCTTTGAAAAAGGTGCCATTGAGCAAGGCATCGCAAATTGAAGATTTTCTAAAGAGATACTTCTGATAATTACCGTACATAAAACTGTGATACAGTCTATATAATCGATTGTGAACCCCTTGGTGTTTGGTGTTTTGATTATTGTAGAGATCAAACATCTTGCTTTTGTAGGGGGGGGGGGCAGCAGTAGAACAGAAGGGAAATGAGCGGAGTTAGACCGGAAACTTCAGTGTATATCAAAGCGTCTACTGTGTTATGTTGATCATATAGTTAATATAGAGAGTACAAGTCCATTCTCATCCCGGCTACCATGGCTCAAACTTATAGACATTGGTCATTATTGCTTTTAAGAGGTCATTCATTCTACTCTGGTTTCTGCGTGCCAGAAATTCCGTCATTTTTGTTGCTTCATTTTCCCTTGACTTATTCACCAGGGAATGAGAAGGATTCAACTCAGTGAAAGTAACTTTTTGAAAATTCTAGAATTCTAATCATCAGCTTGAACTGAGTAATTTCAATACCTGATAGTTATCCTCAAGCGAGTCTCAGCTATGTGTACTGTCTGCTTTGATTTGAATCAATAGTACTATACGATGAAAGTGGAAGTCCTTCCTCAACAGGTGTAGTGAAATGTACTCTTCGTTGTGCGGTTTAAGTGCACACTTCATTGATGTATCTCTTAGATGTTCCAGTGACGATACTGGATTTCAAGTGTCAGGGTGTAGCTGTTAAGCACTAGATGTATAATAGCGTCTATAGGTCCTGAGGGCTTGGTTTGTTCAACGAGATATATACACTAGATTAGTCTAGTTGTGCCGAACATTTAAAACGTATCAAAGATCCCCTTCATACCTCAAGAAAACTACTGAATTGTATGATAGTCTTGTGTATAATGAATGTACAACAAACAGCTGGTTGAGCGTGAGCTGTCCGCTTTTATGTTAAGGGTCTCTGACAGTGTAGTTACCTCCTATGCTAGAATCTATAAGTCATTTAGACGATTTAAACTCTGATGTATTTTCAAACCAGCTCGATCCAAATGACAGTTTAAATTACGACTGTGGGGCCATTTGTAAACATTGTTTATCAGATCTACATACTCAGAATTCCGTAATTCAGTGATGATAGGTCTAAAGATACACTTTGAATTGGAGTTCGTCATGAGAGTGCAATCTCTCGAAGCAAATTCTTTTCAAGAGGAAAAGCTTTGAAATCGTCCTGATTTGCACATTTCTATGCTCTATTTGACTCATTTCTGCTCTAAAATCCACAAAATTTCCCTTAGCTACGCTAAGGTTAAACACAATCGCTTATAGATCCCAAAGACTCCGCACTCGAGAACAGCGCGAGCTACCTGAGTAGTTTTCGATGGTCAAAATACTGTGGTAGCTCGTTCTGGTGCGATGTCGCGCCGCGGGTCATAAACTCCGGTCATGAGCCCACAATTCAACAACATCTATCTCAACCACCAGAAGGGCTATTGAGATAAAAAGTTGACAGTAATGATCAGACATATTCTATATCAAATAAACACCTCTTCAACGCTCTTTTGGGTGCCCAATACAGTTTTTAGATTTTCACACTGCTTTTTCTTAACGGTGTGGTTTTCTCAAAATTACCGAAGAGTGATATCTTAATCTAGCTCCACCAATAATGATGACCAGAACACATGAATTACACCATTAGATAGAGCAAGCGTCTCTCTATCTATTCAACGAATTTAATGGTTTGGGTATTCTATCACCATTTAATATTTATATGCATCATGTACGGTGTATATGTATGGGTTAAACACTCATACATAACCTATGCTTCAGAAAAAGTAGCAGCCTCCAGGAGAGTGGCGCTCAGTTGCCAGTGAGTCCTAATTAGCTTCCTGAGAGTTTGCGACCCACGCATCGACATGCATGACAAAACGTAAGTCAGAAATTTCAGATTTAGACAATTTACAAATCTTTTGTTGTAACATTTCCAATATTGCAAGTTGTCAGTGAATATGAAGGCAATTGTGACATAATTAAGAATGCTTTGAATTTATTTTTGATAATTGTGGAGTATGAAGTGTGACGTGTGCATTGTTGTGTTAACAATAGTTGTGTTTGGGTAGGGGATACGGTTAATGTAACCGCCAATGCTGCCTTATTTCACGATCCAAATTCACGAGATGTTGGTCCCTGGGATCATTTCAAGCCGAGTTGAGTAAGGCATGAGGGGGACTTATCTTCATATCGGATCACAGACATTATAAGAAGGCATTTCGTTGTATTCCGCTTTTTTCATTTCAGGTGTATTCAACTATACGCGTGTTGGTGCCAATACCCCTTCCTGTTTT